CAGCTCGATGATTTCGAGGTTTTCCACGTTGGAGTCTACTGCGCCGACCAATCAGGCAATGGATGTCAGTTACGCGCTAGCTGGGGCTAAGCGCGCGACGCGAGGGCTGAGGGGTAACGCTAGTCCAGGGTGGAGTCTTACCCTCAGGAGATGAACACGGCTTACTACTGGTACTATCCAAGCTTCCGCGAGATCCCTACGAATGCTCTCTTAGGGGAGTTGAAGCGCGACTTTGGGTAAAAGAAAGGTTGAAAATACATATTTTCCTAGGTTACCCAAAAGATCCAAGAGTGGAATAGAATTGAGGAGAAAGTTGATGGAGTTCGGCGCAGGAAAGTGGGTATGGGGTCGCATGCTGACCAACCAGCGAAGAGGTCGAGACCCACTTAAATTCGCGCGTCAGGAACGCGTCGCACTACGTCGAACATACATCAACAAACACCGTTCTCCTGCCTGACACAGGAGACATGCTTCTCGATAATACAGTTAGCATTTCATCGCTATGTATCTAAGTATCATAAATCATGGTGACAGATCTCGTAACTATCTTTCTCCACAAACTCGTAGCTAGAAACAGCTAACTTCAAGACAAATACGAGGTCCTTGGTTTCTCAAGCACTGACAACCATTCCCCTCGCTATCTAGACCGGAAATACAGAACCATAGTCTAAAGCGTGCCAAAGCGCCGCCGCATATGCTACTTCCTTCAATACCCACGCCTCAGAACAACATTCACAATGACGCCCGGATGCTCCTCCTCCAACAACTTGCGTAATTTGGCCAACGCCTTCACCTTTGCAGCCTTCGTCTCTTCCTCATTGCTGTTCCAACCCCATTTCTGCAGCGCAACCTCAACCTCGATCCGCTTCAGTCCCTTCAGCTTCCATTGACCCATTGTGGGGGTATCCATCCAGAAAATCGGGCTAACATCCACACCCTGTGCGCCTTCGATGAGGTAGCTGCGCTGGTAGCGCTTGATGGACGTGATGGACTTGCGGTGTGTACTTGGCAAGGACTGGACCCACTCGCGCAAGTGGCCGTTGTGGCGGCCTTCGAAGGTGTTGTAGAGGTAAGGGAAGAGGTGGGCTTCGGCGTAGATTTGACGATTGACCTGAAGGAGAGCCAACGCGTTCTTGGCGGCGTTGTCGGCGCGCGGCTTGGTCCTACCGCGGCCCATGTTGATCGACCATGTGTTGCCGCCAAGAGTGTAGATGTAGACCATGTTGCGGAGCTCGGCGGGGAGGCGTAGGAGAGGAGATAGACTTGCAGAGCTCCTGAGATCAGCGAACTGCTAAGAAGAGTGCGAAGAGACTTACTTGGAACCAAATTTGGCTAGGCCATTGGTCTTAACCATCGTGTGTATGTTCTCGCACTGGACGATAACTGCACTTGACATGAAGGTTGTGTGGTTCATTCTTTTACAAGTAGACTGGTTGATGGGGGTCAATTGGTGGTTGCGGTGTGGCTGCGGGGTGCGGTGGCAACAAGTATCAAGTGCAATATCGTCAACACCCGATTGGGACGTGCCTTTCACTTGACTTGCATCGATGGAACACGATAGCCGAATCTACCCATAGATGGTGAAACTCCATAATATCGCGTGTACAGAGGTAGTGGTACTAGAAAGCTGGCAATGGACCGAGGGGAAGATCTAGTGCAACTTCGCCACACCTTTTGCACATACCAGCAATACCCCAACTTGTCTCAAGCCTCAATGCCCAATTATCTCCGCACACTATTGTCGGCACAGGTTAAAGGGCCATTGACCGGGGATGCAGGGTCATTGAAAGCCGCGATGAGCTGGTCAATATATACCCAGAGTCCCGCGCAGTTCATGAACAATGTCAACAATACAATAGTCTAATTCAGGATCGCCATGCTGGTCTTTCTCTAGTCACTGAACTGCACATCCCAATTCAAATAAAGCCGTATGACTCTTCATATACCGAAGTGAACCATGAGACGAAGATCGCAGACGATATCGACAAGATGAATTCGAAGAGCGGGATCGCGTTGGCGAGGTTGAAAGCAAGGACCCAGAAAACGGTGCCAATACTAATCCAAATGATCCATGTGCGCTTGGTATTCTTGTCGTACTTGTGCTTGATTTTCAAAACACTGATGACCTCCGCGAAGATGTATTTGATGGATGTATGACCGAAGACGAGTGATGTTCCCACTAGCGTCGGGAGGAGGATGCCATATGCGACCTTAGCTGGAACGGGAGGTGCCGTCCCGAGCGCAGGGCTGTCCACATACTGTCCAGTGAGACCACAAATGACAGCACCAACGATGCTGTACATTGGAATGGCAAAGATCTGAAGGATGTACATCGAGAGCATGATGTCCTTCGAAGGATCTCGCATCTCAGCCATGACAGTGACGAAAGCCTGGCTGCCGGCATAGGCGAATGCGATATTCGGAACGGAAGTGAAGCCTTGAGCAAACGTGGGGTTACCCCAGAAGACGATTTCGCAATCCCAAGTAGGTGGTGCGCGGGCCGGCTCGCTGACGCCAAGGGCGATCATGACAATAAGCACCGCCTTGAATATGGAAATCGTGCAAGGAACTAGATTGGGTCAAATCTGCTGACAACCTCCAGGGTGTCAACTTACTGACAAAATGAGCAAGGAACGTCATCTTGCGTGGCATGCACAACACCTATGAAACGACTGTTGGGATGGCAATGAAGGCCACTGTACATACAGCGTACTTGGAGATTCTGTTGAGCGCGATACTCATAGTGATAACCGCCGAAGAACAAGTGAGGGTGGGTTGAGGACGAACGCTGTGCCAACGATGATAGCAAGAGATGTGCCGCCGATAATCTTGAAGGAGTCGACGCAGTTCAAAACAGTTGGGTATCTGCAAAAGAATTGCAACAGGACATATGCTGTATAGGTTATCAGTTGATTGGTGATGTAGATTAGGGAGGCCCGCCATCTTCCTACCCTTTTGTAATCGGACTGTTCGTTCATCGCGGGATCCAAAACGCTGCATTCTCTTCGTGATTCAACCTTTTCCATGTCCGAGTCCGCGAGTGGCGGTGTAGCAGCGCCTTTCTTTGAGATATTATTGGCGGGCTCAGAGCTGCCAGTCCTGTTTTGTGTCATACCCTCTAAGCCGGCCTGGCTCTGAGACCCTCATTGTATGTCTCATTACGAAAGTAGATAGTGGTGAGGAAGGTAGGGTTGCTCGTAGAGAAGCTTTGCTGGAAGGGGATCTTGTGCTCGGTATACGTAGCTTACCATCTCTTTATCCCTAGCACCAAGAGTAGGTGGTATCTACGACGAGCAATACCAGCCGGGATCGACGTATGCTGAGCCTTCCAACGGTTGCCAGAACAAACTTTGGTCCTGGGCTCGCGTAAGAGCTAGCTCCTTCCACTGGAAAACTTTACACATGTGCAATCTTAGTGGTGCACGGGACTTGCACCAATCTACGTCGCTCAAGCACCGGAGAGTGGCAAGCTACCACAAGAGATGGACGACAAGGGCGGAATGGCTGTTGTGGGTGGCTCCCCTCCGCCTGTCAAGGGCCTCGCTCCGCTTGGACTCCGCTGTAGCCGGGAAGTGCAGACCTTGGGAGGCCGTTTGCATTTCCGCCATATCTTGACATAAGATCAAGCGGCAGAGCCGGGTACTTGGCGCCTTGTACAGACGTGCGATAATGTCTTTGGGGGGTCAAATCGCGTGAGGTTGTGAAGCTGGATTACTTGGTCGAACTTTCGCATCGTCCCGTATGTCTGTCACATCCAGAGCCATTATACAATTGTCAGAAGTAAAAAGAAACGTGTTCTCTAATAAGGGGGTTCCATTTGGTCCAAAACGATACAAGTTGTAGTCGTGGTACGGGTCTTGTTGATGCCGCTGTTCAGAGTTCTGAAGTCCGCCACAAGTTCTCGCCATGACGTCACAACCCAATTTGGAAGCACCACAAGTGGTTGCAATTCTCAGCAACAACTACAGGAATCCTGCAACTACTCTCGGTCTAAACACGCTTTTTCGTACATGCCGTATCCACAAAAGTGGACTTCACGAGGACGTCCTCCACCGCCTCTCAGCCACGCCTCGAAACGCTTCTTGCACTCATTGATACGCGTGCGTGTCCAAACCGAAAAACCTGTTTCGTACTTCCGTGTAGCTGCTAATGGTTTCGACCTCAACCTTGTGTACACCGGGGAGGTAGTCATGTAGCGAAAGATTGTGTTTCCTACTCTTGCGTATGAAGAGTCTGACGATGTTAGCACTGCCCAAGGGCATACTTAGTCGCATTGTTCGGATGGCGGAGCGTTGCAATATCGTAAGTCGATGCGTAAGTTCCTCCAGTGTTTCGATGTTATCGAAGACGATGGTACCGGTGGTGAAGGGCAAGAGTGCAGTTTCTGCATAGATTTGCCGACAGACACTCGAAAGAGCAAGGCGATTGGCCGTGCTGACGAGCGTATAGAAAGTTCTGAGTGTTAAAACTGTATCTCTCAAACCTGTATTCTTCGTCTTTGAAGACGGAGTGGTAGACACAATTTCGCAGCTCCCCTGGCAGGCGAAGCAGTGCTGACTTGAACTGGCAGCAAGATGTCCTGCAATCCGGGTTAATCTATCGATTTAGATTCGAACAACAAGATCACTTACATTTGGACGGAGTCTGGGACATATGCTTCCCTGCCCCCGTGTGTTGAGGATCAAGCTTGGATTCCGCGAAATCCACCACTCCAAACACAGTTCGGATTCGTGACACGGAGAGCGACTCAAATGGAATCCGGAGGCTTATTTATCCTCATATAACTGTTGAAAATAAAGTACTCGCAAAAGTTAATACTTTGACTGTTGCGATTTGTGAATAGTGTGCAGACAGGGAAAATTGAAGGATTGAACTGGGGTTGTATTATATGAAGCTACGAACAGTATGTATGGGTGAGCAACAGTAAACAACGCTAGTGCAATGAGGCAGTCACCCTAACGGCAGGTGAGGTATGACAGGTGAGGTATAACAGGCAGGAGTCACCCTAAACCGTGACAGAAACGGGCATGCCGACATGCAAGACGCCTCCACGCACACACGAGGGATGGGGTCAAGATGCCACTGGGGCAACTTCCTGTCGAGTTATCCTCGTGAGGGTGACAAGTCCGCCTGCGAGTAACGCTCACATGCTTTGCTTGGTTTATATTGTACACAAGTTCTACTTTTTCGTTGAGCGGGTGTCCTTGATGACTTTGCTTGAAGAAGAACCAAGATGCATGTTTGCTTACAGCTTGTACCTTGTTCATCACCACATACACATAGCAAGAGCATCAGCTTATTTATCCGGCCCTGATCACAACCTCAGAGATTCTCATGAATCTCTTCCACTTTCATCTTCACTGGACGTTCTCACATCCTCCTCAGCTAGCATAATCATACATCCTCCTCTCCCTCCTCCCATCACCACCCCTTGCCCTCAATACCGGCATCTCCCACGTCCCGTTCGTCGCACCCCCAGCACTACCCGTCGCCATCGGCAACCCCGTGCCCAAACTTGCCGTCGGGTCGCCCTCGACCGTCTCACTCGGAAGCCCCATCTCCGCAAGCGCCTGGTCCCACAACGCCATTGCAGCGACCTGCTCCGAAGCAATCGATCCGGCGATGGCAATGATCTCGTCCGCGGTCATGGAGCCGGCGTTCATGGGCTCGGATTCAAAGGTTTCTTGGGGGACGGCTTCGGAGGATGTAGGAGTGGCGGAGGAGGAGGGGAGGGTGCAGAGTGTGTTTGAGCAGGAAGAGTGGGGGAGGCTGCTGATTGATGCGATATCGGAGCTCGAAACGGGGGTAGATGCTCCAGATACAGGAGTGCTGATGGAAGGTGCTGATGTAGGCTTGGAGCCTGGTGCCTGTGAGCTGACGGGTGGTGCAACTTGCGAGCTAGCAGCTGGTGATGCTGCTGCTGCTGCTGAAGACGTTGCTGGCGGTGGAGGAGGCGCTTGAGAAGACGGCGGCGGAGGTGGCACTGCAGCGCTTGTCTTAGGCGGATCAGCAGGCTTTTCAGTTTTCGGTGGATCTGCAGGTTTGGTGGTCTTCTTTGATCCTCCCTTCGCTGCCGCTTCCACTTGGGACTCTTCTTCTTCGTCAATACTGGCAGACTTGACCGAGGGAGTAGTCAGACTACTGGGATCTTCAGGGTTCCCTGTGCTCCACAACCACTTGTCGTAGTACATTGCCAAAGACCAATAGAGAATGTTTTCGATGTTGCGTGATGACTCGGCGATGTTCTTTCCTCCCTTCTGCTTAGCGAGTCCGACAGCGCCATCAAACCCGTATGCTAGTCCGCCGGTACCACCTTGCGAGTCTGGCACCTTCTTGTCTGCGAACTTGTTCAAGTCGGGGTGGAAGAGCTCGGTGTGCATGAATTCGTGAAACCACTTCGCTCCGATCTTTTTGCCGAAAGCCGATATATGGAAAGGAAGAGTCTGGTCTTTCTTGCCAGTTTGTGTGTAGATTGCGAAAGTATCCGGAAGTTTGGTCGTAGAGATGTCCCAGAGATGAGGCTGCTTGTCTTTCTCGAGCTGGTGCTGCCGCTTTAAATAATCCTTACAGAACGTGACCCTGCAAATGGTCAGTAATCGATGATATCACGACCGTTAACGGCACTGCCACACCTTTCCGGGCCCTTCTCACGAGACGCCCCAGATAACTTCTTGTTCATGGTGGTGACCGCAGCTTTGTTACCCTGACAAGGCTTTCCGCCTTTAACGCTGACCCATCGCTTCCTGTCCATGTCGTAGAAGTACTTGGAGCCAGAGCTCAGTGGTGCAGTAGGCTTGGGTGCCGCGGTCTTTGGACCTCTTTCGCTGAGCCAGTCGTCATTGCAATGGATGATCAGATCCGGGTTTCCAGGCTTCATCATGCGGTTGAGTGAGTCTCTCGTGACCTTGATGGCGGCGATGTGGTCCGCTGCCTCTTTCCTGAAGTTAGGATTCGGCGTTCCATCGTCGTTCTTTGCCTGGATATCGCCAAAAAGAACGCGGTAGGTAGCGATGATCTTGTCCAGTTCGCTTTTACTGGCGGAAGGCTTCTTGGCGCCGGGAGCTTTACTCTGGTACTCGAGTGCCGCAATGAGAGTGTCCAGACTGTCTTTACCAGCTTTTGCTAGTTTGGGCTGGAATTCGATACTTTTGTCTACCAACTGCTTCGCGGTAAGCGTTCCATACTTGGTGTTACAGGACTCGTCAAACTTCAAAGCCCGCTTTGAGAGTTCGAAAGAGAAGGCATTGACACAGGTGATCAGCACCAGTGCCGTGCAGAGAACATCTGCGCCAAAAAGCCTCATGGTGTTGAAGAGAAAAGGAATGAACGACAGCTCCAGAGCTGTCCAAAAGGGCGAAAGAAGGATCAGAAAAATGCTGTGAGATGTAGTACAAGAACGCAGCAGCTGGGCTGCATGATATACCTGAGCAGTGACATGGCGGAGACAAGGGATCAAGACCCAACACAATCACGGCGATGCACTTCCTTGATGTCCGGTACCTGCCAAGCTTCCTTCAAAGTAGATCAATCAGACGGAAGCGGCGTAAGCTCAGAGTTTGCCAGTGCTTACCGGACTCCGTTCTATGGGGATGTGTTCTGATACGTTTGGCTCCGAAGTCCGCTGTAGTGCGGCTTACGCTCACCGTAATGCGAACGAACTTTCACGGAGATGCCGTTGTCAACTCGCAGCTTTCTAGCATCTAGCACTGAAAGTCCAAAAATTTATCACGGAAGATGAAAGTTGATAGAGATATGTCTATTCCAAATCGGGTCATCTCAGCCACCTCAAAAACCCATGTCTCGATCGCTGTCATCATCCTCATCGTTTCCGTTTTCCCGTCTCGGTGGCGTGTCGTATCGTGGCTGCCATTTATATAGCCTCTCCATCTTGTAACTTTCAGATTCGACGTGGGAAGATATCAGCCCCAGTGTGTGCGCGATATGACCAGTCCAAGTAAAATTATCAGCAATGAAGCGTCTCAACCAAGCTGCTCGCTGGTCGATTCCGTCCCAAGCAAGCATTAAAAGGCAGCTTGACGAGCCATCGCCCGTTTCTGTCCATACCGGATCCTCCGCATACACTACTGATCTCGCATCCATGTCTGAGTCTGCGGACCACAAGGAGGACATGGTGCTAGCTTGAATGAGTACTGCGATGGTGTGTCAACCGGAGAGTGAGGAACTTACTTGGTTAGATCATAGATTCGAAGCATGAACGTTTCCTTTTCGGCCGATGTCAAAGCCTTCATAGGTTTGAACTTGACTATTTCAAGTACCTTGTCGACTTCTTGCCAAGCTTGATTGTCAGGTGTTAGAGGCATATCTTCCCAGTTCAATTTCCGCAATTCTGGTGCATCGCTGACCCAAGAATGGGTGACAATGCAGCTGGCGACGGCATCATGCGATTTGCTCTCATCGATTGTGCGTTGTTGGCGATAGTCTGTGAGATCAGAAGTAGTATCCCATACTACATGCAACGTCATTGACACAGCTTAAGGTACGGCGAGAGTACACTTACCAGAGAGGAATACTATCTCATTGTTCTGATCAGAATTCAATAGAAGATTGAGTTGGCGTAGCCCGCTCACGCCGTCTTGGAGTCCAACTAACTCGCGTAGAGATTCTACAAGGTGCTTATCAAGCTCAAATGACGCAACCTTTAGCTTGACGCAGATGATGGCCATGGCGTACTCGTCAGCAGTTGTCGGTTCCACGGTCTGTCGATTCACGCGTTCTGGCAGGAAGATGTTTGCCTTACTGAGTACCATCATCGGCTGGAATGATAGACTCATCGGATACGCGGTGTCCCAGTACTGTGAAGACTGGTCGTGCAATATTACACCGTATTCCCAAGGCTGTTTTTTTATAAGGTCTGCGATGTTCAGAGGCATGCCGACGTGGGGAGAAGCTGGATATGGAGTTTGGCCGCACTTGTGAAGCTCGATGGAAAACTGCTTCCATTTCAACCCGCACTTCAAATCCTGATGTCTGCGATTCTCTGTCTTGACGAGAGCGGCGATCGCATCTTCGAAGCGGCTGTCCACATAGTAGCTCCAGATAGATTTCTTCTCCTGTCGAGCCACAAAGTCATGCCGACTCAAAAGTTGAACAAATTGCTCTTCTTGCACGTCGAGTTTTTGCTTCGGATCATGTGTGTTCTGCGAGCCTTTAGCAGCTCCAGCCTCTGCACCGATGATGTCGATAGTCCACTGGTGCGTGTGATCGAGCCCTTCATACGAATCCTCTCCAAAGAGGTAAACGTAAGGTGCCTTGGCTATATGATTGCCCATGAAGCCAAAACCAGTTGTCTGACGGTAGAAGTCGTTACGGCCGGCGTAGGACTCCCAGACTAGCAAAGCAAATAAGCAAAAACGAAGGAATCGTGGATGTTAAGCAGCGAACTTACCCAGGAAAACCCAGATTTCATGTTGTTCACTCAATTTCGAGGTATACGCAGCGTATAGGTGAGGTTGATGCAGCACATACTGCAGCGTCATGTCCCACTCTTTGCTGAGAATAGAGTCCTCATCGTCAACCGTCGCGGCTGGCTTGAAGAAGAGATGAATAACGTCTAGCAAGGGCATATTGCAACCTGCTCTGAGCTGTCGACAGAAGGCTGGATACGGTCAACGCATGACGCCCAGCGGAACTTCAAGGGTAGGAGGTGGTTCTCAAGTCTGTCGGTGACCGACGCCTCGCTAGCCGTGTTGGGCGATTGTGCGTAGCGTAGTCGACATGAACTGTCATCCTTTGGAGAATTTTTATTTCTCATCGATCTTCCGATCAAGATGAGTCCAAGTCAGTAGAAGCAACACGCATGTCGAACCGTTGCTGTTAATACTACGCTAATCCCTAGCCCCTCCAACGGGAGATTGACGAAACAACGCGTTCCGTCATCACCATTTCAACTCCACACCCCTCTCACCAGCCAAATCCCTCTCCCTCTGCTCGACGACACAACACCACAATGCCAACCCGCCCACGCCCGCGCCACCGCCCCCTAACCCCCGCAACACTCGCCGGCGTCCTCTCTCTCATCTTCCCAACCGTCACCCTCGCTCGCCTCTACACCATCCACCCCATGCTGAAGTCTTCCCTCCTGCCCGTCGCATACACATGCTTCATCAGTGGCGTGACGTTCCTTACGTACGGGTACGATAAGATGCAGGCACGAAACTTGGAGTGGCGGGTCAGCGAGCTGACGTTGCATTTCCTGGGGCTTCTCGGCGGCTGGCCTGGTGCGCTGGTGGGGATGCACTTCTTCCAACACAAGACAAGAAAGACGTCATTTCTGATACTGTTCTGGGGCATTGTGCTGGGATGGCAGGGAATGTTGTGGACATTCTTGTACGGCGATCAAAGTAAGGTTACGTGGTAGGTAGGTTATGCTATGAATAAGCAAGAGGGTTTCCACCAACGCCGCACTGCATCAGTCGTTACTCATTGTAGACCAAGCCATCACTGCGTCTCCTCCAGTTTTCGCTCCACCTTCTCAGCACCCTGCTTCGGCACTCCTTTGAATGTCTTCACACGCTCCAGCGCGCCGTTCGAGTATGTTTGCACCAAGTCTTGCGCGATGCTTGCACTGGTCTGCACGGTATCCTATACGTTGTTCGCAGCTCGCACTACAGACACAGGCATATTAGCGACCGGTGAACGGGCTTGTCAGACTGTCTGCAGCCTCGCCTGCTGTTTCGCCGAGAGGGTTCTGTGTTGCGCCACCGGCAAGGTTGCTGATGCCCTTCTTGAGCTGGAGGGGGTCGGTCCGATCAGAGGTGGGGATCTTGTTGATCTGGTCTGGGGAGTGTCAGCTTGTGAATGGTCTCGTAAGGTAATGGCTGTGAGGCGGGGCTGTGGTAGATATCGTGGGAGGCTCATGAAGGAACGTACCTTTGGCGACGTAGGAGAGCTTGTTCTCGCCCATGGTCTTGAGTGCTGCGAGCTCTATCTTGCGCTTGAGCTCCGGTGGGATGCCGAAGAGGAAGACGGCAAGGCCCATAACAGCGATGACGCCGGCGAGGGCAGTGAAGAAGGTTGCGGCGGTCATCGTGAGATGTGTGTATAGTGTTGAGGTGGATTTGTGATCGATGTGCTGTGAGAAATAAAGCGAAGTGCAAGAAAAGGAATTGTTATGTAGTACAGCCGTTCGTCAGGCTTCTTGGAGTTTACTTTAATGTATGTGATGTCATCTGCGACTTCTCCATGAATGACCCCTGCAAACGCGTTCCTTGCGAGCCCCTGCCCGTCGAGCTCTTCTCAAACTCAGCTTGGCAAGCATGTGCAAATGTGGACACTGCTCGGAAGGAACGGCGCAGGGTCTTTTTCGTATTCGTTTCACGTTCGTTCAGTGTCAACGTCAAACATCAAGGGCTCGCCCAGTCAAGATGACATCCATGGATCTGTGCGAGGCAGACATGTGCGAGGATCTGTTGATCAACAACGAGATCAACACAGCCGTTGACACAGCCGTTGACAGCCGTTGACGCAGCCGTTGGGCGATTTACAATGATCGAGGTACAATTGTTCGATAGGAGCATCATTTCGGCGCTTTATCAATGTCATCTCCTTAAATATCACAGCCTTACGAATAAATATGCCTAAGGCGCGTGCGTTGAGCAGTCTAGCTAGCTGCGCCTCGAATACGCCTGCCGCCAGCCCGTAAGGCGGAGACCGACCAGCAAGTGTGACCCCACAGCCGCACAGGAGCTTCAACTCCTTCTCCAAGACCCTGCAGTGCTTATTACTGACACCCTCTGCGCCTCCTTTTGTGATTTTTCTTCGAACTTCCCTCTTTTCTACCTACATCCATTGTTATCGCCTTTGGACAACCTACCCCTCATTACCCCCACCACCAGCTGCACGCTGCCAGATAGGCCAGGCCGTCTTACTTTCAGCCCCCAAGAACACTCAGCAGTCTTGTTGCTGCGACACTTTTGCCCATTATGAGTTGTACTCCTCTCTCATAGCCCGTGTACCTTGCAAGACATCTACTGACGCGTCATCGCAGTGACAAATATGCTCAACAAGTTGCACGGCCAGCCTGACAGCTATGACCGCAAGTCCGTGCCTCATGAGATCCCCCGCACACGAATACATACTGAGCAAAGCAATCGCAGGTCACGCTACAAGTTTGGAAAGACACTGGGTGCTGGAACCTATGGTATCGTTCGAGAGGCCGACTGCCCGGACGGCAAGGTCGCGGTCAAGATCATCCTGAAGAAGAATGTCCGCGGCAACGAGCAGATGGTCTACGACGAGCTGGAGATGCTGCAGAAAATGAAGCACCCGCACATTGTCAAATTTCATGACTGGTTCGAGTCGAGGGTATGCAATAGACGGACACATAGTGTGGAGTTCAGGGTCTAACAGCTCGCAGGACAAGTACTACATCGTGACCCAATTGGCGACTGGAGGAGAGCTTTTCGACCGCATTTGCGAAAAGGGAAAGTTCACTGAGAAGGACGCTGCCGAGACGATCCGTCAGGTCCTCGATGCAGTAAACTACCTCCACCAGCACAACTGCGTCCACAGAGGTACAACCCTCAATCGCTCCATACAGATGTTTGCGCTTACAACTTGAAAGATCTCAAACCCGAGAACCTGCTCTACCTTACACGCGAACCCAACTCTTCCCTTGTCCTGGCTGATTTCGGTATCGCCAAGATGCTCGACTCGAAGCACGAGGTGCTAACTACCATGGCTGGCTCCTTTGGATATGCGGCACCTGAAGTTATGCTGAAGAAGGGACATGGCAAGCCTGTCGATATGTGGTCCATGGGAGTCATCACCTACACACTGCTTTGCGGTTACTCTCCATTCAGGTCCGAGAACCTCGCAGACCTGATCGAGGAGTGCAAGAACGGCCGTGTCATCTTCCACGAGCGCTACTGGAAGGAAGTCAGCAAAGACGCAAAGGACTTCATTACACAGTTGCTGCAGCCCGACCAGAACAAGAGGCCAACTAGCGAGGTAAGCAAGGTTCAAAGTCTGCAATGCGTAAGGCTAACATTAGTAGGCTGCGCTCAAGCACGTATGGCTCAGCGGCAAGACTGCTAGCGACCACAACTTGCTGCCCGAGATTCGTGCATACGTTGCGAAGGCTCGTCTCAAGCGCGGTATCGAGCTCGTTAAGCTTGCGAATCGTATCGAGGCTCTGAAGATGCAGGAGGATGAGGAAGAGGGAGTGCCTGGCGAGGCAGACGTGCCTGCTAACGCACTGGAGACTGCCGGTGAGGCAATCGCAAACCACACAACCAGCAAGTCCTTAAAGACAACAGACAATCCGACTGGCACTGGCGCTAGCACCACCGGTAAAGGACCTGGTCGTCTGAGCAGGATTGCGAAGGGCGCCATCTTCCGCGAAGTTGTGCTTGCCAAGGTGCGCGAGATGAAGGAGCAAGAAGCGCAAAAGGAATTTGAAAAGACAGCGACCGAGGCAGCTTCATCCAAGAAGAGCTGAGCGATGCACACGGGCGTCTTATGCACCTTTCACTTTCGGTTCGACAAACATGATTGGGTTTGCTGCGGTTCTTAGCGGAGGTTCTCATTGCTGTTCAAATACCCTGAGGCAGTGCCAGGGCCTGGTTTCTAGACACCACAATGCCATTATGAGCGACTCCTACATGATCAAGCAAGCCTCCAAGATCGCAATATAGTAGAAAGTGTCACCGTGCAAACTGCATTTTTGGTGGTGAATGCTTCGGCGTTGCACGTGATTAGTCATTAGTTAGCTCACGAATCCCGGCCGCAACACCATACCGCGTCGCAGTAGTCGCGAACTGAGGCCAGCTCCAGCAACGCAGTGCACGGCACCACGACCCTAGAATTCCTTCAAGAGCCCTGAGAACTATTTCGATAAACGACGCGACCACGAAAACGCGAAAATGGAGAGTGCGTCAAAGCGCAAGGCGGGCAACGCTGCGCTGAGTCCTGGCGAGGGTCGGCCTGCAAAGCGACAGAAAGCGCCGGTACGTGCACGTCCCAATGGTGCGCAATGGTGATGGCTGCATCGCTGGCGATATGTGCAGAGGTGCACGCTGTGTTTGGCGCGTTGCGGGATGCGCACTTGAACATGGGCGCGACACTCCCTCTAGATCGACCTACGGGCAGCACTTCGCACCACCGAGCGGCCGCCGCGCGAACACCAGACACCGCCGCGATGCAGCCGAAGATGGAGGACATGGCATACACAAATAAAGTGGAACACCCTGCTGACAATGCCATCCGTGCATGCAGAGCTCCGGCGGAGAGACAGTCGAGTCGACAACGGACATGGGCTTGAAGTTCCTCGACAGCTTGAAGCAGGCCAAAGACAAGACGTACGTGCACCAGGGAGCATACGTTGTAAGGGAAGGTGGGACTAACACTTGGTAGTGGACGACCAATTGCAGTGCATTTCATGACACTCCCAGACAAGGTGAGTGTCTCCACAAGCTTCCCTCCCTACGTTGGAACGCCCCGCTGACTATGTGTGTATAGGATGAGCTGCCAGACTACTTCGAATTCACAAAACTACCACTTGCCTTAGACACCATCGAGGTATGTCCACAAGCTCTCATACTGTTGGAAGACCTACGGGCACACTCACTGCACGACTCACCTGCACAGCTATCTTGCACGCCCACAAGCACCAATCGAACAGTCGCAGTAGCAGTCACAGCATCACCGCCTGCAATGTCCTAAAATATCATACTGATTTCGGGTGACAGGACAAACTCATCAACGGTGAATACACATCCCTCGCCCAAGTCGAGAGCGACTGTAAACGGCTCGTCAACAACGCAAAGGCATACAATGACAAGAAGTCTATCATCTACGAGGATGCTGAGCGACTACGCAAGACGGCCTCCAACTGGATGGTCAAGCACAACCCTGCCTACCGAGATAGCAACTACGTTGCAGTCGCTACACCTATACCAGGCGAGGAGAATGTGCCGCCCGGAAAGCCGATTCCACGCATTGCATCTACTCCGCGAGCTGCCGCTACGCCCACGCCTGTGTCTACAGTGTCTACAGTGGCCACAGAACGCACTCGACGCGCCGCAGTGATTGCACAGCCAGAGACTCCTGCACCATCGAAGCTGAGGCAGTCAGCGTCCGCTGCACCAGAGCCAAGGTCGACAGGCACTCGAGGAGCTCCCAACCCATCATTCCAACATGCACAAGAACAGATTATCCAAGAAATTATCGACCACACAGATCCAGGGTAAGGCACGCCCTGCTTAATGCGGACCCCATACTAACATGCTCTCAGCGGCGACTTGGCCATTTTCCAACCCTTCGTCAACCTTCCTACTCGTGCCCTGAAGGACTACTACCAACTAATCAAAGATCCCATGTCGCTAGCAGCTATCAAGAAGAAGGTGCAGGGCGTAGTCGGGCGCGACGCACCTACCGGACACACTCTCTTCAAGAGCTGGGATGCTTTTGAGAATGCAATGAGCCTTGTGTGGAAGAACGCACGCATCTACAATGAAGATGGGAGTGAGCTGTACAACCTCTCGCTCGAGCTCGAGGTATGGAGATAGGAAGTTTGCGCAGACTCCATGACTAACATGATCAGGAAATCTTCAACGAGAAGCTCAATGTCATGAAAGCTAAAGTTGATGAGCCGCCGCAGCCCAAACTCAAGCTCAACATGTCTGGTGCAGCACCGACACCGGCGCCCAAACAGCAGCTGAAGCTGAAGCTCAGACAAAGCCCAGTCTCAGGATCAGCCACACCAGGTACACGCGACACGGCCACACCTGGTGTCATTGTCGACAGCGAAGCACTTCAACGCCAACAACGGCACGTCAACGACAGCATGGGTCGGCGACGGTCACGCCCTGGAGACAAGGCCGCCACGCCAGTAGCCTCGAACCCGTTCTCCGGGACGAGAGGGTCTTCTGCTACATTTGCTCCTAACCCCGCTGCGCAGACGAGAACCGCTGGATCACCAACAGCGGATGGTGTCAAGCAGGATGTACAATCGCCGGCACTGAGCGCGATCAGGCCTGGCAGTAACGCACCAGACTCACAACGATTGAGCGTACCTGCTCAGACATCACTTCCAGTCATGGCACCACCGCAATCGATATCACGTCCTCCAAGTGGCAGTCCACATCCTAACGGTCTCTACAGCCAGCAAAATGGTTTGCCCACTCCTGGCTTCCAACCACCAACATTCTACGTCCCACCGTCCATCCCACGCACCGACGTCTTCCGCAAGACGCCACTCAAGAGTAAGTTACCATCCGAAATCTGCCTAGCTACCCACTGACATGCCACAGAACTCAGCGAAGCCCTTATCCCCAGCCTAAGTCTCAACACACACCCCGTCCTCAACCTCCCTCACCAATGGACAATGACCATCCACGCGAGCAAGACCAAAACACACCACAGCGCCACCATCAGCCTCTCACCCACGCACTCCTACCTACAAATCACCCCCAAAGTACCTATCGCCCTGACGAGTCGCCTTTATCGTCTCTTCGTCTCGGTCAACGGCAACAAGACCTTCGAAGTCAATCGCGTGCCCGTCACTGCAGGCATCAACGGCGGCGCTGAAGGCACAGGATTTGAGGGTGGAAAGAAGAAAGGGGAGCCGGTGTTTGAGGCGAAATTAGTGGGAGGGGTGAATCGAATCGAGGTGGAGATCGTTGCCGAGAAAGTATCGAAGGATGGGGAAACAGTGAGTGGCAAGGATGCGGTGGAGATTGAGAAATGTACGGTCTTCCTGCATTTGGCGAGGCAGGGGTAGTAGGAGTCTCATCAGGAAACGGTTCTTGAAAGGTGGGGAGACTTGATCTATCTGAGTCGCCTCCCTGTTTGTGTACTGTTTCCTGAGGTGTTTGGGCGCTTTGAGGATTGCTGAGCATATGTTACGCCCCAGGTACGTGGATTTGGGAGGTTATGATTGTCTGTTCTTGCGTTTCCTTCTGCTCTCGAAGACAGTACTTTAGAGTGTCTCGATCATATCAGCATTATGCGGCTTCTCGGCTTGTATAGTACGTAGCTGGACTCAAAAATCGCATGTCTATTGCATCTCAGCCGATCCGGGCACTCTAACTTTGCCGTAAAGACGGCGACTCTAGCTCACTTTGCTCGATCAATCTTACAAGCCTCCTACATCACTGCTCTCAGCCCTCGGGACATTGCTCTGAAGCCCGCCGGCGCCCAAACACCGAACGTGTAACAACAATCATCCGATTCCTCCTTGCCCTGACAAAGGATGCAACCAGAATGATTTCCACGCTAGTCGGTGCCTCGCTCTTCGCGTTCGCCGCGGGTAAGGCCGACGATCGACAATCTCACTGCATCTGTGTATGCACCAACGGAACTCCACATCTTAGCCCGGTTGCCTTACATAAATCATCAAAGTACAAAAGCATCCTAGTAGTACCCAAGTGCAACAATCTACATCACTCACAAGCTCACACTCAACCTCTTCACATCCCTATCTAAGTTCGAATCATCAACACCACACGCGCAATGGGCGAAAGTATCCTAACCTCCAGCAACAATGTCCCAGCCAAGCGACCAGGCGTCATGATTGTAAGACCGAGTCTTCACGAGCACACCAAAGAGAACGCAGCAACTTTCAAGCGATGGACTGTCATGCACTTCCGCGACCTGTTGAATCTCAAACCACCCTCTGATAACACGGAAGGCATCAGCCGGACTCTCCGCTACATCAACACCAACGGTGAGCTGTTCTACACCATCCATTCGGATGATATATCCATTTGGAAGACGAATGCGTACTATGCAATTAGCCGACGTCTGGATCTCGAAAACACACGACCTGTCGAGAATGGGGAGAAGGTGGTACTACCAGTCCCCCATGGTTTCGGTGATGAGCCGATGGTATGGCACCTCGTCAACGCCTCGTTCGGCATTTTCGCAGAACACAGTGCTTCTCAGCCCGCGTGGGAGGGCGAGTATAACTCCCTTCCCTTGTTCTTGCTGTCGGCTGCGGGAGGGAAAGCTGATGGGCCGCATTGTTTGCTGGTTACGCTCACGTATACTGGTATCCAGGAAGACACAGGGATTGAGCCACCGAAACAACTCACAGATCTCCGCGCCGAAGCTGTGAACAACTTGGCCAGCGATTACGCAGATGGTGGAAAGGTGTATACCAGCATCTACCACCATGTACCTGGTGCTCAGCCGGACATGCATCCCACGATTGCCGAGGGCACGGACGGGAATGGGAGTTGGGTTGTCTGTGTGCTGGTTGAGGGGGAAGTAAGTCGGGCTATGCAGACTCATTTGAAAGTCAGCTTGGATGATTCAGTGGATGAGATGAGGCGGCGCGAGGGGGAGACGACGGAGAGAAGGCTGGACTGGGGGGTCAGGGTTGGTGTTTGGGAGGGGGAGGTATTTATGACGTAACTATGCTGGTATGTTGGGACGTCAACAGTATCCAAATAGTTTCCAGCGTCCGCCGAGGTATTGGGCGTGAGATATGGGTGAAGACTTCCGTTGTGTCGCAACAGGATTTTTGCCTCTGCATTGCGCTCTTGCAGTGTTACCCTTTAGTCACTCTTACTGTAATCGTGGCTATTTTTGTTGTTGTTGTTGTTGTTGTTGTCGCTTCTCAGTTGTCTGTTGTTTTCTTTCCTTTTATGAAAGTGAGTGCTCTTTTGTCGCGGCCCCGCAGCGATACAAAAAGGCCGACCTTTCTGACCCTCGGGTCCTAAAGGTTATATACACCGCAACATCTTTCCTTGTCTACACCGTAATTATCAGCAATGGTGCTTTCCGAACTACAAGCGGGTTACAGTTCGCCAACTAGCGCTCGGGACAGCCTGATATTGGTCCCCATGTTGTGCCTGCAGTGCAACAATCGGAATCTCGAAGCAGGGATGCCTGCATATACAATGCACCCCGGAACTCCTCTCTTGGCCCGCTGCGCACTTTCATCCTACAAAGACGAGTTGGCACGCTGTATTTTGATCGACTTCGTTGTTGAAGTTCAGAGTGACTGAAACCTTCCTCAGTCAAGCGCTCTGACAACATGGGCGACACGCACGAGACTCCCACTGAACGACGCCCAGGTATCGCCATCGTGCGACCGAAACTTCATGAAGACACACAGGCGAACCGAGATCTGTTTAAGAGGTGGACGAAACTGCACATGCGAGACACACTCTCGCTCCCAAAAGACAAGGACCTGGGTGGCGCATCAAGAGTATCGAGATACACTCGCGTGAGTGCTGATGGTGGAGAGGATTACTTCTACACCATCGTCCTCGATGATGTCAGGCTTCCTAGAACAAAAACTTTCCAGGAGATACCCCAACGTCTGGACCTGGAGAATACAAGGGTATTGGGAGAGGGTGAGGAAGCTGTGCTTCTCCCGGGAGATCCAAGGATTGGGACGGAGCCGATGGTGTTTAGCATTGTTGCGCCTGTAGTCGGCATCTTCGAAGCAGTCGTTGACAGTAAGCTGCACACGTTGATCTCCACGATCGTCTTGAATACTGACAGTTTGTCTTATAGCGGACACCATCCAAGCCGTCCACAAATCACATCAAGACCTTCCTGCTGAAGTCGCATCAGAGACGAACGCACCAAACTACACGCTTGTTACCTTGACAATATCACACACCACCCCTTATCCCACGCCCTTTCAACACGTTCAAAGACTTCGGTCCTCTCTAGCCAACCTCCTTGGTATCGTCACCAACCAATTAGTCTATGCGACCGTGTACCGCCATGCTGCAGATGCGGAGCCTGAGGTTTTTTCAAAAATAGCGCAAGGTCAGGATGGCAACGGAGATTGGGTTGTATGCGTGTTGGTTGGAGGGGATGCGGATAGACAGTTGGTGGATGCTGGGTATGAAGGAGTGGAAGGCCAAATCGAGGAGTGGAGGAAGAGGCTCGAGATTGAGGGCAGTTTGCAGAATTTGGATATTAAGATTGGAGTGTGGAAGGGCGATGTGTTGATGTGTTGATTATTTGAATTGTCTGAAAAAAGTACAGAATTTCTCAACACGAAGGCGCATGTCGACCTTTTTCCCACTGGTCACCGATCTGAATCCACCTAATGCACCACCACCTGATGGCTCCTGCTTCTTCTTCTTCTTCTTCTTCTTCTTCTTCTTCTTCTTCTTCTTCTTCTTCTTCTTCTTCTTCTTCTTCTTCTTCTTCTTCTTCTTTTGCTGTCGCATTTGCTTTTACTGCTGATGCTTCCACTGATCCTCCCATTAACGCTGCTTTTGCACATCTACAGGCGGCCTAAACGGAAGCTATTCACGATGTACGCTATTTCTGCCACCATCACGTTCGGCGATCATGGATGATGCACTTTCGTTGTTTGGTGGCGCGTTGAGCTGGAGTCTTGATGCTTTGACTTGCTCTTGGGAAAAGAGACGGGCGCTATCTGTTACGCTCTTGTTAGTTCCTGAAGGTTCCTTGCTGAAAAGTTTTCTGAGGATTTCCTCGACTTCCTCAGGCCGCGTTTCAGGCGGTTTGAGGGTTTGTCTTTGGCTGGTATGGGAAGCGTTGCTTGGGTACGGCTGCAGGTACGCAACGTTCAGAGTGTGTACAATGTTTTGTACCTGCAGCATTTGCTCATCATCTCACATGATGGACATCAGGTGACGTCAATGCGATGGATGGAGAGCATGCCGCAACACGTGATGCATGCAACTATTGTTGGCCATTATTGAACAGACAAGGCTATACATAGGCGTACATGAGTAGAATTAAACCGTGTGCGAAGCAGATATGTCCTGCGGGCAATCCATTCAAAGTTGCCACCACCGAGGATGTCCATTGCCTGATGATGCGCGTTCCAGACTAGGGTGGAGGGCAGCAGCTGACACTGCAGAGTTCTGATGTGCAGACGGCAGTGAGTGACAGGCGTCACGGCATATCACAACCATTATTGTGGACGAGATCCGAGAAGCTCCATGCATGATATCAACTCGCTGAATATCCAGCCAGTCGGTAGTTGTCCAATACAGGTACTATTTCTGGTTCGCGGTTCAGCTCTTGGCATTGATGAATCTCTTCTGGTGATCATAGCCTGCTGCAAGGACCCACCGAAGACAGAATGTAGCGCGCAGCAGATACTCGGTAGGAAAAGACCAGACGACAATATTTGGGTCCTCAAGTGTTGGCTCGACCACGGTCGGACTGACATCCAGCTGTTCTTTCCACGCAACACTACCGAATGGTCAAACGGAAATCCCGATCCAGATAGCAGACATTATGGGACCTAGCAGGCGTTGGTGGCCGTCAACGTGGTCATGGTTATATCCTCACGATACACTAGGCAGACATGTGGGTCGCAAGGCGGACGCGGTGTAAGGAACCTTGCATCTTTGGTACCCATGCGAGAGTCGTCCTGGTCATCGGACACGACAGTAGTAAGAAGGGTTGGTAGTCTTCGCTGGCTGGAGCTGCTCGTATTCGTAGGGCTTACTGAGGGCCAAGCATCAGCAGTCGGAAAGTAGCCTTGGCAACTGCAAGCCATATATTGAAAAGAGGCGAGCTAGTGGTTCCAAGCGAGTGTAGTAGGAAAAGCAATCCCATGAACTGTGTTGTGAATGCTAGATTTCGTTATGGCGGTGGATATGGGTGTGCAAGAGAAGTGAGTACTGAGGGTAAATCTTCGACACGTCAACAACACAATGTTGTCGGCACATTGAAGGCTTCCCGTGTGAAGCGAAATTGCATGTATGCATGCCACCTTGGAAGTAGTCTTCCGTCTAGCGTTCGGAACTTAACCAGATCGACAGCCGCAACCCGCCTTGCCCTTGGTCTTGCATGCGGCATTGCCGATGCCAGCTGAGGTCAAGGATCATCAGTCTTGTGGGAGCATTCAAAGCAGCAATTTTTGCGCGGAGCGGACAAGTTGAAGGTCAGGCCAAGGCATCCAGCACCGGCAGCTTGGCCAAGCAAGCTTAAAGGGTCTCATGCACGCCTTCTCATGCTTGATGCGCATGGAGCCCTGTCAAGGCGGGGAAAGCATGTCAGTTGTCAGAGCCATGTCAGAAGCGGCCGTACCTTGAAGTTGAACTGCCGGTTGCCCTGCGTCTGCAAATCTGTCGTTGCACAGCAGTGTGTCTAGAGATGATCCCAGAATTTGCGAACGATGCCTTGCCACGGAGCGCAGCAGGATGTCGTAAAATGGCGATCTGAGGCTGTAGAGAAGTCCTGACTAAAGCCTCGCGAATCTGATCCAAGTCGATCGCTTAAAGCAGGAGATCACGTGTGTTGAGAGCTTTTGGTCTAGCGTCCGCGGTCTCGACCTCCATCCTTCCTCTTCCTCACGAAAAGACCCTCTTATCGACAGACCCCATCTCTGGGCATAGGCGTGACCCCGCATAATGGTTGACAGCTGCATTGGCTTCTCGCTCGAAGCCGCGAGCTATTTTGGTTCCTCAAGGCACAAGGCAGCCTCTAGACCCCTGACCGGCCCTCGCCTGCCACGATGGCACTCTTCTATGGTAGAGCCTTATCCGGTCGCTGCAAAGTCTGGCTTTAAGGCTAGGTTAGACCTCGAACGCAAGTGAATAGCGCTGGGGTTATCGCATGTGCCGTGCGCTACACTGGCATCCCCAAGCAATGTTCAGCTGTGGCTGATTAGCCCCTGGTCGCAACGTCGAAAAGGACAAGCCTTGCCGTGTTTTTTTGGTACATCTCTTCGTCTGACATTGCCCTTTTGACCCCTGTCTTTCATTTTTCTTACATGTCCAGAATAGTATTCTGTTGTTCGCTTGTTCTGTATTTCGCGCGCATAGTCCAGCAGACAAAGAGCAGGGACAAGTCAGAACAACCAGGTCCTTGGCAACAGCAGACCCCGATAGACTTTCTCTATTCGCAAGTAGCATCGAACTCTATCGGCGACTTGTTGGTCTCTACAGTCTTCGACTCAGCGCAACAAGCCTCGTGGGCTCTATTCTTATTACTGTTGACATTCTCGTATAGCATACAAGCCTTACGCGGGGTCCTTGTGCGGCCTGACGTTCACCTCTCAAGCATGTCCAAGACATGGCTGGACATGGCGTTCATCTTCTGGGCCTACACGAGGTACGGCTGTGCGCGTATCGTAGCCTAGACAGGTAGTCTAGCGAATGTGGCTGCCATACTTGTCGATATCGTACAGAGAATTTGCTATGGACGCCGACATGAGGTTTTCGCGAGTATCGTGCCATGGAAGATCTGGATGGTCAGGTCGACTGGATTGCTCAAGATCGTCCAATACCATGCAGTGGAACGGCTTGAGTATTCGTGTTGCGGAAGCTCGATGGATATATAAGTCCATCATGAGTTGCCCTACTCGTATCCTCACCAGTTCAAACATTCTCATACTTGCTCATTAGCATCGAGAACAACTCTTCCTGGCTCATCATTCGCATTCGCTATCCACTATGCGGCAATCACTCTTCTTAGGCGTTACTGCCCTCCTCACTTCACAAGCTTTAGCTGGCGACAACAAGTGGCTCAGCCCCGAGTACAAGCAAATCTTCCAATCCCCTCTCCCCTCTCCGATTGATAAGGTACCTCGTTACACCTACACCAATGCAACCACTGGGAACTCCATCGACTACTATGAGATCGATGTCAAGCCATTCACACAACAGGTCTACCCTGGGTTGAAGCCTGCCAACCTTGTTGGTTACGATGGCATGTCTCCTGGCCCTACTTTCCGCATGGAAAAGGGACGAGAAGCAGTCGTACGATTCAAGAACCATGGCGACAAGGATCTCTCGGTTCATCTTCACGGCTCTTACAGTCGAGCACCCTTTGATGGTTGGGCTGAGGACGTAACTAAGCCTAATCAGTACAAAGACTACTGTAAGTACATGCACGCTTAGTATACACTTCGCCACTAACCTCGCTTAGATTACCCCAACCACCAGAGCGCTCGCACTCTGTGGTACCATGATCATGCTGTTCACCACACTGCTGAGAACGCTTACTTTGGCCAAGCTGGCTTCTACATCCTGCATGACCCTGCTGAGGATGCACTGGGTCTGCCTTCTGGTCCTAAGTACGATCTGCCTCTAGCACTGTCCTCCAAGCAGTACAATAGTGATGGAACTCTCTTCGATCCCAAGGACGAGACCACCTCGCTCTGGGGTGATGTCATTCACGTCAACGGACAGCCATGGCCCTACCACAAGGTCGAGCCTCGCAAGTACCGTCTCCGATTCCTTGATGCCTCCATCAGCCGAGCCTTCAAGCTCACATTCGAGGCTGATGGCAAGGCCATTCCCTTCCATGTGATTGGTGCCGACACTGGTCTCTTGACCAAGCCCGTACAGACCAGCAACCTTGAGATCTCTATGGCCGAACGCTGGGAGGTTGTCTTTGACTTCAGCCAATACGCTGGCAAGAACGTCACTCTCAAGAATGGCCGTGATGTCCAGCACGATGAGGACTACGCAGCCACCGACAAGGTCATGCAATTCATCGTTGGCAAGGACGTCTCGAGCCAAGCCGGTAACGGCAACCTTCCTTCCACTCTTCGCACTGTTCCCTTCCCACCAAAGAAGAGCGGAATCGACAGGAGCTTCAAATTCGGCAGGACCGGTGGCCAGTGGACTGTCAACGGCCTCACTTTCTCTGATGTCAACAACCGCATCCTGGCTAAGCCTCAGCGTGGTGCCATCGAGGTTTGGGAGCTCGAGAACTCCAGTGGCGGCTGGTCGCACCCAGTTCATATCCACCTTGTCGATTTCCAGATTCTGTCTCGCTCCGGTGGCAAGCGCCCTGTCCTTGATTACGAGAAGGAAGCACTCAAGGACGTCGTCCTTCTTGGCGAGAACGAGAAAGTCACAGTCATTGCACGCTATGCTCCTTACGACGGTGTCTACATGTTCCACTGTCACAACCTCATCCACGAGGACCACGACATGATGGCTGCCTTCAATGTCTCTAGTCTTGGCGACTGGGGCTACCCCGAGACTACCACGTTCATCGATCCAATGGAGGAGAAGTACCGCAGCAAGGCCATCAGCTCGAACGATGACCAGCAGTCTTTCATCATGGACAAGATGTCCAAGTTCGAGGCTATGGAGGCTTACAGCAACGTTGAGAAGCTCGAGAAGGCTCTTGAGGACTACCAGCTCAACGGTCCCCCCAAGACCACCCTTTCTACTATCACTGTCAAGTCATCAACCTCATCAGCTGGCGGCTCATCGACACCAGCGGGTTCGGTAACAACGATGCCTCCGGCTTCGACAATCACGTCAGCGGCGAGGGTGACGAGCACGAGCACCAAGAAGAATGATGACAGCAAGAAAGCGACGACCACAACCAAGAAGAACAAATAAACTGGAAAAGCGGACGAACTGTATATATCAAAAGACCCTTGTACATATTGAAATGTTTTCATGAGTTTATGAGTAAACGAATCTTGTTACATTTCAAATAACTATTTGCAGCTTCTGCACACAAATACATGATGGCTTCCCTCAGCGTAGGTCCCTTTACTGACACTCCACTTTTCCAATATGCATACTGGATGTAAAGGATACCCATCCATTGAACTGTTCATTAGCATCCAGAGAGATCGAGCAATGTGCTAGCTGAACCCCTTGGCCCTGGCATCCCATCCAAGTGGGACTTGGTGCGCGCAAGTAAGGGACCAACATCGTGGCAAGCATTTTCAACGTGCTTCACCACCCGATCGGATCAGGTACGGGTCTCTCCTCCACATCTGGTCGGTCCATCCTCGCATTCTCTTTTCGCTTCACAATCCGGATTGACAGCCCTACCCAGCCGCCCTCGCTACTACTCCTTCACCACCCTCAGCTCAGCCACATCCCTGCCAAGAGCCACCTATACGGCAAACACAAGCGAGTCGATAGCCTTTTTTGGACCCTACTCGTCGCACGTTTCTCCCCAACCATTGGAGTAGCGTGCGGGTAAGATCAATGTCGGGACCTTGGAATGGCAAGGCTGGTTTGTGACGGTTTATGGAGTATGGAGGTCATGTGTGCCACGTGTGTTGGTGCTCTTGCTCTTGCTCTTTCCAACAAGCACCTCCTGCTCTTGACTGCAAGAGATACATACGTCATGTGAACAGACCCCGCTGGGGGTCGAGTGAGAGAGACAGAACACTGAACAACAGAACAACAGAATATACTGATTTTACTGCTTCGCGCGGTTACCCCTGGCTTACTGCCCTGCGCGGTTACACCTTCACTTATTGCATTTACTGCAACATGGTTGCTCGGGTCTGCCGATCAACGGGTGGTTGCCGACAATCTAGAATTTGGGTGCCCAGGATTGTGGTTCGCTGGGACTATGGTAAGAGGATTCAAGCTTTGGTGAGCCTTTGGATGTTCTTTGTCCGAAAGGCGGGTCCGGCGGGTAGCGGTTAGGGGAGAACAAAGAAACGGAGACCGAAATCGCAGCGTTGGAGGCAAAAACTTCAGAATGTTCAGGGCAGCATCGTGAAGGGTTTCGAAATTTCGAATGAGACCTGCAGATACTTAAAACAAGATGTATGTCCGCGCCAACACAATCTCAACGCCCTTATTTTCGTCTTGCACATGAGACCTCAGAGTCTTCTCGAATGCGTCCGTCCAAGACGCGGCAATCCTTCTCTTGGGTTTTCCAGTACAGTTGACTACCTGCGCAATGATATGTATGCGCCAGAGTGAACCAAGCTGAGCGAAGCCCATGTTTGCGCAAAGATCGCCCCGTCATGGAAGCCATCTTCGGTGCATTCGAAATCGCAGACAATCTGGACGTTGGAGATGGCGGCACATTGAAAGGGTTCCATAGTCAATAGCCATCGATGTAGACTGACGCAGTTAAGAGCTGAGAAGAGACCTAAGCCAAACGGCAAATGCTGCGTCTCGGCGTATATTTGGCGGCAAGTTTAGAGCAGCGCAAGAGCATTGCGATGTTTACTCTAGTTTGAGGTCCTCTAGTTGCGGGCGTCATATCTGATCTTCTAGGTTTGACCTCTGAGAGCGTAGGCGAAGATCTGGTTGCGCAGTTCAGGCGGTAGATGTAATAAAGGCGAGTTCTGTTGATTTCGCGTTGCGCTGCAGATCGTCAGTGCTGTTGCCTTTTCTTGATTAGAATTGAACTTGCATCTTGGATGATTTCCTGCTCGTAGCTTTGACCTTGGGCTTTGTTTTAGATCACTTTTCATTCTTACCGCCATCCTGTAGTTTCTTCAGCCGGCGTGCATTGATGGTCCGCGTCACTATCCAGACTATGTTCTGCAGAGTGGCATTCTCAACTGAACTTTGCATGCTTGATAGAGGTCCAGAGGATAAGGTAGAAATTATAGGTCGTATCAGGGTAAGTGCAATTTGAGAGGTCTGAGAAACAAGTTGTGTTAGGATGAAGAAAGTGCTGATGCACCAATGCAAAGAAAACCCAGTAAAGAAATTTAGCAAAGCGATTTCGATGTATGGCAGCGATGGTCCAAGAGGACTTCATATTAAGAAAGAGTGATGCGTGCCGCTTGAGGGAAAGAGGATTTGAGGCCGAAGACTGCGACATTTGTTACTGCGAAGCATAACAATTGAACTTCATGGCGCCCTAGTCGCCCTGCAAGATCTTCCACCACCTTTAACCTCGAGCTGGAGGACTCTGTTCGCTCCGGTGGACTCGTCGTTCAACATAGTTGAAAGGATGCCAGCTTTTGCCGTGTACGACAGGCGGGAGTTGAGGAAACAGACAATCAGCTGTTAGTCGTGGTCCCGTGTACTTCGCTTTTATGCAGAGATCAGCGGCATCGCTCTGGAATACACACTGATGCCGAATTCGGGACCGGGATTGTGACGTCGGATGTCTAGCTGCGGAAGATTCTGAATTCGATAACGATTATAATCCCCAACTTGTCACGCCTCAAGAAGGATTCCAAGTCACGTACGTCCTGGAGATGAGTGGAATGCTATCAACTACTGCTGGGAAGCCACTGTCATCTCTATTTGAGACCTGATGGTTGAGGACTTCGATCCTATCGAGTGCCGGAAAGATCCTTCTGAGAACCAGTTTGCTGTTTGTGGACCAATAGCCTTGGATCCACCAGCAGCCTTTCAAATTTGTAGTCGTCAAAGAAAGCTGCCTGATCGGCTTGCGGTGGTAGAGCCTCGAGGGCTTTGGCTGCTTATTTGAGGACCCAAACATTAGCACAGGCGAACGTGCCAAGTTGATAAGGGTGGAGGGAATTTTCGGAGTAGATCTGACTAAACGTGCGAAGAAGAGCCACGCCGCTACTAAGCTCCACATATAAGAGCGTGAATTTAGAGCTTAACAGCTTATAGTTCAAAGGCTAGAAGACGCATTTTTCCGTGGACACTTTACCTCCGAGCGCGTACTTCCATATACGATCGTGTATCTCGGCAGGTAGTCGTAGTAATGGCGCCTATTGGTTCTCCTTCACCGTGCGCAAATATGTCAACGACAATGCACCAGATAGTTTCTTGCTTTTGTTATCTGGTTTTAATCACTTACAAATCCTTCTCCCCTCCTTTGGAGTAACGTTGAGGATACCAATTCCAAACTTATGGTATCCACAAGCAGGTCTCTTGATAATTCTGTTGCTTGCCTTTGTGACGTTATTACTCTGGGACTTCGCCTCCGTGGTTGGTTGTGGGCTACCATAACGTTTTGTTATTGCAGCTTGTCGTGATATGTGACTGAAGGGAAACAAGGATTCTTGTTCATTCAGGGACAGGCCAAGAGGGGTGCTCATGACTTTGTCACGCTAGTGCGAGGTAGTGAGTGAAGGCAGGTGGGGTTAGACTGCATTCAGGTTGACCACAATTCAAGATAGTCAAATGAAGTCCAACCTTACACATTAGATACGCGGCGTTGTTCGCATGGATCTGTCATAGTGCCATATTCTTCGACAACGACACCGGTGGACCACGATATCCGCGCTCGTTGCTTGGGGTACGCCTGGAGCGGATCCATACCAATGAATCATCTGGAGACACAATCAGACAAGGTCTCAATGTCATTCTTAGGAATCCCGTGCTTACTAGGAAAGACAATATGCGTAGTGGCCCATATGTTCGCCCGAGCCTTCTACTGTCAAGCTGATCGCAGTATCATTCAGGTCGGACTTAAGCGTCCCACGGATGTACTCCTGGACTTTGTCGAAGGTGGACTTGGACGAATGTCCTTCGATGGAAGGATTGAGCACTACAATCTCAAGATTTTCAGATTTGGAAGATCTTGAGTAAGCACTGCGAGACCCTTGAAACGAGCTAGGAGGTAGCCCTTATCGCTTGGAGAGATCAGTTCAAGCCGCATAGCCTTCGTGTCCTCGCGCTGGTGCGGCTTCAGTTGCTTGATAGCAGGCTTTATGCGGGCAGCTGATCGAACGCCAAAGCATTCAGCTGCAGCGGTAGTAATGCGGTCTCTGAGTAGATTTGACGACAGCTCTGAAGCAATGTAATGTTGATGTCCGGCTCGTTCGACGTGGACGTGACCTTGGAGCCATGGAATCTGCTGCCCAAGAGTGTACTGCCAGATGCGATTGCAAATCTCTAAGGGCAGGCGTAACAGCGGTAAGGTCTGGTTGCTCTTTATTCTGCACAACTTGTCAGCGAACAACACCTGCCATTGCGATCAACAGCAGTTGCTTACAGATCTATCTCTTTCCTTTTGGGGGTGGCGTTCAGTAACCTGTTCTTGTACTTGTGATAGCAACGAGCGGGTCTCTTGACAACTTTGTTGCTATCTTTTGTAATGCTACTCTTCGCTGGCTCTGCAATTGTGGTAGGTTTGCGAGGCGCCATATCGATTGGGGTGCCAGCGTGTCGTAAAGAAGTTGTAATGAGGTAATGAGGTGGAGGATCGGTATCATCGTCACTTCGAAAAGAGCCCGGGTGAGGCGCAAACAGGCTGTTACGCTAGCGCGGGGCGGTGAGGGACGAAGGTGAGGTGAGAATGCGCCGCGAAGCGGGACGCCCAATCAGGATAATGTTGTGAGCAGTGAGCTATACGCGCAGACAGTGCTTAGTAGCTAGAGCAATGTACATGAGAACAGGAAGCAACAACACGCATTGATGACGAAGACCGGAGGTAGATGTAAGGCGAAAGGAATACATTACTAGCAGTCCTTCTATCAATCGAGTATCAGAGCGGTCTAGTAACACAGGATCAGCGGTTTGCAAAGCGAATCCGCGCTTTCGCCGAAGCGTGATCTGAGCAAATCCTGGTCACATTTCGATAGGGATGCTAGTTCTCCAAAGAGGCGGCTCGGGACCTCAGGAAACCCTTCGCAGTGACCGGCATTTGAGTGTTGCAGTGCTACTAAGAGCTTACCAATAGATATCGGTCCTCATTCTGACCACCTTAGGGGCGGTCGTGCAAGGTAACATGAGCGGCCTCAGTTACGATTTGTTGATCCATTGCATGTAATGCGTGTACAACCATTGTTCCGTGGTTGTGACAGCAAAAGCAATCTGAGGCAGACGTGCGCGGAGGCTCCTCGAGAGACCAAGCTTCAGCTTTGCGAGAACCTGGCTGTGCATATCGACCCTGTAGCCGAGGACACAGAGTTCGATCCGTTTGAGAGCTGGCAGCTTGTGGACGAGCGTGGCACTCACCGCAGGGCTCCAAGCCTGCATCAAGTGATCAGGATCAAGATGCAAGACTTCGACATGGAGCGAGGTGATCTGTGTGTGCTGATAAGGCCGCAGTTGACTGACTAGTGCTGTAAAGTCTTGGGCAAGACGACGCCGTGAACGCATTGAGCTTGTATGGTAGAATGGCGGTGTCATGATAGATTTGGCGACAAGTACGCAAAAGTGCCATGGCATTGACATGATCGGACGGCTTCAGGCGTAGCTTGGAGCTATTGTGACGGGCGCGGTAGACTTATACCTTGGTGTTGCTGAGGGCGTAGGTCCAGATACGGTTGCGGATTTCTGGTGGAAGACTCAAAAGAGGGGATTTGCTGTTGCTGTCCACACCGGAAAACCTTCAACATTTGGCCGCATACAATACAAGAGAGCGGGAGCTTTCACCACGAATCAGCAACATACAGTATCTTCTCGCTCGCTCTCGGTGCGACGTGGAGCATCCTAGATCTGAACTTGCGATAGCCTCTCGCACCTCTCTTGGCAACTCGACTGTCAACGTTCGCAGTAAGCTGCAATGACTGAGCAGCGCCCGTTATGACCTTGCGCGGAGCCATGCTGCAATTGCTTAATCAGCGCGTGAACGGTTGTATGCGTTTGTGTACCGTGGAGGAAGTCGAGGTTGGGGTGGTGGTGTGCTGCCCAGGTAAAATCGGACGTACGTCTAAGCAGCATGTTAGTTCCCATCGGCACAAGAACCAAGAACCAATAGTCAAGAAAGCGAGAAGTGCAGTCAGAGAGAAGATTGTAAACTCGTCAATGAAAGTGCCTCGGCGAATCGAAGAGTCTGATCGCAGAGCAATCTAACATCCTCGACTCAAGCCCGGCTCCTTCTCCGCCTAAGGATGACGATAACAGTTTTCATCATTGCACAGCATACTTGTAATTAGGGAAAAGCACGTACATTGAAACAGCGTCGTGCGCTTTGCTACCGCAACGGTACGGTCTCGTGCTGAAAGCTCAGTAGTCCAGGTCCACGGTATCGTCCTTCTGCACATCCGGTCCCTTGGCCTGGTGCCAGGGGTCCCACTCGTCACTCTCTTCATCTTCGTCACGGCCGTTCTTTCGAGCCTGCTCGCGCTTGAGCCTCTTGTCTCTCTTCTTGGCCTTGTACTTGTCTCGGTTCCTCTTGTTCTTGGCTTTTGTCCTTGGGCTGCTTGTCTTCCATTGCTGAGACTTCAGCTTCTCGACACGGCCAGATGCGACCTTGCCTGCTTCTGTAGCCATTGTGGGAGTGGGTTGGGAAGCCGGAGAATCGACGTTGGCTAAGTCTTCAGTGACTGACTTCTCAGCTTCTCCCTCCTCAGATCCATTGCCGTTGTCTCTTTGTTGCCTTCGCTTGCGAATGATAGCCTGGATTTCGGAGTGCCTGAACATAGCGATTTGTTCGTCGGTGAGGGTGCGCGGTGTGCCATCTTCGTAGTAGCCTAGTCCACCTTCTTCCTCCTCGTAACATTCCTCAGCAAGCTCATTCTCAACACCATGAAAGATGTGCTCAGGTTCAGGCGCGTGCGGGAGATGTTTCGCATGGAAGTCGCGTAGATCATCCTACAAAATCTTAGCGTGACTTTATACGATGTACAAGTGGCCGTACCACCGTGACCGTAGGAAGTTGGAGCACCATCGTGATTGTGTGCGATAGAGAACCAGTCAGTGATGCCCTCTGTGGGGCGGCTGTCACCTTTCTGAGAACATGGTGTGGAGGTAGAAAGGTGTAAGTGTTCAAGATGCAGATCAGTCGCGCGTTCACGTGCGCTTGGCATTCCCGCGGCGATGACGTCTACCCCTCCGCACTGTACAACTATCAACACCACCTATGTAAATACCACACGATAACTATGAGACCTTTTGTATATCTTCTTGCAAGCGTCTGCCTGTTCCTCGCATGCACCGCCGAATCGCGACCGTTTAAGACCATTTTGAAGTCGTTCAACGAGCAGTCACCACTGCGAGACTACATCATGCCCTCCACGAACGAAGCGTCCACTGGGATCATCATATCAGACGTAATCGGAAAGGTGCAAGATATTGCTATCTTCAGCGGCCTCACGCGCAACATCGACGCAGTGTCTGGGCGTCTTGAAGACGCAGCACAGAACGCCACAGTGCTTGCGCCAGACAACACTGTCATGAAGAACCTGAAGAGGAAGCCTTGGGAAGATCCAGAAGATTACAATGAGTTCGGTGCGCAGGCGTACGAGGGTGTGAACGGATCGGACCGTGCACACAGCAACCTCGAGCGGTTCGTCAAGAGACACATCGTACCGGAGAGTCCGTGGGAAGAAGGAAAGAAATTGAAGACGCTTGCTGGCAATGAAGTCTGGTGGGAGTTCAAGAACGGCCAAAAAACGGTAAGTGGTTAGGGTCCTAGTGGTGGAGCCCTTCCCATGCCCAACCCACAAGATCATCTTGGAAAATACCAACATTATATTATTTCTTTGTCTCAAAACATTCATCAAGTCACACAACTGGAGAAGGGTGAGGTGGCCGAGTTGGGTAAGTTCAGCAGTTCACGTCAATACCTTCAATTCCTAACAAAATACAGTTATGGCGCCAGGTTAAGGTTCTTTCTCCTTAGCATTGCTTAGCAATAAGCTTCCTGGTCACGAAAGTGGCGCGGGTTCGAGTCCCGTCCTCATCAGCATTCGTTCGACAGTAGTTGAGCACTCCAGGATATTTCTTTTTGTCATAGTGGGTGTTGTGGGATGAAGGTCCGGAACGGCGCTATTTAGCGACGCTACGCTTTAGCCCTACCACCACGACTATTTTTTGGCTAACCCCTTTCAATCTCTGAGTCTATCCTGTGTCTTCCTTTCGATTCTGCCATTCATTGAATATCCAGCATGCGCCGCTTTTCAGTGTTGCGATATGTGCTGACGAAACTGCGCAGATCCAGCCCGGCAACATCGAAGTCACGAGCATTGCTGACAAGGTCGCCAACGGCGAGATCTGGGTTCTCGGGGGATCTTTGTCGTAGGACTCCTTGCAGTGTCCTTCATCATGGCTACGAGACGTGCCTTACCCCATGTGGCAGTTCGAAGCGTGGAGGCAGTGTTGATCATTGTAGCTCATAGACTTTGTCCTCAATATGACCAATGTCCTTCGAGACCCTAAACCTTACACTTTCAGCCTCGCATGACAAAATCTTCGGGTTGGGAAGCTGTGGGGCGGGCGCTTTCCGAATGTAAGCTATCCCATCTAGGCAGTCAGCTCTGGAGCTCTACGCCCCCACTTTACACGTATAACGTTATAAACAAGACGATGGCAACGCAATTAAGAGCATCGAGATCAGTCCGCTCCTGTTCAGCTTACCAAATACCTGCAATTCCATCATGAAGTTGGTGTCGGGCGACCTAGCCATCTGCGAAGTATGTGGCACGCAATACGATGTTCCACTCTCTTCACCACCGAAGGAGTGTCGAATCTGCCTCGTAAGTGACGTCAACTAACCACATCACCATTCATACGACATATTGAATCACTTCTGGAATCCAACGCCATTGACCTACTTAATTGACAGTAATGAACTAACACCCACAGGACCCCCGCCAATACGTTCCCGCCCACGGCCAAACCTGGACCTCCCTCAACGCCTCCCAATCCACACAAAAGAATGAATTCCAAACAGACGAACACGACTCTCGGATCCACTATATCACCACCAAACCTCTCACCCCTGCAGAGCTTCCTCCAGGCCTGAGTGACAGCACAACAACGCGCAAACAACTCGGAATAGGCGAGCGTGCCATCTTCCTGCAAACGCCCTCCGGGAACGTACTTTGGGATCTAATCGCTTTCCTCAACCAAGACACCATCGATTTCATCGAATCCAAAGGCGGTCTGAAAGCCATCATAATCTCACACCCACACTTCTACACCACGCATCTTGAGTGGGCTGCGCAGTTCAACTGCCCAGTATACGTTGCTGCCGACGACAAGGAGTGGTTGAACAGGGAGGATAAAAATGGGGTCAGGCATTTGTACAAAGGGACGAAGGAAGTAGTTCCCGGCGTGACGGTGATACAGTGCGGAGGCCATTTTGATGGGAGTTCGGTGCTGCATTGGGAGATGAAGTTGCTTATTGCGGATACGATGATGAGTGTACCTGTAAGTCTTCTTCCCTGACCACGCCCTCCTCTCCTGTCTTCGTACAAATGATTGTTGTGTTGCTGACCCCTACGCAGTCCGGCTTCTACAACGCCGCCCAATCCTCCAAAGATCCCTCAACCGCATCCTTCAGCTTCATGTGGTCCTACCCGAATATGATCCCCTTGCCACCGAGTAAGATCCATGGGATTTGGAAGGCGCTCAAGCCGTTCGACTTCGATACGACGTATGGCGGGTTTCCGGGGCAGAATGTTACGAGGATGGATTTGAAGAAACAGGTGTTGGAGAGTATGAAGATATTCCTGAAGGTCGGAGGACACGAGACTGCGAGTGTATTCGATGAGACGTACTAATCGCACCATTGAGTGCGGAGCAACGATATAGGTGTATGGGCATGATTGGCAATGTACGTGTGGTGTGTAATCGCAGTTGAAATGTGCAAAGTGCACTACTCAAAAAATATCGATGACTGCGGGTACCTAACCGAAACGCCATTCAACATGTGCACTTCACTATCGTCTCTTCTCCTTTCCCTCACTCACCACCTTCGGCCTCACATTCTGCAACCTCAACCACTCGCCATTAAACGCATTCGTCAGCCACCACGTCAGCTTATCATACACAATCCTATTCGCATTATGGAAGTAAATGCTATGATCGCTGTCCGGGAAAACGTGCACATCATAATTCTCCACGCCGGCGAGATCCAGCTTGTCGAGCAGCGTGAGGGTGTTCTGCATGTGCACGTTGTCGTCTGCGATGCCGTGCATGACCAGGAAGCGGACGTTTTTGGATAGCGAGTTGGCGTCGCTGATGGAGGTGTTGTCGTACCCGGCGGCGTTGTGCTGTGGAGTGTGCATATAGCGTTCGGTGTAGATGGAGTCTGTCTACAGTCAGTACAGGAAAGTGTGAAAGGTTGGAAGGGAAGGCAGCGTACCATAGAACCGCCAGTCTGTGACCGGCGCAACGGCCATGCCATACTTGAAAGTCTCACCCGCATCCGTCTCAAGCGTCTTCAGAGTCTGGAAGCCGCCGTACGACCAGCCCCAGATAGCCATCCGGTCTTCATCGACGTACTTCTTCTTCGCCCAGATCTTGCCCGCTGCGATCTGATCGAGCGCTTCGTAGTGACCGATGTTGCCGCGCGTAATGCAGCGGAGCTTGCGCCCGAGGAAGCCGGTGCCCCGCCCGTCGACGGTGACAACGATATATCCCAGAGAAGAGGCGATGAAGGACTGGAAGTCGACGGTGAACTTGCGGTCCACTTGCTGGCTTCCGGGTCCGGAGTACTGGTAGAACAGCACAGGGTACTTCTTCTTTTCGCTGAAGTGCGGGGGGCGACGCTCAAGCACGTTGAGCTTGAACCCATCGACCTCGATGGTTTGGTAGTTGAGGATGGGTAGCTCATGGGCTGCAGCGAAGCGCTCGAGGCTTTTGTTCTCCTCGAGCACCTGCTCGAATTTCTCAGAGTTGGAGGGCGTGGAGATGATCTTTTGCCATGGGATGCCGGGGCCCTTGTAGGTGATGAGGGCGAACGAGCCACCGGAGGAGAAGGATGCGGAGTGGTAACCTATTCCACTGTTCTCTATGACTTCTTGCTTACCAGTGCCATCAAGTTTGACGGCGTACGCATGGCGTTCGGTAGAGCCATGCTCGGTGGAGATGTAGTAGACCAGGTTCTTCTTAAGATCTATGCGCGAGGGCGCGTCGACGACTTCCCATTCACCCTGTGTGAGCAGGATGGGTTTATCACTGTCCAGGGGTGTGAAGTAGCCAATGTGGTCGTAGCCTTCATGGATGATGGTGTCAACATAGCCGTCGTGCTCGCGGCCGTTCGATGGGTCGGCGGGTACAAAGGTTGTTGTGTGGGAGACCTCCATCCAGCCGCCATCCAGCTCTGCGACGTTCTCTGTCCTAACAGTCTTACCAGTGCGCTTTTCCACATCCATGAGGACAAGCTTGAGTGTGTCACTTTCGCGATTGGTCTCTCGGACGAGGACTTGCTTGGTCGAGCCGGCCCATACGATCTCGGTGATGAGACGATTGTCGTCGGCGAAGTCGTCTTCGATGTTGATACTGAATACCTCGCTCTTCTCGACATCCCAGAATTGGAGTGATACAACTGGGTTGGGCGCGCCAGCCTTGGGATACTTGATGTCGCGGACCTCTGGGTAGCTCTCCTCGCCAGCCTTCGGTCTCTCCCCGCTGGGACGGGAGAGGAAGTACTGCACCGGATACGTGGGAACCATTGACTCGTCTGTGCGTAGGAATGCAATGTATTTGCCATCTTCCGACCACCACGTTGCGCTGTCGCCTTGGAAAACCTCTTCCTCGTAGACCCAGTCTGGTACACCGTAGAAGAGCTCAGCACCACCATCTTGCGTGATTTGGGTGACTTGCTTCGAGTTGAGCTTGCGAATGAACATGTTGTTGTTACGTGTGAAGACGACAGCGTCCGATTGCGGTGACCAGGATGCAATCTGAATCCTAGCCTGAGGATTCTCAGGATCGACAGGCTCACCGGTCTGCGTTTCGACGTCGAAGATCCAATACAGACCCGTAGAGGAATGCCTATAGTTCTTCTGGTACTCAGATTGCACCAGCACCTTCTTGAAGTCCTTACTCGGCACGACCTTACCGGGGTAGACGTACGTCTCTCCAAACTTGAAGCTGTTCTCCTTGATCAAGGTGGTATGCCCTTTGCTTCCTTTCTTGTCCTTGTTTCTGATATCCTCAATAACGAGGTAGTCCTTGCCAGCGACGCCCTTCTCCAGCAGCAGGCCGTCCTCGCCGTTTGGTCCTGAGATCCACGAAACACTCTGGGTAGTCGGGTACCACTGGCCACTCATGACTTGGTCCAAAGTGACTTTCTTCCCCGAGCCCTTCGTAGAACTCGCTAGAGGATCATGTGGTTGGGTAGACGCATGCTTATAGCTCCCACTGTATAGGAACGACACCAATGCCAGGCCCCAGCCGATAGCGCAGATTGTGGCCACAATCCACAGCATACGTCGCGCCTTCTTGTCCACCGGCTTGAGAGGCTCGAAGCGCCCATCTTCAATATCAAGCTGTTCACGCACGCGCTCTGGCACGTAGTTGTCGTCGTCTCGGTACTTCTCGTTCAGCTTGGAATGCGATGTGCCGTTCGGTGCGCCGTCGTTGATGTGTTCGAGGACTAGAGACATGGTCGATATCGAGGATCCTGAAGCTTCTGAGCCGTCTTCTGAGATTCGCGCTTTCGTCTCGTGCCCTCCCAACAGCTCCGCCTCCTCCTCGTTCGTGGCGCGCTCGCGTGGCATTGTAGCGGTGGTATGGGGTTTATACGTTTGCAACTATAACATGTTTTTGTGTCGAATGAAAAACAGCGATGACAGATTGTGGAGGCAAGGCCGCCTACGGTAGGCGCAGCTGAGGGTGAGCTGGCTGCTCTGCGGTGCGGAGACGCGGAGGTGCCTTGAGTCGCCGAAACGCTACCAAGCCACCCTTTGACACATGATTGAAGTTGACAAGACATTGGGCCAAACAAAGAATGTGACGAATGATTTTTTATTCAGACCCTTTTTTGGGGCATCTACTTGAACATTTGGTAATGGTGAGGAGCACCTGGACGTTTGCGCCACCCCGTTTGCAGTCTGGAATACGCCTTAATAAATGCGATTGGTTGTATGCATACTGGGTACGAGAAATCGTCGAAGTCACTTCAACTTTGACTTCGCGAATTGTGTTCAAAATTCCAGCAACTGATGTTTTAATGGCCCTTCGAACAGTGGGTTCGAGGTCATCAATTAGACTCTCAGACTATATGCTCAAGTTCAACGCTTCAGCGTGAGGTGATAGCTCTTCAGCTAAAAGGATTGCCACAGTCTGCTGCATTGTCGCGTCTTGGCCGTGCTCGCCAAGGATGTCGTTGTGGTAAGGCTACTGCGACAGAGGGCCAAGATAATCCTACAAGTTATTAGCAAACTGAAACCTTGCAAGCTACAGAACAGTGGGTTGCCTACTTCTTTCATCGTCCCTACAGCGTACATCTTGTCGACCTCAGAACGGATACCCTTGATCTTGATGCGGATGTTCGTGCCTTTCTCGATAACCTGGTCCGCGCCATCTGTCCACTGGGGCGGTGCTGCGTTACCCTCGAATTTGATATCAGATGGAATCATCTGCCGCTGGTCAGTGTGCGCTTTGGCAAGGCTTTTACAAAGAGGTCATACGTTGCGTCCGACGAAAGCTTGCAGGGAGCCGCAGTCCACGAAGAAGCCAGAGGGAAGGATCGAGGTCACAATACCATCCATCTAGTCATGGTCAGCCACTGCATTCATCTGCCCATGCGCACTGTCCCAACGTACCACCTCGCCCTTGTACGGCCGCCATACGATAGCCTTGTAGTGAACAGTGTACTCGGCAGAACCTGACCCAGGCATCACTTGGCCATCTGAGATGTCGAAGGAGTCCAATATGCACACAATGGTGTATTTCCCCGTGCTCGAGCCCTCCTCCTTCTGCAGAAGCTCCTTGTGAATGTGCGAACGGATGAGCGGACCGAAGTACGAGGGATGCAGCTGGATCGTCTTCTCGAGCTCCTTGAGGAAGAACATGGCTGCGCAGGCGGAGAATAGAAAGTTGCGCGGTTGTACAAGAGAGTTGGTATTGTTGGCACGTTTGCACGGTAGCAGGTGAAAGAAACGGACACGGGCGCCTTCGTATTATGCGACTCTAATATCTTCTTGTGTTCGCTGTAACGACTGTAGTGAGCGACCGGCGCGCAAGCCTCGAGTAAGAGGCGCGTACCACCTGCAAAGCTACCCTCTTCGATCCACGCTTCAGCAGTCTATGCGCAAAGTTTCGAAGGTGGTCGCGCCAGCTATCGAGGGCAATTACGAAGCGGGAGAGATCGTGGATGGCGGATTGCGGGGTATGGAGTAGACAGTGAATGCCCTGGTCGTGAAAGTCGCGACTGCCCTACGGGCCGCCGATTTGATTTTCCGGCCGGATCACATCTGCCAGCGCCTCAGCGGCCGCCCCACCCGTCCATGTCGTGGAACCAGTCACGCTGCGAACTGTCTTGCCTGTTACTGTGCGCTCGCGGTCGGAAGCGTGGGATCTCGTGAGCACGCCAGCAGAGTCTCCCGGTCGCCCATATCCACCAAGACATGGTGCTAGTTCTCCCGACACCTTGACACGCGAGAAAGTACCGCATCGGGCACCATGTCTCTGAACCTGGAGAAGCAGCTGCGCTTCGTACGTCATGCGCGAGGGACTCGAAATGGACATGAAGGCTGACCGAAGTGCAGTATGGCGCATACCACCACAATCCCGTGGGTTCAAACCCTTACAGCGGCCTTTCACATGTCAACTGACACCGCTTTTCGTCCAGGTCAATGTGGGGATACATGTTCTCTGTGTGCCTCCGATTCTGTTGACGGCATTCTTGCTCGTAAGACCTCGCGATGCACACTCTCGACGGCCTACTTATGGACTTCTAGCTCACCAACACTCCCGCCGTTCCGCTGCCCTCATGGCTGTCGATACCTAACCTTCCCCTCAACGTCGGCACATTCGGCGCGGTGCTATACTCGACCCTGTACATTCTCATGGAACCGGTCGCAGGAGCACTCCTCGCGCCCATCCTCATCGGCGCTACCGCTTACGGCAACCATCTTACGTCGACCTACGGAGCCACGGCGAACTACTGGGCAGGTGGAATCAACGTTGCATGCTGGATCGCGCAGTTCATTGGACACGGCAAGTTCGAGGGTAGGGCCCCTGCGCTGCTCGACAATTTGGTGCAGGCGCTCTTCCTGGCGCCGTTCTTCGTCTGGTTCGAGATCCTGTTCTCGCTCGGTTACCGCCCAGAGCTGAAGAGCCGCATCGATAAGGCGGTTGAGGAGGACATCCAGAAGTTCAGAAAGAGCAAGGGACAGAACGGCAAGGTTCACTGAGCCATGCGGACGACCATGGTGGCACATCACACTAGCAAAAGAAGGCTAGGGCAGATTGTTGGGAGAAGCGAAATAGAGTTGGAGGAAACGGCGGATAGGTGAAGCTGGGGCAGTTTTGGGGGGACAAGAGCAGAGAACACAGCATTGCGTGGGAGTAAGGTGTACCGGCGTCCAGGTACATGCATGTAATGGCGGCATGGAAAGCTGCTCGGTGAGCTTGTTGAGGACACAGCATATTGCAGCGATCAATCTAGCGTTCTACATTTTGCAATTGCCAGCGCGTGGGTCTGAAGCATCGTGCTAAACTGTAAAGGGAACGACTGTCAACTATGTAACAGCAGAATACCGATCCCTGGAAACAACAAGAAGTCCACGTGTCGAACCAAGCCTATTGAATGCCTCTTAGGTCGAAGAGCTGTCTACTCCGAGGTGTACCGAGCATGCAGCTTCTCAACCCTTGAATGTTGCTTGTCAGTTGTAAGAAGGGACTCACCCCTAAGATAACTTGCTAGACTGGGCAACGCAGTCATTTACTTCTATGCTCTGTCTGCGTTTAATGCGCTCACTCAATTGAGTTGTTGGAGGAACGTCCCCAGATCCCGTGTTTTTGTCGCGGTCGCTTTGGGGCTAGCGCCTTCCTGTCTAGCGTGGGTTGCGCTTTCCTCCCGGGGACCGCTCAAGTCTTTTCCTCAGAGCTCCATCTCCTACTCCATCAACCTCTCCTCTCCTCCCTTCCTGCATCAATCTCAATTGGTTGCAGAGCAATCCCAATAGACTCTTGAGCACCGCAGTCATGTTCTCAAGGGCCATCCGCCAGTCCAGCCGCCGGGTCGCCGCAATCTCTGCCTCGAGCAGGATTGCTTCGGTAAGTCCATCGCAACTGCCAGCCATTGCGCCTGCCGCCACCTCCGCCATCGCCTGTAGCTCGAAGAATCGATTATCGATGCCATTGGCGCTGCATTGAAGCTCCATTGATGATGGATTCGGGGCTGCAGCGCGCTGTGTTGAGATGGCGATGGGAGCTCCCCTCTGCCGAGCCAAGCCTAGCAGCCAGGACCAGTACTGACGACTTTTCCCACCACAGGCTCGCGCCCCTGCGTTCACCGCCGCCCGCGCCTACGCTTCCGATGCGAAGGCCACCCCCACCGAGGTCTCCTCCATCCTGGAGCAGCGCATCCGCGGCGTCCAGGAGGAGAACTCCCTCGCCGAGACCGGTCGTGTCCTCTCCGTCGGGTACGCCGCATCACATCACTGCGCCATCGCAGCCATCGAAAGACGCAGTCCGCTGACGAGGAGACAACAGTGACGGTATCGCCCGTGTCCACGGCATGAACAATGTCCAGGCTGAGGAGCTCGTCGAGTACGCCAAGGCCCCATTCTCAGCGCAGGCCAGCAGCGAAGCTAACGGGATTCCAGGTTCGCCTCCGGTGTCAAGGGCATGTGCATGAACCTCGAGGCCGGCCAGGTCGGTGTCGTGCTTTTCGGTTCTGATCGTCTTGTCAAGGAGGGTGAGAGTGTCAAGCGTACCGGAGAGATTGTGAGTTGCAGCGAGGCCAGTGGCTCGAGTGCTTTCCGAGCTAACGTATCCAGGTCGATGTCCCTGTCGGCGAGGCTCTTCTCGGCCGTGTTGTCGATGCTCTCGGTAACCCCATCGATGGCAAGGGTCCCCTCAAGACCACCGAGCGCCGCCGTGCCCAGCTCAAGGCTCCCGGTATTCTGCCCCGTCAGTCCGTCCGTGAGGCCGTCCAGACTGGTCTCAAGTCCGTCGACGCCATGGTTCCCATCGGCCGTGGTCAGCGTGAGTTGATCATCGGTGACCGTCAGACCGGAAAGACTGCCGTCGCTCTCGACGCCATGCTTAACCAGGGTGAGTGCAACTGGAACTCTTTGCGTATGCGACATGAACTGACGATGATTTAGGACGATGGAACAAGGGCTCCGACGAGAAGAAGAAGCTTTACTGCATCTACGTCGCCGTCGGTCAGAAGCGATCCACCGTCGCTCAGCTCGTCAAGACTCTTGAGGAGAACGACGCCATGAAGTACACCACCATCGTTGCCGCCACCGCCTCCGAGGCCGCTCCTCTCCAGTACCTTGCTCCCTTCACTGGTTGCTCTATGGGAGAGTGGTACGTAGCACCCTTCGAATTTTCCGGTCCCGACATACTGACAACCTCCTAGGTTCCGTGACAACGGCAAGCACGCTTTGATCATCTACGACGATCTTACAAAGCAGGCCGTTGCCTACCGTCAGATGTCTCTGCTGCTCCGTCGTCCCCCTGGTCGTGAGGCCTACCCCGGTGACGTCTTCTACCTCCACTCTCGTCTTCTCGAGCGTGCTGCCAAGATGAACAACTCCCTCGGTGGCGGTTCGCTCACTGCCCTCCCCGTCATTGAGACCCAGGGTGGTGACGTGTCCGCTTACATTCCCACCAACGTCATTTCCATCACTGACGGTCAGATCTTCTTGGAGGCTGAGCTGTTCTACAAGGGTATCCGCCCCGCCATCAACGTCGGTCTTTCCGTCTCCCGTGTCGGTTCCGCTGCCCAGGTCAAGGCCATGAAGCAGGTTGCCGGTTCCCTGAAGCTCTTCTTGGCTCAGTACCGTGAGGTCGCCGCCTTCGCCCAGTTCGGTTCCGATTTGGATGCTGCCACCAAGCAGACCCTCAACCGTGGTGAGCGTCTGACCGAGCTCCTCAAGCAGAAGCAGTACAGCCCCATGGCTGTCAACGAGATGGTTCCTTTGATCTACGCTGGTGTCAACGGTATCCTCGACAACGTCCCCGTCAACAAGATCCTGACATGGGAGGCCGACTTCCTTTCCCACCTCAAGTCGAACGAGCAGGACCTGCTCAACACCATTGAGCGGGAAGGTGCTCTCAGCAAGGACCTCGAGTCCAAGCTGAAGGAGGTTGCCACAAGCTTCACCAAGAGCTTCACGGCATAAATGACGAGGGGTTGAAGAGTGGGTACTCTCTATTCCAAGGTTCTTGCGGGGTCAAAATGTGCTGATTGGTCTCTGAGAATAGATGTATAATAGAAGATGCGTCCTCGCCATCAGCTGTTTCAATATGAGAAGGTTCTTTTTCGTCATTGCAACGACTGATGCGCGTCCGTGTCTTACGATACCTCCTCGGAAGACCGACTACCTGTGATTCCGAGATCCTTTCCTCTGTTAGCGGTAAATATGCGTCGGACTGGCGGACGCGGACCTTGTATATCGCGAATCAATTTCCTGTTCTGTTACAACCTACTTCTTGCGAGTAAATTTGTGTGAACCTTGAGGTCCTCTTGCCTGCCTTACCGCCGCTTCTGAGCCTGCGAACTTGAATACAACGATTCCCGGGATTTGAACCGCCACTTCAACACTCACAGTTAGCAGCCTCAGACTCCATTGAGTCACCGGTCTATAATCTGGAGCAACGAGGCGTCCTTTTCGGTTCAGTCTTTCTTGGCTGAAACCGTGGACTTACCATCATGATGCAGGACTTAGATAAGTACAGGCTGCAGTGGCCGGCTCCAGGTCTAGTTACATTAACCGAACACATGTGCAGCCGACATTGCTGATCGCCCCCGATCAACATGCACCCTGGAATTCAGGACATGGGCAGCATCTGCAGGAATTCACACGGACTGTGTCTATGCGGTTGGACAATGAGGTATGGGGGACCAAACTCGACCATTGCAGGCTTACTGGTCAAGATCAGCCAAAAGAAAGGGCACTGCGTTACGTTGTCCAATCTCGTTGCTCATGAGCGTCTACAACATAGAAGCGTTCAAAGTCGCTCGGTATTGTTATGAGGTAGCGACAACGAAGAAACGAGGTCACAGCGTTGACTGTGCATTGGCAGCCATGTTGTGCGAACAACATCCATCGTCGGACACGGGGACCTGCATATCGCTTTGGGCGGTGGGAGAGAGCTTCTCTTGTGCTGGGTAGTGGGCACTGCCATTGTAGCGAACCACTACATGTGGCAATCGCACCGTGAGCGACCATGTGTGGGAATAGGCAAGTGAAGCGGTACGAGCACTGCTGGGCAGCTGCATGTCCTTTCCATCGTAGGATTGGGATGGTGTTCTACAGTAATATGGAGGCGGTCTGTTTGACGGCAGCAAAAGGCCGGCAGGTTCTGTCCGTATTCAAAGCGATAGAAACTGGGGAGGAGCAGCCTGCAAACAGAACGTCAAATGCAATTCATCGTCTATCCAAAAGTGCCAACGACCAGCCCAGGTCTGTCTAGATCTAGTCTACTTCCGCCCACTCCGCTCCTCCTCGTCCGTCGCATCACCATCCTTGAACGGATCGTCGCCAATATCCGCAGCGTCATCCACCTCGTCCGTATACTCATCATCCCAGCCTCCCCTCAGGCTGATGTCGTCTTCCTCCTCGCGCAGGTGCTCTGCAGCCTCCAACGCATCAGGGTCGTCAGCATACTCGTTCTCCAGCCCTTCAACACTCGTCCGCCTTACGCCCTGCCTCTCCTCTTCCTCCAGCTCCGCAGCGCGCTCCTTGGTCTTCTTGTACATGAACCACCCCGTCGCGATGCCCGCCACGGCGCCGATGGCGATGGATAGGTACGATATGGCCTTGGTGCGGGCGTCCATTTTACCGCCGCTCTCGGCGATTTTCTCCAGCTGACTCCCAATGAAGATATGCAGCATCAGCTTTGGCGAAACGATTGCAGTTGCGAGCGCGAAGGAGGCCCAGTGCACGGTGGGGAAGGTGGCGACGGCGCCGTTGGAGAGGGAGTACGGGAGCGGACACATCCGGATCATGACGAGCAGTTTGAGACCGTCGTGTTTGAGGGTCAGCGCGAGCGCGGCGAAGCGCTTGTCGTTTGCGATGAGCCGGGTCACCATTGTGCGCAGGAGCGTGCGCGAGAGGAGGAAGGAGGCGGTGCTGCCGGCGACGGTGGCGGTTGCAGCTATGAACCACCTGGAGGCTGTCAGTATGGGGAGGTCTTTCAGCAGTAGGTTGTGCCGAGGGAGACGTACCCGTTTGGAAACCCGTAGACAAAGCCCGCGATCGTGAGGAGGGACGAGTACCCAATCAACGGCGGGAAGGACACGGTGAATATCAACACCCACAGAACGAGCCAGCCTGCCGTCACGTCCCTCCATTTCCTTGCATACGGCAACAGGGCGGCGAAGAGCTGCTCGTTGTACACGAGGAACAGTATGCTGACGATGAACACGATGACGCCACCAACGGTGAACAGGACCTTCTGGACGGGTGACAGTTTGTTGTACTGCGCCATGGCGCGGCGCTGTATGGTATGTGCGGTGGATGTGGCTCGTTGTATGAACGTCTGCGGCCGATTGCTGTGGGAGGAGCGCGCAAAGGACTGCGAGCGGCGGCTCCATATTGGCGCCTCGCCGGTGGTGTTGTCCTCGAGAGGCAGCGCGAGGGCGCGGGCATCGTAGTCTTCAGCGGGCATGTTGTCTGTGGAGCTTCAAGGGTGGATGGTGACTATGGCGGAGCAGCGCGGCGCGGCGCGGCGCGGAACGGTGGATGGTGGGATGGAAGGGTGTGTATGGGAGGTCTACAAACGCGCGCGTACCACACTACCTGCTTGACATGATGACAATGGTCTGGGATGGAAGTCTGCAGAGGCGTGGGAGCTTGTATGTCGCAGGCATGGCTGCGTTGCTGACGGCGTTCAGACGGACTAGCATCTAGCTTGGAGTTTCATCATCATCGTTCCGGGAGCCGCGCGCAGGGCCCTGATCTGAGGCGCGGTGCATGCGCTCTGCATGTCCGTGTGAGATGCCCTGTCACGCCTCGTCCGGAGTTTCTGGTATACACACAAGTCTGCATTCCAGGTGCAACAGCGAGCTGAGCGGGTCTGCAAGTCCGCGACTACCTCCCGCACTGCTCTGCAAGCAAGTAGTGGAGGCCGTGACGTTGTGCGATCCACACAGGCATCGTCATGTCACACGTGAATTCAGCCTCATCGGGACGGCGCTGCGGTGTCATCTCTGCGATGCGTGTGTTCGACGCTGCGGTCAATACACACGGTGAGCTCACTGCACCCAGACTAACCTGGGTCACGGCATAACGCTCCGTCACCATCTCAAAGCGCAGACCGCTGCCCTGTCAAGGTGTCTGGTTGATGGTGCATGCTCCTTACCGCCTGCACGGAACCCTAATCCCCCACACTCTACGTAGGGGGACTAGCCCTTGAGCTTCACCAGCGCCCATCGGCCGTCCTCAGGCTCCTTGTGGCATTTTGGCGCGCTTCACGGCTTCGTGTCTCGCAGCACTCTGCGGGACAACAGGAGATACGGCGTAGTCGTTAGAGCTGTGGAGTCGCTGCTGCTCGTGAGCTCATCTCCCCGACGCGCTGCCGCCGCCGCCGCTATACATACACATACACCGTGCATCCCCTTTACGCAGCACAACGCGCCTGTCCAACCCGGCGCCATCCCCTCTGCTGGACTGTTGGCCTCTGCTGGACTGCTGGACTGCTGGACTGCTGGACTGCTGCAGCCGCAATGGTGCCCGACCATCTGTACGAGAAGGTGCAGCCGATTCTGCAGGACGACGCGCTGGACGAGGAGGACAAGACCGACAAGCTGGAGGAGCTGCTGCGCAAGGAAACGGGCCTCACAGGCAAGTCGCTGGAGAACGTCGTCCTGGACTGTCTGTGGCGCTATCGCGACTCCGGCAGCGCGTCCAGCTCTCCACCGCCCAGCCGTCACACCATCATCCGCCGTCCCTCGCCCGCGCCCTGGCAGCAGAACCGCGCGCCCACCCCCGTAAACCACTCGCCGCGCATCATAAACCCACCGCCGGGCTTTGGCATCGCGCCGCCAGCCTTCACCCGCGCAAAATCCCATACTGGAACTGCGTCACCGTTTACCTCGCCGCGGCCGTCGCCGCGCCTGGCCTTTGCGACGCCCCATATCCCGCACAGTCCCAGTCTCAGCGCATATCAGTTCAGCGAGGGTACCAGTCCGAACAACGAGTACGGAGATCTCGACAGTCATTCTGTGGACTGGCTCGTGAACGGCGACTCGGGCAGCACCGAGTCATCGTTGCTTGGAGATGGCACGCTCAATGGCGCGGCCGCAGAGTGGATCCAGCCCCAGACAATGGACATGGGGCCGTACGACATGCTGCGCTCCGTCCTGGGGAACGAAAGAACAGACGACGAGATCGAGGTGGCCCTGGAAGCCAATGGCTACGATCTCACTGCTGCCTTGCTTGCTCTGATGAGCGGGCAGAACGGACAAGTCCCGGCCGCCACCACACCAATGGGCAGCGAGTCTGGGTATCTGATTGGAAAGTCGATGAGCCCTGCTTTTAGACCGGCGACGCCTGTTGGACAGCAGAAGAGCAACATCGTATGCAAGTACTTCTTGTCCACGGGACACTGTGCTAGGGCAGACTGCAGGTTCAGCCATGACACTACGAAGACGCTATGCAAGTGAGTTTCTCCTACCCAGGCCGTCTTACAAGAACAGCGGTGCTGACAGCGTCTAGGTACTTTTTGAACGGGAATTGCCTCGCTGGCGATACCTGCTTATTCTCCCACGATCCATCAGCGCTACTGGCGCGCATGGCCGTCTCAGATGTCTCGACACCGCCGCTGCAAGCAGCTGTACCGCATCTCCACATGTCCGATTTCGATGTGTTCCCTTCTCTCCAAGGATCTGACTCTCCGTATGGCACACCACAACCTTCTTCGCTGGAGCAACTCTACGGCTTGACGGGAAGCGGCCACACACGGCCTCCGCCTGGCCTCAGCCCTTTCCCAGTCTTCACACCTGGAGCAGGTAGCCGTCCACAGTCACGAACTGGCAGCCGTCAAGTCTCACGCGCCACAACCCCCTCCGTCCTTGCCGTCGATGACAATGAGGCTTTTCCAAGTCTTGGATCCGCTGCTGCTGCAAAGACGGGCAAACGACATCATGGCAAGCGAGGCGGTCATGGCCACAAGGACGCCGTGGTGTCGAGCAATCTGGCGGATGTTGTACGCATGTCGCCAGCACCAGCACCAGCACCAGCACCAGCACCAGCATCACCTGTTCCAGCGCGCAAAGGACTCAAGACTGCTAAGAGTTTCACTGGGTCCCGCGAGAACAGTGCTGCTGCTCAGTCGATTCCTGCACCACAGCACATTCCATGGCTGGAGACGGGTGAGAAGGGGAACCAAGCATATCTCAAGGCTCGTGCGGAAGCTTTCAAGCATGGTAGCCTAAGGAACAAGTTCCTGCAAAGGTAGGTCATCTATAGCTTCGGGATCGGATCACGTACTAAATCAAGGCCAGCGCTGCACAAGCTTGGAATCGCAGTGATTCTCGTGCTGCCAAGGCCCTCAGTCTGAGAGGACAAAGTGAGAACAACCTGATGCGCGAAGCACATCGGGAGGCTGCACGCATACTCTACGAGGAGCGGAACAAAGCCAACGATGACTCGAAAGAGTTGTATGTTGATCTACACGGTAAGTGATCTCAGCACCTAAGGGTTCATGATTGATATTTATGTGCTTGTAGGACTCCACCCAGACGAATCGGTATCCTATCTCGAAGGCATCCTCCTCAAACACAGCACCCTCTCTCGCCCTGTCTACGCCATCACCGGCACCGGCCACCACTCCAAGAACGGCAAAGACAAAGTGGGGAAAGCCATCCGCGGCTTCCTCAACGAATGGCGCTACGCATTCCGCGAGTTTTCTGTCCCTGGAGACCGCAATAACGTCGGTGGCATACTTGGTATCGACCCAAGCAGCTATGATAAGAGCGTTGCTGAGCGGCCTAAGGAGAGCGAAGAGTCGGTAGAAGATGGGAAGAAGGATAACAAGATTAGGATCATGAAGAGAGAAGAGGTTTTAGACGCACCGAAAGGGCCGAAGCGCGCTGCTTGATGCTTGGTGAGTGTAGCGTGGCAGCGGAATACAATAAGGTAGCCTCAATAAGAAAGGTTTCAACTCATGTGCGTTGCAGTTCGACTCGCTAACAGATATCCTGGTTTCACGAAGAGAGAGAATTCGAGCTCGCCTGGACGCGTAGCAAAGGTTGTGGCAGTGAGGTGGGGGATGTCAAAGGAAGGCGCGGTCGTCCTTGCTCTTTCCTCCTTCAGCAGAAGCTCTCAACCTCACAAACAACACTCGAACTTCACCTCTGACCAAAACGACTCATTCTCTTCACGCACCTGTTTCCGCACCGTAGATGCTCTTACACACTTCACCATAGCTTAACGGCATTCCGCCTGTGCCTGACGGGTCCTTCCCGAAATTTCTCTTCGACGCTTCAGGATTCACCCATACTGAACAAGCAGTCACACAAGCTCACCTCCTACCTTGCGGCGGGTACCGCTTGCTCACATCACTCACGCAGCAGCCATGAGCCAAATCAGCAATACCCCTCGCAAACCGAGCACGGCCCAATCCACCCCGCTCACCACACGCATGCCCTACGAAGCAGGCGAAGCCCTCCTCTGGGAGCGGCAAAACCACCACGTCCATGCGCACCTCTCCCTTCAGATGAAAGAGCTGCAAGCCCAACATGACGCCTACGATGCCCGCATCCAAGCCACCGAGTCCATTGCTGAAGCCGCCGAAGCTGCTGTCCACCAGTTGAAGCAGATGGAGGCTAAGATTGCGGCTATGGAGGCAGATGATCAGGACAGGCCGTTTGATGCTTGGGCTAAGGAGGCGATTAGTCAGTTTCAGGTGTTTGTTGATGGGCATAAGGGTGTTAGGCAGAAGTTGAGTGGACTTGAGCAGAAGGTGGAGGGCTTGGGCGAGGATGTGGAGGGTGTGAGGGATGCGGGTGGGCTGCTGAGAAACATGGTGAGGAGGCTTGAGGTGCTTGAGGAGGAGAGAAGGGAAGAGGGCAGGAAGGTGAAGGAGTTGGAGAAAGAGGTGGACATATTGAGGACTTCGGGTCGCCGGCAAGAGGTGGTGCACGAGGACGTGCACGAGGAAACGTACGATGAGGTGCAAGCAGATGACAACCCTCTTGCAGTCTTCTATGGGATCGACACACAATCACCATCAAGGCGCCACGACCATGGTCGTAAGATTAACGATAAAAACCAAGGAGATGATCACACGAGGAGGCTCACCGACTCACCCCAGCAGCGCCGTGAACTCACAGGCGACCTGCAACCACCAGGCGAGGATACTGTACGACCAGAAGAGGACGGCTTCGACCTCCTAGAAGAAGCTCCGGAGATCGAGTACGGTTGGGAGAACACTCAGCAGTTCAAGGACATGCAGAAGGAGCTTGCCGCCCTTCGAGCGATGTGTCAGACCCAGGAACCTAAGAGCAGCAACCAGACAGCAGACGCTACCCAGCGTCCTCACGAGACTCCCGTTCTTCCTAGAGAGAACGAAATTGGCTTTTCAGACGCAACTACTGAGACAGAGGCGGAGTACAACGATACTGATCGTAACCAATCCCGCACGGAGCCTACTCAAGGCTCGGTGGGTGCGTCAAGGTGAAGATGCATCCAAGCAGCACGGTCTCTAACCATCACTAACGTCTGGAATAGCTCTGACCTACGATTGCCTTCATCGCCGCCAAAGCGAACAGACACGCAGTCAGCCAGGCGCAATCTCATGAAGCGGCCTTCCATATACGACCCACGAGTACCTTCAGTGAACGAACATAGACAGATCGAACGACCAGCGCCTGACGCAAGGGCAGGAACAGGCCTAAATGCCCTTCCTTCGCTGCCGGTTGAGCTGCCTGTCGAAACACAGCCTGAGGATGATCGGGTGTCAGCGAAGCGAAAGCGTGTGGAAGATGCATCCACCCAGCGTGTGACGCGTCTCAAGCTTAGTGACGACAGAACTGCTCCCAGAAAGTCAGTAGTTCCAGCGGCCAGGAAGAACCGGCCTAAAGAGGAGATAGCTTTCGTTGATCCCGTTCCTCAGCCATTCAGCGACGATGCTCCCGCTCCACCTTCGCCAACCCGCAAGACCTGTGGCAAGCAGAAGCCAGCTGTGAATCGTCCAGTACAGCAGGCAGCGCCTCAAGCCAGCCCGAACAGACCTGAGCATCCCGCCGTGCCAGTGACAAAGCCAACTGTTTCAGTGGCTGAAGCCGTGAAGTCGCGTAAGGCTATCAGCAAGCCCAACCCAGTCGCAAAAGATCCGATTCAACAGCAAGCTCCAGCCCAAGCTACCCCGAGCAGCTCGAAGCAGGCCGCAGCGGCTGTGCAGAGGAAAGCCAAAGGACCTCGACAGCCAGCGGGAGCGTGTAAGTCGTGCCGTTCACGCCACCAGAAATGCGATCGGACACACCCAACCTGTGGACGCTGTGCAAAATCAGGTGCTTCTTGCGAGTACGCTCAAGCCTCCACTTCCAACGCGCCGAGTGTAGCTCCTACTACCAGCCCACGGAAGAAGCAAGCTCTGCTTCCAATCTCAGCTACTGCAAAGGAAGCGAACCGCGAGCATGATCTGCGAGAGGGATCTGTGACTGTCATCCCTGAAGCACCTCGACAGAAGAGCTCTGCAAAACAACCGACGCCTGCTTCGCCATCCAAAAAGTCCACCGCCGCTGCTATCCCTACCGCGGCCAGCTCTCGCGCGCCCAGAGCAAAGAACACACAGAATCCGAGGGTGTCTCCAAGGAAGCAGAAGTAGAGCCATATGGTTCGAACGTTTTCATTTACAACACTTCAAAGCTCTTATGTCTCAGCGAACGCGTACAGACCCTCGCGATCCTCGACCGGAACCTCGAGACTCGCCTCCTCGATATCTTTTCCGTCAACCTTGATTCCAGCCCTCATAACATCTCCTGTCTTGACTGGCCCAACGCCCTTCGGTGTACCTGTCAAAATAATGTCACCCGCCTCCAATGTCATCACCCTGCTGATGGCGCTTAACTGCCTCGGGATGCGGTGCAGCATCAGCTCCGTGCTGTCGGACTGCTTAATCTCGCCGTTGACCGACAGCCAGAGCTGTACGTTCTGCGGGTCTGGGATGCGCGACTTGGCGATGAGCTGCGAGATGGGCAGAAAGGTGTCGAAGCCCTTGGCGATGGACCATGGGAGTCCCTTCTTCTTCGCTTCGTCTTGTACGTTACGGCCTGTCATGTCGATGGCGAGGAGGTAACCTGTTGTTTCCCCCATGTCAGCCTTGTTATATCCCTCGTGTACTTCCCATCTCCGTCATCATATTCCCACTTTTGTTGCCGCTCTCCACCATGTTCCCATCCTCATATCATGTAGGTTGCCAATTAGAAATCCAACAACGTACCAGAAACAGCGTCCAAAGCACCCTGCTCATCATCTTCCCTCAGATCCTTAAGTGTCTTTCCTATCACAAGCGCCAGCTCGACTTCATAGTGCAGATTCACGCCTTTGGGCCGCAGAACGGGGCCCGTGCCGGGGAGCAGGATGGACGACGCGGGCTTGAGGAAGAAGAAGGGCTGCTTGGGGGTTGCGGAGTTGAGCTCGGCGATGTGGTCAGCATAGTTGCGGCCTATGCACATAATCTAGACGCAGAGTCAGTATGGATTCATGGCTGTTGCCGTAATGAAAGAAGAAGAGGGGAGCTTGATTGCGAATGCAGCTTAAGACGAGTCAATTGGTGTACAGAAGCGGTTATGAGCGCTTCCATAGCCGCTGTGAATATACCCAAGCGGTTTGGTGCTCATCTTGTAACCCTCACATCTTCCCATTGCACAAATCCCCTCTTCACAGCCATTGAGAGAGGAGTACGTACCTTGCGGCAATTCCGCGCAATAGACTGAACACTCGCCATCTTCGGTTGCAAAGAGTATACACACAGGTAAGGGTAGCGATATGTACAAGCAACAGACAGAAAGAAGAGTCACGACCTGGGAGCTGCGAGACGGCAACCAGATCAACCACCGTCGGGAGGCGTACCGTAGTCTAGCGCTATCGCGTGTACGCATGTGGGGTTGCAGGGATCTAGCTTCGAGGACACGGGTCGGGCGCATCGTCATTGCACCGAAGCCGTAGCCTGTCAGGGATCAAACAACAGAACCCAGGCGAAGAGTGTGGTCGAGAACAGACACGGGCAACGGATAGAATGGCACAGCAGCAGAGCGATATGCAACTCGCAGAGATCCTAAGCGATCTCGTATCTCTACGTCCAGGCGTCTGCGTAAGTCCAGTCCAGTCCAGTCCAGTCCAGTCCTTCCACTTTCCTCCTCTTCGTTCTGGCGCGCCTTGTCGATCCCCCAATCTACATGTCCTTGCACAATGATGATGATGATGATGATGCTAATCCACCACATAGGATCCCGCGGCAGCACTCGCCCTCGTCTCCGCGCGCCCCTCGGCTTCCTCCACAGCTGCAACCACCACCACCACCACCATGAGCTCGACCAACCCCTCGACCGCTCCGGACGATGACCAGGACGTGGACTTGCAGCGCGCAAAGGAGTTGGTGAAGTTGCACTACGAAGTCCGCGAGCGGTGCAAGAGAGGCGAGTTAGGTCGCGGGTTGGCCGAGGCGAGGAGGGATGTGGAGCGGGCGATGGGCGGGTGAAGCGGGATGAGATGGGTGTGGTACACGATATGCATGAGAAGGACTTGGGTGGGGGCTATGAGTTTTGAGACAGATGGGAGGGGCTGGCGGCGGAGTGGGAGGGGGCGAGAACGCAGGCGGGGAAGGACGGATTCACGAGGACCACGATACACGGTCAAGGGGCCGGCGTGTGCTTTGCATGTACAATCTACACAGCGGGCATCGATGAAATGCGTTCGGAGACTGGCAGATATCACGGAGTGAGGCGCGAAGTTGCCTGTTCGTCTACCACACGTCTCCACGTCCTTGCGATCCCAAGCACAGATGTGGATTCGGGCTAAAGTGGCTCAAAAGAGAACAGAGCTTGTCAAGTCAATGTATGTGGAGGGATATACAACAGCCAATCTCAGTCCGGTGTATTCAAGTTATGCAGTACTCCATTGTTACTCCTCGGTTTGATGGTTGAATGTTGCCTTGTAGATCGGATGAATGCCACAACTCGCACAGACTTGGATCTGCTCATGTCTCTAGGTTCCGATCCGTTCGATTCCTTTGGTGTCGACATTGTGGGTTTTCGGGTATGCATTGATGTAGGGTGTTTTGGTGAGTACAGCGTGGTGACATCGTAGCTGAGAATGGTTGTGGGTTTGGTACTTTAGCAACTGTACGAACATCTTTAAAAAAAACCACCACGCAACGTTGAGACACACCTCGAGCCCTAAACAACATGGAAACAACTGTAAAGATGGGCTCCTAGATTGAAACAACGTTATAGCACGATCGACGTGGTGTTTGAGTTGAGCTGATACGTCGAAGTATTTGGCTCGCGAGGGACATTCACGAGAACAGACACGAACATCGCTGATATCGAGCCCCATCAAATCCCCAGTCGTTACTGGCAGGGGGAAATGTGTAATGTAGATCAAGATTCGCTCAAATAATATCCCACCTATCCATCTCCATCAAGCTTGACTAGCCATTCTCAAGCAGCAATATATGTACAGTGCATGAAAGCCCTTGGGCTTGAAAGACCGTCACTTGTTGTTAAATCAGTACCTCCACCGCATCACAGTTTTGACGCCCAACCATACGCCTTGCATCGACATTCTCGGAGCGTAACGTCAGCACTCATTGTAGACTTATCCACTTGCCTACATCCGAGGTCCCCAAGGAGACAGGAGTGACTCAAGAAGTGGTCGCTGCCGCGGTCTCTGCCTTCGACTCAGTGGTCGCATCATTAACGCTCTCTGGATTCGGTGCATCGACAATCGCGGGTGCCTCCTTCGTAGCTTCGACATCAGCCATCGAGACATCGCCATCCTGGTCGGCAGGCTCTGCAACAGCTGGCTCGGCTGGTGCGTCAGCCTTTGGTGCTTCCTCAATCTTCTGTTCTGTGGGCTCAGGCCTGGTCTCCTCCTTAGCATCCTCCTTAGTCTCGTCCTTGGCCTCATCCTTCTTCTCGACCACTGGTGTCTCGGCCTTTGCGGACTCGGACTTCTCGTCGTCAGCCTTGACACCGTTGGTGGCGGCGGGTGTGGTCTTCTCAGCAGACTCTCCATCAGCAGAAGCCAGAGCGCCCCCCCACTTGTTCAGCAGCTCGGTGGAGCGTTGCTTGAAGTTGTGCCGCTCTTCCTGAGGGATGTTGTCCAGCTTGATGATGGCCTTGAGGACCTTGTGGACCTTAGTCCTCTTGATTACCTCAGCCTCAAGATCCTCGTGTGCTTCGAGCTGCTTCAAATAATCAGCCATGTTGGCCATGTCCTCGTCCTTGGGGGCCTGATCTCTCGAGAGGAAGCCCTTTTGCAGCCTGTGTCGAAGATAGAGAACTAAGCTTGATTAGCAACCGCTCGTAAAGGCGAAATGTTCGCTGTACTTACTCTGCTTCTCGCGCTTGATAAGACGGTCTTCTGCAGACATTGGCGGCTCCTCGGGCTCAGCAGGCGCGGCTTCCTCGGCTCCCTTTTTCTTAGACTTCGTCTCCTTCTTGGGCTTCGCAGCAGAACCCTCCTTAGGGGTCTTGTTGTTGAGCTTCAGCTTGGTCGTCTTTGGTGTCTTAGCCGCAGGCTCGCCGCCGTCGCTGTCATCTTCCTTCTTGCGCTTCTTGGTTGCCTTCGCCTTCTTCGCTGAAGGTGCTGCGTCGTCGCCAGCGTCTTCCATCTCCACATCGTCGGAGTCGGCTGCAGCTGTGCTCTTTCGCTTAGCGGCCTTTTCTTTCTTCTCCTTCTTCTCTAACTCCTTGGCTTCGCGCGCCTCAGCGTCCTCTTGCAGGGCTGCCTCGTGGCTTGCGAGCATGCCCTTAAAGTATGCCAGGTCGTGGCCTTCTGCGGCAATCTCATATGCTGACCATAGTGCCTTGTTCTTCTTTGCTGAGTTGCCGGACTCGACATCCTTCTTTACATCCTCAACATCGAACGGCAAGAGCTCAGTGTTGACTTGCCATGCGCTGTGAGACACGTCAGCAGATAAAACATCCATGGATACAATGAAAACAAAACTCACAACTCGTTGGTACCGAGGAACATGATAGGATACCTGCGGTCTTTCGCGTTCTTTCCACCCTCAAGGAAGTCTTCACGGTATGTACCATCGATACGCTTCGCGCTGACTGGTCGCTTGCTCAGGAGAGACTCGGGAAGCATTTCTTCGTCACAAACGATGACTGGCCATGGCTGGTATCCTCGCATAGCGACCATGTACATGTCTCCTGGCTGAGCATCGAGACGGAGCTCAGGCGCCTTCTTCTTCCCCTTGGCGGGTGTCTTCTTGGTCTTATGCTCAGGAACGCCAGCCCCAGACTTGCGCTTGCCATTGTTCGTCTTCTTAGCTGGGGTGGTTGTGGTCCCGTTGGTCGCGGAGGCATCAGCAGCAGGCTCAGCAGCGGGCTCAGCAGCAGATGCGGCATCTGGGACGGTCGTTAGTGCCAATTCGGTATCCAGTGGGGCTGCTGACACGGTTTTCGACCGCGGTAAAGTGGAGTTTTCACGTACCTATGTCATTGCTTGCTGCGGCTGTGTCGGCCTTCGCGTCGGCGGTGGCCTCTTCCTTTGCAATGGTATTCTCCTCGGTCTTCACATTTTCTGGAACTGATACGTCGTCGCGTTAGCACGCCCCGTGTAAGCTACGCGCAGTGTCTCTTACCTTCAGCGACGCCCTCGGTAGCGATGACGGCGTCCCCCTCAGAGGGCTTCGCCTCGGCGACAGCAGGCTCAGCTGCGGCATCTGCGGGACGCGTTGTGATCTTGGTGGAGGTCGTGGGCTCTGTTGCAATGGGTGCTGTCGCCTCGTCCGCCATGGTTCGTGTCTGGCTTACGGTTGCACGGTCTGCTATTGACGCGTAAGGTGGATGGCAAGCAGCGATTAAAGCTGGCGACGTGTCGGACGCGATAGGTGTACCGCGTAGTTGATGGGTGGCGACGTGTGTTGATGACGCGCGGTGGTGAGGGTGGTTGGGCCGTGTCGTGGTGGAGTGGGGATTGCGAAGAGCGAAGCTTCGGGACGTAACTTTCAACAGGCTATTGTCACGTGAAACGTAACGCGCCCTAGTTTGACCGCAATGCTGCCCCTACTTTCACCGAAAAAATTCGAGGTGCTTCACTGGCTACACCAGAATCACCGTCTTGAGTTTGAAGCCGTTGCAGCTGCTGAACGTCGTAATCGTAATGCTGTATCGTAATTTGTTGGTGCCTTCCAAGGTTTGGCGCGATGCGTTGAAAGGGCCGTGCGCTGGAGTACAGGAGTCGCCCCTCGATACGTAGCGCAGAGGATCCCACGAAGGTACTAGGTAAAGCGAACAGAATGCGACGACTATCCTCAACTCCTGATGCTGTGATGACCTTCGACTCCTCCTTTGTTGATGAGATTTGATGGAAGCGTTGATGAAGCGGCTGCTCGGCTCTTACAGACAAGCCGCCAATGAGCTAAGCTGCGCCTTCCAGGTAAGAGCGCGATTCGTCGCAGCAAGTAGTATCGGCGACATGTCACACATCCAGGACGCCCAACTGCTCTACCATTAGCTGGTGCTTGTACACTCATTCTTCGCACTTAGCTACACAGCTTTTGCTCGCAAAGAGGTCGTGAACAGCGAAGTTGAACCACGACACAAGCATGGACTGAAGCTCGTGGGACACAAGGGCCTGTTAATGTGAGGGCTGTAACGACCCATTGCAATTTCAGCTACTAGACATGTTGTCAGCTCGCTGGACTGGAAAATGGTATACGCACTTACTGTACTCTACGAATGAGAGGCTTGGAGCCGTGGCGCGCATTTCCTCAGCACCGTCACTGACCTCGCTCTCCCAACGATCACTACTACGCTCGCACTCAGGAGACTCTCGAGAGGCTCTAGAAAAGCCGGCAGATGAGGAATGGCCATGGATAAAGCGAACAATAGAAGTGGCCAGCTGTAGAAGGCGTTGCGAAATACTACCTCTGAGCACGGCAGTGCAGGACTGAGCAAGTCGAGGAAACCTGCCGCATGTTATGAGTATCTGAAGAGGATGATACTTTACGGTGTAGCACTTTCGGAAGTGCATTGCTACAACCATAGCCCACCTTTTGAGCACTGTGCGTGCCTTTTGCGATCCAGGCAGCTATGCGTACAGATCACGGCCTACATGGCGCTTCCGCAGAAACCGAGACCAAGGCTTCCCCGACTCATCTGAAAAGCTTCTGCATCTTCATTCAAGGCCCCAACAAGACTTACTCAAAAAAAAACTTCAGAGGCTGGGAGAAGGTCACCCGCTCCGCTCCTGGGCTGCTGGACAAAGCGCATCGCAGCTTCGAATGGAGCAGTTTAACCGAAGTGGTCACATGTGGGAGTTGTTCAGGGCAGATAGGTTGATCCGGTTGGGTTCGAGCGAGAATGCCGCAAGGTACACCAATGTCTTTGCGGCGGCTCTGTGGCGGAGACTCTCCGCTGCATCTTGCTATCGATAAGCTACGATACACCAGGGTATGGCTCTTGGTTAGTGTCTGCATCTTCGCTGCGTCTTCCTGGCTGCTTAGCTCGTCTTCACGATTTTGCTAGCCTGCCATGTTGCTGGTTTGATGTGTCAGTCTCCAGATAAGATTGCCTTCATAATGATAGCTCTTTACGTGTTGTAGATCAAGAACCTGGAAGCAGAGGTCTAAGGTCTCGCGATACTGCTCACTTTTACAACATGTATTCCGGTGACGGTCGTAACGTCGTGTGCATCTAGTTGGAACGCTGCGCCGGATGTTGTTGGTAGAAAAGCTGACTAACAGTTGGAGTCTCTGGGTGTCTGTTGAACCAAGTTCCGGACGGCGTTGACGACTCGAGCAGATCGCTGCATCGTGTACAAATACGGCGCAAGACACAGAAAGTGCTCTGAACATAGCCAGAGGCCCTGAAGATTTGTGCGTGTTGCGAGGATGGTTGGAGGTTTCGAAGTCATCAGTCGACCGAGGGGCTGCCGTACAGCGGGTAGATCGTGTTGTTCCGGAGGGCGCCCTCGTAGTTGTTCGCCAAACGTGTATGGCGCAGGTCATATCGGTGTGTTCGGTATCGCGAGTGGGTTCGGTATCTTGCTGACGCTGGCAGCCATGTCGAAGATGGTGTTCAGAGGTGGCGGCTCTGCACGATCGAAATGGTCTGCTGGTCCACGGGTCGCTACTAATGGCGGCTCCATCACGTGCGCCTCGTCGCAAAGTCGACCGGCACTCATGTGTAACTTCTCGAGCTTCATAGCAATCGTTCTATTTTCAGATTATTGCTAAAGGCTGTCAGGAGTAGATAGAAATTCAAATACTGTAAAAACCCTCATAGAGCAACTACGTTACCGTCGCACCCAAGGGCCTGGTTGCAGCTAGAGGTATCTTGATCTCATCCCAAGCACCCACGACTTCTCCGGCTGCTCACAAGGACGCCTCCATGCATGGCCACAACCCGTACACTAAAACACCAATCAGCTTGTAAACTGTAAAACACACCTCAAGACCACTTAGATCTTACACGAAGCTGCAAGCGTTCACCGCTGACTCGTGCTTCTATACTAGTGCGGGGAAGTGCAGATCGTCAAGACATTTCTCAAGATTGCGCCAGCAAGGTTCCCACCACTCACAAACATGGCGACACAGACACCTACCACAAATGGCGAACAGAGTGCTGAATACAAGGCGCTGTGGGCGAACAAATACCGTGGAGTATGCAGCACTCTAAATACTGATCAGATCAAGTACTAATGATATATGACAGGCAACGGTAGAAGACCTCGACCCACCACCTGCTCTCTCCGTCAAGCCTACCGACCCTGTTTCTTGGGCGCTCATGAGTGGTCTCGAGCGCGACTACACGCACCTGACCGTTGTTTCGCAAGAGAACCGCGCCTTGCTCGGCTACATTAGCATCCCACGCCTACAGGATTTGCTCAAGGAGCGCAAAGTCAGCGAGAACGACCCGGTCGAGGCAGCGATGCACAAGTTCCAGCGGCGTGGGAGGCGGTACAAGGTCATTGACATGGAGACGCCGCTCGAGGAGCTAGAGGAGTTCTTCAAGGGTGGAGTGGACGGAAGCGGGAAGCAGGAGTTCGCAGTTGTTACAGATGCGAGCCGCAAGTTTGTTCTTGGTGTAGCGACGACAGACGACTTGGACAAGTTCCTCAAGACGAGAGCATGAAGAAGGCATGAAGAGGGAGGAGCCTGGAGGAAGTCAAGAACGAATCTGCATTGCTTGGCGTTTGCTTAGGATACCACATGGGAGGAGGTGTTATGGAGATGTCAAGGAGGGTTGATTCAACATTCTCTCCGCGGACTGGGCTGCCACATGCACATCGAGTGTCTGGCACCTGCAGCAAGGAGACAAGCAATCTTGAAAGGACTTAGCGGTTCGTCTATCGTAGATCCTAGACGTCAATCACAATTAACTTGAGATGAGGGCTTCAAAGTTGCAGGCTGAAGTCCGGTTTCTACTCTCAACTTCTCAATACATCACACAAACAACCCTGCTCGGATTCACGACCATTTCACAACACCGAAAGAAACTAGACGTCATGCTACCCTGTCTGGGCTTAGTGAGGCTCAGCCCTATCCGCGCTTCTCAACGATCCATGAATTCGGCAACCGACCCGACCCAGATAACCTGACGTGCTCCTACCTTGAATGATTCGAAGTCGAACTTCTTGCCAAAGTTGAACGAACCGTGCCTCCATGCGCTTATAACCCTCAATACCGGACGCCTCGTCCCATACACAACCATTACGGTCGCTGGCATGCCCGCACTTCTCTTCCGCCTGCGTAGTCCCATTCTCCACCTCCCGCGGGCCAGTCGCCCTCCACCATGTATAGCACATATTCGGAGATATCCCTCCATAATACAGCAGACACGATGCTACGCTCACCAACCGCAAAACCCACACCTCGGCACAACCACTCCCGTTCCCGATGACGCACCGCCGCCTACTCCAAAGTCGCCCTTCTACTTCGAAGCGGGATATGCACTATTTGCAAAGCGGCCCAGTCGACCGTTTCCTCCGCCATTCCTCTCACGGCCTTCGACCAGTTTCTCGGAGCCGCTGAGCACGCACCATAAGAGCAGAGACCGGCGACCGAAAGTCAATGGAGAGATGATAAGAGGGGTTACAAATGGCGACGACGCAGTTCTAGTCAGCGACTACTTTGTTGGCGCAAACGATGGAGTAGGAGCATGGGCTACTCGGAAACGAGGACATGCCGCGTGAGCTTCCTCGCAAAACATTCCTAATGCTCTATGCTAACATGAGATTGCAGGCTATGGTCACGGCTAATCCTGCACTTCTGGTCTCTCGAAGTCGAATCCGCCCCCTTCTCGCCCACCTCCCCACCGTCACCCATCACGTACCTCCAAACCGCCTTCGAGAAGACCAAAATTGCGACCTCAAAACCCAACGAATGGCACGGCACAACAACCGCCTGCGGCGCCCTTCTCAGCGCAAACTCCAACGATCAGCCACTGCTCTATGTGACGCAAATCGGCGACGGCCAGATCCTCATCATCCGCCCCAGCAGCCGCGAAGTAATATTCCGCACCGAAGAGCAATGGCACTGGTTCGATTGTCCACGACAGTTGGGCACAAACTCGCCAGACACACCGAACGACAACGCAGTACTCGACACGATCGAGATCCTCGAGGACGACGTTGTGCTCGCGATGACGGATGGGGTGGTGGATAATCTGTGGGAGCACGAGGTTGTCACGAATGTGTGCGAGAGCATGGAGAAGTGGAGGAGCGAGGGTGTGAGGGAGGCAGAAGGAAAGGAAGTAGGAGAAGAGGGGAAAGACGATCAGGAGCAGAGTTATGCGGATGGGATGCGGTATGTTGCGCAGAGGCTGGTGAATGCGGCAAGGGAGATTGCTGAAGATCCGTTCGCTGAGAGTCCGTACATGGAGAAGGCTATTGATGAGGGGCTGAGTATTGAAGGAGGTATGTGTTGACTGGCGCGAAACTCTTCAGATATACATGCTAACAATGTGCAGGCAAGCTTGACGATATCAGCGTGGTAGCTGCTCAGTGCAAGAGGCGCAAAGGCTGAAGCACTAGTTATGTGTTAAGCACACAAACGATCACAGGGCCTTTTGAACAAGCAACCGACAGCGAAAATAGTTTCGAGGGTCGGAGCGGCTCACATACACCGCTGCGAACGGCGCTGCTTACGGCGATGATGCAGCATTCCAAGCGCCCGGCACCCGTGCTCAGGAGTCAGCGGGTTCCTTCATCACAAGAGTCAGGTCCATGAAGATATCCACGAGCTACACGAGAGGGTCTATGAAGACTCTGGATGACTTGGTATAGACGAACTATGGTACAAGCGCGTATTGAGCAGGTCTAGTAATTTGAGGCGCACATGGGGGATATGGTTGGATGGTTGAAACATTGCGCGGATAATGGAGAATGTCAGCTCTACGGGCGCCAAATCGCATCTCGGCGCTTTACATGTGTGCCTTGGGTTGCTCTCAAAGTCTTAATGATGAAATGGTATACCGACCTAGTCTTCTAAGCTCCGTTCTCTGCGTGGTGGAGGCGAGCCTGAGGGTGACCGCGTGGCGCGTTTTTGATTGCGACTGGTTCGACTGCGAGATATCGATCTCGATTTGCTCGAGCTAGGAGAACGTTTGCGTTTCTTGATATCAGCCGGTGACCCTGAACCAACATCTGAAGAGGATCGTCTGCGTCGTCTTGCGGGGCTTACAGACCGTGAACTGCTTGATCTTGCGCGGCGGCGGCGGCGCGGCGGCGTGCGGGATCGTGACCTTGACAGCCTGGGTACTGGTGAGCTTGCTTTCTCTTGAGGGGAAGCAGATCGTGATTGATACCTAGGTAGCCTCCTGCTGTCGTTGCTTGGAGACCACGACTTGTCTCGACCGCCATCTCGTCGCTTGCGTCGCGGAGAAGAACGTCTCGATCGGCGTGGTGGAGACCTTGAGCGATCACTTGAAGGCGAGCGTCTTCGGCGCCGTGGGGGTGTGCGCGAGCGGCTTGACGAGGGCGAGCGACGGGCCCTACGAGGTGGTGGAGACCTGGAACGGCTGTCTGAGGGTGAGCGACGCTCGCGTGAACTATCGCGGCGATCTCGTCCTCGACCACGGCCACCACTTGGGACATAGATGTCACGCTCGCGGCGAGGTGGAGACCTGCGTCTTCTGCATTCTGTCAGTGTGTGTCCTTCAGTACCGAGCATTTCCACTTACGGAGGCGGTGATCGTGAGTCTCGACGCGGTGGTCGACGATCAGAGTCTCGGCCTCCTCTACCTCCTCGATCACCACGGTAACCGCCACGATCTCCACGAAATCCTCCTCCACGTCCTCCACGACCGCGGCCTCGATCTCCTCGATCTGAGCGTTCGGTGTCGCGGAACATGTTCACAATGTCATCTTGGTCTGTCTGCTCTTTACGGCGGGACTCGGCGGCAGCTTTCGAAAGCTACAAATGTGTCAGCTATCACCTCTGTACGGCATATCGTGTAGCCTTACCTGCTCTTGCTGCAATTCAAGCTTCTTCGCCTCGAGCATCTCCTTTGGCACACCCATAGGGCTATCCTGTGCACTGAGCATCAGGTCCCATAGCTCCTTGCAGAATGCTGGGGTGTCTTTGTTGAGGAAGCCGGTGAGCTGTATCTGAATCTCTTTAATTTTGGGCTCCCAATGTTAGTAAATGTGAGGCCATTGGAAGCGTAGATGTACGCACGAACTGATTCTGTTCGACTAGATTGTAGCATGTCTCGACGACAATGTCGTCTTCGTCGCCCAGAATATCCGTGATCTTCTGCGCAATCCACTTCTTCATCAAATCAATGTTGACTTTCTCGATGTCAACCTTACGATCGAACTCCGGAGGGAACTTCGTAGCCTTCAAGCGCTTCTGGTCGATACTGAGCGCCATTACTGCTGCAGAGCAAGGGCTTAGTAGTTTCGGTAAAGGTCGAGGAAAGTTGAGGTGCCGAGAAGTCGAGAGCACGAGCTCGAGCGATGATGCAGTCTTGGCTTGGCATTTGCGGAGGGAAGTACGACCTCCGCTCGCGTCGATCTTGAACTCACTCACTTGCAATCGAAACACTAACACGCTGCGATATGCATGGAATTCTGGTGAATGCCTCCAAGCCTGTGTATGATCAGGGCACGTTGTCTGTCACTGACACAGTATTGCTAACGTCGACGAGCTGCACTTTCCAAACATGCCCAGTTTAACTGCCTGTCAAGGGTAGGTCCTGCTAACACTAGGTCATGACTTCTTTCGCAGCCACGCGATGCAGTAAATAACCAAGATGGGATGGCAATTCTCAGATCCCCTGCCGCACTCCATTGCCACTCCGTCACTCTTCTAGCCACCGCATCCATTGCAGCCATTCTTTATTATTACGATCTTATCACTCATTGAGGCCTTCTTTCGGCGAGCATCTTCCTTAATCAACATCATGGCAGACGCTGACCCCCCCGCTGCTGTGCCGGAAGAGACTCCTGCCGAAGAAGAACAGCCTCAATCTGCCACAGAACCACCTGCAGAGGAAGTTTCCGCCAAGGAGCCAGCAGCAAAAGAGCCAGCAGCCAAAGAGCCAGCAGCCAAAGAGCCAGCAGCGGATCCACCGGCTGAAGAACTACCTGCTCCAGAGCCTGCGGCTGAGGAACCTCCAGCAGAGGATCTGCCTGTTGAGGAGAAGGTTGCTGAACCTGAACCTGCTGCAGAAGAACCGCCCGCCAAAGAACCTCCAGCAGAGGAAGCACCTGCACCAGAGCCACCTGCCGAAGAGCCACCTGCAGAGGAAGCAGCTCCTGACCTGGCACCTGCCGAAGAACCTCCTGTTGAAGAGAAGGTTGCAGAACCCGAACCCGAGCCTCCTGCTGAAGAACCGCCTGTTGAGGAGCCGCCCACCGAGAAGCTGCCAGCTGAAGAACCATCTGCTGAGGAGCCCGCCACTGAAGAGCCACCTGCAGAGGAGCCACCAGCGGAAAAACCAGCTGAGGACCTCCCGGCTGAGCCGGAACCGGCGCATGAAGAAGCTCCAGTCGTCCAACGATCTGTTGAGCCCGAAGAATTAGCTCCAGAGCCGCCAGCGGAAGAGTCCGCTGCTGAGCCTGAGCCTGAACCAGCGGCGGAACCCGAAACAGAGCCTGCTGAAGGCCTCCAGGCTGAAGGTGAATCCGATCCCATCATTAACCTGATAGACATGTATGCTGAGCCTAAATCAGAGGAGGAGCAACCGGAAGTGGTGCAGCGTTCAGCCGAGCCAGATCCAGAACCTGAACCTGAGGCAGCATCCGAGTCGGCACCCAAAGAACCCCCAGAGCCAGCAGTCGAAGTCGTCGAACCAGAACCAGAACCTACACTTGAACCTATACTTGAACCTCCGCCTGATCCTGCGCCTGAACCTGCACCTGAAGCAGCCCCCGAGCCCGCACCTGAGGCTCAACCAGAGGAGCAACCGGAGGTAGTCCAGCGGTCCGCTGGGCCCGAAGAACCAGCAGCTGAGGCAGAACCACCTGCACCCGAACCAGAGCCACGGCCTGAACTGGCTCCTGAACCCGAGAAAGAAGCTCCGTAAGCATGGCGTCTCAACCCGATTCGTAGCATTACTGACCACCTCCAGCCCACCTCCAGCTTCTACCAAGTCGACCAAACCACGAAAGCGAGATGTGTGGCGCAGCAAGTTGGCTGTTGGTGGCAAAGGCAAACAACGACTTCTGATGGTCACGGCGCCGAAGGAGACGAAGCCGCTCGTGGCGGCACTTCAGCAAGAGAAGGCGAAGGGCACAGATATCAAGCCATTGGTGGATGGCATGTTGGCCAAAATCACATTGTAGCTGTGGCTGTACACTGAGACACCGTCATTCATACCCTTACCTAATAAGCAAACCCTACTTCGAAGCTTATGCATATCTCTTTGACCCTGCTTTACCAGCTCCAGCTGCTGCGTGATAAGTTACGCCAAGTACGCTCACAATATGACCTTGACATTGGCACTTTTGAGGATGAATTGGCACTTTTGAGGATGACTTTGTCAAGACAGTGATTAGTGCGTAAATAGTTCATTTCGTCGTTGCTATGCATGTGTACAGCGCCCATGTTCTGCTTTCTGAGCATCCTCATCCTCATCCGTGTTCATGATGTTACAGTCAACTCGTCGAATCTCTTTTACCTACAACTGTGGTGTCTCCTTCCTCTCGCCGATGACGTTAAGGAAAGCAGTGTGGACGTGCTCTGTCAGATCACTGGCCTGCAGCGAACGACCCTTCTCCTTATATGCCAGTCTTGAGCACTCCCTTGTGATGCAGCTACCACCGTAGGCGGCCAGGGCCAGAGTCTCGCTCCTCCCCAGACTGTTGTCGTGATCCCAAATCTTGTCGTGATACGCCTTGCGGTATGCCAACAGTGTTGCCAAGCTTCCTGTGAGGGTGTCACCCTGACCACCGGAGCGCTTCAGGCCACCCTCGCCCTCGGAGACAAGTGTGTGCTCGCCGTTGGAGATGTAGTCCTTGGAGCCCTTCTGAATGATCGTAACACCGCCGAAGGCCTTAGACAACTTGGAGCAAAGCTCAGCCGGGTCACCCTCATTGACATCGACGCCTTTAGCCTTCGCCAGACGTCCAAACTCGACAACATTGGGTGTGAGAATGCACTCCTTGTAGCCCTCGACAAGTTCCGGGCGCGTCTGAGCAAGGAACAGACCATCAGCGTCCAGCACAAATGGAATACCCTGCTTCCTCGCCTCCTCGATGACCTTCGCGCATGTGTCCTGCATCAGCTTGTCGCGACCGAGGCCGGGGCCGATGACGATGACGTGCAGGCGAGAAAGCATGCTGACGACTTCGGTGGAGACGCTGTCGGCGCTCTCGGACTGCGCGACGTTCTTCTCCTGTCGCATGATAGGGTGCACCATCAGGTTGGGCGAGTAAGTCTTGATGACGGCGGCTGCGCCAGGCTCGCAGATGACGTGGGACTGGGACATATGTTAGCTTATTGTTGGTCAAGAAGTGGGAGTTAGGAGAAGGGAAGTACCATATCGCAGCCGAGCTTTGCAGATGCCATGGCGGAGAAGTACGGTGCGCCCGTGTAGTCCTCGCTGCCACCGATGACACCCACACGACCGAGCTGGCCTGGAGAATTAGGTTAGCATTAATTCGATGGGTGATTCCAACGTGAAACTTACCCTTGTGGAAGCTCTCAAGCATGGGCGGGACCATGTTGTACACCTTCTTGAGAAGGTCTTTCCTTGCTACGGACGCCATTGTTCGAATTGCTAAGCCTGAATAGAAGGTTGAAAAAGCTGGGGTATCAATCCAAAGGTGCTGAAAAAGACTTTTGAAACTTGGAGTTGTGTGGACGGAGCATCGCTGCGAAGTTGCGGTTTTGCTTGAGAAACGGGGTTGGAAGATGAGGTCACCATGATGATCGGAGCTGCAAGGCGGGTAAATGTGGGGAAGCAGACGCGACGCGCCGCTGACATCTTGCTTGCGATAACAACGACCTGATGCACGTTCCCAAACGTCGAAATCATGAGACTAGAAGCAGGGGGACGCAATGTTTTTGCTTTACTTGTTGCATTATCTCTTCGATTTTTACAGGCTGTGTGCACACACGACGTGCAGATTCCCCCACACCGTGACGTTGCGACCACCGTTCGTAGATCTGATTGCGCAGTTCGGCGGGCAGGCGCAGTAGAGGTGAGCTTTGTTGGTTATGATGAGTACTATAAGAGTCAGATGCATGTTTGTCGTTTTACTCGAGCGCCTACACGGGGTTCTGAACTTCGTCCATCCTATTTGACGGACTTCTGGATCGTGTGCGGAGTAGAGAGTGGGAGAGGGTGATGGATCAGTGAGCGAGAAAGAAGCCGCTGTTGGCGCTAGGGCTGATTGCTCCAGAGCCTGAGGTGAAAGTGAGTGTGAAAGTCATGCCGGCGGTGAGCTGAAGAAAATCCCTTAGAACCTAGGAGCTGCTTCTTGCCATGTTCAGTCATGGTTCTACAGGCAAGTCCCTCTCCCAGTTCTATTGTAGTCTATACTTGAAACCTTTCTCTTAGTTCACATCATCGTCCAAGGCCCTCTCGACTACGATCTTGACATCCTGCGAAGTTATGCGGTCCTGCTCGAATTCATGCTTGGCCTTGATCAAAGCCTGCTGCTCTCTATCCTCGTCCGTAACATCATCAAATAATAGAATCGTGATTCGCTCGAGCTTCTTCAAACTTTTTAGCACACGTAGCGTATCTCCAATGTCCTGAAAAACAGTAGTACCCATGATCGGCTTCATCCATAAATCGAATTGGTACCCCGTCATATGCAGCCGCACCTCTTTCATGTGCTCGTGTGCAGAACAGCGTATCAGCTCTGTCAGCGGAAGGAAGTCGTAGAGATGACTGCTGAAGGTGTTGAGCGCGAAGTGCATGAACCGTGTCTCGGACTGGATCTGGCGACAGGTGTAGTGTAAAGCTGCGATCATCTTGAGCTGCATAGACAACTTTCGCCTCGCATCAGCTGTTGACCAATATCCGCCGTCGATCTCACGGCCACCCAGGCTATCCTCTTAGATCCTGTTGCGGACTTCGGCAGGGAGACGTAAGAGGGGTGAGTGAGCCTGATTGTTGCAAGTACTGCAGGAGCGTTAGGTCACGCGTACGTGAGGAAGGAGCGAACGCACATCAAGTCGTGATCCATTTTGGCTGACGTGGATCCAGGTCATGAGCAGCTTGACGAAGTGCAAAGTATGACGAGCGCGTTGTCGAAGAGTTGGGGCGACGTGTGCCTTTACATGCCAGGCGCGCTCTTCGAACTTTAGTTGTTAAGGTGAAGGTGAGTGCGACGTCAACTGCGCAATTTGCGTTGGTGCACATCACCATAGCATTCTCTACTACACTTCTATAGTCAGGTTCGCACCCCTCAAAAGCCAAAAAAGTCACCCCTTCGCACTTCGTCGCGCGTTGTCATCACCCCAAGCAAATTCATTTGCGAGTTTGACCCTAGTGCTGCGACCGACTTACGTTATATAAGGATGAAGGCTTCTAAGTGGCTGTTTCTATCTTGGTTGACATAATTGACAGTCTGGTACATGCGCTGCAGGGCAACAACGTGGCGAATGGCCACTCACAAGGCTGTCCGCCCTCATGAACCACGGTACGTACCTACTGTAAGCATAACTGTACCAAGGTCAGAACGGTCTGCACATTTTTTCAAGCACCGATAAAATCTACAAATACGCGCTCACCGGTTACAGACTTTGAATCTCACCAAGAAGAACCAACACGCAGATCTCCCCTCAGTGCATCGAATATCCTGATTACGCGGCGCTCCACTACACCAGCCGCCAGCTGCATTCGGAGACCGGCTGGCTGCACCTTTCGCAGAACATAATGGGCCTCCAGCCTACCAAGGCCTGGCAACGTGCCCGCAATCTTCTAAGTCCGGACTTGCAACATATCAAGATGGTGGAGATCTATAAGGTGGGACAGTAGATCGGATACACCACGTCGGCACCATGGGTCATCCCAGATGGTCTCTGGGAGAGTCTGTTGACCTTGAGCATGTTGCAAGGCCTGAAGAAGCTGACTGTCGCTTTTTATGATGGTGTTCCGGCGATGGGAAAAGAAGCACTCAAAGCGGCACTCGAGCTTATCTTTGATTCGGGGCGCACAAAAAGATAGCTTGTCGAGTTCGAGGTTAGGAGCATCTCAGAATGTTGATGAGGCTCACATATCTGGTCTACTGAGTAATAGCAGCGGCCATGCTTGAGCCCCAATTCTTGGTTCTTCTTGTATCTTTGATGAGTTGCCGATACAGCACAACGAAGCTTCACAGAAACTACGGAGAGAAGCAACCTATAGTAGCTATTGTATCATCTGACGGGATACATTTGTCGTAGCGACAAGGCAAACGTCGATCGAATGTTGCTATAATCAATCACCAGCAAGTGCTATCGTTTCACTGCTGTTCCGGGACTGCCTCCTCGCACACTCAAAGCCTACCTCCACTGAGCGTCACAAATAAGATATTCCACCATATCTTAAGAAAAACACCACCAATATTAATCACGATTCCACGCCGAAGCAGACACCCAAGCTCCTCGGACAAGATGATTGCTTATCATACCAGCCAAATGTAAGTTGTAAGATCTTCTCAACTGCTTCATTCTGAAATTTCAATCCAGCACCATCCGCATCCAAATACAATCACCTCTACTTCACCTACCTGCTGAACTGCGCAATCAGATCTATGAGGACTCGGTCATCCACGAGAGAATTTCAGTTCTCAAGGCTAGCAAGCGCTTTCTATTCTGCACAGTACAGGCAAAGGTGATCAGACTTCTAATCCTTCCTTTCATCTGCCGACAAATCTACTCGGAGACTATCAACATGGAAATGCCGATTCACACGCTGCGAGGCAAAGCGAATAATGTATACAGCCTCATGAAGAGTCGTAACGAGTTGAGCGCCACCCTGCGAACCATCTCCCTGGAAGCCCCTACTTCCATCTTCGCGAACACGGCAGATCCCAACCTCAGTTTGCATCTTTTGCTCGTCAATCTACGTGGCCTCACGAATCTCGAAGCTGGAACGCTAATGCTCTTCACGCTACGGCATTGGGTTGAAGACAAGGTATATCAAGCGTGAGTTGTATCGGTTGTTCTCACTGATAGACCTGATTTGGAGATCACGGTTACAGTGGCATTGGGAAAAGACTTTGATTGTAATGAAAAGAGTGCCTGCCGCCGATAAATCATCACTGAAGGTAGAAGAAGCCAATATTCTGGGAAACATTGGGTCAAATCGACCCTGCAAAAAGTTGATAAACAACAACATCTATGGGAATAATGTACTCGCAAGCCATGCGTATCTGCAAATCATTCCATCCTGGAAGAACCCTCAACACCTAAACGCCCCCAATATTACAACACAATACTAATGGCTCTTCCTCTGCGCATTTGCCAATGCACTGTTAAGCGCCGCAGTAACATCGACGTGGAACAGCGGCCTGTTCAAGCCCTGCACTACTGCGATCCTGCCAGCGGTCGCGCCTGTGATATTACCCTCGGCACCGCCATACGCCTTGCTAAATTCAAGCTGCTTGTTCAATGACCCAGTGTCGCTCGACTCAGCGCTCTCATGTGCAGCCTCAATATCATTGGTGCGTACTTGCGACAGTGCGCGTTGCGCATGACGGTTCTCCTTCGCTTCAGCTGCGGCGGCAGCAGATTGTGAGCCACCGATTTCCGCGACAGAGAATACAGGTTTCCAGCGGTGGACGCCGCTCGCGTCGGGCTCAGGTGTGTAGTATCCGAAGCCTGCGGCGGCGAGGGCGCGCTTGGTCCATCTGTTGTTGATATTGCAGAAGTGCCAGTCTACTGTGTCTGGTGCGGCGTACTTGTCAAGCTGGTTGCGGACGTCGATCAGGTTTTGGATTGATGTAAGGTCGACGTTGTTGACGGATGAGAAGTCAAGGATGATAGCCTTGAGCGTTGGGCGATCATCGGCTACGTTGGTCTCTTTGCCGCGTCGTGGGCCGGGGTCGTTCCATGGACGGTCGCCGAGTCTTGCGTACGACGCTGGGTTTGTGCGGCGTGTCTTCTTGAAGATGGTCTCGATAAGGTCGTCAAGGTAGTGGTTGGCATTGGGGTAGTTGAAGCCTTCACTGAATCTGTAGAGGAAGATACCTGGGTAAGGATCCTCGAGCTGAATCTGCGGGTTGGAGCCATCGTGGTGATCGATAGGGAGGAAAATGCTGCGAACAGAGTCTTCGCCTTCCGTTGGGCTCTTCTTGCGCTCTTGCTTGTCCTCATTTGTTGGGTCGAGTAGGTGGTCTCCGATGACAGAATGAATCTTTGCCCGGCCAAGGAAGCGGCCCCTCGCCTTGAAGGCGCGGAAAGCCCATAGGGCGAAGGAAACGCAGACAGTGGTGTAGATACCATTCTCAATGCTGGAGAAGATTGTCACGAAGACACCAGCAAAGAAGATGGGAACCTCAATAGGGGAGATCCTCCAGAACTGGTAGACAGTGTTGGGCGGCAGGATCAAGTCACCCACAGCGTGGATAATGACGGCGGCAAGTGTGGCGTTGGGAATGTACCAGAACATAGCCGGGAGAGCGTAAATAGCAAGCAGCACAACAATAGCTGTGATGACACCGGCGAAGGGGGTGCGCACACCGGCCTTTGACTTGATGGCAGTACGCGAGAACGATCCAGTAGCAGGGTAAGCACCAAGGAATGGACCGAGGCAGTTGCTAACACCAATCGCGACTAGCTCTTGCGAAGGGTTGATGGTGTAGTTGTTGACACGACCGAACGACTTAGAGATGGAGATGTGTTCGATGAGGAGGACGATAACGGTCGATGGGAGTTCCGATACGAAAGATTTGATGATGGGAATGGTGATATGAGGAACGCGAGCGTGCTGGAAGCCTCGAGGAACACTACCAAGTGTCGATATGAGCGGCTTCTTTCTGTGATGACGGTTGACGAGGTAGCTGATCAAAACGTAGAGAAGGATGATGAAGACTGTTCGCAAGGTGTTGATAAAGAAGAACAGCTTGGCCCTGTTGGGAAACTTCTTTGCGAGGAAGCCACACAACCAGCGAATGAAGTACAAGAGGAAGAGCGAGGTAAGACCGAAGGAGGCGTTGAGGTTCGTGTCTCCCAAATGCTTGAGAGTGCTAATGATCACTTTGTACGTCTCCTCGCGTGTCTTGACAGTGGTGATTCCCATCATGGTTGGTACCTGTCCAGCAGCAATGCTGATGGCCGAACCAGTCATGAAGGCCGAAATGGCGGGAAGGGAAATAACCTCAACAATCCAGCCCAAACGTGCCAAACCGAAGAAGAGCACGATTGCGCCAGCAATAATGGCCAACGAGGACGCAATGACATCGCGGGAAGCATCGACTCCTGTAGCTTCAGCTTTTAAGACAACGTTGCCGGTGACGGTCGACAGAACTGCAACAGGACCGATGGTGATGTCCTTGGAAGTAGCGAAAAACCAGTAGATGAGTACTCCCATGAAGGAAGAGTACAACCCGAACTCGACGGGAAGCTGAGCGAGCTTGGCGTAAGCCATACCCTGGGGAACGACGACTGCACCAACAGTGACACCTGAATCATGTTAGCGACTTGCCGTAGGGCATCCTGAAGAGAACTTACCAGCAATGAGATCGCCAATGAACCATTGCAGGTTGTATCGGCCGATCCAGTGGACGAAGGGGAAGAGACTGTAGCAGTACTCGCCGAACTCCCGTCCGGAGGGGATAACTTCGCGAATCCATTCGCCAGCAGTAGGTTCTTCCTCAACGTACGTGTGAGCGGAGCCAACAGTGAAAACACTCTCCCCTCGAGTTACTCGGTCCGAGCCAGTCTCATTGCGGTAATGGAGGTCAATACCGAGGACCTTGGCAAGGCCGTTGCCAATCTTGTTCGCCATGTTGTATGAAGTCTGTCCGTCAGGGGACGAGGCGATGAAGCCAGATGGCTATGGGACAAGATGATTCAACACTGGTAGGCTACCACGTGCTTACTTGCCCTTCCAGAATGGGGACAAGAAAATAAAACTGGACAAGACTTGTCAAGCTACCAAAGAAAGCTTGCCAGGGCTTAGAACTTATGTATCGAAGGCGACCAGGCGGTTGGGCGTGCAGAGGTTCCGTGCGGGAAGCCCACGTACAGCGAATAGCGGGAGATTGCCCAGCGACTAGGCCCGTGGGATCGAATTGCGAGATGCAAATTCGAGGTACCTCCGATGCGGTACGGTCTGGAAGTGGAAAAGCAAAAGGCTTGGAGAACGCCTCAAAATTGCTTAACGTGGCGGCTTATTGCGTGACAGGAGCTTGTCGCATACGTAGATCGAGAACGACGAAGTTGACGTATGGCGGTTTCTAGCCTGAGGTGCACGCAGACGCGTAATATGTCTGGTGGTGAGGCGGCGAGGGACGAATGCAAGAAACATCTCCCCGCACCACCTTAAAGCGAGACACACCAAGGTCAGAACTTGACAGGTGACATAATATTGTGGACATTGTCGGCCACCCAGTGCCCCAAACATGAGTGTGGTACTGATGCTATCTGCCGCGGTCGGAATTAAGTCGATGACAGAAAGCCTCGAGTTCGTAGAGAAACTCGGTTAGGGCGACAGGGATAGCGCATTAAAAGATCTGATGGTCGCTAACCGCACGCGATTGGCGGCCAATGATGTTAGAAGGCTCGGCGGGTCTCAATGGCGTGCTCACAGGCGAGGATGTCGAATTGCCCTGGTGCAGATGCCATGTTCATCTCTCGGCGGTGGCACCTGAAGGGTTTTGGCTGTCGATAATCATTCGTTGTAATCGCATCCTTCAGATTTTCTGGCAATACACCACTCTGCATAATTACTACGTAGTCATTGTTGATCGCGGATATCTTAAAAAGGCTATCCTTGTGTTGAAGCCCATTATGGGGCATCTGCGTCACTCCAGGAACGTTCCGGAATCTAGTGGAGCGACGTGGGGCTCCAACGGGGCTCCATCTGCAGCATCTTCTTCTGGACCGCTTTTAGAAGAGGATCTCGACGACAATAAGAGGGTACGAAGCTGAGAGCGGAGCGGGAAGGTCGCGGGTTGGATTAAGCTTCGGTACACCCATGTGCATCGTATTTGTGTTTTTGGTAAGACGTTTTCTGATTGGTGCGGCAGCTGCCTGCTGAAAGAAACACTACCTTTCCGCAATAGGTCTGTGGGATGCATCAACTACATGTGCGCTCCGTAACACGGAGATTCAATAATGTTGGGCTTGGTTGTTGAGGCTGACATCGCACGATCACAATTGGAGATTTTCCACCGCTCGAAGCCATGAGGTGTACGTGGATCAGTTGGATGTACACTACCATGAGTACACACTGGTAGCTTAGGACAAACACTTTGCGTAACACGATGCATACGTCCAACCTTAGGGACCGATGGACCGAAATGATTGACAGGGTCTGACCAGGGTCTTCTTGCAGCATGCATGGCCCATCTGCATCTATGGATACGAAGACCCTTTCCTCGTCACCTGCACTGCATTTGATCGTCGGATCACTCAAGCCTGAAAAGCCACCTCGGCCAGATCAGCATCCACTCCGCGCTTCATGCATGTTCCGAAGACCTGGTGTGGTGCAGTGAAGATACGGAAGACTATTTTTCTAGATGGCAGCGCTGTTGGATGCAAGGATTGGGCATGGGTAAGACTGCTCCGACAAAACTTTTGATAGTTACCAGACTCTTGGGACAGTCTTGCGTGTGACTTGCTGGGACAAGGCCTTTAGGTCGCTCAATAGTCACACTGCCATTTGAAATCGAAGGGCGCATCGAAGGCTGATTCGTGCGGGAATTGATCGAGCCAGATCTGTGATCACTTAGCTGGCTTGCTCTCGTACAATCGATATACCCGACCATAGTTCAAGCAGCAATACGATATCCACGTCACATGGGGTAGCGTAATGATGCTCTAAACGCACAGATGGCTTCCAGGTACAAGTCGATAGCCTGTAGGCAACAAACTCCTGCCCAACAATGTCCGTTCTGATGCGTTGTAGTGCGGTACTGCAGACTTCTTACTGCTAACTCTCTTGAGTGTGTAGAAGGGATGTATGTGGCTCGTAGAAAGAGTATCACAGAGAGACCATCCTAGCAGGACTGGCGAACACGGCACCTCCTGTTTCCGTTGGCGACAGCTCGCAAGAGCCAGGGCAACAGAAACCCTTTGCCGATGTCGCGATGATCTTCAATTCTTTATTTCTACAGCCCATCTGGACTCGAGGAACTTGTTACGCTCGGAACTTCGTCTGTCAAGAAATTACTACAGACAAAAGGCATGACTCTCTCGAGAATGATGGTTAATCACAAGTCACATCGACAGTGAGCCTAATCGAAAGCAGTCCATGGCGCTCGGCTCCTGATTCGATCAGATCGTCTAAATGATCGCTTTGCGATGCTATCGCAGTTGAGTTCTGACCAATGTCGACAGTATAGTTGGACTCATCGAACTGGAGATGGACACAATATAAGCCTTGCTGGGAAGGCGATCGTCACCATTGAAGAGACTATTGACTCGCTCGCCACTATGTAAGGTGACGATCTGATCTCAATGCTGTATCAGGGGATAATACTTGTCGTGCGTCAGCAACACAACACAGTGTGATGTCCAGGCTAAATGACACTCAAACACCTAATTGACTCTGAAAGCGCATGATTGATGTTCTTTGCGTTGATCTGTATGTGTAAGAGCGGTAGTGTAAGTGGGTCCAGCACAGCAGGGGTGCTCGGCAGACGACGCGGACACTCCCTAGTGACAGAATTACATCAAATCTCACGTAGTCTTGTTAATAATATACAATGCTGAACTGTCCACTACTCCATTTACACGTCATCATCACAATGTCTCCTCAATCATCAACGCACCCATCAAGGCTACCTCACCACCGATATTTATCCCAAGATGAGCATCTCCAGGTACAGACTCTGCATCTTGCTGACCATACATACGGGTTTATTGCTAACCTGTTAGGCATTACAGAGAGACAGGTTGACTATGCAATTGCTAGCGATCAGGTCACACCTAAGAGGCGCAGCGGTCGCCCACAAACGCTCACAAATGCCCACATATGTTTGATCCTCACAATCTACGCGTTAGATGAGCTACTTTCGACTTGCACATGGCCCTTTTGAGGCATGGGGAGTGTCACAGCATGTAATACGTAGGCATTACAAAGCAGAGGGTATACACACCGAGTGTTGGATGGAAGTGGCTCTCCGGTGATATAGGGTAGGAGCATTTGGGTTGTTTATTGTTCTGATTGGAACTAGGGTAAATAGCTTGTGTGGGTGGTCTCCGACCCAGGTTTCTAAGACAAACACGGAAAAACACAATCAATTGAGATCATATTTCAATACCGAGTTGCCCTTGCTAAGCCACCTCTTATCGATGATACCATGAAGATTTGCCTTGAGTCGGCTGAGCAGCATGTCAACTGGGAGCCTTGATAGTGGTGAATTATCTTGTGGAGTGACAAGACCTGGATAACTGGAGGGAGGCATTGTAGAAGATGGGTAACAGAGAAGTCTGGAGAGGAGCTTGATCCTACCCGTGTGATAGATAAGGTGCCAAGAAGGCGTGGGTGGATGTTCTAGGGCTGTTTTTCCCGTGAAATAAAATGGCCTCACCTCTCCTGGGAAAAGGAGTGAAAGACTATTAACAAGAAGAGGTACTGTGAGAGGATAGTACCACTTGTTCATGGCTGGTTAACCCTTAATCCCCACCTTCAATTTATGCAGGATGGGGCGCCAGGTTACGCAGCACGATACACCCTTAATGAGCTCCAAGAGCAAGGTATAGCACCTATCTACTGGCCCCCGTTCTCACCAGATCTCAACCCGATTGAGGTAATTTGGAACATGATGAAGGATTATATAGAGGCCTACTATCCTGACCTGCCTGCTGGAAGGCAGCCTACCTATGATCAACTCAGGGGTATCGTACAGAAGGCCTGGGACTCAAATACCTCTGAGGACCTTAGAGAGACCATAGGTACTATGAAGGATTGCTGCCAGGCAGTAATTGACGCTAAAGGCAGTCACACAAAGTACTGAGATTTGTATGTAAAGTATGACAAAGCTGAGCTCAATTCAACTGAAAAATACTGCCGAATATCCCTGCTCTGCAGACCCACCTACACTACTTACGCCAGATACCATAGTAGTGTGCTGTTTGTGTGTAGCCTCAAGTCTGACGTCAGGTCCGTGAACCGTGACATTGCGGGGTTGGCAGCGCGAAAAGCACGCGACCAGACATCGGCATCTTTCCGCTTGGTGGTTCTTCCAACCACAGCAAAAAAACGCCACAGTGTGTGCTGACCGCAGGATGGGTGACTCAGGAAGCGTTCTGCGGCTGGGCGTTAATCCCGAGGGTTCGCACGCGGATTTAACGTGGCTCATGCAGGTTAGACGGCAGGTGATGTTCAGCCTATTAGATTAAATTCACCCACCTCTTCTCTTCTTTTACCTCTTTCCTCATCTTCCATCTTCGACCCCGAGTACGTTTCTGTCTGTAACAAGCAGAAGCGCTTCTCCATCGTCGGTCGTCAGCAGGTCCCTCCCAAGGAGTGGCAATCGCGTCATGGTCATACCAATTTTATCGAGCGTTGCAGGCTTCCTCGGTATTACCTCGCTACGAGCAACTGGACGAGATGCATACATTATCATCACACTGCGCTCTCTGCGCATGTTCACGTCTGGAATACCGTCGCTGATCCTCGCCTTGTTCTTTGCCTCGCTCAAGTTTCCGGATTCCCGGATTGGAGTGTTCATGACACTGACGTTGCTTGGCGATGTGCTTCTGTCATTACTGTTGACTCTCGTCGCGGACAAACTGGGCCGGCGAAGGATACTGTTTGGTGGCAGCATCATGATGGCCTTTTCCGGTGTAGTTTTTGCGTTATCGGAGAATTTCTGGATCCTGTTGATCGCAGCTGTCTTTGGAATCATTAGTGTCACTGGTGCAGACTGCGGTCCCTTTCGAGCAGTCGAAGAGAGCATCTTGAGTGGACTAACAAACGAGAAGACTAGAAGCGATGTTTTGGCATGGTATGTCACATTTACCACAATGGCAGGGGCCGTAGGTGCCGAACTTGCAGGAAGAGTTGTACATGCTTTAGAAAAGAGGCATGACGTCGTTAAGGTCTACCACGCGCTATTCTGGGCCTACGCAGCCTTCGGAATGATTGGAAGCATTCTTTGTCTGGGTCTGAGTGAGCGGTGTGAGGCAGCTGGCGAGAGACGCGCAGAGATGCAAGAGCGCGGACGAGGAGGCAACGATGGGGAGGAAGAGGAAGTCCTGCTGGAAGCTATGACACCAAGCACTACCGACGGTTTCGATCACGAAGAGGGCCATGCAGCGAGACGCACAGACATCAGAGTTCCGCCCAAGAAGAAGCAGAGCTACTTCAGCCAGATCTCAAAGACGACTCGCTCCATCATGTACAAGCTCTGGATCCTCCTGGCTATCGACTCTCTCGCAGATGGCATGACACCATACTCACTCATAAACTACTACGTCGAACAAAAGTTCCACGTTTCGAAGGCAACACTGGGCGACATCACCTCCGCTTCACAGTTCCTATGCGCTGTCAGTGCCATCTTTGCCGGTCCACTCGCGAAGAAGATTGGACTCATCAATACAATGGTGTTTACTCATCTCCCTTCTTCGATTGCAAGCGCCTTCATCCCAATGCCGAAGACTGTCGGCCCAACTATTGGCATTCTTCTTTTCAGAGCTGCGCTCAACAGCATGGACCAAGCCCCACGAACGGCATTTATTGCAGCTGTTGTGAAACCTGAAGAGCGCACAGGCGCCATGGGCATTACGAGTATGGTCAGAACTCTAGCAATGAGTGTCGGGCCCTCAATCACTGGTCTTCTGTCTGGCAATGACGTGTTCTGGGTTGCCTTCCTTGGCACTGGCACTTGCAGGATTATCTACGATCTGGGATTATGGGTGCTTTTCTCAACAGTGAAGGTCGATAACAAACCTGCTGCAAGAGAAGATGATCTAAATAGCGTGGACGACGAGGCATGGAATGGCCTGCTGAGCGACAGCGATGGCGACAGCGTTCTCAGCAACGAGAGCAGAAAGAGCAAAAACTTTGGACGAGCCCAGAACAGGATATAAGCGGTGGACAGAGTGGGTGCCATATCAACGTCAAGACTGACGAGCACGGTCTGAGAGATTTGGCAAGGAGCTAAAGCGCTGGAGATAGTAACTTCATTTACAGAAATGACGGGCGTATTGTATGCGCAAGGAAGTATGGTCTCCGCAATGGCCAGGCTAACTTCTCGGCCAAAAGATGAATTACGACGGAACCAATCAGGGAATTTACACGAAGTAATGAACAATAGAACACCATCAACCAAATCTCGTGAGGATACACAAACGGTATGCTTCGACCAGCCTCGTACTTGCATCGTTCATCCAGTAGTGCAACAGAGTCTTTGAACGATGCACTGGCGACATCTATTTGCTGGAAGTGTATTCTGAATATCCATCACCCAAGTTGTAGTAAGTCGGTCCCTGTACACAACACTCAGCGAAGGTCCGTCCAAGGTCATGCAGCATCACTTACACTGGGATTGCTGTAGTAGTAGGACCCATCGGTGTTGGACTAGGGGTAAGAGTTGGGACTCGAAGCACCGGCGCCATAATCGCGGGAGCAATAGTGATTACTCTGTGCAAAGCATCAATGAGGGACGGGCACTTGAATGAGTAGACTAATCCACCGAACTGTTGACACCAGAACTTGTCGTGGTGTAGCCACCGTTACCAGAAGCCGGAGCTGGAGATAGACAAGGTATTATTGGAGGCTTGAGGCATATTGACTGGTAGATATGGTTTCAACGTCAGACTCTTGGTATTGGTTCTCTTTGGAGAGAGTGGTAAGAGAGTCACAGCGAGAATACGGGGTCGTCGCTGTCGATCCGGTCCGATTGCCTGTAGCAAGGTTGCGACACGTGACACTTTCCTCAAAAGGTGTGATGAGCAAGGATAGTGCCGGTTGCGATATCACGAGACCTCGTGATAGGGCAAGCCCTTGAAGGGCAGTCGCGTCTGGTGTTGTGGGGCGCGAATGGTGCGGACGATGCAGAAGAGGTCGCGCGCGACTATCACCAATCTCGGCTCTGCAAACGTAGCCAGGACGTCTTCAGCACATCTTTAACACATCTTTAACAAGGCGTTGTTGCATAGGCGGAATATTGTGGTGCCCTGTCTATTCGTCCGCCTATGAGACTCGTGCAAACTTTCATTCATGGTTTCTAAGATTACCAAGGCTTACAAACTTCCAAGGTTCCCTCTGCGATATGGAGACAGTTCTTGGCGTCCACATATATATACTCTAGGCTCGAAAGTCAGCGATGCACTTCGACTGACGACTGACCTTGCAAACCAGATTGTGGAGAGAATGGCAGACGTGTAGGCCTATGCTTTGGTAGACTACTGCTTATGGCACTTGTAATACACAATTTTCTGAACTACACGGAGGCTTCACCAACGAGTTCTCGGTATCATATCGACACTGCACACTTGTTCCCTCTCACACACTCTTATTAACGCCTTCCATCAGTGACCTACACATAACCTGGGCCATCCCAAGGTTGTCCACGCAAGTTGTATCGTAAGTTTTGTCTGCACCCAAACTCGTCGCATAGGCTGACTGTATGCCACGGTATCCTGCAAAATTAGGAAGAGTTATCTCCTCTTTTTTTCCCTACGCAACAGGATTTTAAAACGGCGGCACATTCTTTCAGCTTTCTTATAACACTCTTAGTTTCTGGACATATTTGTATTGTGGCTACATCACCTGCAGTTTATTCACCTTACGAAAAATCTGAATTAAATGGAGATGGGAGTTCCCTCCAATGAATCAGTGTAAGTGTTTCCTCAGATCTACCACTCTGCAGCTACATACTAACAACAGGCTCAGCACGCTATGGAACCAGCGAAGCTCGCCATTCCTCCCTCTTCCACACGAAATAAGCAATAGTGTCTACCAGTACACGGTCGGTAACCGGACGCTCACTGTGACCTCATATCATGACGGGCCCAGTATTCGAATCTATGTCTACGACCCCCCGAACTCTGAGGAGAAACGTGGCGTTCGGAGTCAAAGGCGACTGAACAGAGAACTCATCGTTTTGTCCAGTATCTGCCGCCATATCCAATATGAAATCGAGCTGCTCCCCTTTAAGTTCAACGCTTTTCGAGGATTCTGACGACGGCTTGTTGAGTTCTTTACATCTACTGGCAGCGCAAAGGCCGAACATATTCGGTGTGTTCATACAAATGTGGTACTCAGAACGGCATCCAAGCACTCAAGTCTTTGAGGGGTTGAGGTGTGTTGTTGTACGCTGGTAAAATTGTGCTGATGATAATCAGTATTGGTGAGAGATGCTGTGCACATTGGAACGTGTGATGGGGATGAACGAGCTGGACACGTCAATGTCCCAGCTCGTTCCTATGAATCCATCGCTCCAACCAGTGAACTATCGGTCGGGAATCTTCTGTTCGAGGACAGCGGAATGGCGCATGTTCAGGCGGAACTATACTCCGGAACACTCGTTAGCCACAAGTAACACAAGATTCCTCAGGCATTAGACCCTCACTGCGGAAGCGCAACATGAAGGTCCTCTCATATGCTGCGGGCAGTCGTGTCGCTCATGTTCCACCTTCAAAAAGAAACCAGTTGCCATATTGTGGCAGCGGCTGATTAGGTCATGGGCATTGTACAGAATCTACAGAAATCAGGGTAGTTTAGAGAGACTTGGTTGAATGAAGAATCCCCCTGCAACCCTAAGCGCTGGACCGTTGTCGACAGCTGAAATCTATGTCACCACATCATATGGTATCACCCGCGTGCTGCACAGTGCCAGTTGCAGTCATTTCACGGTTGTTGTGGCGCTTCGTGACGATGTTCGTCTTGTGACATTTCATTGTCGAGCGTACAACTGTGTAAAGTAACAGTGATTAACTCGCGCTTCCTCCTCCCTCAGCTGAAAAATCGACTACGCCTGTATGTGTGTAAAAAATGTCTTTGTGTACTCCACGGTGTTTTGGTTTTTTTGAGCGGGCAAGATACAGTCCTGTTCTAGATCGACTTACAGAGTCTGTTGCGGAGATCGTCAGAGAAGTTCATCGCGAAAACTAGGTTTGTCGACAAGAACAGGAAGGCGTGCCCAAGGTCGGAAAGTGGTCAGATGAGGATTACGCCTTTTACCCCACGATTTGTAAAGACTACCGAGGGTGTTCGTAAAGTGTTGAGAGCACGGCACCTACTTTCGGCATCCCTCCCGGCTTCAGCGGATTGGTGGAAATGTGAGGTTGACAGGGTCGGGCCGCTGCGCGGCTGCCCGTAGGTTGAACTTCACTCAACATGCCCTCGTATACTTCTTGGTCTCTTCTTGGAAAGTAGAGCTTCCTGGACGTTCGATTTTGAAACAATTACTGACGCTGAGTTGATTTTAGTAATGAGGTGTCCAGGCTAGGGGTCGTAGAGTTACAGCCGACAACGCCACTCTTGTTCACTTCCTCTTGACTTATCGTGTTGTGCTGTGATGCTTAGCACCGGATTGCCTAGCGAAACGTTTTGTCAGAGTTCCATGGCTGAGGCTGAAAGTAGCGAAAACTAACGACGTTCAAGAAGTTGTACAAATTCGTGCAGACTGCATGTGTAGGACACAGGAAGGGTGGATTTCGGTAGGCTTGCATTCGAGGAGAAGTGCGAAAGTGTAACCGTAAGGCTTTCTTTTTGAGTTGTTAGCCATAGGTGCGTTGTCCGTGGCAGCTGCATGGACAAGCTAGTATACACGCTGTTGTACGAGAAGGTCGTGGCGGACCCAGGACCGTAGCTGTGGCAAGTCATAATGAGTCACGTGGTGCGTTCGATCATCCGAATACATTGCAGAGGGAGATCTCCTCTCTGTCGTCGTCGGCAAGAATCGTTCAGCGGCGAGTACGGGACGAACTGCTGATGATCCACGCTCACGAGTATACGATGTAACCGTTACATGCCATGGAGCTGATGAGGGGCAAGCTATGCCTTGAGAGTGAGATTTGAAGTGAGGTTGAACTGGAATACCCCATCAAGTCTTGGCATCCCACGCTTACTCCATGTTTGGAAAGCATCCGTATGATCTTGTCCAGACCATCCCACGTAAAAGTTTCGGTTCGTACCGTTGAAACTCCATATTTCCACGTTTGAAACGACATGCAGAGGATTGTGGCAAAGTCGGTATCAGCAAACTGCCGAGCAGTTGCGGCTGCTGTATGTAACCGGCATCTTCCTGACCCCCACGCCAGAGTGCAAATTCATGCCTTGTTGACCGAGCAGACGTGTCTGCGATGCTTTGAGCCTGCATGTCCCTGTGCAAATGTATGGTCAGCAGCTGTAGGTTGAATAGGTGATAGGTCGTGCGACCTCAGCGACCTTGTGACCGAAAGGAGCTTTCGAAGCGTAGGTTCCACGAATCGTCGCAGCAGCAATTGCAACTCAAGGTGAGCTTCAGTGAAGCATGCTGAAACCTCGTAGCTGGATGCCAGAGTCGTAAGGAGCTCTCATGTTAAGTGTGCTGTCGATCGGTCCCGTCCCAGGTAATTATGACTCAAGCTGGGTTTGTAATGATGTTGTAAGCTTGGTCCATGTCTGGTAGGCCAAAGCTGTCTCGATTCCATCTCTTTCAGTTCAAACCTTGCTCCAACTTGTACATGTGATATGGATGAAGGGGTCGGGCATCCCCCGATCTCGAAGGAGTTGTGGCGTTTACCGGTTTCGCTCGACGTGCAGCTTCTGACCGCAGGCTCATGCATGTCAGAGGCAGCGGCAGGTGGTGGTGCAGTTTGCGCGAATTAAGGATGAAAGCGGGGAAGCATTCCTCGGAACGCCAATTTGTGGGGTAATAGCGTTGCAGGATTGGCATGCTTGGTCGGTCCAGGTTCGGCATTGAGTTCCACCATGAGGCTGCGAACATGGACGACTGATGAATATGTAAGTCTTATCATGCAACAGATCGTCGAGATGTGTTTGGTTCTACAGACTGACGTGATGTTCAATTCGTGTCCTTGATACTTGCTTTAGACCTCGGCAGCTAGAACGCACTTGTGTGATTAGCCTGGAGGGTGAGGTCCAAGCATGACTTACACAACATCGGCATTTGAACTGCACAGCATTAGAGTTTTCGTTCAGGTATCGGGATCTTGAATACCCACAGCGGAAAACACATTGTGGTTTCCCTTCTTGATCCTGCTACTGGCGTGGGGGAACGAAAGCAAGACCCACCAAGGATTAGGTACCTTACACGAGGCTGTTTAAGCATGGCCTGGTTTGTCTGACCCAAGTCTTGGTAGCAAACGCAATGTGATACCAAAGCCTCGGATCGCACATCATGCCGTTGTTGCCGAGTATCTTGCTGTACCAAGCGGAAGTCCATAGTACTTCGTGCATGGCGCGCTGAGCTGTCTACCTTCGCATTCGATTGCCAGTTGGCAGAAAGCACTGTCCAGACATTATGCGGACTATCCTCGTGTCCGCACCTGACGATACTCGAACTAAGAGCGGCATAGCCATGTGCGCAAGCGGAGTAAGAAAGTCGTGGTCCACGTCAAAGTGACATGAGGTCGAGAAAGGCTCAAGGGCTGGAGTCGAGCTATGACCAGAAGACGCCACTTAAGGTAACAACGTGGGGGTTCCCCGTGAAAGCTTCGTCGAGCTGCCAGAGCCTGTCATGATGAGACACTCATATCGATGTATATTCTGTGGGGGGATCTGATTCGGTTCATTGCTGGTTTCTCTCAGGCTGCGAGATGCTGTCTGGTCCTGTGACCTTCAACCCTAGCAACTGCTGCCATACTTCGACAATCTTTCCCTTCACCCTGCATTCGCTCCCTCGCAGCGCTTTGCTCGTCGCTGCAAGATGAATGGGACCACGACGAACGATAGATGCAGAATCAGATGATGCGAAGAGGCGAAGTCTGGCTGCTACCATTCCCCACCCCCACACTAAGATCCCCCGAACGGTATCCACCAACGCTCTTTCGAGCCCGCCCAACATTTCGGATCGCGCGAGCAGTGGCAACGATTGACCTATGGGCGCACAAAATGCATCCAAAGATCGTCACAGGGCGTGCACCCTTGCTGTCGACCACCGGCCAAGATCCGACATCTCATGGCCTGTCGGCCGTGCAGCGGCAGCGGAAAAAGCAAACTTCGCTGCCATCAATATCATGCACCTTCTTGATTGGCGCAAACAGCCGTGCCTGACACCGGCTGCGGCAGGCACCGCCCCTTTTCACCTTCCTACGAAAGCCTGACGGCTCTTACGGATGGACTTCTAGGCGCCTCCCTTTGCCTGTTCATCCCGAGATCCCAGACTAAGCCGTCAGCTGGACCCCCACACTTGCCCTGGCTTGTCAACTGGAACATTGCTCCTCCCACCGATTGCATTATTTAAGTATCTGAACTATACTCAGTAGGTGACCAAATCATTACCATTGACGTATTCGTTCCGTTCGTCGCTCTGCTTTCCAAGTTGTTCTTTGTTCTCCACTTTGATCTGCAACCATCTGTTCATATATAAGTCAACGAAAGTCTGGTCCCCACAGCACTTTTTGTTACCATGTCACCACTCCTCGACGCACCCTCCACTCCAGACAGCTACTCCTACTCCAGCGAGTCTTATCATCCTGTTCAATCTGCCTACACCATGAGCAACAACTCCGGGAGCCGACCCCTTGTGCCTGGGATTTATGTTCCTACCGTAGCATTCTTTCACCCAGCAACAGACGATGTAGATGTTGAGACTGTTGCTAGCCATGCAGTCCGTCTCGCAAAAGCTGGTGTTGCCGGCATTACAACGCAAGGTTCTAACGGCGAGGCTGTTCACCTGTCCCACAAGGAGCGCAACCTCATCACCAGCACAACTCGTAAAGCCCTCGACGCCGCTGGATTCGAGAACATGCCCGTGATAGTCGGCTGCGGTGTTCAATCAACGCGAGAATGCATCGAACTTTGCGAAGAAGCAGCCTCCGCCGGCGGAGACTACGCATTGGTTCTTCCCCCAGCATACTACCAAGGACTTTTCTCCAAGGACACTGTCAAGGAGTTCTTCAAGGATGTTGCCACTGCTTCCCCAATTCCTATCCTCATCTACAACTACCCCGGTGCTGTCTCTGGTCTGGATCTCAACTCTGATGTCATCATTGAACTGGCTCAACATCCCAACATCGTTGGTTGCAAGCTGACTTGCGGCAACACTGGCAAGCTCAATCGCATTGCTGCTGCCACAAACGCCGCTACAGTTTCTAGCTCTGGGTCTGGGTTTATGTGCATGGGTGGCTCGGTCGACTTCACTCTGCAGACTCTCGTTGGGGGTGGATCTGGTATTATCGGTGGTATGGCTAACATCGCACCAAGGACTTGCGTTAAGCTGGTTGAGCTGTTCAAGGCTGGGAAGTTGGCGGAAGCCCAGAAGCTGCAGGCTATTGTTGCTCGTGGCGATTGGGCGGCTATCCAGGGTGGTATTATTGGCACCAAGGCTGGTCTTGTTGCTCACTTTGGATATGGAGGGTATGCTCGCAAGCCACTTCCCAGGCCATCAAAAGAGGAGACGAACAAGTGGCGAGAGGCGTTTGACGAACTTGTTAAGACAGAGAATGCATTGTAAACATTTGCAGGGTCAAGGAACCTGCCCATCTTCCTTCACTTGGCGAAGGCATGTTTGAGCGTCATACAATTGGGTCAAATTGCTTTTGCATAGCAGCGACGGGCGGCCTTTTGTAGCACTTCAGCGTCTCTTTAAAACGAATTACATTCCTCGAAGCTCAAAGACATATGTACCAGCGCCGGCCATTCTTCTCTGTGCTTTAGACTGACTGAAACAATATCACCCAAAATCCCCTTTTGGACTTGAGTTTCCGTGTTCGAGTTTCTAGCCAGACTTGCGTGTAAGGTGTCCATGTCTCCTCGGCCATTTCTCGAGTCCTTCATCCCTACGTCTACATGCTCATTGCCCATGCGATTCTTCAGTGCTCAAACACCAACTCAATACCACCGTCCTTCAGACCCTTCAGCTGCTGCGAGAGACAGTTCCGACACTCTGCCTGGGTGCTGTGTTTTGTTGCATCTATATCGATTTGTAGGAAGATGCAGTCTAGCTGCACATACTGGACGTGCTGGTGAGCTCGCTCTCGTAACTCTATCTGGGTTAGATCGCACCTCTGGAGTGAATCCGGGCTTGGGCTTGCGGGGTACCATGGTTCTTGTCTTTGTGTTGGGTAAATAAACAGGTGCGGGAAGGTGGGGTCAGGTATTTGGAGTGGCAGGAGCACGGGCCCAGATGTGAGCGACGCTACTAGTCAGATCGAGGCAAGGTGAAGGTGAGATCACGTGGAAAGTTGCAAGAAATGAGACGAAAGCTGCAAATGCAAAGAAAAAATTGATAATAACTATCCTTCCGAATCTTCTTGAGATGATCATGTATGACCTTATGAGCCTTTTTCGAGCTAGTGAAAGATAAGCGTATGGAAAGTGTTGAGCATTGGAAATGCGTGAAATGCAAGGTCATTTTCACCAACTCGGATCTAGGTCCGTGAACTTCACCTCGACAACGAAACCCCCTATCTGCCTTAGACTGTGTAAGGCACTGCTTCCAACCATCCTGAGACAAATTTACCCCGGCCCTAAGGTTCACCTTGAATCTGCACATACACTAAAGCAAGTCTGCTGATAACGATTGTCCTGAGACGCGGGAAGAACGACTTCTTGAACGGCTTGTATGTTCAATATGTCAAACCATTCTCGAGTGAACTGTCGTCGACACATGCCCACACAGCATCTAGATACGACTCGACTGATATGATGGCTTTTCTCTGTACAGCTTTCTGGCGCGTTATGCCGTTGCGAGAGTCCAGGTGTTCCGAACCGAAAGTGAACATTGAGCGGCTGTAGGTTACTAGAGCAGTCTCAGAATAGATCTGGCGACAGACTTTGGGCGAGTAAAACGCAGATAGGACCTTCTCATATCGACACTCTTGATTAAGTCCCCAGGGACCGCTTCAAACATCGACTTGCCTGTCTTGTGTGTAGCAGACTGCATTGCCCTTCCCGCGACGGAACCGGAGCAGTACGAGTTGACCACCAAGTGCGAAGCGCCATATCGTGTTTCTGATCTCGGGAGGGAGCCGTAGAAGCGGCGAGTCAGTCGCATTGTGCTTGACATTGGACAATAGTTGACCTGCAAGCCAACATGTACGGTGCTCTATTACTGACATTGCCACAAGATGAGGTGACGTTTTCTCCAGATCCAGTAGACCATTCCTGCACCGCTTGACATTATAGGACGCAGGTTGCTTGAAAGAGCGTGCTGAGCGCCTTGCAGGAACCTCCTCCGCTTTCTTTGACCTTCCTTTGTTGACTTTCGCTGGGTTGGACCGCACTCTCGAGTGGGTGTAGGCTTCGGTTTGCGGGGCGCCATGAGGGTAGCGGTTGTTGCTATACTGAGACAAGTGACAGAATGAAATAGGACTGCGAAGATGAATGTAAGGCGGTAGGTGCATGAGCCTAGGCAAGCGGCAAGGTTAATAAGGCTGAAGTGAAGGTGAAAGTGAGTGGGTCTGAGAGCGCAGCAGCGTTGTAACACATCGATAGGATCATCCCCACAACGCCCATATTCTAAACTGGGCTTACAGAATGGCAACGGTGGTCCGGTGAACATTTATGTGACTACCGAAAGCAGGAGATAGAATATGCTGATTATGGCTACCATCAGGATCTCCCATGTATCGTTGTGCGTGTATTCGTTTCTGCCGTTTCAATTCCCTCCAAACCTGATCTCGACATCCTTACCTGCTATATGCTGCAAGTCTCGAACGATTTAATTCTTCCATACCTCCTCGCTCTGGAACTTTTGCCTGGTGCCAAATGGATCGTTGCGCAGCCAAACGGCTTGTGTCCACACCTCACAGTCTCGGCTGATATGAACAAAGTCTTGAGATTCGGTAGCTTGCCGATGATACATCCGTTGGAGCTGGGATGACCGTCTCGTAAATACTCAGAAAGTGCAAAGAAATCAATCTCAACTCTGCGAATAGCCTTTCTCTGCGCCACCATCAGGCGTGTTAATGCGCTCTTGCAGACAATATGACAGGATTCATGGAGAAAAGTGTTTTGATCATAGGAGGTGAGAGCTGTTTCCGAATAGATCTGGCGACAAACTTCTGGCAGTTGGTAAGCAGCAGGCAGCCTTGGGGCCTTCAGTCACGCAAGGTAGTCGGAGTAAGCGGTCGGAGAGCTCGAGTTGATCGCATCTTTCTGTAACATGCTGATCGCTTGAGCCTTCCCAAGTTCGTATTTCGGCAGCTTCACAAGCTGGTCGCCTATTGAAAATTTCCATATGCGGTTTCTAATCTCTCCGGGAAGGCGAAGGAGAAGCGACTCAGCAGCACTGTGCTGGACTCTGCCGAAAATATCAATTAGCTGTGTCAAGAACACTAGGTAATGTCTTACATTGTCACAAGATGAGCAGGCGTTTCTCGAGATTGAATGTGCCATTCTTGTATCGCTTGACACGATAGGTGCTGGATGACTGAGTCGTAGGCGTGGATGTGTTTGTGGTCGTGTCTACAACCCTCTCTGACCTCGTTTTGGTGACCTTTGCTGAGTAGACTGGTGACTCTGCGCCTGTTGCCGCTGGGTTTGGTTTGCAAGGCGCCATGCTGGTGACCGACTTTTCGAGGGTAGATTCGGTGCGGGAACGTGGTTGGTGGGATAGTTCGGCTTGTAAGCTCAAAGTGAAGATGAAGGTGATGGGGATGAACATTAGTCAGGCCCCACTTTTGCGAGACTAATTGCTGGTTTTCCATAGTGATGAAAAGGCTAGGTTGTAGCTATTTCAGACCTCGTAAGCTGCAATGAATCAGAAAGAAAAGAGAGTAACAGACAGAAGGAGGCAAACCCTCCATCAAAACCTGTATCCCCAACCGCTCATGTCCCCCAACAAAGTGACAAAGCCAGATCATATTCAGCGGCAAAAGCATATCTGAAAATCTTAGCATGATGGTGCGCCAGATTCACAGTCCAGCAACATACATACCGTTGACTTGAGATTATTTTGATGAAAAATGGGAATTCTTGCTCATCTGGACGTCCCAATCCATGGATGAGGAATATGACTACTGGAATAGGTGTTTGAACACGACATCCGCATCTGGTTTTGCTTTTCTGATGTGCGACCTGATCTCGGGTATTTGAGTTCTAATTAAGCATTCCGCAGTTCGCCCAAGACGTCGCAATCTAAGACGCATCCAAGCAGACATGTGAATCTCGATAACGACTTTATCGAGCCCTGGGAACAAATTCATACGGAGAGCGTCTGACAAATGGGATATGCTTAGCGACCTTTGGTTGAATCTCATCATACGAGCAGCACCTTCTGTAACGATACGAACCTCCGCAATGAGTGCTTGTTGTACTTTGCGCAGCCCCGCAACCCACCCAAAAGCATATTCTGCTTCGAACCGGAATGCGTTAAGCTCGCACGGCAGGAGCGCTGTCTCGGCGTATATTGGCAGCAAACTTGGAGCAGGGTCATAGGATATTTCTGTAGGTTCTGAGTGCGTGCAATGTAGAGCACCTCTTTTGGCTTTCGGATTTGGTGACTCATGAAGTTGAAGACATGGCCCCCAAGCGCGTACTCCCAGATGCGGTTCCTGAGCTCTAGCAGCAAGCGAAGCAGTGGCGTCTCGGAGTTAATCTTAATCCTGCACACTTTCAGCAACCCTTCTCTGTCCCGCTATGAGGCGTAGAGGAACTTACGCTCTGATATGTTTGCCAGACTTGCGAGTCACATCGAGCAAACCGTTCTCGAGTCGTCGGATGGGACCGGCCTTATGCTTGGTTTTTCCACTACGAGAGTCGGAGACTCTGTCCTCAGTTGCTGGTCGTAGTGTTGCTGTTCTGGGCGCCATTGAGACCGAGTCCGATGATGCTTGTAGAGTTGGTGGTTGAAGAAGACGGTTGATGGGGGAGTGACGACCAGGCGACCGAGGTATATACCAAAGCCTTAGCCCGCTCTCTCATCCGTTCAAAACTTTCAACCAGTGAGACAAATTGACCTGAGGAGAGACAAGCCTTTCTCTCAGTTGATAAAGCGACCGACGTCTTCTTCATACCGCAACCCTTTCAAAACTAACAACCAACCTGGGATCGCGCCTCGTCCACCTCAACCTCAACCTCCCTTCCTGCTCCGCCCAATCCCTATCCTCCAGCTCGTTCCCACCACACTCCCACTTACCACACTCCCTCACCACCCCCGTATACCTCACCTCCACACGCACTTTCCTCAACCCCGCACACATCTCGACAGGAAAAACATCCCCCAACCTCCTCGGCACAAACCCGCTACTCTCAACCATATGTTTCGCCTTCCACGTCATAAGCCTTACCTCCGTGATAGCAGCCCGTTGCGCCTGATCGAACTTGTTCAGCCATGGCTTGAAGGCGTCTTCGCTTTTGAACTGGAAGATGTTGAGTTTGAATGGGAGGAGTCGGGTCTCTGAGTGTATTTGGCGGCATGTTCGAAGGAGCGAGAGATAGTGCTTTTGGATGGTGAGGTTTGTGGTTGTGGTGCCCCAGGGGATGCGCACTTCGCACTTGATGTCGAACGTTTTTTCGCCCAATACGAGTGCCCAGATTATGTTTCGAAGTTCTGCTGGGAGGGAGACGAGAGGAGACTTTGGCGCGGTAGTCTCGCTGATTTGTTCAGAGACTTCTGCTGGCGAGGACAGATTTGTTGGTGCCATTTTTGAAGTGAATAGTGTGGATGGGAAGTCCCAGATTCGTAGATTATATGAGCTGGCCTCCATCTTCACTCCTACTCACGGCGCTATCAGCGGGCCTGTTAGCGGATTCTGTTGACCTAACCATGTACGCCAAGATGAAAGAGGCTGATGGCCGTCTAGCGGGCTAAGCTGAGAGTTAAATGAGAGACATGCTGGCGATGATGAGGCGCTTACGTGCGATAGCTGAGAACATTTTTCACCCATGGATTCCTCGAATAGGCAATTGCGCAGCTCGCTGCTTCAAGCCCAAATCTGACAGGCTTTGGCACGTGGCAGATTCAGCACGTATGCTGCGAGCGTGTGTCGACACCTGGAGTATAGTCGCTCATAAAGAATCCTCATCGACATGGCCTAGACTTTTCACAGGCGCTAAGAGGTGCTTACCACAACGCGCCTTCGCTCTAGGTGAGCAGCTTGTGGCTCAGGTAGCCGGACACTGACACAGTGCAAATTCGACATGACCTGGCCGGCCACAGCAGGTCATGCTTAACGTAGAAGCATTATATCTGAAATTGAAATCGTCAGAGTAGAAAGTGCTGTTCGATATCTGGAAGGGTGGTCGTAGATGGTGCGGAGATGGGAAACCATGCACCGTGAAACCGCCGAGGGTCCACTCCGCAACTTTCGACGCGACATCAACATTGCGAGACCTCTACTGTCACCTCCCATGTCACTACACTCCACGACACCACAACAATGACGAATCTTGACATGCTGCTGCTGAAAGGCGCCTCTTCAGACCTAACTGAAGAGAACCTGGCAGAATTGCGCTACACGATCCTTACAAAGGGCATACCTGCCAATAGCGAGGGCATGGTGAGCTTCCCCACAACAAGCACCCTAGCAACCACCACATCTGCAATTCAAACAACAATGCTCAATACAGCTCATGTCTGTACAAGTCCTTGCAAGTTGCTGACAACTTGCACGCACAGTCGGAACTGCGAATCTACATCTGGCTGATCCTGCTCAACGCGCCTCCCCTCCGCACTGACGTATACCTCGACCTCGTCCGACAAGGTGCCTCGCCCGCACACGCAAAAATCCAAAACGACACCTTCCGCACCTTCCAGGGAGATCCTCTCTTCCGGCGGCGCGTAACGCAAAACAGCATAACCCGGGTGCTCAATGCGGTCGCATGGCGGCTCAACGATGCCCACGAAGCGCGCGTAAACGGATGGCAGTCGCCTCCAACACTGTCAGAGTTTGGAGGGAGCCCTGACACGAGTATCATGTCGAGGCATAGCTTTAGCACGGTGCCTGGCACAACGACGAATCCCAGTACGACCAACGATGCGGAGCAGATTGGGTACGTGCAGGGCATGAACGTCCTCTGCGGGCCCTTCCTGTACGCTGCGAAAGGCGAGGTGGAAGCCTTCACCGGGTTCGAGACACTGATTACCCGCGAATGCCCCGGCTATGTACGCGGGTCTATGGAAGGTGTTCACAAGGGCCTTGCGCTGGTGGATCGGGTGCTGGAGGTTGTCGACCCGAAGCTGTACAGCCACCTAATGGCACACCGCATGGAAGCCAAGATCTATGCGTTTGCGTCTGTGCTTACGATGTGTGCGTGCACGCCGCCGCTGCCCGAGGTGCTGCAGCTGTGGGACTTTTTGTTTGCGTATGGGCCGCATTTGAATATTCTGTGTATTGTTGCACAGCTCGTCTTGATTCGAGGCGAGATTATAAACAGCCCCAGGTGAGCTTAGATTTCTGGTGTACTTTCGGACATGATTGCTAATGTTGACGCAGTCCGAATCAGATTCTGAGAAATCTGCCCGGGCTTCAGGCGAGAAGGATCATCGATGTTGCTGTCAGCTTTTCTGGCCAGATCCCGGAGGACATGTACGCAGAGATCGTCAGCCATGCAAAGTAGACTGTAGCTGGCAATGAGGCCTGCAGAGCAGCAGGACAAAAACAAGTACGATTTACGATGGCACGACCTCACGATACCCTTTTACACGATACAAAACAGGTTGTTGAATAGCATTGAAGCAAATAGTAGAAGATAGACATGTCTGCCTCCACCAGGGAAAACCCCCCATTCGTCGGATTCTAGTTGCCCTTCCGCTTCCTCTTCTCCCTCTCATAAACATTCTTCTCATACCCCTCCTCGCCCTGAATCTCCGCCACCAGCCTCTTATACTTGGCCTCATATGCCGCATCTTTCTCCTTCTTCTCCCTGAGCTTCTCCCTGGCAATGAAATTCGCGTCCTTGCGCAACTCCCGCATCGCTCCTTTCCTCTCCCGCTTGTACTCTTTCTGCAGCTTCGTGGCGTCGGAGCGCTCACGGTCCGCGTCGTAGTGCTTCGTCGGGTCGAAGGATTCTTCGAATTTTGGTATGCGGCTGGGGATGGGGAGGGGGCGGTGGTGGTGCAGTGCTTGTGGGCGGCGAGTCAATTTCGCATTATTCACACGCGCCAGGAGGTTTTGTGTTGTGGATGTTTGGTGTGCGCTCTTTAGCGGTGCCAGTAAAGGTGTGAAGATCTCGATGAAGGCCGGTGAGCCGCTCCAGAGGTCTGCGGCGGTGAGGATGTTGCGGGTGTGTGCGCTTAGCAGGGGTTTTGTGGCGTGTGGAGAGCGTAGGCACAGCGATGTATAGCGGATGAACTCGGGGATGTAGCGTTTTGAGAGCGTCTGGTATTGTAGGCACAAGGCACCGACGAAGGCACCAGTGGCGATATCGTTGGCTGATGAGGGTGTTGTTAAGCCCATCCAGCGCGCCATCAGTGTCACGGCGGGTGTGACGACTTGGTGGAAGTGGTCAGATGTTGGATAGATCGATCCAATGGCTGTGAGAAGCGCTAAGTCTCCTGGAGTCGGCTGGTTGGAAAGCTGGAATGCCTTGAGGTGCTTGCGGAACTGCGTAGCAATCTGCACTGGGTATGACCGGGAAATGGAGTGGATGTGACGGATGACGGACTCGATGACTGCCAACGGTGCTGCAGGTGTCTGGTTTGACAGGTACGAGACGTGATCGAGAAGTGCGCACGCGAAGTCAGCGAGCTTGTGCTTGTTATCCTCCTTCAGACCAGCGTGGTACAGCGCTCGTATCCTTTGGACGACTGTGGAGGTATCCTTGAGGTCGACCGTTTTGAAGACTTCCAGCAGTTCCTCATGCGAACGTGGACATGGGTATGTGTACGCCAGTCTCGAAGAAGATGTGTCGGCACCAATCGTGAGCACGCCTTTCACAGCCTTGGGCTGGGCTTTGGGCTGCTCTACGACGTCCTTCAGAAAGTCTGCATCGTCGTCGTCCATGGCCATTGTGTCGTCCACCTCAGCCCCACTCTCCGACTCTTCGTCCGAGATATCAGCTTCTGAGTCTGTAGCAACAAGGTCGTCCTCTAGTATGAAGTCATCCTCGTCATCGACGCCAACAGGTCTGCTTTGCCCTGGTGCTGGTGGTGCAGCAAGCCCAAATTCAGCAGCATCGTCATTGATGTCGGACATATTCTCGTCATCGTCCTCGTCTTGCTGCTTCTTGGAGGGCTCCTCGTCGTCGCTGATGGGCTCTCCCCTCATGCGCTTCTGGCGCTTCTCCTCGAGCTCCTTCAAGCGATCAGCCTCCTCTTTGGCCTTCTCCTCAGCCGTCTTTGTTCGCTCGGTGGGCTTCGATCGCTCGTCGTTGAATAGCTCGCGCACCCGGCGGTCATATTCCTTATCCTTGCCCTCCTGCGACATGGTTGCAAGCAGCGCTGCTCGATCGGCGTTCATACCGAAGTCGTTCTGCGCCACCTCCCTCACCTTCTCAGGTTCAGGCTTCTTGTTGATATGACCCCTCAGCGCAGCCAGAACATCGTTCAAGTCCTTGTCAAGCTCCTCCCTCAACTCCTCGTCATCCTCCTTCGCCTGCTGCCTCTCGTACTTATGCAACTTGCTCTTCGCAATAACCTCCTTCATAACCTCAGCCTTGCTCTTCTTCCTCTCAGGCTGTTCCTCATTCTCAACCTCAGCATCGCCCTCCTCACCATCATCTCTCCTCCTCTTCTTCTTCAAGAACCCATCCTCGCCCTCATGATCACTTCCACTGACACTCGCAGCATCATAATCCTCCTCCCCGATCTCATCATCAAACCTCAGTGTCTGCCCTCCGTGCGTAAGCTCCACCTCCTCGTCCCCATCCTCCAGATCAAATACATTCCCGCCCCTCTTGCGCTGCTGCTCGCGCTCAAACCGCGCCATCATGCGATCCTCAAGACTCATCGTCGGGTCGTTCTCGCCAATTCGGCGATCCAGGATCCCGCCCGTCTTGTTCTTGCGATTCATCTCCGGCAGCAGTGTCTTCCGTCTTGTTTCCTCGCCCGCGCTCTTGGTGACGCCGGGGCGTCCGAGCACTTTGGGTTTCGCATTTGTAGTTGCGTATTCGAATTTCTGGGGGCGCGAGAGGTGCTTGAATTCGAATGGGTTGAAGGATTCGCGGATCGAGGCGAGCGCGGAGGCTTTTTGCGTGTGGTGCGAGGCATTCTTATTCTGTGACTTCTTCTCTTTTTTGGATTTTTGAGGGCCCGTTATGCCTTGGTCTCGGAGCGAGGCTTTGAGGCGCTTGAGTTGTGAGGGGGGCATTTGGACTGTATAGCGAGTGACAAGAGCACTCCGAGAAGTATGAGGCTCGCTGGGGGATGCAACTGATCCGCCGTCTAGAAATTTTGGCCAAGAGTTCGGTGTGGGGCCCCACCGCCTTCCAATCCCGCACTAGCTTGATGGACCCCTGCCTCCCACGCGGTGCGGCTGCATCATCGCCCGTGAAAGCCGCAGACACGCAACGGCAACATGTCGTTCGTCGCGCCCATACGTTCCGTACCATGATCTTACTCCTACAATCCTCAACAAAACCTAACCATGGCCCCAAACTTACCCGACCACTACCTCTGGCTCGGCCTCGGTACCTCTTTCCTGCCCACCTCACCATCTCCTAAAGACTGACAGTCATAGGCGTATTCACATTCTTCGCCATCCACCACGTCGCCTCCGGTCTGCGCACAGTCAAACAGCTAACTGAAGTCCACCGCCCCGTCCCAAAACCGCTCGGCATCCGGACCCCGACCTCGCAGGAAGACGCGATCAAAACCGACTCACTACTCCTTCTCGCGCAATCCCACAACGTCGAAATACGGGCTTCGGCAACAAAGTTGCTGTGTGAAAGATTCTATGCGAACGACAGTGCAAGGCAGCTGTTATTGAGGGATCTAGGCAGCAGGAAGAAAGACGTGCAGCGCCGGGCGCAACTCGCGTTCCGGCTGCTGCGCGACTACGGTGTTTTCCGTGAGCGCGGGCTTTCGTACGGCTACGGAGGGATTGAGCCGCGTGTACAGTGGAACGATGTTGAGGTGTTGTCAGCCGGTGGAGGGCTGCGGGAGAGGGAGGATGCTGGGGAGGACGAGAGGGATGCGAGGAGGCGGCGGAGAGAGGCTGTGGTTATTCATGATGGGGAGGGGAGAGTGGGGGAAGGGGATGTGTGGATGCGGGATCGGGAGGGGGTGATGAGTCTGGATATGGAGGTTGGGGAGCTGGTTATTGATGGTGTTGTGCATTGATTGCTACGGCGCTATGATACCCTTAGCAATATGCTATCATGTTTGAGGATTTGTGTTTGTTGTAGTGTGTATATGTACAGTCTATGCGTTCCGCTTAAGGCGGATTAATGGGTATTTTCTATATCCATATCCAAGTCCTGAAAGACTTTTTGAATGGAGTTTGTTCTAATCACACATAGTAGAGAAAGGAAGTCATGGTTTCTCTACTCCTTCTTCGGTGTCTCAGCAGCCTTCTCCTCCTTGCCTGCTGGCATCTCGTCCTTCCTTGCGCGCTCGTCCTGCTCTGCGCGCTCGGCACTCCCCTCGGTGGCGTTTGAATCGCCACTGCTGGCTTCAGCCTCATTGCTCTCCTCTGCTGCAGCCTTTGCCTCGACCTTCTTTGGCTTGTCGTCCTCATCGATGTCCTCGTGGTCCTTGGGCGAAGCGTTGACCTTGTCTTCATGGGATTGTGTCTGCTCATTCTCCTCTTCGATAAGCTCTTGTTGCTCCTTGAGGACTTCCAGACGCTGCTTGTTGGTGGCCGCGCCCTCGGTGGTGCTGACCTCGAGCTCGATCTCGTGATACAGCTCCTCGGGAATACTGGACAGAACAGCCTCGAGTGCGTCGATTTGCGATGTGGCATCTGCCTCCTTACCCTGGACATAGACGAAAGCGTTCGAAAGGACAAGAATGGTAGAGGGAACACCGTGCTTGAGACGAAGGTCGAGCCAGGTCTGGAGGTCGTCCCGGAGACGGCCAGGAGAAACACCGTATGTGCGGAGACCACGGCTTGCGCAGGCAGTCTGGAGTTCCGGAACAGAAAGCGAGTCAACACCTTCGTATGCGATTGCCCTGTCGTCACGCTTGATCTGCCTCATGCGGACACGGACCTGGTAGCGCAGAAAGTTGTCGGTACCAAAGGAGGTGATGTTCATGTAGCGGCAGATAGAAACAAGCTGTGGTCGGGACAAGTTGTCGAGGGTCAGGTCGTCCTTGAAGATCTTACAGACCTTGACAATTTCCTCTGGGGTAGGCTTCTCGCCAGTAGTTCGGACCTGTGCTTCGTCAATACCAAAACCCAATGCCAACTCATGTAAGTGTACATACCTTGCGGAAGAACTCGGCAAACTCTGCCCTCTGCGCGTTCTCTGCAGAGATGGGCAGTCCAGTCTCCTTCAGCGTTGAGCGCAGAAACTCGCTGACTTCCTTTCTTGTCGACCGCAGACGCTTGGCCTTAGCATCTTTCGAGGACTGGCCCTCGTATGTGCTGGGAAGCATATTGGGGAACAGCTTCAGGGCAACGGGGAGCAACAGCTCGGCGAAGGGAACGATAACGAAGGGCAAGAAAGGGATCAGCCGCCCCAGATCCTGCACGGTACGTTGCAGCTGCAGCTCTGTCAGTATCCCAAGTTGGCATACTATTCCAAGATTCGTACCTGTCGTCGTTCACGCCTTGTGAGCTCATAGCCTGCAGCCATCTTCAGGGCGAGCTTTGTGCTGATCTTGATCTCAAAACCAAGCAGCTTGGTGCCGTCCCAGTAGTGCGTCGCTTCGTGCTTCACTTTCTCCCAGATTGTGAGCTTCTTCTTGCTCTCCTCCTTCTTTGCAACCGCCTTCTTCTCAGCATCGGTCTCCGCATTTGCCTTCTCGGAAGCGAGTTCGGTCATAGTTTGCGCATCCTGAGCGACGGTCTTGGGGTTGGCGGTAGGCCCGGTCTTGGGAACGATGGTGTCTTTCTCGAGAGGTGTAGCGATCTTCTGTTGGATGGCTTCCTGCTCCTTCTTGGGGGTTGGTTTGCTCGCTTGGTTGGGGTTGAAGCCTGGCGGAGGGTAGTTGCCTCCTTGTGTGCTTGTTTGCGATGTTTCAGTCTGGAAGCTTCGGTGTGGGAGCAAAATGGCGATGGCAGACACATTCTTGGGCATGGGGCGGTGATAAGGTCGTCCAGCGGTCCTCATGCCTGCCCTGAAGACAGCGGGCGCTGCCCGGGTGGCAGATCGAGCAACATACATTGCACCGTAAGCAGTATCAGGGACGTAGAGAGTGACGTGGGTGGTTCAGATGTTGTATAGTAGTACAGCAGAAGAAAGAAGAAAGCTAGAGTACAAGCAGAGGATAGCAGCAACCAGCTAGGGGCGATGTGCCGATGCGGAATGTGAGATGAAATCGCCCTGACGAAAGAGCTAGAATAATTCCCAAGAAACAGATCGCTGCGGCCGTTCGCGCCCCGAAAGCTTGGCCTCCGTAGGGCTGTGCTGACTGCCGACTTTGGACGTGAAACCCGTGACATGCTGGCAGGAAGAACTCGGGTGTTGTTTCAGGCAGACGTCAACGGATGCAGGCCTGCTGTTGGGCCCGAACCGCGGCAACGCGTCAGCAGAACTGGCTGGCGCTCAACTGCCACCCAGTCCCAAGGATGAGGGCACGCGGGAGGCAGCCCACGGATCCTTGGCTCCGATACCGTCTCCGCATCAAGGACAATTCGGGCAATAATCCGAGAACTTGTGTCCGCCGCCAACAGCCGCCCCTCCAAGTCCACTACACTCGCGCTTGCATCTGCAATACATTTCACTCCTTTGGTGTCTTCGTTCCTGTTCCGCGACCACATACCTTTCTGAATACTTTTATACAACGTTCAAAATGATCTCTTGCTGAGAGAAACCCTACCCGGACGAAGCCCTCGGCTTCCCTTTCGCGCGTCATACCTATATCCTCAACAGCACATTTAACTCCCATATCCTTGAAATCCCCCTAGCCCGAATCGCATACAATGGCTCTCCAAAGTCTGTCAAGAGCGGCGCGCATTATCCTGGTTGGCGCACCAGGCGTGGGAAAAGGCACCCAGACCGAGCGTCTGATGAAGCAGTTCCCAGAACTCTCTTCAATCAGTTCAGGCGACTTGCTCAGGAAGAATGTCAGGGAGCGAACCCCGCTGGGTATGTGCATTCGACTGGCTGCAATGCACTCGCTAACACAACCCAGGCATCCAGGCCGAATCTAAGATGAAGGCCGGCGCATTGGTCCCGGACAGCATGATTCTGCGACTCATTGTCAATGAGCTCTCGACCCGTGGGTGGATTAGGGATAGCACACTGCGGCCGTACGCTGTTTACTCGAGCTCAATAGCCGCGGAGGACCACACAGTTGACTCGGTGTCGATTCCTTCTGCGATCAAGACAGCAAAGTACACATACTCGGACCACCCTGAGGCTTCGTTCATCCTGGACGGCTTCCCTCGCACGGCGAACCAGGCAGTCCAGCTGAACGAGATTGTGCCCATCAACATGGTTGTTAGCATCAATACGCCCAGTGAGATCATCATCGATCGCATTTGCAATCGCTGGGTGCACGCACCTTCAGGGCGTGTCTACAACACTACCTTCAATGCGCCAAAGGTCGAAGGCATGGACGACATCACAGGCGACCCGCTCACACGGCGAGCTGATGACGACCCTGAAGTGTGGAAGCAGCGACTCCAGAGCTTCAAGGAGAACAACGAGCCGCTGCTCGAGCACTACGACAAGGCAGGCATTCTGTGGACTGTGAATGGCAACAGCAGTGACGAGATCACCCCTCAGATTTTCAAGGAGTTCGGCAAGCGATTTGGCGTACCTGTTCCTGAAGTTGTAGGAGGCTTGTGAATGTGTTATATACCATTTCTGTTTGCTTTTGGTGGACAACGAATGTCTGGAAACGGTATGGCAACGGTATCGGCGGTCTTTTGCATGTTTGGCTGTTGTATGATTGGGCAGGCACGACTCTCATTCACTGTACATATTGGCCGCTACTGGCGCGCAGAGGTCAAAGTTCCCCGTAGACGCTCATAAAGCGCTTGCACGAGCATTTTCCATCAGTTTGATAATCCCCTCGCTGAATGTTCAGTATGAAGGTCGATCAACAAGACGTTGCGAGACACGAACCCTTGTACGAGTCGATGGCACGCGCTGAAGCGCCCCGCTAGCGACAGCTCCAGCCCAGCGATCCAGACGTCACCGGTGGCACCAGCCTCAACTCCACCAACACTAAGTTCTACCCTGGATCCAGCGAACTTCGAGGTGATTTGGGCTGACAGCGCCTCTGAGCAATCAGACGATTGGTCAGACCTTGCACAAGATTCTCACACTGTCCAAGATACCCCATCTGCCCTCGACGCACGCGCAATGGCGGAGGACTTCAGCGAAGGCCGCCTAGAGACAATCGTCGGCAGCCCGCAGAAGGAGCTGGCAGGCACCCAGAACGCCTATGTCTCATATCTAGTGACTACAAAGGTACATTGCAGCTATGCACCCACTGCTGCTGCTCTACACGGCCACCACCATACTCACACATCGTCTAGTCCGACTACCAGTCCTTCCAGAAGCCCGAATTCTCCGTCCGCCGCCGCTTCACCGACTTCGTCTTCCTCTGGAAACAGCTCTCGAAAGAATACCCACAATGCGCGGTCGCCCCGCTGCCCGACAAGCACAAGATGGAGTATGTTCGTGGAGACCGCTTCGGTCCGGACTTCACCCAACGGCGCGCCCACTCTCTGCACCGCTTCTTGAAGCGATTAGCCTTGCACCCAGTGCTGCGACGAGCCATGCTTCTCATCACCTTCCTTGAGAGCCCAGACTGGAATCAGCACATGAAGGGGAGATCCTCAAGAGCTGCGAGTGGGTCGGAACCTGGCGGCGGCCTCGTAGACGCGATCGCAGAGAGCTTCGTCAACACATTCACCAAGGTGCACAAGCCAGACAAGCGCTTCATCGAAGTCAGCGAACGAGCGAGCAAGCTCACAGAAGACCTGAACAACGTCGAGAAGGTCACTGTCCGCGTAGCCAGGCGGCAGGCCGACCTCGAACAAGACTACGCGGACCTCGCAACACAATGCCAGAAGCTAACAACCCTCGAACCGGCCGTCGAGAGCACGCTGACTTCTTTCGCCGCCTCCGTAACAACCACATCACAAGGCTTCAAATCCATCAAAGAGCATACAGACCAGAACTACCTCACCTCCCTGCGCGACATGGACGCCTACATCCTCGCTCTGCGTAATCTCCTCCGCACGCGCGAAGGCAAACAGCTCGACTTCGAAGCCCTCTCCGAATACCTCGCCAAATCTGCCGCCGACCGCGACTCGCTTGCCTCCCAGCACGGTGCAGGTATGGGCGCGTCAGGCTTCTTACGCAGCAAAGTCGAGGATTTTCGCGGTATTGACCACGACCAGGCGCGGCGCCAGCGCGTGCGCAAATTGGAGGTTGAGATCGAGCGGCTGACGGGCGAGGTTGAGAATAGCAAGAAGGCTACTGAGGCGTTCGATGAGCATACTGTGAAGGAAGTAGCGGACTTTGAAAGAATCAAGGCGGTCGAGTTCAAGGACACGCTGGGTGATTTGGCTGACGCGCATGTGGATTTCTTTCAAGGGACGATTGAGACGTGGGAGAAGTTCTTGGGGGATATGAGGAAGGAGGAGGATGAGCGGGAGGTTGCTGCGTCGTAGAGTGATGCTGCAAGCATTGATCTGGGAGATGGAGGTGTGCACGAAGTCGCGAGAATTGATGTCTTGCGCGAGGAGCTTATCACTGCGGAATTGGAGTTTACGGGCTTGCTGGAGTCTTTCCAGAGACACTACCAGTGAGCGAGCGTAGAGGCGGTGGGCGGGAATTGGCTGATTTGTAGATCATTAATATCACGATTCATGTTCAAACAGGACATCGGTGCACTATTATCCCTCGTTGCTTCTACACAAGTACTATTACCAGCATCGTCCTCTTCAGGGGATATCAGCATCACTATCGTCCCCCGCAAACCCAAAACTAAACCCTCCCCCACCCTCCTCCTCGTCTCCTCCCTTCGTCAACTCCTCCCACTTCCCCCTTCCTTGTTTCCCCTTCTTCTCCAGCTTCATCAGCCCTTCCTCCAAGATGTCGGGGTGCTGTTCACCCAGCTTTTCCACAAACAGCTCATACGCATGATCCGAAACATCATCCTTGAACCCACTGACTTGAACCCTCTGATCCCTCAGGAATCCCAGAACGTCGGCGAGTCGCGCTTCAGGCACGAAGTTTTGTGTCAAAGCCAGCGACTCGGAAAGGTTGAGCACGAGGTGGAACCACCCACTCGGCACATGCAGAACCTCACCCGCATAACAGATACCCTCCTTCGCCCCCGGGGTCTCACGCGCAAGCTCATGGAACGTCAAAAGATACTCCGCAATACTCAACGGCGCAGTGATCTCGCTCTGATCCTCGCTCAGAATAATCCCCGGCGGCGGCGCGCAATTCGCACCACTGGGAAACATCAACCAGTACTTACTCCCCGTGAGCACCGCGTTCCACGCACTCGTCGCATTAGGATCTTTGTGAAACGTGCTTCCCGATCTGTTGGGGCCAAGGATCATCCACCGACAATCCGGGCGCTGGTCGCCCAAAACACTGAACAAATCCGGTCCAAAGCATTCTGGTGTCCAGTACGCAGCGTCCGGGTGATGCGGTGGGAGGCTTGTGTCGATGCCTGTTTTGGGCGCGAAGGCCCGGTCGAAGAGGTAGAGGGGAGATTCGTCGGTGTTGAAGTTGATGTAGGATATGTAGGTTGACATGGGCCAGTCCACTGCCTCAGCAGTAAACTTCGTGTCCGGAAACTTTTCTAGTAGGTATCGGGAGTCCCATTTCCCGTACACGGGCCAGGCTTTGACGGGCGAGGTCAGGATGAAAGGTTTGTCTGTCCATTTTGCGGAGAATTCTTCGGGAGTTAAGTCGGGGAGACGCGCGATGGCGTTGCTGGGTGGGATGTTGGTTGTGTAGGGTTTGAGGGAGGTGTGTGCGCATTGGAAGGGTCGGTAAAGAACGTCGGAGAAGAGATTGTTGCATTGCAAGGAGGTGCCGTTTTCTGGGGGGGTGTTGAGATACGTTGCCCGCCATGTTCCTCGCCATGTGAAGTTCTCGGGTGAGGATCTGGAGGTGTGTTAGTACTTGACCAGCGGATGTATGAACACAATGTCAAAGAGTAAAGACTGTAGTTGCTGCAAGCTGAAGGAAACGCATTGTATTGATGTAGCAATCTGACGAACTGAATGTGGCTGAACTGGAAGAAAGCAGAAACGACAGAAAGCAGTTTGAGGGATCAGATGATGCAAATGCACAGTCGTCGCAACAAGACCTCGGGCCATTTGATAAGACACTTGGGATTGCTCCAAAAAGTGCTCCTCAGCATTCACGTCTCGCAGGGTGATTCTCGTATTCGCTTGCAGTGCTGTTCACATGAGTCACAGCAAAGCGTAGCACCGTTGATGAACAGCCTGATTGCGGATTCCAACTCTTTCGTCGAGGTATGACTGGAATTGACTCAAGGAAATGAGGCTGACCAGAGGGAAAACAGGAGTCAAAGCAATTATGCTACTCACCCTACAAACAAGGCCCTCCATAACTCGTCCAAACGGGTGAAAGCGTACAATGCTCGACAAGTGCTTCCCAGCCGTACGAGAGCGTCAGCATCGAATGACTCAAGAATGTGGTTCAGCAGCTCATCAGGCAGCCTGGCGAAGGATCCACATCTTGACTTGATGTTCTCAGTCGCTGTGTACGCATTTCCGGCTGGCTTGATACCCAACGGATGCGAGGGCACCGCAGTTGCCACTTCTTCGTCGTCCTGCTGAACATGCACTGGGACGGTGAGCTTTCTCTTTTTGGCAGGCTGTGATTCGGCAGAGGCAAAGCCAGGGTCCTGTAGGATGCCGGGCGCCATGGTCAAAGGAAGGCCGAAACAATGCTTTCCGGAATCCGATTCGGGTGGCCTATCTGTTGCACGCAGACAAATCAAGGCAAACGCAGGCGGCAAAAGAGTCACAGGCCAAACCACGGACGTAAAAGGCGAAACTTTGGAGTGTTGGAGGTCGCCCCAGAGCAAAATCACTAGCGCGGGCGGTAGCGCACTTTTGGGTTTTCTACAAAGTCTTTTTTGCCCCGCCGCCCATCTCTGCCCTCACCCACCAGACAACTTCTACAACAACCACATACAACAGCAGCGGCTACCTTACGGTCCCTCTGCTACTCCAATACAACCAGTTCTCTCCCCGACTACAGGCAGTGCCAGTAGTCTCCCACAACAAACCATCCAACATGGCTGACAAGGGTCTTGAGGACGTGCCTGAGGGTGAGTGCCTCTAAAATATTTGCGCTGCGCTGCAGCGACCACCGCGACAAGCGGACGACTCCCGCAGCAGCAGCGCAGAAGAACACAACGACTGTGTGAGCGCAGACTGACACACTCCGCAGGCCAGATCGAGTCCAACTACGATGAGACCACCGACTCCTTCGACAACATGAACCTGAAGGCTGAGCTCCTCCGCGGTGTCTACGCCTACGGTTTCGAGCGCCCTTCTGCTATCCAGCAGCGCGCCATTATGCCCGTCATCAAGGGTGAGTTTGCCCGGTACAGCGAAAAACACGACACCAGCGACTAACACACGCAGGCCACGATGTCATTGCGCAGGCTCAGTCCGGTACGGGTAAAACCGCTACCTTCTCGATCTCCACCCTCCAGAAGATCGACTCCTCCGTCAAGGCTTGCCAGGCTCTCATCCTCGCCCCCACCCGCGAGTTGGCCCAGCAGATCCAGAAGGTCGTCATCGCCATCGGTGACTTCATGGACATCCAGTGCCACGCCTGCATTGGTGGTACCTCCGTCCGTGACGACATGAAGGCCCTCCAGGACGGCCCCCAGGTCGTTGTCGGTACTCCCGGCCGTGTCCAGGATATGATTCAGCGTCGTGTCCTCAAGACCGACCATATGAAGATGTTCGTCCTCGACGAGGCCGACGAGATGCTGTCCCGCGGTTTCACCGAGCAGATCTACGACATCTTCCAGCTTCTGCCCCAGTCCACCCAGGTCGTTCTCCTGTCCGCTACCATGCCCCAGGACGTCCTCGAGGTTACCACCAAGTTCATGCGCGACCCTGTCCGTATTCTCGTCAAGAAGGACGAGCTTACCCTCGAAGGTATCAAGCAGTTCTACATTGCCGTTGAGAAGGAGGACTGGAAGCTCGACACCCTCTCCGACTTGTACGAGACAGTCACCATTACCCAGGCCGTCATCTTCTGCAACACCCGCAGAAAGGTTGACTGGCTCACCGACAAGCTCACTGCCCGTGACTTCACCGTCTCCGCCATGCACGGTGATATGGACCAGGCCCAGCGTGATGTTATCATGAAGGAGTTCCGTTCCGGATCTTCCCGTGTCCTCATCGCCACTGACCTCCTCGCCCGTGGTATCGATGTCCAACAGGTTTCCCTCGTCATCAACTACGACCTTCCCGCCAACCGCGAGAACTACATCCACCGCATCGGTCGTGGTGGTCGTTTCGGACGAAAGGGTGTTGCCATCAACTTCGTCACCGCTGACGATGTCCGCATGATGCGTGAGATTGAGCAGTTCTACAGCACACAGATTGAGGAGATGCCCATGAACGTGGCTGGTAAGTTTTGCAGTTCGAATGTTGAAGAACCATACGCTAACGTACTTCACAGACCTCATCTAAGCAGCTGTTCCTTGCGTTCCAATCACCGTTTCTCCGTACCCGCCATACATTCTAGTGGCGTAGTTGGCATAGACGCGGTGGTGATCTAATTCGGGCGCGCCTGCGAGATCAGGCGTGCTTTGTTGATTCGGCACAAAAGCGATTAGCGGGACGAGCGGTCGTCTACCCATCGCGGCATCTTGGCGTTTGTCTTTTCCATGTGCGAAATGAATTCCCCAAAAGAATGTTTCTTGCAGATGATAGAGACGTCAGTTGGCTGGGATGTTTTTCTCTGCAATCTACTGTTTCTTAGCAACTTCTCATGGGCTTTCTTGTTCTCCGAGGATGTGCTACGTTTGATCAAGGCATGCCCGCGCGATGGAATACGCTTCCCATGGTCACGCATGTCTACGATAACGATCATGAGTTTTCTTTCATATAGAGATGCAGTTCAATTGCATGATAGTCACTGAAACGTTCTGTTCTGACCTTACTCCCAACACCGTGTAAAGCGCTTTTGAAGTCGAAACCATCAACTCAACATCACCATCAGGTCACAGGAAATGATACTCCAGTAGTGCCAAAAGTCTGAGACTATCCCAGTGTATCTTATTGTTACTCTTGGTAGAGATTAAAACACACATAGGATCGTGATCTCTTAAGACAAAGCATCTAACCTGTACCGACAAGACCACTTTTTAATTGTATCTTCAGCGATGGACTGCACAAGAGGGTCCAAGAGTGCAGCCTGGAGATATTCAGACTTCTGGCACTATGGAGGTAGCCAAAATGAGTCTCGGAAATCGAGTCCGAGGCTGTCGACGTCACTACACGCTTATCGATTACCTCGGAACCCCTCGTGCAGCTGCGCCCTCGAGAGCCTCAACCGCCGAGCATCTATCTCATGAGGCCGACAGCATGGCTCGCGCAAAGCAGAGCCTTTGCGACCATGGTACTCTCTCCTACTTCGACCGTATGTCAATGCATCCATGTAGAGACTGTCCTGACATAATTTCGTACTAACACCCTCCCAGCAAGTACTCGCCCGGTTGCGAGCATACACTCCACCACCTACACAGTACTATAACTGTCCTTTGACAAGGCGCGCTGCCGTTCTGATCGTCCTGTTTCCCGACCGCCATGGCGACCTCAAGGTCGTGCTCACCATGCGAAGTGCCTCGCTGAGGAACTATGCTGGCCAAGCTGCACTACCCGGAGGAAAGGCAGATTCTCTCACAGAAACACCATGGGATACCGCGCGTAGAGAAGCATACGAGGAGATTGGGCTACCAATGGATGACGAGAAGCTGAAGGGCTTCAAAGTCGAGCACCTCTGCGAGCTACCAGCAAACCTGGCGAAGACGGAACTCGGCGTACGTCCCTGCGTAGCATACCTGTCGCCGAGCTCGAGCTCTTCAGACAGCAGGACAACATCTTCCGGCGCTACCGACAGCGAAGTCGAAGACCGCCTAATACCCCGTCTTGACCCCAAAGAAGTCGCCGCCGTCTTCACCGCACCCTTCCACGCCTTCCTACGCAAAGACTGGTCCGGCCTGGGACCAGCGCCCGTCCAGAAAAACGGCAAGCCCGAAAAATGGTACAGAGGCAGTTGGACAGACTGGCACGAGAGTCGATGGCGCATGCACAACTTCTACATCCCCAAGCCCCCTCCTTCCTCCCAGGAAATGCAGAGAAACGCCGCAAACTCACAGGCCCCGACTACATCTTCAGAGCACGGAAGTGGACTGCCTGAGGGCGATGATCCCAGGCCAGAACCGAGTGAGTTGGATGATTTGACGACGTTCAGGGTGTTTGGTATGACGGCAAGGATTTTGGTTGATGCGGCGAGGGTTGCGTATGGTGAGGAGCCGGAGTTCGAGCATAATAGCCATTTTGGAGATGAGGAGATGATTGGGAGACTGTTGAAGATGGGCAGGTTGAGCGAGGTGAGGAAGAAGGGGGAGGTTTTGACGAAGGATGTGCTGAGGCAGGCTAGTAAGATGTGAGAACGTTCTGAAAGAGCGGTACAGCACGCAAACATTCGAGAATTCTGTAATTCAGTGTTGGTTGGCTGCATCAACTCATTTTGTCGCTGACGTAACGCGCAGGTCCTGACACTCACATACTTTGACATGGCTTTGATTGCTCCTGTTTCCTTGCCTCGCTACCCAAACTCTGACAAGCATTAGGGATTTCGATTACGCCTATCTGGCTCGTGTGTCGACAGCTACATCGCGAGATCGTGCTACTTCCTCTCCATCTGAACACTTTCTCCATGACGAACAGAAGCCCAAAGGACCAAGCTACGTTTCATACATTCGTTGACAATTTGTCACCCATCCAACGCGGTGCTATTCTTTTTGCAGCGATGATGCCTCCCTCCGTTGGTCGAGTCTTGTCTGCGGCTGGGAAACGGTTCGAAACAGACATAGCTGACACAACTGTTGAGGACCTGATCGCCCCGTTTTGAGAGCTGACAGGCCTGGAGTGAGGACATGAAACATATATGTGTGTAGACCCCATATGTATCGTTCACTATCGCAAGAGATTAACAGCGCATAGCTTCCTGCGCAATTGAGAGCGATCTCCTCTCCTTCGCTTACCCGCCGAGCTCCGCAAAAAAATCTACGAGTATGCCTTACGTGAATACTATAACAAGTTCTTCAACGGAACTAGAAGAGCTTTTAGCCGCACGACAACACTAGATGGCACGACATACACGTCGGACTGGGAGACCTTCAACATATAATAATTGTCAAAATGTACGAACTCCCCTGAACTTGGAACAGTGATGCAATCAGTACATCTGCACCATGGTATAGTCGTGCGGACAAGCTTGTGAGTGGCTATTACCAACGTTGATGCCCTGAATGACGTCTACCAAGCTGTCACAACCGTCAACCGGAAAGTCAACAGCCACTCGGAAGCCTTCGCTTCTTTATGATGTAGAGGACTTCAGTAGCGAGCCAGATTAAGGGGGGTTCATACATTTTGGCAAGCACCGATATTGGCCCTCGGATCGACATGTCGCCAGCTACACAACGAGAACGAACTATTTCCATACACTCCACTCAATAAGTTCGCTGCCGGCCACGTATTCACCGATGGGTTCACCCACTTCACCACGGCCCAAATCGCTGCTGTTGAACATGCAAGCTTGAGCCTGTGGACACCGATCAATGAACGGAAAGAGCGAGTCGCGTATCTGGATGATGTGGAGTATGGTTGGGCACACCCACGAAATGCCTACGGAGACATCGTTCCGTTGCAAAAGATGACTGGTTTCAAGCGTATGACGCTTGATATTCGAAGTGATGGGTATCCCAGCATCCTTTCATTGGCTATCTTGAGAGTAATGATCGGCATTTCACCAGATGTAGAGATTGTGGAGGGAACATATACTGTAAGCAAGGGGTGGTATTATCACTTGCAAAAGATACTGACCCCCCTGTTTTTCTGGTTACTACATACACTAGGCATACACCAGGTGGGGCTTTCGGGAGTACGAGATGACCGGGGGCACCGGAGGGGTATATATGTGGGTGCTAGACCCTGACCCATACCTTCACCACTCACAGCCTCTAATCTCGCTAAGCCGGTCATCATACATAGCATCATTGCTACCACCTCTACCATCTTGCTGTCACTACTACACATTGCCTGCTTTCTCCTATCACAACAATGGAATCCAAGCACACCATGCCTCCAACTATAGATCCAGCAAGCTATTGCAATCGCCTTAATACTGATGTCAGCCTTAAGGACAACAATGTTGTGTAGGGACTGATTGTACTCAGAAAAACCGGGGGGTAAGTATCTTTTGCAACTCACCGATACTGGTATTGGATCTCATGTATGAGTGTATTGTTGTGTGTATGTACAAGTGTGTGACATGAGCTCAAACAATCGGATGCATTACTCGAGCATTCATGTAATGTGGTCCTAGGCTTACATATAAAATAGCCCAATAGTGAGGACCAAGTCACTGTCCATTAGCGAGCGTGGTTCGAGTCGGCGAAGTACGATTGACGAGCGATTCAAAGCGGGATCGAAAAAGACCCTACATACAAAGGGGCCTGTAGATGACGCGGCGGGGATCTTCAGATACCGGTGAGTTGTAGAAGTTCTTGGGCCACCCCCCTTGTTTGGATAGCCAACACACAAAGATGTAATTGTTCTTTCAGGAGCTCTCATTGGCTGATAGGAGTGACATGGAAGCTGTCACGGTATCCTCTCCAGATCCCCTGACAATATCCGGATCCGCTCCGTACTGTCCCTGACCGTACGCACCAAATCCCCAGCGTCCTTACACGCCTCCGAAGCGGACGTACAACCTCCGGTCACCTCCGGAGCGGGCCTGCAACCTCCGAAGCGGGAGTACCAGAATTCTGCAAGCCCCGCTCTAGGACTTGCAACCCCGATACCTATCCAACTCAGTTCCGATTATTAACCGGTAACCGAACGAACCCACACGTAAGTATATAGACTATTGCTGGTAGAGTTCTGTTCGGTACACAACGTCTTGTACCTACTTAGATACCGTATGTAGTAATTGATTTAGACTCCTAGCGAGTCCTAAAGGGCCTACTCGTAGCATCTTCGTGACAGAAGCAAGAGTGAATGTATGCGGCTGGCGACGATTTAGGAGCCCTTCCGGGCCAACTTACAAGCTGATGATGGTGTAGGTGCTGTAGTAGTACTGAGGCATAGCAGGGATCCTAAAGCTAGTTGACCATATTTTTCGAGTGGGGATATCCCATGGGTGACCCAATAGTAGTGCTGGAGCATACCGTAACCACACAGTTGACAGCCAGGGGGAGCTAGGCAGGGTAACCATGCTTTTATATAGACGCTTCCAACCTAAATTTACCCCCCATCCTGCCTGTCACCATCCCCAGTCTGCTGCCAGGGTGAGTATGCTCATCAACCCCACTTCCTTGATACTGACTTCACTGTAGATGGCTTTTCAAGCTGGTAAAACGTAAGCGCACTTTCACCAAATGTGGAGAAGAGCTTGAGGAGGTGCTTGCCTGAGGTCATCGGCGCATAGTACAACGATAAAAGTCTTCCACAGCCATCAAAATCTCCAACAGAAGCAACTCACCCCTTACTAATGTCCCGCCAACGCCACCTGGTGTGGCTTGGGGCGGTGACCCCAGCCAATCGGCAGCGTATTTTCAAGCAGCAGCTGCTGCAGTTGAGGACGACGAGGTGGAAGAGGAGGGAATCAACCAACGGAGACAACAACCATGATGTAAACGTACAGGTTCCAGCAACCTCAGTGGGGAAAGGAGAGCCAGAGGATGGCAACTTTTGTCTCAACAGCAGAGAACCGTCTGGCTGTTCTTTTGATCATCAACCTCAGCCGACTCCTCCACAATCATCTCAGTCACAAGAGGAGACGTCTACTAGCAGCATTGAGGATGACGTAGTAGTGTAAAATATTCCAAGAGTGAAGTATGAGGCTTGTTACAAGGCATACTGTGGCTCGCAACCAATCAATGGCTTGCTTACCACTTGCACACAGACGTCCCAAGACTTCAAATCGGAGTATCTGTTCGAATGGGGCAACCGGCTGCCCAGTGAGCAGCTCCCATGACCAGTCACATACACATCTATCGGTGCTTTTGTGTACCTTTGAGGTCAACAGAAGCAGTTGTGGTTACCGGAGACTCCCAAATGAGATGATGAGGCATCATTCAGACACTGTCTCCACCTTCTTCAGTGCAAGAAGGAGCGAAACACAGCCAGAGCCTTGCAGCAGAAGGTAGATCTCAAGGTTTGGCTTAACATCAGCACCCCTCAGGCGTCACAACAACCAGGTGTGCAAGCCAATCAAGGTTCACAGCGTCAGCAAGTGAGTGCAACTACGCGTCAACTGGCAGCATTGTGTTGATCACGACAGACTGCGTGTTGTAGCTGATAACGTACTTGCTCCGCTGACCCAGAAGTGGAGATGTGCACTCTCTACTTGCCACAACCTTCATAGTATCTTTTGAGTGGATCTCCCCAACGGTGAGAGTCTGCCTAGGCGTGTCAAACATTGTTGCGGTATCAGTCGGTCCGTACGAGATCCGAATACCCTTGCTTAGACTGTTCTGGACTAGCACGTTCCAGGGCCAGTATATAGTCGTCTTCTCCAAGCTAGATAGCAATTCAGCGCAGTGTTCTATCGACCCGATATTCCTACGTTATCGTTTACAGTGACTATCAGTGTACTAGAGCGACCCACGCTGCCAAAAAACATCACTACGCAGTGCCAAATGTACCTCTTGGGAAGTGACTTGCAGGCATCCAAGAAGGTGAATCAACAATTGAGCAGCCATCTGATCAAATTACAGCATTACTCTATCAGTTTGGAGTGCTCTGTCAACTCTAGCATCACCCAAGGCATCCAGCATCAGCAGTTGATAGACATACAACAACGCCAAGATAACAAGTTGAGTCAATTGTCAACAACAATCAAGTCTCTGGCGGAGTTGTACACTGCAAAGTCAACTGCTGAACTCACAAAGATGTACCAGGAAGAGAACAAGAAGACATCTCTCACTTGAATGAAGCTGTGGAAAGTACGGAGTATAAGAGCAGCAAACGCACAGTAGTAGAGACAAGGGCCGGGGAGGACAGACTTTCAGGGGGAAGCTGTTGCAACGGGTTCGTGGGGTAACAACCACTGGGGCGCAGTCCCAAGACCAAACGGAAATGGTTGGGTAATTGCAAGACTCAGATAAGATCGTGAACTCGAATGTAAAGAGGCACAATCTCCTTAGAACTCTCAAGAGTCGAGTTCGATTGTAACATTTGTTTGAAATTGGCGGAAGAGGCCGTGTGGGTCGCAGTATAATTTGAGTTCGCACAATTGTGGTGATCATCGTTCATCGGTGTAAGCATTGTAAGGCACCTTCATCATCTCCAATAGTGCTTTCGAGATTCTTGCGTCGTATTCGTCATTCGTTCTTGCCTGATAATCCATTGCACCGGCCATTGCTCTTGCTTGCATGCACAGCTATTGCCGTGCCACTTCGATGGAACAGACATTTTACGATATTGGCCCCAAATATGCTCGAGGTTTTGTTGCACTGCAGCATCACAACACGGCATATGCGAACGTGCCAATAAACCACAAGCATGGGCGCCGTCTGCTATCTGCCTCTCGGGCTGTGCACCTTGATGTTGGTTGCCTTGACGCGATCGTCTTTTAGGCAGGCGCACAAGGTCACCTCGGTTGGCAACGGTTGGGTCGGTGTTGTGGTGCAGGACAAGAGTCTGTCGTCGATAGCGATCCGCCCCCGCAAAACAGATCTTGGCAACAGCGGCGCTCTTTCCACGGCAGCCGAACCAGATTTCGACAATCACGATCTCGTCTTGATTTCATCTCCGCAACCCCTTCTCCAGCGAGATCACCAACTGCATCATCTCCAGTCGTCCAGTTCTGCGCACCTGGTACCTTGGTTCGGCGCGCATGACGAGCTATCAATGAAGTCTTGGTTCTGCAGCGACTGCTTGCTCCGCGCCTATTCCTAGGATCCGTTGTCTTGGCCCGCACCCTCACGGCTAGTATTAAGGTCCTCCGAAGAGCACCATCCTGTAAAACGATGCTGGCCAAGACGCCCAGTGATAGCGTCAAATGGCGTAAGTCATCATCACAAGGGTGTTGCTGTGGTGAGTGCACAGCATCCGGAAGCTAGAAATTCCACCTGCCTGAAGGGTACCGTTTGGTGATGATCTTACCTTCTCCGACTGGTGTAGTACGCCAAGCACGCGTGTGTGCCCAGCACCGATGGTCGACTTCCAATACGCAGTAGTTGAACTGCTGGACAAAGATGCAGTGCGAAGAAGTTGGACCCAAGCAGCGAGGCGATGCTGTATAAATACTGACATGCGGCGTCGTGAGACAATCTGCTCATTCTTGCTCAATCTAACTTCACTGCATCTGCCGCCAAGATGAAGTTCTCTCTGGCTTCCCTCGTATTGCCCGTTGCGGTTAACGCTGCGGCGTACTCTGCCCAAGAGTATGCATCGGGTGCTGTACACAACCACTTGATGAAGCTCAAGACTGTAAATACCATCTCTAGGTCCACCAATCAACACATGCTAACGCTGTGCAGGACCAATGGGCACATGACGAGGAGTTACGCGTTGCTGCCAACGACACCAAGCTCTGGCCATCGTGGAAGAACTACGCAGCTGTCAAGTTCGGCAAGAAGGAGAAGGTTGAGTGCAAGAAGGGGCTTGCCATTGTCGAGCAGGGCAATGCCAACCAGACTTTCCGTTGCAACAACATCGACCTCTACGACTTCGCCAACCACGCCGACATTGGTGGCCCCGAGGGTCGTGGATCTTCTTCCTGGGGATGGACTGCCAAGAACGGACGTGAGTTCGGTATTATTGGACAGTTCAGCGGTGCTGCCTTCATTGAGGTCACCAAGAAAGGCAAGATCGAGTACCTTGGACGCCTGCCTGCTCAAGACCCCATCGGTTCCCGATGGCGCGAGATCCGAGTTCTGAATGATTACGTTATCATCGGTTCTGAAGCCGTTGGCCACAACGTTCAAGTCTTCGACCTCAACAAGCTGTTGACTCTTGACCCCAAGAACCCCAAGGTGTTTGACACCCAGAAGGACCTCACTGGTCTTTTCAGCGACACTCTCCCCATCGGTCGCACCCACAACATCGTCATTGACTGGGACAACGAATACGCCATTGCCGTCGGCGCTCAGCCCCGCAACCAGACCTGCGCGGCCGGTCTGCAGTACATTGACCTCAAGGACCCCACCAAGCCCTCCACTCCCGGCTGTGCCAGCCAGGACGGCTATGTCCACGACGCCCAGTGCGTAACCTACAACGGCCCCGACCGCCGCTATCGTGGCCGTAATATCTGCATTGGTTACAACGAGGACACAGTTACCATTTACGACTCCACCTCCAAGGACGGCAAGCCCGCATCCGAAGTCCTCTCCAAGCTCTCCTACCCCGGTGCCTCCTACGTGCACCAGGGCTGGTGGACCGAGCGCAACTGGCACCAGTACATCCTGTTCAACGACGAGCTCGATGAGCAGAACAAGGCCGGCCCTGCCGCGTCTGGCCGCCCCGTTACCCACATTGCCGATCTGACAGACCTCAAGGACCCCAAGTACACCGGTAACTTCTTTGCGACAGACAAGAAGGGTATTGACCACAATCTGTACATTGTCGACGGCCTTGCTTACCAGTCTAACTACGGCAACGGTCTTTGGGTTCACGATGTCCGCTCGATCAAGAAGGATCCCACAGGCAAGGGCGTCACTGTTGAGGCTTTCTTTGACATCTACCCTGAGGATGATGCGGGTGAGGGTACCGTTGCTTTTGTTGGTACTTGGTCGCACTTCCTGTTCCCGTCTGGTTACATTCTTGTCAACACCATTGAGCGCGGTGTGTTCATTGTTAAGATCGACAAGGGTCGTGGGGGTGGCAAGGGACCTGGTTTTGGCGGAAAGAGCAAGGGCGGCAAGAGGAGCGCTTACTAGACAGTTCGAAGCAAAAGTCGAACAGCTGAATAGCTATGAATAACGTCAAATGCGAATGTTATTTTGAACACAAACATATCAAACCCCAAGTGAAGACGTGGCCGTGAAACAAAACTCATTTTGAATACTGAACCCAAATGCAACTCGCTGTAGTCTCCACACGTCCGACACGTCAAGTCTGAAATCCACTGTGCTGAACCTTCGTTCCTTCCCACATCAACGCCAATGGCACGCCCATGATAGCCCGTCCACGCACATAGGCCACTATGATCCTCTCATCCCTGTAATCTATCCACGAGTTCATTTACTACAAGGCAGACCGCCTCACTTGCTCAGCAATTGGTCCCGCCATATGTGAATGTCAACAAACGAAGTTAGCAGAAACAAAATCCCTCAATCATATGTACCAACGCGAAAGGACTTGATTCATTCATACATATGCGTCTCCATAACAACTCGAAAGCGGGAGCTGATGTTCAAGGTCTTGAGGTTGTGAATAGGGTTCGAAGACAGCGTATCTGGACAAGACGTCCTCGTAAGCGATCAAGTCTAGCCAGAAGCGTTGGAACAGAATATGTTCGTGACCATTCTTTGAAGAGCAGGACACTCCTCGATGCTCAATTTATAGGTAGATTTCCGGCATATGGTTGATTATGTTGCGAGGGTCATATTGAATGTGGAGTGAAACCAGAAGCAGTCTCAGACGTGTGTACTCTGTATCATTTCTGAACACTACCTGATGCCCGCTGAAAATCGCATGAGAACGGAAGAGCGGTCTGATACAAGGTGGTAATGTCGTGATGTGAGTGAGGAGGAAGAGCATGAACAGACGATGCTGAAGTTCAGAGAGTCGTGAACTAGGCACTCGGGAGCATGGGAAGTCGCAACCAGGAGGAACCAACCCACCATGAGCAGTGTACACGTCGATTTGACTAAGCTAAAGATGGAAAAACCGCAACGCCAAAACATGAGGTATCATGAACATGTATCCATCCTAACCCGAAAACCCAGAGGAAATCACCGATGTACTAATAACAAAAAAAAACAGTTTGTCTTCCATGAAGAAATGTATCCAATCTTTGGGATCAAGATAAAATTGCTTACAACAGGCCTTCCCCCTCAGCACTGCGCCCGCCGTTCCTCGACTCAGCGGTGCCGTAGTTGTTGTTCTTTGACCGGCCGGTGATGTCCTGCCATGTAGCACCAAACCTACGTCCAGTGCTGGCAAGCAGACCCTCCTCTTCGTCCTCTTCCAGGTCGCGGTCGATCTGCTCCTGATCCAGCTTCGGCACCTTGAAAAGCGTTGTGAGGAACACAACAAGGTAGACGCCCAAGAAGGCGAACTGGGCCCAGAACAAGACGACGCCAAAGAAGGGGAAGTTGATGGTGACGCGGTTGATGAAGGTGCTGAGCACGGAGGGTGTGCAGACGCTGTGAGCGACGGGGTTATCTGCGAGCTCGGAGCATGCCTTGATAGCCTCTTTGTGCTCGGAGCAGTCGGGCTGGTCGCCAACGTGGTTCACGGGCAGGTCGCAGTAGGTCTGAGGGCCAAAGGTGGCGTACTGGGGTGCAACGACCATTGCGACGGAGTAGTTGATGGCCAGCACGATGAGGGTGAGCAGGACGGTGGCCATGAGGAGAGCTTGTGGGGAGGTGTGGCCCTTGCGGATCTTGAAGATGGTGAGCCAGAGGAAGCGGATACCCGCTGTAGCGATACCGACGACAGAGGCGGAGAAGAGGAAAAGGGTGAGGATCAGGAACAGGACGTAGTCGATGGGAAAGACCTTAGAGGACTTGACGAGAATCCAGTTCAGGGGCTGGAAGATGTTGATCTGGGCCAGGATGTAGCCGCAGTGGGCGCCGCAGATGGAGTTCTTGGCCTTGTCGATGCCGGTGATGAGCATGCTGGCGAAGATGACAAGAGCGAATACCATAAGGATCAGTCCGCCAAGCAGCTTGAGAGGACGGAAGATAGCCTCGATCTTGATCCAGGTCTTGACGATCCAGTGTCTGTCCTCGCCGCTGGACTCAGCAGCAAGACGCTCGCGGCGGATGAGGGTGCGCTCCTCGCGGTTGAGAGCCTCCAGTTCACGTCTGTCCCTGGCATCGAGACCATTCTGGCGACCCTCAGCACGGCCTTCGAGCTGCCTCTGGCGCTCACGGTTGACCTCGAGCTGCGACGCGGTGTTCGCAGCGAGAGTCGGTGCGGAGATGGACGGCGCAGACTTGATCATAGCAACAGGGAGAAGTGCCATGCCAGCACCAGTGTAGAGAACGAACAGGATGGTTCCAATGGTCATGAGGAGTCCGAGAGCGAATGAGAGTGCACGCTCGCCATCTGACAGTGTTAGTACCACGATATGCGGTGAGGATGGTGCAGCTTACGGTTCTCGGCCAACAGGTGCTTGAAGAAGTCGAGGTCCAGACCCTTGTCGCCCTTTGCCTGCTTCGCGAAGGGGACGAAGAAGCCAACGAGGAAGATGATGACCACGAAGAGCAAGAACGCAATTGTGTACTTCAGCGCGCCCAGGATCCTCTGTCCCGCAGTCTGCTCGCCGTGCTCAGCAGCATCCTCGTCGTACTCCTCGTTGTAGAAGTAGGTGAAGGGAACAACAAGCAGGCAGAGGACAGCGTCGAGCGAGTAGAGCAGGTAGTAGACGATCTGCAGGGTGTGGGTAATGTCGTGGACCTTCTCGGGCGTCGCCCAATCCTTCTTGCGGCCTAAGCTGGACCGACTGGTGGACGAGACGAGGGCGACATCGACGGGAATGAGGAGGACAGTGGCAAGCAGTGCGAGAGTGGTGAAGATGCACACGATGGTAACCGAGACGGCGCGGTCACGGGGCGTCTGGTAGACGAAGACGAAGACGGAGGCTATGGCTAGTAGGATGCCAATCGCAACGGCGTAGGCGACCCAGATGAGGCTGGTTTGGATGAGCGCCATGGTGCTGGAATGCGGCCAATTGCAGTCCAATGGAATGTGAGGTGATGCACGCCCTCTTCACTTCAGATGCGCGACTGAAGGATGTGATGTGTGAGGGGTGCGTTTGTGCTGCGGCCTTGTTCTCTGTGGGAGAAGCAGGATGACGTTCTTAGCCCTGCAGCCGCGGGATCGACGACGGCGCACATCAGAGCTCCAAACAACGGCGCTAGTGAAACAATGCTTGGCTGCAGCTCCTTGACACGACACGACAACAGCGCGACTCGATATACTCACTGTCAACACGTCTGTGTGTAGTATGAAGAGTGCAGCAGCTACTCACACCTCCAATGCAATGCTACACTGAGCTCGCGCCGCCGACGGCCGTCAGCCATGCCGTCAGCCTGCCCTTTGTGTCCTCGCGCGCGACCAACCTCGTTGTCGCGAAGAACTCGCTGCTGCAGGTCTTCGAGCTGCGCTCCACCGTCACCGAGGTGAGAAGCGGCGGGGACGGCGCCGAGAGCGCCGCCGCGAACCTCGACACGGAGGCGGCCGATGTGCAGGTGCAGCGCACCGAAAACACGTCGAAGCTGGTGCTGCTGGGCGAGTTCCCCCTCGCCGGCACCGTCATCTCGCTCGCGCGCATCAAGGTGCTCAACACAAAGTCGAAGGCGGAGGCGCTGCTGGTGGCATTCAGGGACGCGAAGCTGAGCTTGGTGGAGTGGGACCCGGAGAACTACAACCTCCATACAATATCAATACACTACTATGAGAACCTCGACTTGCCTGGCCTTGCCCCGTGGAGTGCTGAGTTGAAAGATACGCACAACTTCCTCACTGCCGACCCCAGCAACAGATGCGCCGCCCTCAAATTCGGCACCCACAACCTCGCCATCCTGCCCTTCCGCCAGCGCGACCTGGCCGAGGACGACTACGACTCGGACGACGAGCCCAAGAACAAGGACACGTCGAACGGCGACGGAGAGCATGCAACGCCCTACTCGAGCTCCTTCGTGCTGCCCCTGACGAACCTCGACCCCACCCTCGCCCACCCTGTCCATCTCGCCTTTCTGCACGAGTACCGCGAGCCCACGTTCGGTGTGATTGCCGCCTCGCAGGCCACCGCCCCGTCACTGCTCGCCTACCGCAAGGACATCCTCACCTACACCGTCTTCACCCTCGACCTCGAACACAAGGCGTCCACCACACTGCTGTCTGTCACGGGGCTGCCCTACGATGTCAATCGTGTAGTACCCCTGCCACATCCAATTGGCGGTGCTTTGCTGGTCGGAGCGAACGAAGTCATACATGTCGACCAGTCTGGCAAGACGAATGGTGTGGCTGTAAACGAGTTTGCCAAGGTCTGTTCATCGTTCCCACTGAGCGATCAGTCTGAACTGGCGCTTCGTCTCGAGGGCTGCACGGTCGAGCTGTTGTCCCAGGAGACTGGTGACGTACTCATCGTGCTGAACAATGGACGATTGCTCATCTTGACTTTTACGCTTGACGGACGCACAGTGTCTGGCATGACTGTGCAGCCTGTTGACGCAGAGCATGGCGGTCACATCCTCAAAACGAGCGCTTCCTGCACAACCAGCTTGGGACGTGGACGTCTGTTCGTCGGTAGCGAGGATGGTGAGTCCGCATTACTGGGCTGGATAGGCGCCGCAAATCAGTTGAGACGAAAGCAGTCAGACGCAGGTCTCGAACAGGAGGACGATATGTCTGACATCGAGGACGAAGTTGACGATCTGGACGATGACCTCTACGACACTGCGCCAACTGTGAAGAAGATTACGTCTGCTGCTGCAGAGCCCTCAGCACCTGGATCGTACACGTTCAGGATACACGACATTCTACCAAGCATAGCGCCCATCAACGAAGTCGTTCTGCATCCTGGTAAGGACACCGACTCGCTCAACAAGGGCGAGATCGTCGCCTCAACTGGTCGGGGTGCTGCTGGCGCCATCACTACTCTGAACCGAGAATTGCACCCTGTCAAGCTGGCGCAGACAGAGCTAGAGTCAGCAAAGGGCTTGTGGGCTGTGCATGCTAAGAAGGCGGTGCCCCAGGGTGTCTCCGCTGCATTCGGCGAAGATACTGAAGCCAATATGTCTTCTGATGTCGACTACGACCAGTACTTGGTGGTCTGCCGAGCTGGTGAGGATGGCGACGAGGTCACCACAGTGTACGAAGTGAACGGCAACGAGCTCACAGCTACCGACAAGGGCGACTTCGAGCGCGAGGAGGGGTCAACGTTGAGTGTTAGCGTGCTTGCACGTGGAACCAAGGTGGTACAGGTCATGCGCACCGAAGTTCGAACTTATGACTCTGGTAAGTCATCACCCCGGAACCAGTGAATAAGCATTGACAAGATATCAGAGCTCAATATGGACCAGATCCTTCCCATGGAAGACGAAGAGAGTGGTGATGAACTTCGCATCATCAACGCGAGCTTCGCTGACCCATATTTGCTAATCTTGCGTGAGGACTCCAGCGTCAAGATCTTCAAGGCGAGCGGTGATGGCGAACTGGAAGACGTTGAGGCTAGCGGACTGTCTTCGACTAAGTGGCTGTCAGCATCACTCTTCAGATCATCCACATTTACCGAGGTCTTTGCCTTCCTGTTGACACCAGAAGGCGGGCTGCATGTGTTCGCCATGTCGGCGCTGGAGAAACCGAGCTACGTCGCAGAGGGCCTGGGATTCCTACCACCAGTATTGACGGTGGACTATGTGCCTCGACGCAGTGCAGGCAAGGCTACCATCACCGAGCTCCTCGCCGCTGACCTCGGTGACTCGACTACAAGATCACCACATCTTATCGTAAGTTTCACCGGCGAGGGTTGATGAAAGCTTACTAAACTCGGTAGATCCGAACCTCCAACGATGATCTTGTCATCTACAAAGCTTTCCACTCACCCGCACGATCTTCGACCGAATTGTGGACAAAGAACCTCAGGTGGGTCAAGCTGTCTCAACAACACGTTCCCCGATTCTCTGAAGAGGTAGACGAAGCCTCAGAGGAAGTCAAGATCGAGAGCACCCTCCTCGCACTAGACAACATCTGCGGCTACAGCACTGTCTTCCAGCGCGGAGCGTCACCAGCATTTATCTTCAGAGAATCTTCAAGTGCGCCTCGTGTCGTCAGCATGAGCGGCAGAGCCGTCAAGGGTCTGACGCGCTTCCACACGTCGTCGTGCCAGCGTGGTTTCGCATACCTGGACGCCACTGACACACTCCGCATCTCTCAACTACCCACACAAACACATTTTGGACATCTTGGCTGGGCTACACGGCAACTGCCGTTCGGCTCTGAGGTTCACACCTTCACTTACCATCCGAAGGGGCTCTACATCGTGGGCACAGGGCAATACGAAGAATTCGCTCTTAACCCAGACGATACATACCATGAAGCGCTGCCCAAAGAAGACACTGCCTTCAAACCACATGTTGAGCGTGGCGTGTTGAAGGTGATTGATGAGAAGACATGGACAGAGATCGACAGCCACCTCCTCGATCCACAAGAAGTTGTGCTGTGCATCAAGACCCTCAACCTTGAAGTATCAGAAACCACCCACCAACGCAAAGACCTCATCGCAGTCGGAACGTCAATCGTCCACGGCGAAGACCTCGCAACGAAGGGAAACATACGAATATTCGAGGTGATCAACGTCGTTCCTGATCCTGAGCGCCCAGAAACAAACAAGCGTCTGAAGCTCATCGTGAAAGACGAGGTCAAGGGTGCAGTGTCTGCCGTCTCGGAGCTCGGCACACAAGGTTTCCTCATCATGGCACAAGGTCAGAAATGTATGGTCAGAGGCCTGAAAGAGGACGGTACATTGCTGCCGGTCGCTTTCATGGACATGCAATGCTACGTCACCACGCTGAAGAACCTGCCAAATACGGGTATGCTGCTGATGGGCGACGCGTTCAAGGGCGTCTGGTTCACAGGCTACACTGTAGGTTGGCCCTGAGAAGGTTGAGAGTGACAGTGCTGACATTTGAATAGGAAGAGCCATATAAGATGATGCTCTTCGGCCGCAGCAGACACCATCTCGAGTGCATCGCGACTGACTTCCTGCCTTTTGACGAGCAGCTCCACATCATTGTCGCAGACGCAGATATGAATCTGCAGGTCCTGCAGTATGATCCTGAGAGTACGTTCCCATACCTTGCTCCTATTAGCACACAACATACTAATCGCAATAACAGACCCCAAATCTGCAGGTGGAGCACGCCTCCTTCACAAATCCACCTTTCACACAGCACACTTCCCCACAACCCTCACGCTCCTTCAATCCTCTCTCAAAATGCCAGCGACCTCCGAGTTCGGCACAGCCAACGACTACGACGACGACGTGGACATGGACACCCCCTCAACCTCGCAGCCAATCCATCAAATCCTGCACACGACACAGTCAGGAACACTTGCACTCATCACACCACTATCAGAATCAAGCTACCGCCGTCTCTCGGGCCTCAGTGCTTTCTTGGCTAATGCACTGGAGTCGGCGTGTGGTCTGAATCCCAAGGCTTTCCGTATCAGTGATGCTGAAGAGGGTGGATGGGATGCCGGTGGTGTGGGGCGCGGTATGGTAGATGGAAATCTGCTGATGAGATGGGGTGAGCTGGGAGAGTGGAAGAGGAGAGAAGGGTTAAGCAAGATTGGAGCTCAAGAGTGGGTGTTCTGGGGTGAGCGGGAGGTGCTTGGGGGATGGGGCGTGTTTGGCGGGAGAGGGAAATGATAATTAGGTAGATGGTGTCTGCAAGCTCAAGCGTTGTGCGAACGATTTGGTCGAAGGTGAGAAGGTGCACTTGCCATGTATCGTGAGCGTCCTTTCCTTCACCTGCGCGCTAAGCCGCATTAGTGTCATGCGGTACAATTGACGCCGCCCGTCTTCCTCTTTCTCTTCCTCTTCCCTACCTTACAATGCACACCGCTCGACGCTCACGGGAAGGAAACATGGTTAGCTCAAAGTTTGAGGATAATAATTCATCGTCTGCATCTCGTCAAATTTATCAAGAAAACACAGGCATGATTCTTGTCTTTTTCAACTTCTACGGCACGCTTCTAGATGTCATGAGGTTCGTCAGACGCAGCGGAGACAAGGCACACTGAATCGGTGTTGTGACGATTAACGGCTACCACGATATCGGCGATTACCCCCACAACCAGCGTTTCTGGGCGGTGAAAATAGGCTGTATCGGGTTCCAGCGAGATTGCGTGGACTGAATGGACTCAAGATGATCACTGTGCATTGGCCGGGCTTGCAGTTACCCTGAGGCAGATAAGAAGATCATAGTGACTGAATTGAAGCGCGTCTTCGAGCAAGGTAGGCAGGGGCAGCCTAGGGAGATCAGGGTCCCCAGCTGATACCCTACCTGGGAGACAGTCAACCATCCGCAAGGCCTGATGTGTTTTTCAGAGGGTGAGATTCTGTTGCGGTATCAGCTGGTCCGTACGAGACCCGATTACCATTGCTTAGACTGTTCTGGACTAGCACGTTCCAGGGCCAGTATATATCGTCTTCTCCTAGCTAGATAGCAACTCAACGCAGTATTCTATCGATCCGATAGTCCTACGTTATCGTTAACCGTAGCTATCAGTGTACTACAGCGGCCCACGCCGCCACAAATTCAGATGAAGACACATGGATGAACCTGGATGTAGGATAGAATGAGTCACAGACTTCGAGTCTTGAGAGCATTGGAACGATTGAAGCCCTGGAGATGCCAAATCCGAATTCGCACTTCATCGATTTGTGTTGTTGATTTGAGCTGGAAGTGAACACAAAACTCTGTGATCTGACCTACGCGTACTAGCCAACCTTTCCGAAATCCGCTCCTCTTTTCCTCACCACCCGTTCTCACTCTCTACATCAACACTACTCCTCTACAAATTCTGACTAAATAGCGGCGTCGTGCTGCATATTGTAAGCATGGAACAGGGTCTCACATAGGTACCGAAGTGTTCCTTTCTGTGCCGTCACTAACGAGACAGCACACATCACAGTCAACAAAAGCCGCCTCTATTACGTCTTCCGGCGGAGCTGCACAACAAGATCTACGAGCTTGCAGCTGGTGGCATCGACATATTGATCAATTGCAGGATTGGAGCGATACGTCGGCCAAGAGGTTCTTCTTCTTTCGACCCTTGGATCCTCCACAAGCAAATGCTTGCGCTTTAGCAAACTTGCAGACAAATCCGCCACGAGACTATCGGCATGCACCTCACGCTAAACACCATTTGCGGTCCTCCCCACGCCCTGGCTCGATTCATCAGGCGCTCCAGCAACCGCTCCGAGTTCATCAGCAGTGTGAGCATCTCCGACATCATGATGACATTGAAGTTATGAGATCGAATGGGAAGTGGGAAGTGACGTGAGCATCCTGCGTTGTGCGCGATCTTTTGCGCACACTTGGGGGCTTGTAGGAGTTGAGACTAATTGCCGCCCCCTTGATCTCGAATACATGGATAGCCCCGAGGATGGTACTGCAATCAAGGAGGAGATTCAAGCGCACATTAAGCACTATTGCTGGCAGAAGGAGCTCGTTGAGATCGTGTTTTAGTCTCCGGCCAAAGAAAGCTTCAACATCATATTGCTGTCCTATCACTCTAGATCGGAAGTTTCCAGAAGGGAGAGGAAAGGAATACTTGAGTCGAGCATCGTGTAATGTTCAAAAAAGAATGTGCCTGTAACTACCAGATGAACGATAACGGTGCAGCTAATTCATCATCATCAAGGGTTATTGTAGCACATATTGAGCAACAAAGAGTGAATAATGACTTTGTGCTGTGAGGAAGGTAGGTAAAAGTGCCCTTCCCAGAATGCCTTGTCTGATGTGACATCGTTCTTTCTTAATCTCTCCACGCGCGACGCTCTCTGCTTTCTTCCACTGCCAACGCATGCCCACTGTTCTGGCGACCCCCAGTCTCTCGAAGCGTGTCAACATGGATCGTGACTTTATGTAAGATCTCACTTCTTTCTGACCTGTTGATGCTGATCACCATACATAACACTCTCCGCGACTTAAAAAGAAAGAGAAAAAAGAGCTTCTCTTCTGCACCTACCTGCCGAGCTCCGCAACAGGATGCACGCCCTAGCTATTGGCGATGATGAAGTCTCGCTACAAGCTGCCTCCAACCTCCAACGGCGGCCTTGCCTTCATTGAGCAAACACGAACATCCTTGAAAGTCAGGATGGTCAAGTTATTAGTTGCTGCCCTCTTGTAGCGCCTTTCAACTCCACCTGTCGACAGCTACGCGACGAAACTAGGAATATGCACTTCAGACTCAGGACTTTCTTTCTCTACCGGTAACAAGGGATGGTGAGAAGAAGAGCCGGAGGAGGGTGACGAAACGGACAGTTTCATATGCTGGTGTAGTTGCGAAACCGAGAAGCGCGCATCAGAGTTGAGGAAGGAACTTCAATTGATGAAGGGGAAGGCACAATGCGACCTAGACACTTCCTTCCCTTTTGTATCTGCATGCACACGTGCAAAGGCAATGATGAAGGGGTGAGGATTGTATGCAGAGACTTGAATGCAATTCAGACTGCGTATGAACAAGCAGAGACCAAGGTGGCATGTACAAAGGAGACGGGTATTCGAAGCGATGCTAATGCGCCGCAGACCATGCTATCCAAGCAATAACGCTCGAATGCAAGATGATAACCAGAAGAAGTATCCAAAACCCCCAAACCCAAACCCCAAGATCGTAAAAAACCCAAACCCAAGCGCTAGTCATGATACGTCGCTTTTAGTCAAAACCCAACCCCCAAAATGCCGCCAAAGCGAAACGATGCGTATAATGTAAAGGTGAAGTGTAAAGTATCCAACCGCCAAAACAACCAAAACAGCCAGTCCGAGTCTTACTCGCTCTCCAACAGCTGCCGTATCTTTTCGTAGAAACTGGCGGGGTATTGCCTAATCTCATCATCCGTAGGCGTAGCTTTATTCGGATCCCTGAATCGGTCCGCGACCCTCTGGATGATTTGGCCCAACAGCTCCTGCGGAATCCTCAAATCGTCTCCGCTATCAGGATAAAGGAAAACGTCGCGCTCGTCCAGCAGCTGCGCAACGGTGGGCCTGCGCTTCGGGTCGCGGTTCAAACATCGCTTAAGTGTCGCTTTGAGGCCGGGAGGAACTCGGACATCGCCCACCCCGAGGTCGGGGAACTGGATTTCGTACTGCCTGTTGACGATGGCGAGGACACGCGCCATTTGGTTGGCGATGTGTGCGAATGGAGGGCGGCCGTAGACCATTTGGTACAGAATGCATCCCAGGGACCAGACGTCGGATGGCTTGCCTAACGCCATATCCTTCGATCCGTTGCCGTTCGACAACTGTCCCTGCGCGCCTCCCGCGCTGTCCTCCAGACTCTCGGGGGACATGTAGTTGGGCGTGCCGATGTGGGAGTCACGGTGCACGTTGACAGTGTGGTCGGTCTCGATGGCGTTTGCGATGCCGAAGTCGATCAGCTTGAGGCGGCCAGAGACGAGGAGGAAGTTTGCAGGTTTGAGATCAGAGTGGACGATGTCGTGCGCGTGGACGGCGCCGACGCATTCGAGCATTTCCTTCCAGTAGAAGCGTGTAAAGGAGAAGTCGAGTTGGCCGGGAACGGAGGAGTCGGTGGGATCGAGTTTCATCCGGATGATGCGGGCGAGATCAGATTCGCCGATTTCCATGAGCTGTTGTGGAAGTTAGCTGGCAATATGTTCAAGTAGGGCAGAAAAGACCTACCACACTGAGGATCTGTCGCTGCTCATCAACCTCCCAATCGTAGAGGCGGACTACTCGTTCGACATTCTTGAGCTTCTGGAGGAGATCAATCTCGCCCTTGTAACCTCGTACTGCTGCCTCGTCGGCATCCTCAAGCTTCACTCTCTTCAAAGCAAGGAGTTTGAAGTTCTCTGCCATGACACGGTACACGGCTGAGCTACCTCCTCGTCCTATTCGATCCATCTGGGAGTAGTGTTTCCCGTTCACAGATAATGTGCTCCTCTTCTTGCGTTCCCTCTGCTTCGTTGCGGTTGCAGCACCGGCAGCTGCAGTGGCAGTCTCCAGGACCGACATCTTTGGCGGCGGTGGTGGCGCTGGTCTCCGGGGTGTGTTGGCGTCTCTAGATTGCAACGGCATTGGCTTTTCTTGCTGTTGTTGCTGTTGTTGCTGTTGTTGCTGTTGTTGCTGTTGTTGCTGTTGTTGTGGCACGGGCGATTGATGTCTCTGAAGTGGTGATTGATGGTGCTGCGCAGGCCGTATATCCCGCTCATCTCGGACCTTCATAACAGAATCGCTCATCTTGAGAACGGAGTCGGGCAGATTCGGGTGCTCCACTTTTGCTTTGACAACAGAGGCAGGAAGGTTTTCTTGGTCCTGTGACGGTGGGTGGTCTTCTTCGCCTTGGGGAGTCCTTCGTAGTCTGCGCATTGGCGCGCCGCGCAGCGGCACTCTTTTGATGCGCAGACTCGGCGCAGGTGTGACGGAGTCGTGTTGTGCCCTCTGAGGGGTGTTGGAGGCTGACCCGTTGCGCGAGATCTTCAACTTTGGTTTTCTCTTCTCTGGGGACATGACATCGTTTTGCGCAAGCAGTGCCGTTGTAAGGGCGCTAAGCTTCATAGGTTGCGGGATCTCGTCGTCTGAGCTGTCGCCAATGTCGATGTTCTGCATCATGGGCGCATTGGCCGAGAAGCCTTGGGACTCGCCCAGTACCGACATGGGCGAGTCTCTGCGCACCCGGGTCGAAGACTGCACGCGCATGCGACCGTAGGAGCCCATCGGCGTGGGGGACGCGGTAGCCATTGCGGAGCGGTGAGTCGGGCGCGTCGCTATATAGTGGGCGGAGAGGCTGTCTGGCTAGCGAATGTTTGCTGTAGTGTTAGTTGCGCATGCATAAGGCCCAGAGGGAAGGCGGCTGTTCGCTGTAGGGATGCTGGCGGTGGGTTGAGTTGTGAGGTTGTGAGCGTGCGCGACGGATGTGGAGTTCGTGTGTCGTCGTTGCCCGGGCAATGACCGCGTAAACACGCATAGTCTAGACTTCTGCGCAATTATGTCATGCTTCTTTAATGTTCAGTTAGAATTGACTTGGTTGGGTTTCAAGTTGCATTTTCTCTTTCGTCTAGTCGTTTGTGGGACGATTACAGCATCCTACCGACCAACGTGATATACAACAGTCAAAACAACCACCAACAATGGTCTATGCGAATACGCCGCCATGTCCTGGTAACCCGGCTTCAGCGCCTGCTACGCAATCCGAATCATAGCTTTGATGATACAGTCGACGACTCCTCGAGCACGATGGCAATCACTGCCGCAATGTCATCCGGCTTGCCGCCATGCCAGTTCTCGCCAGGATAGTACTTCTGCACTTCTTTGGCAAAGGGCCCGTCGCGGCGGGTATTGAGCCCTGTGTCCTTCGCTTCCTTTGCGATCGCAGTGGCTACTATGGCCTGCAAAGACTTGCTATCAGCTCTGCGACCTGTACCAGCTTGCACCAACTTCGCCAGATCGTGTCCGACTTCAATCGCGCCGTCCTTCTCCACCCACGCACCGGCAGCCACCATCTGCTTGCTGACTATGCCGAGCACATCTTGCGGGCTGAGGTTGTCCCATACACCGTCTGTCGCAAAGACGAGGACGTCCCCATGGCGAACCTTGTGGTGCGTGACACTCGATTCTTTGGGCAGATCGGAGAGCGTTGATGGGCCGCCGAACACAGCCATCTGCACGAGCATGCGGTGGGGTGTCTTGGAGAGCTGGTAGGGGGTATTGAAGGCGTGGGTTTGGGGTTGCGTGAAGTGTCGTACTGCATTCAGTCCCACATGCATGAAACCAGAATCGCCCAGATTGGCGACCTCGACGTTGCCATCGGGCTCGGCGATCGCCAAACATGCCGTACTGCCGCCGCCCTCAATGCTGTCGTCCTCGCTCACCTCGTCACATGCCACTTGCAGCAGCTCCTTGGGATGCAGTGATGTTGTGTTGAAGCCGTGTGGAAATGAGCGCGCAGCGCAGGTCATGTATTCGCACAGGCCGTGGGAGAAGTCTGCCGGGTCCAATCCCGACTCTACCCACCCTCCCACACCGTCGGCCACACCAAATGCCGTGGTCTTCGTGTCCCCCACCTGGCTGAAGAAGAGGGCATCCTGTCCACTTCGTAATCGCTTTCGCTTATCGATGCCCTCTTTGCAATCCCTCCAGTCCTCGTGGCGCTTCGTGGGGTCGTGCAGTGGGTTTGTGAACAAGTTCTGCTGTGCATTGAAGCGGTCCTGCTTGGCGGAGTAGGATGCTGCGACGTGGTAGGAGAACTGGGGCGCGCTGCTCGAGTGGTGGGAGGTGGAGCTGAAAGACCGCAGACCTGCTGGGTTCGGTGTGGTGTCCCTATGCAGCGGACATGTGGGTAGCGCATAGAGGGACTGCGCCCGTTGTGTGTGGAGGTTTGCTGTGCGTGTCGAGTGGACAGGCGCAACTAACGTGGTTGCTGAGAGGGCAAAGAGAAAGAGCCCAGATGCTGCGCGACGTGAGGGGAGTCGAGCAACGTTCGCGGCACTGGTGATGGCATACGACATGGCCGCGGCCCAAGCCTTGCAATCAGGCGTCAGTAGGTGTCGAGGAGGGTGTAGGTAGGGTGTTGGTACAGGAAATGCGCATAGTGGCGGCGCAATGTCCATGCGACCAAGGGCGACGGTATGAACAAACTTCTGGGCTAGGGAACGCGCCGGTCCAGCTGGTCGCGCTGCTGCACTTACTATCATCAAGTTCATAACACACCACGCTCGAGCAAGCATACAGTAACAGCACTCTCCACTGGCGGAGCGGTGCTTCCAGCAAACAAGAGTCTTTACACGAGATCTGTCCACTCCGCTGGTCCTGTCGCGACTACTGCAGCGCGTTACAGGTGCAGCATCGGGCAGATGACATAGCCGGCGCTAGCAGCCCTACCGCCTGGGGAACTTCTTTTCGCGCGCAGCTCACATGCAACAACCCACTTGCGCCCCCGCAGCACCAGAGGGGCACCGTCAGCCAGGATGAGCATGCACCCGGCGCGGCAGGCCTATGTCGAGGAGGAGAATGGCGCCGACCACGCCATGGAGGGCATTGACTATGCCAGCGTTCGTACGTTTTCGCAGTCGTTGCGCCCATGTTGCGGGTTCATCGGGGCTAACATGCGCAGCACTGGATCGCAACCATGCCATGCCCGGTGGAGGAGGCAACGAGATGGCCTCGGACCTGCTCGCCGAGTTCGAGCGGAAGAAGCGCGCGGCCAAGCTGATCGTACCGACCGCCGACCGCGACGTCAGACTACGGCTCCGCTCGCTGAAGGAGCCCATCACCCTTTTTGGCGAAGGACCAGCTGACCGGCGCGACCGCTTGCGCGCATTGCTGGCGGACGCAGCTGAGGCAGGGGGTGAAGATGCCGAGGACGTTGTCATGGAAGACGCAGAGGCGCCTGGAGACGAACAGGAGGAGTTCTACACCCAAGGCGCGCAGTCACTGTTGGATGCGCGACGAGACATGGCAAAATACTCCCTCCCACGAGCCAAGCAGCGCATCGCATACCAGCGCCACGAAGCCACAATACCCCTCAAGGCACACGTCGAGCACCGCAACAAGATCAAGGATAGGCTGAAGGGCTTCGAACTATACGGATCGCAGACCGCCGACCGGCCAGTCAGTATCGTGCGCGTTTCACCAAACGGACAGTATGTTGCATACGGCACGTGGGGTGGCAAGGTCGCGCTGTTGGAAATTCCAAGCCTGGAGCACAAGAAGGCATACCGAGGAGGACACACAGAGCGAACCACTGGCATAGATTGGGTGCCTGGCGCAACTCTCTCAGGCAGCACTGTGTCGTCTGGCAGCGTCAACCTTGCATCTGGTGGAGCAGGAGGGAAGGTGCAGCTCTGGTCACTGGACGACGACAAGCCATTGCGGACACTGGAGGGCCACACCGAACGCGTCTGTCGCCTGGCCTTCCACCCCTCTGGACGCTACCTCGCCTCAGCTTCCGACGACACCACATGGCGCCTATGGAATGTGGAAACTGGACAGGAGCTCTTGACACAAGAAGGCCACTCGAAGGAGGTGTACACAGTCAGCTTCAATCAGGACGGCTCGTTGGTCGCCAGTGCCGGGCTGGACAGTATCGGCCGAGTGTGGGACGTTCGCACAGGTCGCGTGATTTACATGCTGGAAAGTCACATCAAGCCCATCTACGGCTTAGATTGGAGTGTAGACGGCCATCGTCTCCTCTCGGGCTCAGGAGATGGTTTCATGAAGTGCTGGGACGTACGAGCCATGCGAGAAACAAACTCAATCGCCGCGAATACAGGGGGTGTCACCGACTTGCGATGGTATCAAGGGACCGACGGACCAGCAAGTGGTCTACCGCTGCAGCACAATGCAGAGGGCGAGCTTATCCCCAAAAAGGCATCAACATTCGTTGTATCTTCTGGGTTTGACAAGAATATTCAAATCTTCTCGGCAGACGATTGGGCGCACTGCAAGACACTGCAGGGTCACTCAGGACCAGTCTTCAGTACGGACGTGACGAGCGATGCAGCGTGGATCGTCAGTGGAGGAAAGGATCGAACCGTCAAGCTATGGTCGAGGGATGACAACGAGGGGATATGAGACATGGAGAGGACAGAAAAGCGCCATCGAAAACCGCATCCAGCGATAGACAGCCAGGAGTGCTATACTGCACCGCGCGATCGCAAGTAGAAGTTCATACATCCAGCAAGGGAGACTACTCCGCAACCAGATCCATTGACCTGCAGGTCTCAAACATTCAACAATGTCATGATTGCGATTCCGGTTTGTTCACCGCACTTTCGCGACTGTCGATTTGGGACGACTAGATAATCGGTAACAGCTCCAAAGAAGGGAGGTACGCGCAATCGAGCATCGGACGAATTTGCGAATCTGAAACTTCTACACCGCAACAAACAAAAGCAGAGGTTGAAGCGTCGCATCGCGTCCTCTTCGCGCGACGAGCAATGGGAAAGCGCAGCGCTTCCGCTCAGTGGGTATGTTGATCCACTTCGCGATATCAAATCGCGTTGTATCGCGACTTCCTCCGCGAGTCACGCACAAGTCAAGACTTGAACCTCGAACTCGGACCTCGTAGGGCTGTGATCTTGCCGTCATCGGCCGACGTATGCCCAGCGTGCTCTGGCCTTTGCTCGAGCTTTAGCCGTTGCTCATTTCGCAAAATCTCCGGTCCCAGACTTTGACGTTGGGCAGGTAATTCTGCCTGCAAGCCTGTCCTTGTCCACATCATCACGGACAGGGTACCTCAGCCCTATGATTCAGGCCGGGGAAAACGTGACTCACATCACCACAACAAAGCCGTGCACTGTTTACTCTGCCAAGACATCAACACTTACTGGTTGCGCAGCACCCTGGCTACTAAACCCGAGCAGGAGATTCTGGATTTCCAGAAGCTGTGGATGTGAGTGGTGGAGCTGCGCGCCTCCACCGGCGGGAGCGGCATGTGGGTTCTTACACCGCTGCAGCCTCACTTCTACAACCTGCATTATTACTAGTAGGAATTCGCGAATGAGCGCTGCGGAAACACGCCGCCCCCAATGCTCAAAGGTTTGAAAAAGTGAAATTGCAGCCCAACTTCCAGGGCGGTCTTCAGGCACTTGGAATGGGCAGCAGCATGAATTGGGGTTATTTTGAGATCGGTGAGAAGACGAGTGAGGGGATGGGACGTCCGGTCAAGGTCGGAGAGTGTTTTGAGATGCGAGCGTGAAGAAACAATTGAGGATCTTCAGTGGACTGAAAGTGCTTCCTGCAGTGGGTACTGTGTAGGGCTGGAACTGATATACCACCATCGTTGTGTACTATAGGGTACGCGTACGCGCCGTGGGGAAAAAAGTACTTGCCCTGTCTATCAGTCAGTCCACCGATCAAGATCAACGGGACTTCCCAACGGCGATCTAGAGATCCAGAGAATTATCACCCCTACAAATCACTGCTTCGCCAGGGTGCAAGCAGGGCCTCAGCAATTGCCCGACTCGGCTCGGCTAGCGTGATCTGACGGTGGCTGAGGGCTGCGACTGCAAAGCACTTTGTGCGCTCGTGGCGTTTGCATTGCTTCTTACGGTCGCTCGGCTGCCGCGCTGTGCGACGCGATCTGGCGTCTTTGGGGGGTAACACAAGCAGATGTGAGTGGGGAGATCGTATGTCTTAGATAGATGGGAATATAGGTTGTACAGCTGGGGGGATACCAAACGCCTCTGGCGAGCGAGGCGTTCATCACCTTACGGCCGTGAGCAGGATTTCTGGCGATGTGATCGAATCAGGCACGTTTGGAGCAAGTGAGGCCCGACAGCCGTGACAAGCAGCGCAGTCCCTCTACCTTGCACTGAGAATAGACTTAAGAAATCGAGAGAAATGCGAGATACTAGCCAATGACGTGCGTCTATTCGATAAGTGCGTAAGCCAGCCGATCGGTAGACGCTCGGTAAATAGATCGGATGTACTAAGGCAGCACAGAACGGCATGCAGTGTTTTCCTCGAAAGGCTCCAAGCAGACAAGGCCCAGCGTGACGGATTATCCAAGGTCGGCAAGGCAAACCAACGGGCGCTGGTGCGCCTCAGCACGATAACGAGCGCGAACACAGAAACACAGGAATGGATGTCTGCTTTCCCAGAATAGACAGGGACAGTCGCTGCAGATGCCGGGCGGTGAGATGACTAGTGCGCGCCTGGCCAAAGGGATGATGACACCGTTGACCAGGGCTGGACGAGTGCGAGCAAGGTGAGCCCTTCGCGCAGCATGGCGAGAACAAGCAGTTGGACGGAAAGTGGGAAGTTGGAAGTGCATCGGCTGATGTGACGATTTGGCTGTGGTTGATTTGATGGGTAAAGGAAGGGTCCCTCGGAGAAAGGCAGCCCGTATTGCATCTCATGCTCTGGACTCATGATTACACAGAGCCCACCACTGCAAGTCACGTCTACATATCGCCCGCGCCCACGACGGGAGAGCAGCAATCGCGCAGTTTGGAAACGCGCATCGCCTTGACTCAGTCTTGTCTGCATCTGGCAGATTTTTCACTGCTACTGAGCTTACGGCCGGCCAAGGTTGGCTTCCAAGCAGCGCTCTGGCGAATCACGGTGGTGGTGACGGGGGAATCTTGTTGAAGGGCCGGCCCGCAAGTCGACCAAGCGTATCGATTACAGTGGTACGGGGCCTGTCGTACCAAAGTATTGCGCGGACAGTGACAGCCCTGGCCTGACGTGCAATCAGCGCTCATGGCGGCCATGAGCTGTGACGCGAGCTCGACCTCTCCGTGAATCCAGCGCGCGCGACAAACAGGCGGGCAGAGTATTGACTGCCCGGCCGTCTGTTCACCACGCAAAATGGCACGCGCAGGGGCAGCAGGGCAAACGGGAGCGAGAAGGTGCGCGCCGTGAATGGCACAGTGCTGGCGCTGGCTGGCTGCCACCTGCACCGCAGTCGACGGCAGCCACTCGTTTCTGGGTAGATTCGTGCGGTGATGCAAGCCTACCCGACGCTGCTTGGGGCGCCGAATGGGAGCGCCAGCCCGTGTTTCGCGTGCATCCCACGGAAGTCACTCTCCTGCTCCCCCCCAGCACTGCTTAGCACCCAGAGAAGAGGGCCTAGCTCGTCCAAGGTTTCTGCTTCGGGCGCACACCCCGCCGTCTGCGATAACTAGCCTGCCTTCCCCACCCGTACTCTAGCACCCTCACTCATACCACCATCTTTCCTGGCAGCCCTCACCCTGCCGACGCGCAGCTTCACATCGCTCGCTTTTTTTTTTTGGGGAACGCGCAAGGCCGCCGTTGCTTGTCAGTGCTCGTCCGTGCCCGTGCAATCGAAAGCACTGGGAAAACGCGCTTCTGCCAGGGCCCTGCCATTGAGATTACCCAAAAGAGCAATCCACACCGCCAGTCCGGGCCACACCGGTACTTTGCTACAAGACTCCAGCACCGCCCACGCCATGGACTTTTCCAACACTAACAACCAAAATCACATGGATTTTCACAGACCCTCGTCGACGCTATCCAGCAACGACCGGAAACCCAACGCCTTCTCTTTCGACGACCAACAGACACTGGACGCCGGCATCCTCGACACACCCACCTTGATGTCGCCAACCACCTCCACCCAGGGCATCTTCTCGCCCGATGGCTCCATCTGGGAGGATTTCTCACAGAACCAGTTTGTCGACCGCACTGCCACAAGTTCGGTTGTTAACTCAAACGTCAACAACCCCTTCTTCACCGAGCAGAGCAACAACCCCTTCGCTCGTCTTCCTCCTAACCAAGCTGCAACCTACGGCCAGCAGTCGTGGCCTATGGACAACTCTGGCATCCGCACCCCGACAGCACCCAAGCCTTCAAATCCCTTTGGTCCTGGTGACTTTGGTGTCCAGTCAGCCTTCGTTCCTGAGCCCCAGCAGCAGATGTTCCATGGACTCCCCGTGCACGCAAATGTCAGACCCAGCACTGTCTTTTCCAACGCTGCTGCTGAGCAGCCCATGTCGCCGCACACCCACGCGGACTGGATGGCCTTCAACCAGAATGAGATGGACTCACGGCCCGGGCCCAAGCGCATGAGGCCCAACACGCCTCCTCCCCGCGGTTTCTCTCCTCGTCGCGACGGTGGTATCAGGAAGAAGAACGCCCGCTTCGACATCCCCGCCGAACGCAACTTGTTCAACATCGATCAGCTCATCTCTAGCTGCACCAACGAGGACGAGATGAAAGAGCTCAAGCAACAGAAACGACTTCTCCGCAACAGACAGGCCGCGTACGTACCTCTCTTTGGAATTCGGTTCAGCGTTCCTCGCTTGGCCCAATCCATGATTTGGTCTCTGCTTCCATTGTTCATCAGCTAACGTATCGCAGTCTTGACTCTCGACAACGCAAGAAGAAGCACACTGAAGAGCTCGAGGAAGAAAAGAAGGGTTGGATCGAGAAGATGTGCGGCATGCAAGAAGAGTTTGCTGCCATGCGTGTTGAGTACGACCAGCTCGTTGTTGAGAAGGAGAACTGGCATCGCGAGTCTATGGACATGCATCACATGATCAACCAGTTGCAGTTCGACAAGGAAGAGCTCGTCCGCAGCCACACCCTTGAGACCGGTGAGCTTCGTAAGAAGGTCGCCGTTCTTACCGAGCGTCTCGAGAACAGCCCTGGCAACATGACCGTCGCACCCAGCACCACCTTCACCGACTTCGCTTCCGAGATGGACAACCTTCACATGGGCGGCAACGAGTGGGACAACTACATCTTCGTCAACGACTTCGCCTCCGATGAGCAGACTCCTCAGGAACAGCCCATGGCCATCGTGACCCGTGTCAAGGAAGAGAAGGAGCCTGTCGCATCTGGTCTTCTGCTCATGCTGCTGCTGTGTGGTGCTTTCGTCGCAAGCAAGTCTGGCTCCGGCGCCGCACCGCCTATGCCTCGCATGCCTGACGAGGTTCGCGCTGCTTCTGCAGACGTTCTCGACAGCATCCTCAAGGATGCTGGTGTCTCTTCTGCTTTCACCGAGCAGGGTCTTATTGCCAACACCGTCACTGGTTTGGAGCCCACTCCATCCGGCATGGCTTGGCCCAAGGCTACCATGTCCGGTTCTGACCACACCGGCATCTCTGGTTCTCGTCTCGATCAACTGCACTCTCAGCTCGCTGCTCCCACCAAGGAGCAGGAGAACGAGCAGCTCTTCTCCATCACACCCGCCCAGTACAGCAGCATGACTTCCCTCGACTTCACCCGCCCTCGCTACAGCATCGGCAGCGACGACCTCAGTGACCCGCTTTCGCCCTCTCAGCCATCGCACCGCCGCAACCTCGCCGCCACCCTTGCCGCTATGCGCGAGCAGAACAAGGGCGAGTCCGCTGCCGAGGTCTACACTCGCAGCTTGCTCTGGGACAAGATCTCACCCGAGGTCGTCCACGAGTTCAAGCGCATCGTCGAGGAGTCCACCGCCATGTCAAGGCCTAGCACCTCCGACGGCTTCAAGGCCGAGGGATGAAGTACCACCCCACCACCAACCACCAACAACCAACAACACCTTTCCTTACGTCCGACACCCTGTCGTGACCTCTTTGCATCAATTCGTTCTAGCATAGCGCTTCCCTTCTTCCCGCCTTCCGTCTGGGCTTCCCTTTGAGACAACTTGCATTGTCGGCTTCCGCCGCCTTCTTCTTCTCGCCATCTGCCTGGCCAATTTTCTACATCTGGGACGGCAACGTCGAAACCATTTCGATTACATCGCTGAGCATACATGGCGGTTGCACCTTTGCACTTTGCTTTTGGGCGTGCCGTGATGGCTACCACGGCTACCATTTATTTGACTTTTATTTGCTGCTTTACACATATTTCCTATTTCACAAACACCTTTGGTTTTGTTTTTTTTTTGGCTTTGTTGGGTTAGTGTTTATAGCAGAGCGTAGCGAGCGAGCGTGTCCTTTCCGTGGCTTTTCTTATGTCTATATGATGAGATGAGAGCGAGGGAAACTGATTGGATATCACGATCACGAATCGAGCATGAGGTTGGAGATGGAGACGATGTACGCGCTACGACACTGTATATGAATTACGGCTGAAGATGATGGCATCACCGCACCAGTGACAGATTGATATTTCTTGCGATTTATATTTATTAGCTAGTGTTGGAGGAGGTTCTGGACAATCTACACTTTCTGCTTTTGAGGTCGGACGATACTGTTCGACTTCCATCCACCTACACCACGTCCACCACTTGCATTGTGACTCTTCCCCCCACTCGTCGCGCACACAGCGAGCGACCACCTTCGATACCGCACCCGACACCGCCGTACCTCGCAGCAGAAATCCAGCAAACCCAGCGATTTCCGCAAATCCTCATTGACTCACAAACAAGATTCTCGTACAACCAAGACCGTCACCACACTGCGCCACACACCTCTCCTAACTCTCTGGACCAGCGCTAGCGAGAATAGTTAGCAAATATAGACCCCCCCCCCTCTTCCTCATGGCTGTGGTAGGCTATGTGAGTGCGTAGTGAAACAGGTGAAGAGGCTAATGCGGAAAAACCAGGTGCACATTACGCGGACACGGCTCTCTCATTGGGCACGTTTGTGACATTTTCGATTGGAATGCATGAGCATCCGGCGTGACCATGGCAGGATCAGCAGTCACGGGAGGCAGCGGGAGCTCAGGCAAGTTATCAAGATGATAGGCAACATGTACACTCTCCAGATGCGCGGTTGCACGCTTCCATACGGCCGACAGTAGTAGGGGTACCAAAGCGCTGATCGCCTGTGTGCATGTGTTGGTGTTACGAAATTCGTTGCTGTGCTACTTGCGTATACTCACGCCTCAACATCGGTCTATCGAGCGCCAGATGACCACTTCCGGCATCACGACGAGTGCACAGAGGCCTAATGCGGCTTGACAGGTCCGGTGCACAGCATATTCTCGAGAAGAATTGATCGCCAGATCTTGAATTCATGAATGTTATTGATGTGCAACCCTCAGAAGTAGCGGTAACCAACACTCAGTTGTTTGCTGGTGGGGTCTCTCCTCGTCGTGCTATCTCAAAAACACTACTTGGGATCGTACTTTGGCTTCCAGATCCTGTGAATCGGTCAGCACGTGCTTAAGCAGGTACGTTCACTCGTTCACGGGTATCGCGTCGGCCCTGCGCGGTCCGGTGCGGTCCAGTCCAGTTGAGTTCGCAGCTCGGTCCAGTGAGCGGCGACAGCTATGCGAAGCTCTCGGCTGAGTTGAGGTCAATTAGACAGCTTCACTCAGTCCGGGCGGGCGTCGCGGCTCGGTGTGGCCGTGCCATCTCCATATCTAGGAGCAGTCGCATACACCGATCAACCAGTCTGATCGAACAATAACACCCATCGTTGATGATTGAAGGCCTTATCCAGCCCGCCCCATCTGACACCCTCGCTCTCCTCCGTCATCGGCTCACCAAAGCAGTTCCACACCCTCAGCCCTCCCCCACCAGCGACAGCATGCCACGTGTATGCAGCCCAACCGCATATGGCACTCAATCCATCCCGCCAGGCGCAGCCATACACCCGACGCTCCCGATGGGGTCTGGCAGCGGACACGGCACGCGACGATGCGCTGCGGTTGGTGGGGTGCTGCAAGTGACATTTGCGGGAGGGAGGGTGAGGGCCGTACCTAGCAGCTGCTAAGCGAGCGATGCGTCGTTGGGGATGCTGTAAGATGTTGAAATGGGGCACTGAGAGCCAATGGAGCGGGCTTGGCGCATGAGCGGCGAAACGGGGTACGTTCTGGTATGTCGTGGCTAGTGATATGGACCGCGTGGGTGGGTGGTGGACTTTCTGCTTGATCCGAGGATCTTGGTATGTTGATGTTGATGGTGACGGTTGGCGCGGATGGAGTGTTACTTCTGGCGGTTTGTGATGCGGGATGTCCTGGAAGGGAATGACAGGCAGGTAACATCCGTGCCGGGTAATCATCTGGTAACTCGAACCGATGCATGCTGAACGAAGAGATGTTGGTACTTACCAAGTATTCCCTAACGTCTTGTTTCCTTTCGATTCCGCGAGGCGCAGGAACTGAGCCGCTTTGAACTGCAGGCACGAGGCGCTGTTAGCAACCAATATTCTTCGTTCCCGCAGTAGCCGAACACAAGTGAGATGCCGTGAGTGAGATGCACAAGATCCCAAGAGAACTGCTGCCCAAACAGTGAGGCGGAAGGTGAGAAAACTATCATGCGGAGGGTTCTGAGACATCGATGATGGATAACGGGAGCGAAAGTGAGCAGTCTTCCAAGCTCACCGTTCGCGTTGCCGCTGTGCAGAAGCTTACACTGGCGACACATGATCGGTGGCTTGAATGCGTAGGCCTCTGAATACAGACCCCCCGTAGATACCCAACATAGCGACGAAGGAGAGCCAGGGAAAAGTTACGGGGTGAGGTTTGGAGGCTGAAGTTGAGGACTGACGTACCTTGTCCTTCTTCGTGCCAAACCCTTCGGTATAGCACCAGGCAACCTCGTTCATCGCATCTGCGTCCCCTAGATTGGCAGCCGTCTCGTAGTACTGCTTTGCCGCAGCCGGATCTTTCTTGATACCCCAGCCATTGCGAAAGCAGTTCGCCAACTCGTACATAGCAAGCACCAGCTCGCCCTTCGCAGCACCGCCTTTCTTCATGCCAGCACCAAGCGCAAGTTTCTCAACTTCAGCGCTGTTGGATGCCGCAAGTGACAGATAGTGCACTGCTTGCTCTTGATTCGCATCAATGCCCCAAGCATGTCGTAGCGCAAGCCCATACAAGACCTGAGCGAGAGCATTGTTCGCACCGCTCGGATCCGCCAATCTCCCAAACAGCGCCGTACTCGCCTCAAGATTACCATTCTCATGCAACCTGATCGCCTTCTGGATATTCTCCTCGTCCGCCAGCGCGCTAGTGCTGGGCTGTCTCTGCACGCCCGATCTCCCAGCAGGCGCCATGCCCATGTTCGCCATCACATCGTTTATCTCGATCGTGGGTGTCGGCGGCGCGCTCTGCCCGAGTGGTCCTCCTTGAACCAGCACCGTAGCTCTCTTCTCCCATTTCGCTTCATCTTCCTCGTTGCGTGCTACCACTGCACCTCCCACGTCTGGCAGGTTGTCCGGCACGTTGACACTACTTGCACTCTTGTTTCGCCCGAAATGCAACCGCTCGCTCAATGTGCCACTTCTTGGCCTCCCTGTCCCATCCTCACTAGCCCTTCCATTGCTCTCTTGCGAACCTGTGCTGCTGACATTCGAGTGCCGTCTGAACCTGCCAAACCCTCTTGTGTCTTTGGGGCTTAAGAGGGGTGCTTCAGAGCGCGTAGGGTCGCCGGGGAATGAGGGTGGTTCGATAGCCTCGTGGGTGCTGGTCGTGGTGCGAAAGAACTGGAATTCCGGTACATCAGGGCTCAGTGTCGGACCCTTCTCAGGCGTCCCTGACGCGCCCTCATCTTTTATTTTATCTTTCTTCTTAAGGAGATCTTTGAGTTGCATGGTTGCTGAGCAATCGGGCTGGGCGCGTCGCGAGCGGGCGCGTCGCAAGCGGGCGCGTTCAAGGGGTATATGGGTCAGGTGAGGGGTGCTGTTATTGCGGTTGCAACTGCAATTTTACTGCGGTCCCAGATGTCTGGGGATTCTTATTGTACTCTTAGAGTAGTCTTGTATCGGCGCAGCTTCTCAGCAACCGTGGCAGGATGCATCGAGCTTGGCTAAGCTGCGCCGCGTAATGTCAGATGGAGGTGAGTTGCTTGTAGGACAGCCAAGCTCAGCCTCAGCCCGCCCGAGCCTCCACCAGCCGCGGTCTATTTTGGTTCCACCAAGGCGAGGAAGAGCATGCAGAATTTATTTCACTGATATGGTAGTCACGTCGTTGATCACGGAACTTGTTGTGAGATATATGTTCTTTTCCATTGTTCTGTTTGTACATGCTTTTTCTTTTCTTTCTGGATGAATGAGAATGTCCAACCCCGGACCCAGCTATCTACTGACACCAAGAGACTAGGAAACTACCAAGAATCACGGAACTCACGCTGTCGTGAAGCGCTAGAGGGGTATCATCGCAATACGCACCATGTCGTGGCAACGCTGAATCGAAACTTCGAACGTCAAAACGGTCCAATGAGCAAGTCAAAAGAGCCTACCAAGTTAAGCAATCGAAACTGCAGAAACTTTGACGCGAGGAAAGGGTTAGGTAAAAGTGTAGTGCTGCTCGGGAGAGGGGGCCTACAGGTTTTTAAAGTCGAGTATGCCGTGAAACGTGGTACCTAATCCTCGACATCAAAAGGCACGTAGTCGACCTGTTCTGTGAACAGATGAGGTGCATGAGAAGTGTCTGTGTTCGGATCCGAACTCCAGTTTTGTACCCCGGCAGTGGTAGTTTCGGCCTCTGGAGAAGTTGCCCGGGATTGGTCCTCTGGTGAAGAGCGACCGGTTGGCTTTCGCATTCGAGATGCACGATGTACGTGCCGATGCTGGCATTTGTCGCCTCTGATGCACTCTCCTTTGTTCGCAAAGTCGGGGCACTCGTATGCGTGCAGGTCAGCGCATTCAGCACCTTTCTCGCAATATCCTAAGCGTCCAAAAGCATCGCAAATCTGAGCTGCTGGGTTGACGCGAACGTGCGCAAAGCGACAGTCCTCGTTCGTGCATCGTCCCTCCTGGAAATGGAGACACGTCGGGACGTTGTGCGGTGTGGAGTCGTGGGACAGAGAACAGTGGTCGCCTCTGTTGCAATCGTTCTTGAAGAGCCAGCGCTTGCAGAGCGCTTGCTTGTTCGGATCGTGGAGAAGAGGACAGCCATGACGGGTACAGAGACCTACACAGAAGTTAGACGCAATCGCAAAAGGGGACGGACCTGGGTGTCTCAAAGTAGTGGGTTACCTGTGGATGTGAATGTTGCGCAAAGGGATTTCGGTTCTGCAGGTGGTTGGCTGTTCTGTCTTGAATGAGCATTCGACAAACGTGCTGAACCGGGAGCCGAGGCGCTCTCGGTACCGGAAGCTTCAGCAGACACATCTGGCTTGTTGAACACGACGGTTCGGTTCTTGAATTTGGTCGCGCCGTGTGGCGGCGGTGGGCGCTGATACGGATGGTAGGAAGCAGCTCCCCGCCCTCCATAAGCGTAACCCCCACGCTGTGGTCCTCCTCTATATGAGCTGTTGTACGCTCCGCGACCCCGAGGGGCGTAGCTGTTTGCGGGGTTGTTGTACGCTGTTGCTGCGCCGCCATCGTAAGGAGATGTGTGGGCGGTGTAACCATTCGAGAAACTGGCAAGTCGATCCTGCTGCTCTTTCTTCATGCGCGCAATATAGCCTGGGTTTATGCCGTCAATATATTTTCCCCGTGTAAGCCTCCTCTTTCACATACTGTTCAGTTCTGCGCGCGCTCGTAATCGTTCTTCTTTCGTGCTCATTGCATTGATCTGGTCTATTGTATACGGTGGGGGTCCAGGTGGTGCCATGTTTGCGATAGTTTCACTGTAGGTGCCTAAGGATCAGTTATATACTGTGCAAAGGTTAGTACTACGTGAGCGCAAGTCTTGGTTGCTGCAGTCGAGCGGTGACGAGGGCGGGAAAAGAAGTGGTGGGGCGAGACAATAGATGCGATTACCGACCATTTTAGCGTAGTTTTGCTAGCACGTGACATGGCGTCGCTTCGGCGTGTACTCGCAGATACCTGGTGAAGGTGTTAGTCAGATGACTGAGAAGGTATTAGTCAGATGACTGAGAAGGTACACTTGAAAGTGGCAGCTTGTTAGTAGAGGAGTACCTCTGTGGCTAAGAAAGCAACCTGTCGCACGGCATCATGAGCGTCAACATCATGTCACTAACGAGCATCTTCGCGACAAGGGTGCAGTTGAAATGCATAGTTGGTATCTAGTGATGGATGAACAGGTAACTGAGTATGATGAACCCCTCCTCGGTGCTTTTACAGATGATCTGCGCCGTCCCAATGCCCATAGCCGGTACTCCTGTGCAATGCAATGTTGTGTGATTATGGTCCTTGCCTAGTCAGACCTAGTCGTCCGCGTCCAGGTTGCCATTCAACTCATTGAGCTGTTTCTTCTTGATATGAAGATCTTGCTGCTGTCTCTCGATCGTCTTGTTCATACGCTGTTTGAAGAGAGGGTTGTTTGTCTTGTCGCGCGACTCGATACTCTGCTGGCAGGCCTTCTCCAGTTCAGCAACCTCTGCCTCCAGCAGCTCCCTCCTCTGTTGCTCAGCTGCAGCGGCCTCGTCAATGTCAGAGTCATCGTCATCGTCGTCATCGTCGTCGTCATCGTCGTCCTCTGCTGATGTGGCGGCGACTGGTGTAGTTGGGGCGGTTTCGGGCTCGACAACAATGCTGCCATTCTGCGCAAGTGCATGCATAGCCGCGTCGTGCGCAGTGACAGGAGTTTGCCCTTCGACGGCGTCGCTGTTGCCGAACAGAGCCTCGATGTCCTCGCCGTCGGCTTGTATCTCGACATCGTCGTCTTCCATGAATCCAGCTTGCAGCATCTCTTCCAAGGCAGCAGCGTCGACTTCTTCGACTGGAGTCTCTGCGGGTGCATTCATCATCTCTTCGTCCTCGTCGTCTTCTGACCCAGACTCGTCCTCCGAAGACTCCGCCCCCTCCTCGACAAGTTCGTACTTTGTGTTCTCGGCGTTGTCGTCAGCCTCTAATAACGCATTCATCTCAGCTTCGGCTCGTTCAACGTCGAGGTAAGACTTCCGCGGTCGGAAGCGCCGCTTGCGAACCCAGCGCATGGGCGGCGTGAGACCATGAGGATAGCGGTGCGAGTTTTCTTCGACATAGCCTGGTCGTGGGTACTTCTTTGCCTCGTCTTCGTTCTGAACTCTACCCAGAACGAGGAGCATCTGGCAGACGTCTGCAGTCTTGACCCAGTCCTTCTTGTTCCAGCTCTTCATCGATTCTATGATGTTTGGTAGCTCCACCATGGAGGCAGCGTAGTGACGGCCTTGTATCGTAACCATAGCTTTCCTGCCCTCTTTGTCGAAGAATCTGAAGTATACGCCTGGTCCTCCTTGCATGGCACTTCGCCCTATAGTCTTCTCCTCGATAGACTTGCGTAACAGGTCGCAGTCAGGTCCTGGGAGCATTCGCAAGACGAACTGTGCCTCTATTGCTGGATCGACCTCTGCCTCCTCGGCTTCACTGTCGTATCCTACACCTAGTGGTCTCATCGGAGGCCGCCCCGCACCCTTGACCTTCAGTAGCGTGGTGCCGCGTGACGGTGCAGGCGCACCGGAGGCTGAAGGCTTGGGCTTTATGGATAGCTTGAGGGACGTCTGGCGGTTTGGGGGCATCTTTGGTACTCTTTGCACAGGCACTGAAAGCTCCATGTCCTCCTCATCGTCGCTCTCGTCTAGTCTTTCCAGGCTCTTCAGCGTTGGCTTCGGCTTGCGCTTCGCTACTGGCACCTCTCCATCTTCGCCATCCTCGCGAGCCCTCTTTTTTGGCCCCGGCTTGCCTGGTAGAACAGCGTTTCCATTCTCGTCGATCCTAGGCTTCTTGGTGTACTTGCGCTTCTGCTTGGGCGCGTCGGCGGAAGCATCACCGTCTGCTGCAGGCGCAGCAGGAGTTGCTGGCTTCAACTTGAGCTTGAAGCCACCGATTTTCACAGCGGCGGGTGCGGGTGCTGCGTCTCCGGCCGCAGGCGGCGCAGGCGGTGCTGCCGGTGCGTCGCTAGAAGCTGCGTTGGGGTTCTTGAGCTTGAGCTTCATCGTGTCGACGGAGAGGTAGCTCGAGTCACGGGCATGGGCGACAGTGGTCGAGCGCAAATGCGCACTGGCGACTGTTCAATAGCAGTTGTGTGGTGGAGGTGCGACTGACGACAATAGAATGCGGAGATTAGTCTTGGCGGACGCGACTGTGAAAGTCCAAGCTCCACGCGCCTTCACGTTGGCAACGAGCACCATCTCACCCGCACACGCCCAACGATGCGCTGTCTGCTGCCTCGGTAATCGCAGACATCCACTGGACCTCTGCATCCATACAAACCACGTGACCGCGCCAGCATGTCCCAGAACGACCTGTTCCTCAACCTCCTGCGGCCCGCAGTCCTCCACGTCCTGCGCGCGACAGGCTTCCACTATGGCAAACCCTCTGCCGTCGACACAGTGGTGGATCTCACAGCGCGGTATTTGACACTACTTGCTGAGCGCACCGCATACAACGCATACTCAAATCACAACGACCTGATACCCGACATTTCCGATGTGCGCATGGCAATGCAGGACTGTGGTCTGCTAGTGCCGACCATGACCGCTGGCGAGGAACTCTGGAAAGAGTATCTGCGGAAGCCGCTGGAAGAATACAACGGCGAATCTGGCGCACGAGAGATGGAAGAACGCAGGCGCGATGCTGAGGACACAGCAGACGTGACTGAGTTCATAGAATGGGTCCAGGGCGAGCAGAACAAGGAGATTCGACGGATAGCAGGCACCTATAAGCCGGTTGCCACAAATCCTACGGAGCAGCTTGACCAGCTGGAGATGGAGGACTACCTGAACAGTAGGTCGAGTATGCATCTATCTGCAGACCATCACTAATGCAACCTGAAGCACTCATGAAGAAGCACAGCAAAACTGGCGTCGAATCCCGCTTCCAGGGGACAGTGCTCGGTATCCCATCAGAAAGCAAGCCAGTGAAGATTGAAGGGGGGCCAGATTCGATCGAAGAATGGAATCGCAAGACTCGCGAAAAGGCCATCAAGGCGGCGGAGTCAAACGCAGAGAGCAACGGGACACCAGCGATGTCGAGACAGCAATCGGAGGACGTGGTCATGGAAACGGAATGAAATACCCATCATTGGATCATCACAGCATAGCGAAGGCGTTAGGACGGAATTTCTATCAATCAGGGAGGTATGTTCAGCCTTAAAGGGGCATCGGCATCTTACGCAAATGCAAAAGTAAAGCTTTCTCCGTCTCCGCCCAACTGCGTGTTCTAAATTACGCGGTTCAGCCTGATGATAAACGTGCCACAAGCGCGTTTGCACGAGACCAGGAACGCGCCGTGGGGTGCGATGTGAATGACGCCGCCCCGCCTACGTCATGGCATTCATCGACCACCGACTTCGCAACTTTTCCACAACATACCTTTCCACAACCCAATTAAACTTCTCCTAGCATCAATCGAGAAACCTTCAACTCAAACACACTTCTTGACACCCACAGAGCACCATTGTCCCACACAACACTACCACAATGTCCGCCCTTTCACCAACCGGCCCCTCCCAACCAACCCAAAACCAAGCCTACGAAACCCCTGGCAACCCAGTCTCCGCAAACCCCACCGAGAAAGCCACCCAAGGCTTCAACGCCTCGGACAACAGTGCCTCAGTCGACCAGCGCATCCCGCAGAAGCAAGCCTCCGACGCCGCCGGCGACCGCAACGCCAAGTTCGAGGAGGGCGCGGGCGTGCACGGCGCGCCAGCTGGTGAAGAGAGGAAGGGACTCAGCCAAGAGGATGTAGGAAGGCATAAGGAGCTGGATGGGCAGCAGATGGCTGCGCCGGGTGAGGGGAGGGTGGCGGACGCTGTTGCACAGGGCGGGAAGGGGATGGGTGGGGGTGGGAGTGAGCCGAGCTTTACAAGTGATTTGGACAGGTGAGTCTCCATGGTTGTACGAGGATGATAGGAGTGGCATGCTGACTATTCTTCAGGAAGAAGGCTGAGCAGGCTGAAGCGAGAGAGGCTATCAAGCAGGAGAGGGCTGGAAATATTCAGGCTGGAGGCGCGGCGGGACAGACTGGTGGTCCTGCGAACCCTGTTGATCAGGGTGGCTACCCTAACGGTGGTCCTCTGAACTAGATGTTTGGGTCTGATCGCAGGGCGAGAAAAAGGGATAGCGAGTGAGTGTTACACAAGAGAGCTCACCTCCGGCTCAACATAACCACGAACATAATACTACCAAATGACCAAGCACTCGATCTATCTTACCCTGCCGGTGCACGCGCAATTATACAACATGTTGACACTCAACAGGACTCGATACATATCCTTGGTGATCTCAGTGACGGAGGCTGGATGCATACCTCACGTCTAGATTGCAGCACCACTCGAGACAAGAACTTATGAAGCGACGTTGGTATGTCCTATGATAAGCGGGAACGACCGCAGCGGCATGAACGTTATACAATGATATGGATAGTTACAAAAAGTACGACTGTGAAGCGTGATAAACATGTACCCAAGCCCAATCTTTGTGAACCAGATGCGGACCTACCACAACCAAGCGATTGGTGGTCTCAGCGATCTCAAACGCCCTAAACCCAAAGACAATCGTTATGTACATGAAGATAGTAATGAAGAAGAAAGAAGGATCGAGCCTGAAGGACTAGTCGTTAGGGTTGAACCTAAGGATTTATACCATAGGCATCGAACTGAAACTCGTTGACCGCAGGATACGAGACGAAATTGTCATTGTACATGACAGGGTCAACGGGCTGTATACTCGCGCTCAACCCGTAGTCGAGCGGGATCTGCGGCAACTGCTGCTGCCCCACGGGATACGGTTTCGACACATCAACCATATCGAACGTCGTCTCGTAGCCAGCGCCAGCAGCTTCGGTCTCAGGCGCGCTGTCCGACACGCTCTCAGGCGACGTAGGTAGCGGGTTGTTGGGAACTTCCATCTCTTGAATCCAATGCTGCTTCAGCCAGTCCATGGCAGGATGGTCACCGCCACCAATCCCGCCGCGCTTCTCGTCATTCTTGCCCTTCCGGCCCCGCTTGCGCGGGTGGAAGTGTGCGCGGCGCAGGTGCGCAGCGGCGTTGTAGTATGCGCCATAGACTTTCTTGTTGCGGCAGTGTTTACAGTTGTCGAGAAAGTGCTTGTCGAAAGACGGCGCAACACAGATATACCCCTTGCGCACCACAGCGTGCGCGCGCGCGATGTGGCGATCAAGTTCATGCGTGCCGCGAAACCCGTCAGGGCGTTCGTCGCAGTGCTGACACATGATCTTAGGGTGTTGGGGGCGGACATATGGTGTTTTAGAGATCACACCTACGGTCTTGGAAGACCCGTCTTCGGACCTTATCCGCGCCATCTGAGCATTGGATGGCTTAGACAAGGCCTCCGCATGTGGCTCGCTTGCTTTAGGGGCAAGCGGGCGCGACGCAGCCGCGGCATTGATTTCGCGCTCGCGGCGCGATTGCCGGGAGCAAGTTGACGGCGCCGAGGCGTCGCTCGCGTTGCTCTCGGACGAGTGGGATGTCGACCTCCGCATATCCTCCGCCAGGTGCGACTCGTTCTGATGATGTTGTCCGGAAGAAGCGGCAAGTGCTTGCACACTTGCCATTGAAGCAGGAACAGAAAACACAGGAAAAACGACAGTTTCACTGGCCGCAGGACCAGTGAAGGCAAGGAAATTAGAATCGAATTTCGATCCATCGTAGCAAGAAGGAAAGGAAAGTGCGCTATCCTCAGGGAGGATAGGCATGTAAGACAAATCAGACTGAACGCGCAGAGAAGTTTCATCAAGGAAAGAGGTGTTCAGACTGCTTTGACGACTCATGGCGTTACTAGATTGAGTAACAGGAGTCATCAGCGCAGTCTGAGGTGTGCTGGGTGATGTGGAGCAATCTGATAATTGACACCATTGGGGGGTTAGTTGCACGTGCATGTTATGAAAGGGGACTGAAGGCGATGAAGCCTGCTCAATGCAAGTATTGACGTAGTCACCAGGGGTGTACTCAACCGTAGCCTCAGGAATGGCCTGAAGGCTGGCCTGGTTCCGCATCGATTGCTCCGAGTAGAGTGCATAGTCGCTCGTCTCGTTGGATGTCGCTGACCAGATGGTGAGGTCGCTTGCTGAGCGTTGGAGATTGTTGCTCTCGGGGATGGTGGTGGATCTGGGTTGGGAGGCCGGGGCGGATTGGGTGCGGTCCATCTGCTGGAGGTTAGAACATAGGGAGAGCGACCACCAAAGATGATGTCCATACAGGAAGTTGTGTCAAGTTCGACATGCTGTTTGGCATCGTCCTTGGGGTCTGGTGGGCCATCGATGGCTGTGCGGGGTTGTCGAAGCCATGGCTTTGGTAGAGGGGGCCGTGTAACCAAGCTGCCTGGCGCTCCTCCTCAGTGAGGTGGGCGTTGTTGACCCAGAAGTCCAGTTTCGCCTGTTCCGGTATCGCATAGGCACTACTACTACTATTTATATAGATATTGGCCATGTTAAGGTAGTATTTGGTGGCAGATGTGGTGGTCTTGTAGGAAGCAAACTGCACGATGTTAACAATCTGCGAACGTTGATGTGCGTCTGTCTGTGCAGTAAATCTTACAATAGAATAGCTGACTACTGAAACGCGGACGATATAAAGGCGAATGAGGTTCTTCAGCAATGTGAGGCGTGCAATGGAGGAGGAAGCGGGCCATGATGGGGATAATGGGCTTTTAGCACCCACACGAAATGCGGCAGGCGGTTGATGCGCTGGCTCGAGCGGAGGACGTCTGACGAGTGCGGGACGCGCTGAGCGGGTCGTGACAGGGCCAAACGTCGCTCAGGAGGGCAACCCAAGTCGAAGATCACCAACTTCCATCTGAAATGTGATTGGATGACAGGAGACGTGGGTGAATGTCATTCGCTGCCTCGCATTTTCTTTTTGGACGAGTGTGCACCGACCCATGTCAGCTTGGCAAGGATCGACCCTATCGTGAGCCCACACTCGGTGAAAGGGCAACAAGCTATCCTGCATCCTCTTCCATTCGGTCAATCTCTGCATCAGTGGCAGCGCATCCTCGTCCAGCTGGTATTGCTTTTTGCGCGGCCCCCGCGCCTCTGTCGGATGTTGCAAAGGCAGAACGGTCGTCATCCACAAGGGTCTTCAGATCGCACATGGGCCGACTCCTCTTCAACGCCCCGTTGCGACTTTACGCTGCTAATCATATCCCCTTCGAGCCACACCTTTTGCATTTCTTTCTATCGAACGCTTTGTCACATCACGGACTACCTCATTAGGCCAGCAGCGAGTCGTATATTTCTTGGCGCGAGAATTCACCGAGCGTTCTCATCTCAAACACGGCTTATGAGTCTTCAATTTCCATTAGGTTTGATTCGATTTCTCCAAACATAGGCCGTTTTCTTCTAGCATGTCACGAGCCTTCAGTTTGCTGTTCACAACTTTCGGAACTTTTCGAGCCGGGTAGTGCCGGCGAGAGCAGTCTCCTTAATCTGATTAGCTGGCGCTTTTGTGGAGAGCCTTGTGGCACGGAGGCGCCTGATGACGCTGACGAGAACGAGAACATGCTGGAGGCATCCTTCGATTGCTACTTTGCTGACTCCGCGGGCTCAGAGGTTCGAGTTCCATCACATCCAAATCCGTTTCTTGTAGCGCCTGTTGCTGCCCGTTCAGCCAATACCGGTCCAAGCATTCATCTGTGGCTTCTTCGATCAGACCAATGCCGTCGAAGTACACGACTATCGAATCTGTTTCGCTGGCGAACGGGTCCAAAGTAGCAACGGAATCCTTTCGAAGCAAGGCTGGGTGCTTTTCGAGATGGATCGGACCAGGCACGTAGATCCTTGTCTGATACAGGTCCTCGAGGTCCTCGTCGCCGGCAAACCTGCCGTCTGATCGTGGCTGTGGTCTCTGGAAGCGCGAGGGCGTCTTTGGTGAAACTGGTGTTGAGGTCCCTCGCCTGCCATAGATTGCACTGGTTGGCCTGAATCGCCCAGGCTGGCGCTCAGGTGTAGCGTACAGCTCTACTGGCGTGCCTAGCATCGATTGAGGTGAGTCGACGGATTTGTCAGGCTCTGATTCCACAAAGTCCATTCTCAGCCTTGCCAGCTGCTTCCTCTCCAGTGTCTCCCTCACTCTTGATTTGCGAGAGAAGGATGCATTTGCTTGCAATAACTCCGTCCCTTTCTCCTCTTCTTCACATTCATCAGTTGAATACATAGGTTTCACTACCTCTTTTTCTAATAGCCTTTCGTCTATGCCTAACACTTTCCTAGCTTTTGAATCGTTCTTAGATGATAGATGTCTTAAGTGCCTCCCTCTCGCTGCATCTTGCGGTGCATACTCCGTGGAGTTGAACGCACTAGGCAGTGCTGTGTTAGCTTTTTGCCGCATACTGGGTCTTCGCACGATTGCTACGACATCGCCCACACTCCTTATTCCTTGCCGTAGCGACTGTCTGCGCGAGAGCGATGTCACTGTGATGGCCGGCGTATCAGGCAGTGTGCGCGGCATCTCCGGTTGAGGCATTAAGGGTGTTTCTGGGGTAAGAGTTGTGGGAGTCGGGCCGTCGTCAGTATCGTCTTCGCCGTCGGTATTCTCAAATGAAGACGAAGCAAAGCTCGTGAAGGTCCACAGTCCATCAATGACGAGTAAACCGAGTTCGCTAATCTCTCTCGTGGGACGGGCCGCGAAGTTCGCTGATGGTAGTTCATCATCGGGGATGTCGTAGTAATCCTCGCCCGTGGTTTGCATCTTGACGACACGAATCTGTACTCAATCGTAGGTGCGCGGGAGGCAGTCCAACAGCGCTTGCGCGGTATTTGGGCCATGGTTCTTTGTCTGGTCGCTATAGCGATGTTTGCAGAGTTGCACATGTTGGGGCTGGCTAGAGCGTTGTCAGATCCCGAAACAACAAAGAAAGTCGTCGAGCCTATGGGATGGCTCAGCACTGCTATCCCTTCGATTAGTACAAAGGCATAGCTAAATACCTGTCATGGCTTTCGGACCCCAACTTTGTACAGGACGCTTATTTTAATTTGGGCGGGGACTCTGGTGCACCCCTTGCGTGCAAGCAGGTTCACTCCGCAGCCCTACACACATGTTCTTATGTGGGCGCTATCTTATGACAGATCATCGATGTACTTGTCAATATAGTTGTTTCACTGGAACTGAAAGTTGCCAGCCCTATTGATCATTACTGACTACATATAGTCTCTGCTCCAAACCGAGTTGTTTAGCATCCATATTGTAGCTATGCGCCTTAAATATGTTGAAAGATTTCCGCAGCAGCTCTTTGTTGTGTACGCTCCCACTCAACAAGACAACGTCTTCCTTACTTTGAAAGTCCTTTCAATATACAGTTCCAAGCATTCCGTGCTGTCAATTCGTTCATTGTCGCGCCCACAATTCGTTGAGGTCATTCACAAACGACTGGGCTACTGAGAAACCCCTCAGTGTGATTGTCTCTAACAGTTGCAGAATTTCGAACCGAGTCGAACGATCGCGAGCCCTTGCCCCTGCAACCCTTAATGGGAAGAACAGAAGTATTCCCGCACTTCCCTGGTCCAGTAGGCTGCCACTTGTCATTAGGATCTGCCTCACATGCCCGCCTACTACGGTGCTACTCAAGGTCGGAGAGGGCGGTGCTGATGCGGATGTAAAAGGTACGTGGTATGAGAATATACCGTCAAGATAAACAGAGATGGTGTGATAATACACACGCGCGATGCTTATCTCCACGTCTAGCTTGTTCCCATCGACACTGAGAGATGCCCAAGAGGTGAAGTCCGAGTGCCAATGGAGAAGAGTAGATTGCAGAACAAGGCCCTCTTGGGCTAATGATGTCGCAGAATAATGTTGCACCTGTTGTGGCATATTCTGAGCATTGGTAACGAAGTGGAGAGTCCGTGTACCCAAGTCCACGAACTGTGGTAGAATGTCGAATAACGCCTCCTTAGGCGTCCAGGCACCCATGTGCTGGATCCAGTACAGTTTGGTTGCCAGTTTCCATTCCGGTTCGGCAAGGAAGGTGGGTTCAGTGAATATCAGCGCGCGTACGATCTCGAAAATTCGTGCACCGAAGAAGAACATTTGCCGCTGTTCGGTGTCCTTGTTTGGAAGGATAAGCATGTTGGGACCTTGCATGCGCAAGATAGTACTTGTGCCATGCAAGAAGTGTGCGAGCCAGTTGGTGCCAGTGCTGTCACGCATCAGCTATAGAGAATTAGTACTGGCAATTTCTACATCTGGCTCGAAGAAGACATTACTGACCTCAAATACACCGAGTAGCAGGGTTGTCCACAACGCCGAGGGATCGCACAAGAACGACTTCGATGCGATCTTTGCTTGTACGCAATGAACAGAACGGGAATATGCTTGCAGTGCTGCGAGATTCTCATCCCTAGTGGAGGCGAGCTGGCTATGCTGAGTGATGTGAAGCGCAGATATTGCGTTGATCGCATCGCGGAGTTCGGGAGCGTGGTGAACAAGAGAGCAGAGCGAAGTTTCGAATCGTGGAGCTATGCCTGTGAATGAATTCTGGTGTAAGAACGATATGAAGAAGTGTGTCAGGTAAATATCGCTTTTTATTGAAGGTGCTCGCGGGATCAAAGAAACCGTTGTCTTGTTCACATGGGAATGGGCCGTGTTCGTATAGGTTGCTTGCGTTGCGTGAAGGAAGATTGGTGCAGAGGTCTTTCGCTTCGTCGTTATGTGGCATGTACGATTTGTTTTGCTACAGTTCAGACAGGGGAAGCCACCAATACACTGATGAAGTCCGTCAATCTACGACTTTGGAAACAAGAGCGCGTGAGTCCTACTTTAATTCGGCGCTCAACACAGCGGTCGCACCGCTTCCTTCGCGCCTTGCGTCCATCGTAGGGTCCGCTAGCTTGCGTCATATGTTACAGTCAAGAACACGATGAGTGCACGAAGCTGCCGTGGGCGCTATATGGGATTGTGATCGCGGATGCTGTTGGTGACTAAGAAGAAAAAGGTAGTGTTACTGCGCAAACTTGTCTTTATGAATGGTGAGCGACGCAAGACATGCCGAATCAGTCCGAAGCTGACAGAATCCATGCAAGGCACGTTCAGGTCAATCGGCGGCATCGTGTTGATACAGTGTTGTTTGCTGGGCTGGCGTAGAAGGAGGAGTGGAGACTGACCAAGCCGAATAGGTAGAGAAAGAGCGCGTCTAGGCTATTTTCGGCCTAGTATATTCGCGTCGAGCTTGAGGGCCTTCGTCGCCGAACAACGGACTTCTCTACAACACCCAAGAACAGTTTAGGAAACGAAAGAGCGCTGTAATTAGCACCGCAGTCATGTCTGTATTGCATTTCAAAGTATATAAGGGTCGATGGGATGATGCCCTTCCACACGACATCACGAATCGACCAGCTAATTTCTGAGCTTCCTCTTTATTGCACACGTTTCCCTAGTTATCACGATGATACCACCGAAGTTTCTTTCTTTCTCATTTTTCGCCTGGGCGCCTTGACCCTTTCGCCAAAGACGGAAGTCCTCGCAGGATGATGGTATCTCTCTTCACGCCTGTTGTTCGCTGTCGTCACAAGCACCTCGAGCCATATATGCCGCCAGCAACTGCGGCATTTCAGAACGACAAGTTCGCCGCCTATGGTCTGCCGAATGGGTCCTTCTCCGCTTTACAGCTCGAGGCTTGCAATACAACAACCTTTGTCCCACGTTGTTCATCGCCTGAGGAGCATCCGCCACTCGTGCTATTCTCCGGTGCTCTCGGCACTTCGCGATTGATTTACAGCAGTATGCTACAATCTGTCGCTGCAGCTGGGTACTCGGTGGTCTCGATAGATCACCCCTACGATGCCGATTTTGTCGAATTTCCTGAAGGCACCACCGTCAAAGGAGCCGACATCGACAGCGATGCAGACATCGAGCTGGCACTCGCCACACGCGTGAGGGATATCGCCTTCGTACACCGACAGCTGGGAAATCAATCCTTCGTCAAAGCAGTTTTACCAGATTTTGACCGTGGGTATGGATACTCTGCCCGCAAGACAGCCATGGTGGGACACTCACTTGGAGGCGCTGCAGCGGCAGCTGCAGTGTTGGCTATCTCATCTATTCGCGGCGGCGTGAACCTTGATGGAACCATGTTCGGATCGGTCATCACATCTGGTCTGAAACGACCTTTCATGCTCATGGGCCACGAAAATAAGACGCAAGAAACGGATCCGTCATGGAAGGCGACTTGGACAAAGTTGACTGGGTGGAAGAGAGAGTTCGAGGTGGAGGGAGCTGCGCATTATAGTTTTTCGGACTTGCCGCTTGTCACTGAGGTACTTGGTCTGCAGGAAAACTTACCGCAGGAAGTTGGGCAGGTGTTGGGTACGATTGAGGGTTGCAGGATGTTGAACCTAACGGTGTCGTACGTTACGGCTTTCCTTGACTTTGTCTTGAAGGCTAAGCCTGATGGTAATTCGAACAAGATTGCGAACTTCTCTGAGGTAACTTTGCGCGCCGAGTGACAAGGGAACTTTCTGGATTCATCCCATTAGGAGCTCTCTGGGGAAATAAGTATATCAAAGTAATGGTAATTGGCACAAGAGGAGTATTAGAATGAGCGCCCTCATTGCCGTTCAGTCAGTCCAAGAACAGCCATCTCATTGAGCGCACCTATCGATCGAAAAACTCCAAAGTGATCTGCACGCGCGTTCCTTCCCTTTCCAGCTCCAATACGCGCCTCATCTCAGCCAGAATAGCCTCCTCAGTATCGCGCTCAGGCCGCTCAGACCTTGGCAAGACGATTGAGATCTTCTTCAGCCTCTCCAACAGTCGCAACGATACTAACGCATCGTGAAGGTCGCTGGTCAGAATAACGGGAACACGCGGTACACCGCGTTGCCTGGTGACCGCGTTGAAGCGAAGACGGACGCTTTGTATGTGTTGAATCTTGGTGTTCGGATGTGTGATGAATGCGGGAATCGCGTCTGCGCGACCTTGGAAGGTGTTGAGGGCGAACCACATGCCTGTCGTCTCCTGGTAGATTTGACGGCAAGTGCGTTGAAGTGCCAGCAGGAGAGAAACGTCATCGCTGTAGCTCCATTCATCCCCATCAATGTCGATCACATGATTCACATGATTCAATGGACCAACGTAGTACGAGATTTTGAAGGCTTTACACTGGTATGTCTTCAAGTGTTTCCGGATTGTGATGTCCTGGCCCCCGAGAGCGTATTCGTAGATCGCAGTGCGCAGTTCACCTGGCAGACGCAACAGTGTTGATTGCTCCTGATTCTCAGTTGTACTGCACAAACTTGTCAGAGCAACACTTCCTTCAAGACAGTACACATCATCTTACAGGTTATCATTGTATAGTCTCCGCATTCCCTTCATCAAATCTTCCCATAGAGGGCGTCGCCGCATGGCAGTGTACCCGATGCATGTGAATTGAACCATGCTGAAGCTCAATTCTCGTATCGAAAGTCCTGGGAAAATCTGATAACTGGCGAGAGAAATGAATGCGGGGTAAGTCAAAAGATGATGTGTGTAAACTACGAAAATGGATTGCAATTCCAAGGTTCACAAGCAAAATCTTTGTGACCCTGACCCTTACTCCAGAACCGATTCACTGACAGCCACCACACTCCAAGTGCGCTATTACGGTTTATCACAAATCCTCCCAAAGAATGTCGCCATAAGTCGTTTATCCCTTGACATATCCAATTTCTAGTCGTACCACCACTCACAGGGCTCTAATGATCGCTAATCTCCAAAGCGAACTCAACAGGCTAACCGACCCTACGTTCCTGGAAGACCATTCGCATCCTATTCAGCACTTTCTTCGGTAGCTGTGAATCCATGTTCTTGGCCTCGGTGTTGTAGCGGAAATGGATGATCTTCTCGTCCCCCTAACCGATGCCAGAACCATGAGCTGATAATAAGAATAGATAGTGACGTCAAGTACCATAGCCTTGTTGCCCGCAACTTTTATGTCGGTGGCCTTCAACTCGATGCGGGCAACCTTGACATGATGTAGACTGGGATGTCGCTCCATCATACCAGGACTGACAAGGACTGAAAGTTGGCCATAGAAGATGTTGAGCTTGTAGTATAGATCCTGTGTCTCGAAGCGGATCTGGCGGCACGTGTTGTAGATGGCAGTAAGTATAGCATGAGACAAAGCGAGGTGCTGACCAGAACCCCAGAGGCCTTTGCTCATGGATGTAGGGCTGAAGACGAGGCCGGCACCAGGATCGACGGAGCCGACCCAGATGATGTTGTCACCAATCTCATACTGGTCTATGCGGTTTCAGATCTCGGCTAGCAGGCTTAGGAAAGGCGATCGTTGTTGGTTGAGAGTAGTACTGTATTCAGAGTTAGGCTGCACATATTGCACATTTTAAGATGTTTGAAGGAGGACTTACATCCACTCAGTACTTTGTGCGCTTTTGTTCTTCCACATAGTTTGTAGAAAGTTGAACATGGCGAGGGGCTTAGATCGATCTGGAACTTGCTCGGTTTATGCAGAATCCGTGCAGAAGAGCGCGGACAAAGTGAAAGCAAAACAAATTCAGTAGGACTCTAAATGAAAAGATATTAAAATACGGTCTTTGGGTGAGTATTTTATTGGCCACCATCGCACTGGAGTGTTGCAATGTCAGCAGAAAAGACTTCGGTGAACAGATCAGGCCCACAATACTGAGAGAACTGTCCATTTCTCTATTTGCCTGTTGCACGCTCTAAGGTCGAACGTGGCAGCCTGAAATAGAATTTACGAAGAGATCTTCGGTCATAACAACGTCCACCCCGGAATCAATAGATCGCTACTACGTGGGCCGCATCGATTGCAGTAACGACGGATTCGAAGCCGTGTCGGCAGCTGTACTCAGAAACATCCCTACTCCCATACTCTTTGAACACGTTTGTGCCCCCGGATGGGGTCGACCAGGAGGACGATAGTAACTTCTTGATTAACAGTCTCTCATGGGCACAAGTTACAGTCATCAACCAGGTGGTCCTGAGTCTACAAACTTTCCTTGGTTCCTAGGAGTTTCAGATGGATCACTTCCAGGCGCTGGTGCGTAATCAAGAAAATCCGAAGGACAACTATGACTACTTCCTGCCAATGCGGAAGTGGATTGGCCTGAAGCGAGTTGTATTCGAGGTACAAGACCTGAAACGTCAAAAGGATCTCCCAAAAAGCGTCTTAAGAGCAATGCTTGGAGCCTCGATGGATGTGGAGATTGTCGTGAAAGAGATAGAACCAGAATTAGATTTACAGGAGAATGCTGAGTAGAGCGTTACACAAAAAGAACATTCAGGAACAACGAGCGAACGTAGGTGTTGGAAAGTATCAGAGGGGTCAATTGGCCCGCATCGCAGCGCGCCATGGAGGAAGGAAGGAAGGAAGGAAGGAAGGAAGGAAGCAAGGAAGGAGCCAAAGAGGGAGAAAGCATAGATGTGGGTTCAGAAGCTGGTTGCGTTGAACTTGTACCTGGTCCTGCAACACGGGTTGGCGACGTCTGTTGCACCGTCTCAAGAACTGCTGTGCCGTTTGTCCTTACGCCGGTCCCGAATCTAAGGTGCAAGCTAGTTGGCGACTACTATATTGACGGTAATACGAACGAAGAGGTCGTAGAGAAGACGGATAGTTGAAACGGATTGTTGGAACAGAGCGGTGGGAGGACGTTTAATCATTTAGGTTCGGGCCAATACCAGCCGCTCTTGCACATTCTACGGATACGTTCTTGCATCCGGCCAAAAGACAGGTACGACTCGTAGCACTTCTTTTCGCCTGCTATCTGAGACTTCTGCAGTAAGAGCAATCACAAGGTGGCAAATCATCGAAGATCACTTGCCACTTCCTTGCTTGCGCATACTCCTGGACAGCTTGCTTGAAAAGCCCAAGGCCGCTCCCTGATCGGAAGATGATCATTTTCAAATTTGAGAGGCTGAGGAGAGAAGATAGCGTTGAGTAAATGAAGCGGTAAGAACCGTAGTAGTCCATCTGTACGGTTCTGATGGCGTTGCGCTTCTTTTGATCGAGCAGTCGGATCCAAGGTGTCCAGTCGGAATCGCAAGTGTAACAGAAAATGTTCGTGCTATACAGCACAAGCTCTGTCTCAGCCTGGATAGTGCGACAGAACATGATCATGCTTCTGAAAGTGCTCATCGCGGCGCTACCTGTGTGATAGCGTGCTACACGCCCAGGTGTAACATCGGTTTTGCGGATATAGCCAGGTGTAATCAAATTGCCCCCAAGGGCAAACTCGTAGATGCGGACTCGAATCTCACCCGGCAAACGAAGGAGCGGAGACTGCTCCTGGTTGATAGTGATCCCGCGATTCTTTAGTACTGCCTCAATTTCGTGGGTGACGAATGGACTCACAGTGGACGAGCCGTCGCTTCCTCTTGCGCCCGAAGGCGAGCTCTAAGCCCCGCGTTTGATCTCAAAGGCCTCAAATCTGTTGATAGCTGCTTGTTGCCTTGGCCTGTGTGTTGATCGGTGGCAGCACGCTTCTTCTTGCGCATGCATGTCATGCTCATGATGGCGATGTTGATCGTATCGGAGTGTGGATGCAGAGTGAGCACGGAATGTTTTTATCGTTCTAAGTTGAGCTTACGTCACAAGCTGGCGGGTAGCGGTAAGCTAACGAAGTGAAGGAGAAGGCACAAAATGGCATTTCAACAGAGGTTCAGAGTCATGAACCATGTCATATCGTACCGCTTAACCTACTTTATGGAAGGCCTTGGTTTTGGTGTTCATTTGAAACAACCTTCCGTCCGTTTAATTGCGCCTTGCCAACAATGACCGCCTTCTCCGCTGGCTTCAATGCACGGAAGCTCTCCTTGATGAGGATTTTATCGACACTTAGCAGTCAACTATGCTCCAAACTGCTCGAGTTATGTTCTGCGCCGAGTCCTTCCAGTACGCTTCTAGAGGATTTGGGCATCTCGGATCGTTGCCCTTTGCTCCGCCTCAAGTCTGTCAACCCATTTTCGCAACAGCGGGTCAGGTTTGTACCTGAAGACATTTAGACGATACGGTAGAAAGCAAGTCTCTGCGCGGATGTCGCGCGCCGTCAAAGACAGGCCCTGCACCGATGGCCAAATGATTTTTGTTGCTGAGTAGGAAGTCAACGACACTGCCCATCAACTTACACTTTGACGTCTTCAAGTCCTCCATGATCGCTTCATCAAAGACTGCTACAATGTCGTGCGTATATTCCTATCTTTCGTGTCTACTGTCCCACTGACAGCTCTTCTAGTCCGTCCACAGGCCAGCCTACCTCACCATTCCTCCACCTCCCAGGTGAACGGCGTAACAAAATCTACGCCTATGTATTCAGCGGCACCTGCATCAGCATCGTCCATCAAGATGGTCAAATTGCCTGCTATGCTGACAAAAGTCTGAAACCATCCAAGTAAAGCTCCTTACCGCTATGACACCAAGGGCCGCACTCTATTTTGGAATCGCTGTCTTGGCGTCGCAGTTGAAGCAGTGGAGTGGAAGGAAGAGCCTGGAGGTATTCAGATCATTGACACTATGGAAGTAGGTCAAGATAAAGCGGCCACCCCCGTGCCAGGATAATGTTGCAGCCGTACGTCCAACGTTGCCACCACACCACACCTTACTTTCCTCACTCCACTGGTCTTCGAGTTCCACAGAAGGCGACCTGCCTCCAACAAGTTCGCCATGGCGAGCGTACCTGACCAAGTACCTCGTCTCCTTATCCTTCACTGACAGCAGTGACAGCACTTGCGCTCTCGCAGACCAGCCCGCTTCACCCCTACTCCGCTTACCAGGCGAGCTCCGCAACGAGATCTATTTCTACGTCCTCAGCCATTTCATCACTCCAAGCACCACCGGAGACGACAGAATCATCTGTTTGGCCCAGTTATTGGAGTTCCGAGAGATTCGGAGATGGGCCTTGCAGAGTGCCTCGGGCATTACGCCTTATCCAGAGCAATCGATACAGCTCCTTCTAGCTTAGAAGTATGGATCGAAATTTGGAATTCTTGCTGTCCATAGAGGAACCCGAAGGCTTCGGAGCACTATCTCGGAAGTAGCAAGAGGTCGTGGCAGATTGCTCGTTCAGTCTTCTCAGATTCACAAGAGCCTTGGAGGATGAGGAAGGATAAACTTTGAAACCGGAATATCTTATTACTTTTCGACATGTAAACAAATGCGTATACTACACCCATGCAACCTCATCCTCAACGCCAAGCAGTCGGATACCTCCAGGGTCCAACAAATGCACCCCTCGTATTTAATCTTCCTCCTCCTCACTATCCTCATCCATCCCCTCCGCAGCACTGACCTTAAATGTCGGCGCCTGATCGACTCCCAAGTACGAATCAGACACCAGATACAGCGTCAACTCATGCTCTCCCGGCTTCTCGAGCGTAAACTCCAAGCTCGTCTCCAACTTTCTCGGCACAGTAACCTTCTTGATCGCAAGCAGGGTATGTTCCTTCTGATCACCCACCACCAACCACCAGCTCTCGCTCTTCTCAGCGGGGTAGAACGGCGCATGCACGTCCGTCTTAAGCTCGTCGTCCTCATCGATGTTGCGCGTGATGCGTACCCTAAGCTGCGCTGGAGAATTGCTCGCAATGTCCTCCGGGTCGACGAGCTCGTGTTCAAGCTCGATGTTGGGGTAGTAGTTATTCGTGAAGTTTGCAATATCCGCCAGCTGTCGCTGATCGACGTCCAGCGCGGCGATGAGCTTCTTGTAGTCTGGGTTCTCGTCTTCGTCCATGGCGTTGATGAAATCGTCGACGTCAGTAATGCCAAATTTGGACGCCGCTTTGATTGTGTCGGTGTCAAAGTGCGGGATCTGCTTGAGCGGGGTGTCTTTCTGCCACATTGCTTGCACGACCATCTGCGAAAGCTCCATAGCGGACATAGCGTTCAGGTGAGCTTCGGACGAGAGCACATCGACGGAGGCGCTGAGGATGTTGAGAACCTTGCGGATGACGGTTTCTTGGTCCTTGGCGAGGTCGATGGGGAGCTGCATGCGGGAGAAGTGGGCCTGCAGAAGGACGAAGGCCTTGAAGTGAGGGGTTTCGAAGTTCGGGTCTTGCATCTTGTATGGCACGCGGTCGTAGATGCGCTGCAGGATGTGGTCTTCGTGGCGGCGGATCTGAATGTCTTCGAATTCGGTGGCGGCGGTGATGATCTCCAAAACGCCCTTGAGACTCGTTCGGCCGTTGAGCGACATCATGAGGGTCTGCATTGTGATAAAGGAGATGTTGTAGTAGGCTGCAATCATGCACGGATTGAGAGGTGTGATTGAGTCCTCGTCTTCGTCGTGCTCGATGAGGCTGGCTTCCGCAAGCTCTTTCAGTGTCTGCTCGACAAGCTCAGACAAGTGAGCGCTAAGGCCCTCATGCGAGGTGTCGTGAAGGTTGTAGTAGCTGGGGTTGGCTAGCAGACGGCGGTAGAAATAGGTGTACGTGGACCAGTCGACGGCCTCTTGAGTCGACTCGATCGTCTTTGCGCTAATCTCAGCAACGAAAGCATCGTGCAGGTAGTCGTGCAGATAACTCTCAATCGGCAGTGCCTCATTCAAGAACTTCTTGAAATAGTCACGCTTGACCGCAGGCAGCATAAGGACGCCCTTTGCCGACTTGTCCTGACCAACCCTGCCAGCCTTGCCGAACATCTGAAGGATGTCGCTGATGGGGTAGTCGACATAGCGGTGCTCGCGACCCTCAAAGAACTGAGTACCTTGAACGACGACTAGATGGGCGCTGCTGTCGATCTCCCAGCACGAGTTGCGCGAAACAATCAGAACCTGGATGGCACCGACCTTGAACAGATGCTGTACAGCCTTCTTGTCGAAAGAGTTGAGCGCCTCGTGGAAGTACCCGATACCGTGGGTCAGCGACTCCGCCAGTGACTGCTCGTTGATCTTCTCCAAGATGGGCTGAATGTCTTCTAACGGTGCATTGAGGAATCGATCATCGTTATCGTCCGCAACGGCAGCGGCGTACAAGTCTGCAGCAGACGAGCGGGTCTGCTTGCGGTTCGGTGTGAAGATCATTGCAGGCTTGTCTGGCGACATCTGTGTGATGGCAGTGTATGTCGGCCTGGCCATCGCCATCATCAACGATGGGAAGTGAGGAATGGTGAATGTCTGGATCTTCAACTCGAGAGGCACTGCGCGAACGCCGGGACTGAAGTTGTAGATAGTGTGCTTAGTGGCACCGATCCACTCGCCAATGTCTCGTGCGTTAGCTAGAGAGACGCTGAGACCAACGATTCGTAGCTTTGACTCGAGCTGGGCAGCCATAGCTTGCATACGCGAGACCACGATCTCGTAGACATGTCCGTTGGCGCCGCCTAGCATGTGAAGCTCGTCAGCAATGAGAAGAGCGACAGTCTGAACGTTTTTCCTTCGTTGCCATTGGCGCGATAGGGAATCCCACTGCGACGGGGTAGCGAGCACGAGGTCACCCTTCTCGAGGAGTCGCAAGTCCGCTGTAGTCTCGCCTGTGAGCTTGACAACATCCTTGCCACCACCAAGACCAGACAGGCGTGCATTCCAGTTCTTGTACTGGTTGTCGACAAGCTCTTGGAAGGGTGCAAGGTACACGATGCGGCCCTCGGCGTCGCTAGCCCAGTGTCGCAGTATAGCAAACTCGGCGCAGAAAGTCTTGCCAATACCTGCAGAAGCCCCAACGAGGACGTTGTCGTCGGTTGTGTAAAGCGAGTTGAAAACTTGTGTTTGAACCCGGTTGAAACGGTTGACGTCTTCGTACAGGGCCATGTATTCCTTCCTCTTCAGTGCCGAAACGGGTAGAGGCTGCAGGTCGAGCGTTGGTGTATGCGCTGGGAACTTGGCTGGCAGGATGAGCTTCTGGAAAGACACAGCAAGCTTGGTCTCTGAAGCCATCCATCGATCTGACAAGACGGTGATGAAATAGTTTGGCGGCATCGGCTCATCAATCGGCACTGTCAGTTCGACAAGATGCTCGTTCATCTCGCCTTGAGAGTAGTCTTTGCGGAGAATGAACTGGTCGTGAAACAAGATCTGCTCACCATCGCAGTCCTCGACAAGGATCCAGAAGGCCTCTGACGCTCCGTGGAGTGCATCATCCCAAACGAAGTCCGGTTTGATCGCAAGTTCCAGCTTGAGCAGTGACCTGGTGACTGGTCGAGGTGTCGCTTCAATCTCGAGACGGGGGAACTTCTCGACGAGCTGGCACACGACCTTGCCAGCCTTGGGCATACCCAGGAGCTCGCCCATGCTAGGTGGATCGAGTCCGAAGTAGCTTGACCAGTTGACGTCGATTCGCTCAGCCTTCTGTACGATGTCGCGAGGGCAGGTAGGAAACTGTCGTAGAGGCGTCATGGTAGGCCACATGCGCTTCTCTGCCATCTTGCACATGTCGAGAGCAAGCTTTGCGACCTGCGACCATCCCTTCTTCAGACATATCTCAAAGATTGCGCGCAAGATACGGCCCGCAGATTGTGTGACGTATACAAGGTCGGCCATGAGGGCGAGACCCTCGAGCTTGAGTCGCGAGATGTACGCTTGTAAGAGAACATTAATCTTTGCCTGAGCTTCCTCGACGCCCTCCTTGACAGGGATGGGCACACGTCCAAGGAGTTTGGCAAGTTCGAGCTTTTCGTCCTGACGAACCGGGATGTACTTGAACTCCTCACTCAAAGCGAATACTCGGAACAGCTCGATGGCGGTGATACCAGGCTGAATGTGTTGGTTGTACGTCATCATCGAGTTGTGCGAGATGTAGTAGTGAGACGCAATCCTTCCAAGCTCGGTGGCCTGGAGTGCTCCGGTCTTCCTGTCGTACTTGATCAGACTGCACTTCTCTAGGATGTGTGCTGCTGCGTGAATGAGATCCACTCGTCTTTGTTCCAAAACTGTATCGTTCTCGTACTCCGGACCAACTCGGTAGAGGGCTGGCGATCGCAGCATTCGGACGAAGAGGTATGTGTAACCTAGCCAGTCAACGCCCTCGTCTCGGTTACGGACGTTGCCCAACACGATCTCAGCATTGAGGTTGTCAACCAACTTGCTGACAAGTTGCGACTCGATGGGCAGTTGCTGGTTCAGCAGCGACAGGTAATACTGGATCTCAGCTTGTGTTGTGATGATAATACCTTCTCCGTAGGTATCGTACTGGGGACGACCGGCACGACCCAGCATCTGCAATACGTCCTGCGGGCTGAGCTCGACCCAGCTACCCTTCTCGGGCGAGTAGACCTGTGTACCCTTGATGATGACGGTGTGGGCTGGCAAGTTGACACCCCAGGCCAACGTTGCCGTACAGACAAGGACCTGAATGGAGCCATCGGCGAAGAGATCTTCGACTGTCGAACGGTCCGCTCGCGACATACCAGCGTGATGGATACCGAAACCGTAGGGCATGAGGTCCTTGAGATCAGCGTTCTGAACGGATTCCGACTCTTCTCTCAAGATTTCTCGGCTAGCAGCATCTGACCTCAGGATCTTGCCTATTGTCTCTTCCTCTAGCGCCTTATCACGAATATGCTTCGCGGTCTTGGCTGTCTCTTTTCGCGAATGGACGAAAATCAGCATCTGGTTGCGGTGTTCGCCAACCTGCTCGAGAACTTTCGTGTAGCAGACATCATTCATAGCCTTCAACTGCTTGATAGCCTTCTTGTCTGTGACACCGATGAACTCCTGCTTCAACGGACAAGGTCGGAATGTGCCGTCGAAATGGAAAAGGCCCTTGTCTACATCAACTCGGAGGAAGCTTGCGACATCTCGATAGTTGGGCAGCGTAGCACTGAGACCGACGATGCGGACATGGTCACCAGTCTGCTCGCTGCGGCGAAGCGTTCTGCTGACAATGCTCTCAATAACCGGACCACGCTCATCGTGAAGCAGATGAATTTCATCGATACAGATAAGCTTGACGAGGTTGATGTAGCTGGTATCGGTGGCTTTGCGAGTGATGACGTCGTATTTCTCAGGGGTGGTAACGATGATCTGAGTCTCGGCGATTTGCTGTTTTGTCAGTTGGCGATCACCAGTGAGCTCAGAGACCTTGATACCGTAGGGCTCCAGACGCTTGCCGAAGTTGCCCACCTGTTCAGCGACCAGAGCCTTGAGGGGAGCGATATAGATGATCTTGAAGTCGTCAAGCGCAATTTCGCCGGTTTTGGGGTCTCGGTGCTTGCCAATCTCGCGAAGCATGGTCAACATGGCAACATTCGTCTTACCGGATCCGGTAGGGGCACAAATGAGCATGTTGCCGTCATCGTTGAACGCTGTGGGAAAGCACTTCGTCTGGATGCGGTTGAGTGACTTGGAGTTTCCGAACCCTACACGGGCCCAGTCTGGAAGCTCAGAAGTGGGCATTAGTCGCTCGTTCGGATCGCGCTTCGCTTTTGGTGCAGGGACGTGAATCTCTTCATAACCCTTGAACTGTCTTCTTGTCGACCCTTGAGGCAGCTTAACGCTAGGGTTGGTCATGAGATGGTTGCCCTGGTCAAAGACGATGTTGTCGAGGTTCACCAGACGGCTGTTGGGCTGCATCCCACCGACAATGCCATCCGGCTTTGATGCGTCTTCCATATCCACGTCTCTCGAATCCGAAGCGCTGAGGGGCTTGATGTTGAACTTCATCTTGCCCTGTCCTGCGTCTTCTGTCTTTACGCCAGTTTCTCTTGCACGCAGCTCTTGGAGGATCTGTTGCTGACCCGCAGCCCTCATCTCCCGCTCAACAACTGTCCGCTCGTCTTTGTCTTCCGCAGCACGTCTCCATCGTGTTACCCAGACAACTCTGTCGCGGTTCAGGACGAGTTTTGCGACAAGCTCATGGTGCTCGTAATCGAAGAGTTCCATGAGGTCATTCTCAATTTCACGCAGCTCCTTCTCCTCGCCGTCTTCTGCGACACCTGCCAAGATCTGTAACGCGTCTCGTGTCTTCTCTTGCTGTGTGTGCGCATCCTCGTAGACTGCTCCGATCTGCCGTTGTAACCAGTACGCGTCGATCTCGTGTGCGGGTATCAACTTGTCTGCGCCGTCCTTGCGATCTGCTGAAGCAGCAACATCGCCCTGAATGACCATCTCTTCTGTGTCTGCAAAACCTCCGTCCGCATCCTCCTGGTCGATTCCGATCTGCTCAACGGCCGTTTCCTGCTCGTCTTCTTCGTCTGAGGTGTCGGCGTCGCGAACTTCGAAGTTCTGCGCCTCTTCGTCGTCCTCCTCGTCGTCGAACACAACGGCTACACCCTGATTGCCGTCATTTTCAGCGCCATCAGCGTCTGCCATTGCCTCGTCGCCGTCCTCGTCGTCGTCCTGCGCATCGTAGTCTGTGATCTTCTTGCCGAGGTTGACCAGCTCATTGAACTCTTTCGCGCTCATTGAGCTACCGAGGAGGTCGTCCACCTCTTTCTTCTTGTCGAAGTCCTTCATGGTGTCGTCCTTCAGATATTCGAGGACCGCATCGGCGGCACTTCTGGTGGTCGACACGGAGACATCTCCGAGAACCTTGCTCACGATGGTCGTGATGAGCTCGAATGTGTTACGTGTCGCTGGTGTTCGCGGCCGGTAGCGGAGACCTTCGATGTTGAAGTCTGCAGCAGCCGTAGCGCCAAAAGCGCTTGTTCCGTCGTCCCTCTTTCGCTTGCGCTGCTCGCGTTCGAGCACGTCGCTACCCTCTGTGAGACTCCCCCGTTCGAGGCCTAACCCCTTGGGCTTCTTCGCCTGTGTGGGTGCCTTGTCTTGCGCAGTCCTCCCTCCCATGTCCCGGATGTTGATGCGACCCGCGAGTGATTCTGGATCACCGGTGTGTTCATCGGGGCGGCGCGAAGTAAAACGACGGTCCGCCTGGAGGACCAGGTTGGACATCGCCGCATACTTGAACTGCGCGAGGTTGTTGGGGTTCTGCGCCATAATGCCGGTGTTGTCGCGTCTCCTGCGCTTTGCGCGTTCTAGCTGATGCCGTGTAGTGGCGTGTGGCGACGGTTGGCTCCACACGTATGAGATCCGACTGCTATTATGTACGCGCAGTGCCTGAAGAAGAAAGGTCGTGGGTATAGAGAGTGGATTGCGGGGCGCGCCCTGCGTTGAATGGGCAAGTACGTGCGGCGACCGAGAACTTTTATGATGAAGCAAGCTTAGGTCGAAGCTCAAGGCCGACACGGTCACGTGAGCAAAATCAAACCCTCCACGTCACTTGATGCGAGTGCGATCTCATGGCCATATCACTGTGCTCTGGTTATGACTCATTGAATTGGCATCACATCATCATTCTAAGACGATTTGAGCTGGTGGTAGGGGCACTTGGGTATCAGCATTAGAAATAAAACTAGACGCAACGATCTGAAAGCATCGAACGACCCTGGATATCATCGCTGGAAAGGAGCCCCTCGCTGTGCTCTCATTGCTCAGAAAGCATCCTCGTTTGGGCATTCTGTAACGTCGTGGCCCTCGTTCTCGCACAATGCGCACCACTTGTCTGGATCCGCCACAGCAGCGCCTTTTGGCGGCACTAGTGAGGAGTTCGAGTGGTTGAAGGATGGAATGGGCAAGGGTGTCGTGGGAGCGTTGCCTGGTGATTTTGTTGGTGTCAAGCCTGCAGGTCGAGCATGGTCGGAAGACACTGAGAGGTTCCTCGGTGCGTCAACGACACCATCCTTGCCGTTGTGGGATCCGGCGTCCTTTTGCGCCGCGTCGCCGCCCATAGCGGAGCAGTTGAGAATGTCGTGGCCTCCAGTCTCGCAGATCTCGCACCAGAGAACACTATCGGCGGCAGATGAGCGGCCATCTGACTCGACCATAGGCTCCAGAGTCGTAGGTGGTTCGCAGCGTGCTGGTGGTGCAGCTCGCCAGCTTCCAACAGTGTCCTTTGAATCTCTTGCTGTCGAGTGCGGCCCCTGCTTCATTGTGTGTTCGGAAACGGCATTGCTAATGACGCTCTCGCGCTGCGCAGGGGTCCCAGTCTGGCCCTTCAGCTTCTCAATCTCACGTTCCAACTCCTCTTCCCGGTAGGCCTTTCTCTCTACAAGTCCGCGCAGCTCCTCCTTCTCGCGCTCGAGGCGCTCTGCGGTGGCTTGTGCAGTCTTGAGCTCCTCAGGGTCGACAGAGGAGCCCTGTCGCGAAAGAGGGGAGCGGCCATGGTCTTCGGGAACGCCGGAGCTCAAGGAGTGGATAATCGCCTTCAGCCCTCTGATCTCGTCGTCTCGCTGTTCGATTTCTCTCTGCCCGACAGGTGCTGGCCCGTCGACCATAGTGTTGGCGTTCTTCAATACCTCTGCGGCCTTCTCGCGCTCCCGCCGTAGTTCAGATCGACCGCGTTCGACCTCTCCCCTCAGGAACTCCACTTCGCCCCGAGCTTCAGCCTCACCTCTTCGAGCATCCTCAAGGCCTTCTTCGAGCTCTTGTACCAGCTCTTCGAGTTGCTTCAGCTGCATCGCGACAGTCTCGACGTCTTCATTGCGAGAATGCAACTCCATCAACTCTGCCTGTAACTCGTCGACTTTCTTCTCATAGACTCTTTCAGTCTCCGTGCTCGCGAGCTCCAACGTGTCGATTGTGCTTCGGAAGTCTGCTCGATGCGCATCGAATTCAGCTGTGAGCATGGCAATTTTGTCATTCCTGTCCCTCAACATAGACCGCAGTTCCCGCACATCGCTGGACTCAGCAGGTTCGCGCTCGAAACCGCCCTCGGGCATGAGGCTCTGGATCTCTGCTAGTGTAGCTTCCATGTCAGTGAGTGCGGTTGCCTGCTCTTCAAGCTGCTTGTCGCGCTCTTGTATGATCTTATTCAATCGCTGAACCTCCGCATTTGGAGTCGAAGTCGGCCGGCTACCCATGCGACTAGACTTGAAGTTCGCCATGGAGTCGTTGCTGGTACGTACCGCATCGTTTGGAGTAACCTCGCCGTCCTCATCAATTGTATCATGTTGGCCAAGGCGAGAGTTGGTGTTGCGGGAGTACGGTCTTGAGGGAGGGCCTGGAGTTCGCGGCTTCTGCACTCCAGCAGCGCGCGGAGGCGCGGGGCTAGCGAATCTCGGTGGAGCTCCAATGGCGCTCTTCGAGAATTGGGCGGGTGTGACACTGCCGCTTCGGCCCGGTGTTGGAGGAGCCAGATTCGAGGCTTTGCGCAGCGGGGACTCGGGGCGTGGTAGCGAAGGACGTCGCGCACGAGCGCCAGGGCCGAGAGACTGTGAGAATTTGGATTTGGGCACCGAGGGTGTGTTTGGACTGAAGTTGGGCTTCTCTGTGGTGGAGAGGCTGAAGTTGTTGTTCGCGTAGGAGGGGGTGGTGGGTGTAGGCGGAAAGTCGTCTGAGGTGCCTGATGAGCGCTTGAGTGCGCGATGAACAGGCAGGAATATGCCAGAGCCAGGAGTGTTGGTTGTGAAGTACTGCGTGCCCTCGACCGCGCCATCGTTCTTGCCGCGCGATGCAAAAGCCCTGCTCAGTTCGACGCCTGCAAAGACACCCTTCTTGCCACGAATGCTGCCGACAAACCTGACAACACCGTGCATGCCACCCGGCACATCCACCAAATCGCCAATATCGATATCTTGTCCGTCGGCCATGCTGTTGGGAGAGGGCGATGCGCCGCCGGTGAGTGCGCTGAGAGAGGCTTGTCGTGCAACCGAGCTGGCGGAGAAGGATAGGTTAGGGGACGACTCTGCCGGTCGTAGGTTTGGCCGTAGACGGCGCGGGGTGCTAATGGAGCTACCAAAGCCTGACATATTGGCTTGAGTGCGCGACGCTGTTGCCGTTGAACAAGGTTTCGTGTATCGTGGTTGCCATGTATTTGTTGATTGTGCAGGGGTGAGGGAGAGTAGCGGCGGTTGCGGCCCAAGCAACCATCAGTCAGCGAGGAAGATCCTTGATACTTGAACCATACAAGCACACCTTCACGGCCATGTTTGTTTACACTCTGTCTGCTGCAGCACACTACACAAGTCTGCATTGGTATATAGAGATGGTTCGCATACTCAGAGAACCACTCAGATCTTGCCATGACGTCTCCAGGTCTGAGTCGCGGACGCTACAATCTGGGGCCGTGACACGAAGCCTGTGCTTTCGACGCGGGATGGGTGCATACCAAGCGTTCGCTGCCGAGCAATACAACTGCTGCTACGATCAGGAAGCCTTGTAGAAGGCAAGGTCATGGAACCTATCGTCAAAGCAATCAAGGAGCAGGGTCATTCGAAGATGTATGGAGGCCGAACTTGGTAAACACGCAGTCAACAATAGCTGCATGCATGGCGTCCTTAGCCTTCCACTCTTTGATGCAGACGCGACGCGAACAGAAGCACTCTTACGCGTACTCACGTGGCAACTCTCTTCTCCTTCTCTCCCCAACCGAGCAGCAGCACTCACCTTGGGAGGACGGGAGCCCGCTGTGGGTCAATCGAGCTATGAGCACAAATCTCAAAGTGAATCTGGGGCGCTCGAAGATCATTGCCCGCTGACTACGCTCATTATGTTCATTGACGTGCAACAGGACCTCGAAACCTGGAACGCCTCCAGAGGCTGCCCAGGAGTTTGATTTCGATCAATCATGAACGTGTGTTCGTTGATGTTAGTCTGTGCATTCTTCGCGTTTGTTGCTGCATTTTCGAGTTGGGTCGAGTCGGCATCAAAGTTCCCCACACTGCGACCGACCCCAGAGCTGCTTCGTACCTCGGCATCTCGTCAGTACATCACCTCCATGCGCGCCGAATGCCTACCTTTCACAGCTCTATACAATGGCCGGGAACGTGCGACAACCCATAGACGTAGTCTCGTTGGAGCGCTACATCACTGCTAATGTTCCTGAGATTGCCGTACCCGTTGACATAAAGCAAGTGTGTTGACCGCAGAGCACACGACTACATGAGCTAATGTGTTGCAGTTCGGTTATGGGCAATCGAACCCAACATACCAGCTCACAGACAAGAATGGCAAGAAGTTTGTCATGAGAAAGAAGCCCCCGGGCAAGCTTCTCTCAAAGGTGCAGGCACACGTCGACAAACACACGGAGTACTCTGACCGTCTGTAGACAGCGCACAAGGTCGACCGCGAATACCGAATCATCCATGCTCTCGAGAAGACCGATGTCCCAGTACCGAAGGCCTACGCACTCTGCCAGGACGAGAGCGTTGTAGGTAGCGACTTCTACATCATGGAGTTCCTCGACGGCCGCATCTTTGAAGACCCCGCGATCCCAGACGTAACACCTGAGGAGCGAACGAAAATGTACAGATAGATCGCTTCCCTCAATGCCTCATTTTCCCATACTGACTACCCCAGGTGGCACTCCGCAATAACCACACTTGCCAAGTTCCACCGCGTTGAGCCCGAGTCGGTTAACCTCTCCACCTACGGCAAACCCAGCGGCTTCTACAACCGGCAAATCGCAACCTTCAACACCATTTCGCAGGCGCAAGCCGCCACAAAAGACAAAGAGACTGGCGAGCCCGTGGGCAAGATCCCGCACCAAGACGACATGGTAGCTTTCTTCAGCGACCCGGCCACGCAGCCAAAAGACAAGGGCACGTTCGTCCATGGCGATTATAAGATTGATAACGTCGTGTTCCACAAGACCGAGCCTCGCGTCATCGGTATCCTGGACTGGGAAATGAGCACCATCGGCCACCCGCTGTCGGACCTGAACAACCTCCTCTCACCCTACCTGACCGCGTCGTCTGAGAAAGCGAAATCCGTGGGCCGAGCGCACGAGGGCTTCAAGCCAGGCGCCACGCCAGGATTGCCTACGCGGGACCAGTTAATCGAGTGGTACAGCGAGGTCGCAGGCTGGGACCCGCGGCCTGATCTGACGTGGGGCGACGCGTTTGCGACGTACCGCAATACGATCATCATGCAGGGTATTGCGGCAAGGTATGCGGTTAGGCAGGCTAGTAGTGCGCAGGCGAAGGATTATGGGGCGATGATGAAGCCGTATGCCGAGGTTGCGTGGGATTTGGTGCAGGAGTATAAGAGGGGGCATACTAAGGATGGGAAGGCGAAGTTGTAGATGAGAGTGTTCGTTCAGATGTTGGGGATGCACATGCATGCTTTCAGCTCCTCATCTCCTTCCATGCTCAGACCCTGGTTGTGAAGGTACACTGTGATGCCGAGATCGTCCATGGTAATACTACGATGCCTTGAACCGGAGCTTCCGTTTGGGTTTTGTCAAACAAGACGGTAGTAGGGTACGCAGGAACTCTGAAAGGTAAAAACCGAGCTCAGATATGAGACATTGACCATAGGAAAAGACGGAGGCGTAGGCCTGGATGAAAATGCCTAGACTGCAGGAAAGACGTAAGGGAAAAAATGTAGGCAGGAATGCAACGCAAAGGCGGAGAACAATGTCGGCCGTAGTGGTATCAATGTAGTATTTTAGTAGCTTACTGCTACTCCCACTTTTTGTCTACACGATCTTTCTGGCACCCAGATCCACCAACTGAATCAAGATCGTGCGATGTGGTATCATTTGTGCCGCCCTAAGATGGGATATATGTCAACGCAGGTCCGACGTGCCTTCCGATCCTCCAGGCTCGATTCTGGGAGGCATACCCATAAAGTATTTCGCCTGAACGCCATGCATGCTGTTTACCACCAGAACTCTTCCCAGCCTCTCGTCTTTGACTTTTCATGCAGCAGCGCCACGCCTTCGCCTCGGTCGTATCTCGATTGCCGCGCGAGAAGGGTGCGCTCCAGCGTGTTGTAGGTTTACCGGCCGATCTTGGGGACGTCCTGGTTGATACGATCGAGGGCTTCCAGCATGACGACGGCGTTTCCACGGATGACGACCATGCCGATGCGGACCTTCTCGCCGCCAGCCTTCTCTTCTAATGCGTCGTCCAGCACGATGTTGAGGTAAACCTGTTCGTAGATTAGCGGGCTGCTGTGAAAAGAACCTGATTTTGGCGTACATCGTAACCGCGAAGAATGCCCATCACCTTGCGGCTGCCGTTGAGCTGGACGAGAACGCGCTTCTCAAGGTACTACTTAACGTTAGCTCATGAGCAATCTACATAGTCGCAGCAGACGCGCCTTCTTCAACTCGGGCTGTGCTTGAGGCATGTTGATGGATGTGTATTACGCGACGGTCCGGTAGAGATCGAAGTTCTAGTGGGAGTGGACGTCGAGCTGATACAGAAGCTTGCAATGTCGAGCGCTGCACCTCGAGAGCGGGCGTTTTCGAGATTCTTGGCGCGGAAAGCACGCTAGCGATCTCGTGAAGATGAGAGCCTTGAACCGCAACTTCACCTTAGCTATCCCCCCTGTACCCACACACAACAAGAAGACACAATGAAGCGAGCGGGCTCCGGGCGCATTGCGCGCAAAATCGGCGCCTACGATGATGACTCAGGCGACAGTGCAAACAGCGCAAACAGCTCGCAGAACGAAGCACCGAAGCCTGGTAAGTCCCACGCTTGTCGCAAACTGTCAGCTCCTCTTTCTGACCTCAGTAGGCGCTCCGTGCTAACTCACGGTGTAGTGTCCGTAGTGAAGCGACCAGCATTGGGCAAGAGCAAGAAGCGCTCGTCGCTGCGCATATCCTTTGGGCCCGGGGAATCAGATGCGAATGACGGCGACGAATCGAGCGATGCAGTGGTTACTCCAAAGAAGTCGAACCTGAGCCGGATTGCGCTGGAGAAGAGTGCGCAGTTGCGCGCAAGGCCACCGCTTGTGCAAGGCGCAGCGGCCTCTGAAGATGAGGGGAGACCCTCGTACAGCAAGGACTACATCGCGGAGCTGCGGAGCTCTACACCGACCACACCTAAGGATCTCAAGCCGTCTGCAGAGGAAGAGGAAGAGTCGCGAGCACTCGACATCGCATCAAAGTTCGGCCCACTCGCAGCCCTGCCCGCCGAAACATCCTCCGCCATTCCCACGGCCGCCGAGATCGAAGAGAAAAAGGCGCGTCGAAGACGTCTCGCGCAGGAAGAAAAAGCGTACGAAGACGATGGCGAGCGACCCTGGGCATCCGACGACGAAGGCGAGGACGACTTCCGCATGAGGCGCAACGAGATCTCGCTCCGACCGAAAGACAGATACCCCGAGACGCGTCTGATCCACGACGACGAAGACATAGCAGAAGGCTTTGACGACTTCGTCGAAGACGGCCGAATATCACTGGGTCACAAATCCGAGCGCGAGGCGCAACGCAAACGGCGCGCTGACATGGCCGAGCTGATCAACGACGCCGAAGGCTCAGAGTCCGACTCCAACGACTCTGAAGAAGAGCGCAATACCGCTTTCGCAGCAGCGCAAGCGCGTGCCGGCCGGTACGGGCAGAAGATCGAAGACGAGGCAGACGGCACCAGAACACCACCTAAAATCACTCCCTTGCCAGATCTGAATGAGGTGTTGGAGGGACTGCAGATCGAGGCCAGGACGAAGCAGCAGCGTAGGGATCTGATTCTGAGCAAACTTCAAGAGCTGAAGGATGACAAGGTCAGGATCGAGGAAAGGAAGAAGTACCTCCAGGAGCAGCTGCAGAAGACGGGCGACGAGTATGAGAAGTTGAGATTGGAATCGGGACTGCCTGCGCTGCCGGCGAACGGTGATGGGAGATTGATCACAGAGAGGGGGTTAGACAGTCTGGGAACTACGCCGCTGGCTGGGAGGTCGAGTGAGGACTCAGATTCTTGATAGCAGTGGAAACATAGGGGAGCAGGACTTGTTATACATGTTGAAATTGTTCAGCAGACCTAGTCTCTGCAGCAATACATCCGTACGGTACAAGCCACTCGGAGCCTGTAATACCACGAACGCCCTCACCATACGATACACCCAATCCGAAACTCTATCCCAATGCAATTGGTATCGACCTCCATTCCACCAGCCCACCTCGTCCACATACGCATACCCACGAGCATCCCAAAACCCCTCCTCCTTACTCTCTTCCCTCACTCTAAACCCTTCCTGTCTCTCCGCGTCCTGGAGTATGGGGAGAGCTAGAGGGCGTGCTGATGTATAGAGTTCCGAGTGTCGACTGAACGGAAGTGGAGAAGGAACCAGGATCAGAATGCTGCAAACTCTGTTGAATAGTGTAGTGATGGCAGCCTTATGGCACCTCCAGGGATTAGAATGTTGTTGGGCCATCCTTAGCATCTGCTGCGTAGCTGGGTGTGGGTTACCGAATTGGGACTAGTCGCTGTTTACTACGAGGTAGCTTTTTCAGTAGCTCTCATCCATCACTTTTAATACCCACATTAAGCTGCGGCACCCTCGCACCTTACCTGTTCAAGGAATCTTTAACTCGTAGAGAGAAGGCAGGCATGTTAGCTTACAGGATTCCCTGATGGTGAGAGGCATCGAAGAGCCGCAAGCATCGAAGAATGGCGTATGCTAAGTCGTATGCCTACAATGTACTGGGCACCTCCGGGTTGGTGACATTCAAGTCTCGGGCTCACGGTGGAGAAGAGTATAGATTTGCCAATCTCCTGTTTGCAAGGAGAGAAGATGCCGAAGAGGTTTGTCAGCTGTATAACAACACACTTTGCGAAGGTTCCAAGATTTCAGTCACGATAAGAAGACCACCAATAAAAGTCTGGGGAGGAGTATTATAGGACCCAGGACACAATCGTGCGCACAACCAACAACGCGACTATGGATCTGCGAAAAACACGATTTTCGAAACGGCATGACATCCAGAATCGCAGTGCCCCAGTCATTCTCCGTTGTGATTCATTTCGCAATATACACTAAGACTGCGGCGGCTGACTTTGATCAGATGCAAGATGATGTGTATTGGAAATGGCTCCTGAACGAAAATGACTGTGGACTTTGGGTTCCAGACCATAAGTACTGGTACTCATTTTCAACGCAGGAGAGGTGAAGTGGCGGGAAAATGCGAAGGCATTGCCCGGCTACTTAGGTAGTAGTCCTCGACTTGAACCTCTCTATTCGGAAGCTTTCAGTAACGCAGAATCTGCGCAAAACCCACAGCCACTCCGCTCACAGTTGTGTCTTTATGCGCGCAAAACTGCAGTGAGATAGTGTAGTGGCCCTTAAAACGCCGTACTTCAAGCCCCAAACCCATAGTATACAACACTCTTCCCAAACTCCGTGCCAGTGCGATTGATATCGTTCCACCTCATCTTACACACCCTGTTCCCTTAACCCTCAAACCCCCTCCTCCTTCCTCTCCTCAGGCCTCACACCCAATCTCTCCAGCCTCTCCTGCTCCGTGAACTTCCCCTCATCCAGCTCGGCCCAGACTTTCTTAATATGTGTCCTCTTCTCCTTAGCCGCCTCGCGGTTCTGCCGCGTCTTCTCGAGTCGCAAGCCGCGCAGGCACATGTTTACTCGGTATTTCGCGTCGGTGCAGTTGCCGGTTACTTTCCACAGGAAGCCGCGCGCGTGGCATTCGTCGAGTGCGGCGACAACGTCGGCGCAGTCTGGGGGTTGTTAGTATACAGGTAGGTCATGCCAGATCCGGGATGCGGTATGCGCTCGGGGGTGCGGAATGGTGGTGCGAAGAGTCGTAGCACGTACTCTTTTGGACTTCTTCGGTGTGGAGATGGGGATGCATTGTGAGTGTACGGTTCACGAAGCAGCGAGAGAGTGTAAGGGAAGGTGCGGGTTCGTAGAGCGCAGAGTTGTAGTGGCGTGAAGCTCGATCTCGAAAGTGATGCCGAAGCTATCCCATCGGCATCTTGAGATTTTGTGAACTTGGTCAAAGCGCCAAATACGACTGTAGAACAGCAACGGGGACGAGGCGCGACGTGAAATCTTTGGCAGTCAAAAGTGGTGTGAGTAAATAGCTTGCCTATTAGCTCTCCACGACATTTTCCCTGTCGCACGGCGACGTTGTGCTGGACTACCTTTTCGATCGCAAGTTTCGCGACACCACCGAGCCTCCCCCGCAACCAGGCGCGTGCCTTACACCTCCTCATCACCAAAAAGTCAAGATGGCGTCAAAAGCCCAGCTAGACAAGCAGCAACGTGTGCTATACAATTGCTTTACTTTTAGTGTTGGTCTAACAAGTTCCAGAGCTCCAGACCACATATCAAAACTACAAGACCACACTGCAGAACATCGCCTCAAAGATCGGTGACATTGAGCAAGAGACGGAAGAACACAAGTACGCCAAATCTTCCCGCTCCAACCTGGAATCCTCACTTCTCCCCGTATTGTTTCATTTGCTTGAAAATTTGCACTGACAGACATAGGCTCGTTCTGGAAACATTAGAGCCGCTGCCTGGAGACCGCAAATGCTTCCGCATGATCAACGGCGTGCTCACTGAGCGAACGGTCGCAGATATTGTGCCTATCTTGCAGACGAACCAGGATGGGCTGAAGAAGACGCTGGAGGAGCTTGTCAAGCAGTACAAGACAAGACAGGATGAGATGGAGAAGTGGAAGGTGAGTCGAACGAGCGTTTTGGTGAAGTGTGAACATGATCACTAAGCAGTCCTACAGAAGAAGAACAACGTACAGGTTGTTCAGCAGCCTGGACAGTAGGCGGTCGGAGGCTCCTGCTTGCAGCAAGTACATTATAAGCTGAGGATGTCATGTTTGCTTGGTGGAGCAGCAGGCGCGCAGAGTTCCAAGAAGGCACAAGATGCACGCAAGAGTGAGAATTACATGCAACGAAGTCAGGCGAAGTCATCAATATTGACTTTCAGTATCGGAGCCCGTGGTCACGCTTCCACATCTGCAACAAATTCTGCTTCGATACTGGAGGATCTTCGCAGCACGGTGGAACTGGATGGAATCTTGAAAGTAGACCCTCTCAAGTACATTGCAAGGACTCATAGTCAGAGGACGATATACAGCAAAAGTAAACATTTGTCCACGCTTAAGATCCGGATCCTTCTTTGCATGCGTTTCCACTTTGACTTGCTCACGCTTTAGGTGTTGTGGAAAGCACCACCACAGACCCCTGCACTTTATCGATACCCCGCCATGTTTGCCCCACCACGAGACATTCTCGCGTCTGCCACTGCAACCCTCGCCATCTACCAGAGCTCCAATCTCGAGCACAACAGACACACATCATGGCAGATACACTACCGATCAAGGTCACATACTGTGGAGGTAAGATTTACATCCCAGCGTGTTCCAGACATACACTAACAAGACGCAGTATGCACACTACCACCAGAAGTAGGTACGGCACCGGAACGCGTCGAGCGCGACTTCAAGACTAACAGTCTCCTCACTAGTACTGCGAATTCGGTGGCACGACCAAGAAGTGTGAAGAATGGTTAGCGGACAAGCACCCGGACATGCACCAGAAGCTATACTCGCAAGGTACGAACATACACCCTCGAAGCCTATACCTACTTTTCGACCACAACCCACCCCCAACACCGCGTCTCTAGACAGTTGCCAACCAAGCTCTGACAACCCCCACAGAAGCACTAGCCCAAAACCTCTCCTCCCTCTCCGTCGAAGCACAAAAGCGCGCCGAGAAAGATGCCGTAAAGAAAGCCAACAAGGCCGCCACCGCCGAAAAACGCGAAGCCGAAACGCGCGCCTCGTCAAAGATAATAATCAAGCGCATCGAGCGCAACAAGCGCAAATACGTCACCGCCGTCTCCGGGCTGGAGGCCTTCGGTCTGGACATCAAGAAGGTGTCCAAGGATTTCGGCAAGAAGTTTGCTACGGGCGCCAGTGTGACCAAGCTGCCGGGTGGCGGCGAGGAGATTACTGTGCAGGGCGATTTGAGTGAGGATATCGAGGAGTTTCTGGTGAAGACGTATAAGGAGGTGCCTGAGGACAATATTGAGTTGGTTGAGGATAAGAAGAAGACGAAGGGAGAGAAGGCGGCGGCGAATGTGCCTGCGCAATGAGGGGTTGAGGTGATATTGAGTGGTGTTTGAGCGGCTGTGGCGATGAAAGAGCATGGGCGACGTGGAGTATAGGGTGTTGGGGACGAAGAGTGTGATGGCGAAAAGGCGATTGGCGCAGAGGGACAAGACTGTAGCAATTGTACAGCTGTACATCGGTCAGAGGGACGACTCATAGATAGTTGGGAGATTCGTCACAATGCAACGAGGCGTGAAGACATCGAACGGACATAAAACGTATCGATCAGCACTGATCGTCGTGTCTACTTCAACTGGTTCCGCAGTATCCTGATCCTGGGCTCCATCCTCACTTCCACCCAGTATCCTCGTAGCAACCTCTCTCTCAAACCTCCCTCCAGCCGCTTCCACACACCAGCAACCTTTTCCGTCCAGTCTTCGTTCCCCCGCCCTGTTTCAGCCTCACCGACAACCTCCTCAACCTGACCACCACTCTTCTCCCCCGGCTTCAGCACCCTCACGCCCCCAAACCCATACACAACATGCACAACCGCCCAACTCCCAATAACCTTCTCCGGTCTCTCCGCCAACACATAATCGAACTTCGCCCAGAACAGCGGATCAAGCAACACCGTCGGGTCCTCGGTCTTGTCGTACGCCCACGTCCTTTCTTGTAGGGAATCCTGCGCTTCTAGCACGTCGAGAATGGTTTGCGGCGCGCTGTGCGCTTCCAGGAACCGCGTGACGCCGGTCTGGCACGCGAGGTTGTCGAAGTAGACGTCAAAGTGTGGTTTCGCGGGGTGCGGGATGCTGGTGTGCAGGGTATGCAGGGCGGTGCCGCCGGGGTAGTTGAGGCTGGAGATAGCGAGGAGGGCGGTCGAGGCGGTGAAGGAGAAGAGAATTGAGGTGGCGAGGGTAAGCGATAGGAGCGCGTAGATGGCGGATTTTGAGCGTCGCGTCCAGATCCATGATGCACCGGCTGCGGAGATGGCGGTCAGACCGGGGATCACGTAGATGATAAAGCGCCATTCTTTGTGTGGGAGGAAGCTGTAGAGAGCTACGAAGGAAAGGAGAGGGATGAGGAGATCGAGGCTTCGTCTGCGGGTGGCGGCGTTCAGGACGGCGATGGGTATGCAGAGTAGGTATGTTGCTGGATTGAGAAGGAGGCGTGGGAGGGCATTGGCGAAGTAGTAGTGCCAGGGTGATACACCCCAGTCAGCTGAGTGGCCTTGGATGGTATTGTAGTAGAAGGCGATCCATTCCGGCCATAACGGGAAGGACTGCCAGAAGAAAGAGTCAATTGGAACGGTGCACAAGAGTCCTATAAGGAGTCCTCCAGCTCCAGCGGGGATGACGACTTTCACGATAGAGACGCGCTGGGTAACAAGAAGATAGAGCGTGATAGTCCCGACTAAGATGGCTAATTCGGAGCGAAATACGATACCGGCAATGGTGAGTAGGTAGAGGCAGAGCCGGTATCTTCGATTAGCATATTCTCTGCTGTATGACACTGTATGTGCGTTCAGGAGAGCTCGGAGTGCGAAGTTGCCTGGCCTACCGTAAATATCATCCAAAGAAGATAGCCTGAATTTGCAACTTACTGAAGACGAAAGCAAACATATTCGGCAGCGTCCGAGACGCATAATAGATGACATGAAACTGGCTTGCCTGGAACAAAGCATACCAGATACCCGCAGTTGTCCCAAAGGCTTTCTGGACGCTCCTTCCGAATGCGATGAGTGAGAAGGCATTGCACAAGCCCAGTAATCCTCTCACTGTATAGCTATTAATTAAGCGGATTTATCTTAGACATCGTGTGTTCTTACCCAAGAGTTGCATATGTGCTGCATTGTTCAATAAGCCAACAAAGGATCGTGACAATCCGCTCAGAACCAACGCGCCAGTAAATGTTCTTGGTACGCTTCCCGGGAATGAGACATGATCATAGTTCGCGGTGAAAAATTGGTCAACATTACTTCCTGGTATTCCATGGATCAATATGTCGTGGGTGGCCTGGATGTTGAACGATTCCTCGACCTTGGTGTACGGCGAAACGAACAGGTGGATCAAAACGAATGTGGAAATCAGCAGATAAAACGGCCACGTCGGGATGGCCATAGCGGTTGATATATCTACAGAGCTTCTAAAACTCCGAGAAGAGATCAATTGAGAGTTGAGATAAAGTGACGCGTGGAGATCGAGAGAAGTGGAGTTCGATCATGTCTGCTCCAATCACAATCACGTGCCCTCGCGCACGACCGCGACTTCCATTTCCACGACCTCACATCTCACATCCATCAAACATGTCAACACTCTCCCAGCTGGCAGTACCCTTCGTTTACGGCCTGATTTTCTTCCTGGGATACCCATCACAATGGATGTTAATGCACCTCGAGCCTGAGCCGCTGACGAAGAATGAACTCATTGCGTCGAACGTCATCCTAGTCTTGATTTGGATTACATATACAAAGAGTGTGTTTGTTGATCCTGGGACGGTACCAAAAGATTGGGCAGAGAAAGAGCTTAGGGATGAGAAGGAGGGTGATGCGGTGGCGAAGAGCAGGAAATGGTGTAGGAAATGCGATGCTGCGAAACCACCGAGGGCACATCACTGTAAAGAGTGCAAAAGGTATGCTCAAGAGAACACGCCAAATCGTGTCGATGCTTTGATCTGGATCAACTGCACGTACTGATAATACCAGATGCATACCCAAGATGGACCATCATTGCCCCTGGACCGCAAACTGCGTATCCCATACCACCTTCCCGCACTTCCTCCGCTTTCTCTTCTACACCACCATTGGCCTCTCGATCCTGGAAGCCTTCCTCTTCACGCGGCTCGCCCACCTCTGGAGCAACCGCGACCTGCCCTCCTACCTAGGCCCATCCTTCCTGCAACTCGCACACCTCTTCACCACGCTCATCGCAAACAGCATTACCCTCTTCGTGCTAGGCATCCTCTTCCTGCGAAACATCTGGTGTCTGTCCGTCAACACAACCACAATCGAAGGCTGGGAGATCGAGCGCCACAAGACCCTCCTGCGGCGCGCACGCCACTTCGGCGGCTACTTATCCACCCCAGACGGCTCGCAAATTCGGATCAAACGCCAGGAATTCCCGTACGACATCGGTATTTTTGCCAACATCGCGCAGGGCATGGGGTCCTCCAATCCGCTCAACTGGCTCAACCCATTCGCTGCGACACCTTCCTTAGCATCTGGGCTAAGCTTTGAAACAAACGATTTCGAAGACGCATCTACGACCTGGCCACCTCCGGACCCAGATCGTTCGTACCGCCGGCGCGTCAAAGAAGAGGGACCCGCATTCACGTATCGGGACGCAGAGCTGAGCAAGGAGGATACGCTTGCTGCATTTCGGGCACGGCAGGCAGAGGATGAGATGAGGAGGCGGAAGCCATTTGTTGAGCGTATGGAGGCTGTTCGAGATACCGGGGGTGATGATTATGAGTATGATCATATGGACGATGCTAGTGAAGAGGCTGAGGATGAGGGGAGAAAGTATGGAGAGGGAGATGAGGGCGAGGAAGGGTGGCGGAACTCTGAGGGTGAGAGGCTGAAGGATTTTGGTGTTGATGAGGATGCTGAGTTTTATGATGAACAGGAGGACCATATACCGCTCAGTGAGTTGATGGCGAGGAGGCAGGTAGCGGCTGCTTCTGCCTCGGAGGGATGGTCGATGTCAGGATCAACTTATTAGATATCAGAGTAGATATCAGAGAAATCACCGACGTATATCACGAGTATAAGCATAATCACGAGTATAAGCATATTCGAGCTTGCGTGAGCAACCAGTGGTTCTAATACAATATCCCAACTAGGGAGAAGATACCTATCCGGACATTGGCTATCCCAAGCCGATTCGACACTCGCCATACTCCGTCCCTCCTGCACCTGAGGTTTCGCGGACCAAGTGTCCATCCCAGTCAAATCCAAGATTCCGCCCAAAACACGCACATTATTCGCCAACTGCACATCCTTACACAATCTGAATTGGTTCGTCAAGTTCCCAATCTTCAACACTTCTCGACCGCTTCGTTTACTTCTTTCTTCTTCACTTCGTCCAATTCCTTCAGAATACCCTTGGCTTCCTCCATCTGGGCCTGGCGTGACTCGTCCTAGTAGTCGGCGTTGCCATTGCCATTGCCGTTGTGGACGCTGTAACCGAAAGCCGTAGCACCGCCTTCGGCCATATCTTGATCGCCGCTCAGAACATGTTGCTGGGCATTCTCTCCGCCGGCCGCGTTGGCGCTGGCCCCAGGAGCACCGAATGGGCCGGTAGGCTTGTTCTGGTTTGCAAGGAGGGTCTCGTACCACCAATCAATACCATAGTTCAGAATACGTTTGCGCCAATGTGTTCACAAAGGAGAGACACAGGGACGAAGGGGAAGTTGGCAGCTTACCTCGCGGTACCGAGACAGGTAGATCTTGAGTGCTTCCGAGTAGTTCTCGAAGCCTAGCGATGTCATGGCGAAGAGGATGTCCTCGCCGTTGACGGTCTTGCGCTTCTCCTGCTGGCATTTCTCGGAAGCTGGGGTCCACAACATCAGTGGCGGTTTTGCAGCAGATCACTCTGAAACTCACCCTCGCTGGTGATGAACGATATGAACTCGCTCACACACTCCTGCATGCATTCTTTGGCCTCCTTCGCGATCTTTGCGTTTTCGGGCAGGGCCGTCTTCATGATCCGGGCGACTGGAGCAAAGTTACGAATGTTAGCATCCGACGCGGCGTTGTTGTTTGTGCTCTTGGACCCGTTCTGTGGCGGGGACGTGGACGACTGCGGAGAGGACGACATGGCGGCTGCTGCAGGGCGGCCGTTTTTCAGGCACACAAAGACGCTGAGTGGCTGGTGATTCGGACGTTTGACGAGTCAAGCGCGCGGTCTCAGAGTATGTGGGCATCCAGAGACGCCGGACGGGAGCAATTGGTCGACGTGCAGACGGGCAGGAAACAGCGCGCAAATCAAAACGACGGGGAGGGCTGGGGGGGAGGGATGTTTACGCACCATTTGCGATTGGAAGCCATCGGTCCTGTTCCTTGACCTCGAATTCGTACCCGAGTCCTTGCGCTTGTGTATCCTCAGCGTTCCTGTCCATATGTTGGTCGTCGTCAGGCGACTGAGGTGGTTCCACACCGTCCTTCTTCGGCGGGGTGGACGACATGTTTATTCGGCTGGCTGCAGGGGCAGTTTCCAGCTTCGAGGGTGTGTGTGCGCTGGCGGACTGCTCAGTGATTTGTTGGCGTCCACGTCACTGGGAGACGACCGCCAAGTCGTGTAACGATGTGAGGCCTGGCGAACGATGCGGTTAGTTGCATGCACAAGCTAAAGCGCAGTAGGGAGCTGGACGACGTGGGCAGGCGCAAGGGAGGCCGGCGTGCCGTGCTTGCTTACTTGGGCGCGGTGGAGGTGAGCGGTGGAAGGCGCAATGGACACGCGTGACGGATCAGGCAGGCGCGACTTCAGATGCAACAGCGGCGGGTGCAATTGAGGCAGGCGCGGCGTACAGCGAGGGCAGCAGTCACCGAGCGCAGCGTGTGCGACTAAGCTATGGAGCTATGTCACGGTGCTTGGGGTGCGATTGTGGGACCGCATGCAGCCGTGGGTGGGTTAGCGGGCGGGGGCTGGCAGGCGGATTGAGCGTGTGCTGCGCTGAAACGCGTGTTGCTGGCAGTGTTGTTGTCAGTCTTCAACAAGGTGAGCGCCGTTGTCCCGTTGTCCTTTGCGGGATGTTCGTCACAACAGACGCGCCAGCCAATGGGCGCGCGACGCAGAGTGGTGAAGCTTCAGCCCCGTGGGAGCTTGGACGGCGCGCGGCGTGGAGCGTGTGCGCGAATCGGCGACGAGGGGGCAGCACTTGCGATTTGGGCGGTGATTTCTGGCGGTGAGCGAATCGAGGAGAGCGCTGGCTGCGAGGGGAGAAATTGCCCACGCTGATGCCCACTCACGAGACGCAGCGCAGGGGAATTTCTGGTTGGGCAGGTCTGCGTCACTATGAGGGGTTGCTTCCGTTCTCGGTCCGTACCGGTCCACTGAACTGAACTGTTCTTGAACTGTTCACTCACTCAGTCCTAGAGCACATGAAAGCGTGGATAAAATGCCACTTCACGCCACGGTAGATTATGCTTCTGGCAGCCATGGGCTACCCTGTGCCTGTCAGAAGGGCTGTGACTGCTGCAAACGCTTTCTTTTTTTTTTCCCAACTGAACCGGATTCAGACGCTGCAATCTGACATGCACACACACTCATACTTTGGCGCTTAACCACATGTCCCGACCGCTCTCTTCGCTGCAACGGCTCGGTTAGTGAACTACGGCCCCTCACCAACCCGACTCAGGCCTGCCCACGGCCCGGTCGTGGCTTTACCAGCAGGCACTGACTGCATGCGTTGTCCTCGCTGCGAACATGGACGCGAACGCTACCAAGCCTCACTTCCACGGAGCACATACATTCACTGTGACGTCGGACCTCATGTTATACCAGCCACTCGCAGCACAGCCCGGTGTGCTGGCCTCGGTATTCTATAAGCTGCATGTCCAAGCCTGCGGGATTATAGTCGTCGATCCCGCGTGGGTGCATGACAGCACATGCTGCAGCGGCCATTGACACGTTGGCCCTGGCTTTATCAGATCCCAGCAAGACGGCAGGGCGCAGGTTGGGTTGCAGATCAGGTTGCATGTTGCGCGCATGAAATTGGGAAGATGGCATGTGGAAGTGGGCTTGACTGCAGTGCTGTGAGGTCATGTTATCACGCTATCGTTCCCTGGCGAGTATTGGATTGTGTGTGGCTCCGATGGTTGCTTCCCATGTATGTTTGGGGCAGCACCATCTGGAGGAGCATTTTGCCTGTTCGGCAGGTCCATTCTATAGAAATTAACAAGCAATTGTTGTAGTCCTACGAGAGTTGATCGGATCGGACCGCAGATGGCCTGCAGTTAGCATTGAGTACCTCCCATAAGCTTGGGTCCATATCTGGGTTGTTCTGCTATTCGGAAGAAAAGGCTCACACGAACAAGCAAAACGCTCGATTATGTTCGGGTGAAGGGCGCGGTGCCCAAATACCATGCTTTTCGTTCAGCAAGAATAAGTAGACACAAAATGGCATGTAGCCTCCGGAGTTCCTCACCTACATCAAAGCCGTCTCCAGAACTCCCCAATATGTTCCGCGACCTCCCCAGCCTTATCCCTGACAACACCATGCCCAGCTTGCGGAACAACCTTGACATCAAACCCAAACTCTTTGATCTCCTTCTCCGTGCTCATCTCATCATCCCCGCCAAGCACCACCAAACTCCTAACCCCCGTCTCCCTCGCCTTTACAAACAACTCATCATTATCCGTCACCTCTCCATCTCTGAATATGCCAACAACACTCGCCGGATGCCCAGCGTGTTGCTTCATCTGCCAATCTTTAACAGCTTCAGCCACAACCTCACCGTTCCCAACACGCTCACGCCAGTCGTCCGGCACTTTCAACTCTCCACCCTCGAGAACGCTGACAACCCACTCCGCCGCCTTCCTCTCATCCCCTTCCTCACACTCCTTACTCAACCACCGCCTCTGCTCATCGTTGAACCAACTCTTTCTCAAAAGCCCCGCAGGCGCGACTAGTACAAATGAACCCACACTCTTCCCCTTCTCTCCCCCTTTTTTGCCATACGTACCAGCCAGATACCCCATCGTGAGCACCGCGCCAAACGAGAACCCGACGATACTAACCCCCTCATGGCCCTTCCATCCCAGATGCTCCAACAAACCGTCAATGAGCCCGTGAAACAGCTTCCCCTCATGCGGTAGATGGGGCGTGTCACTCAGTCCGTGGCCCCAAAGGTCTAGCAGCACGAACTCGGTGCTGGGGAATTGCGAGCGCAGGGCTGATGTAAGCGGTAGCATGCCCAAAGCCGGGGTCTGCACGCCGTGGATTAAGAGGACGCGTTTTGGTGTGCCCGGAGTCTGAGATGGGGTGGATGGGGTGGGTGAGGCTGGGGGGAAATTGTAGTACGCTGCTTTCCCGATGGGGGTGTGTAGGAACTTTGCTGGAGGAAGGAGGGCGCCGAATGTGGATGTGAATGCTTCTTCTGATGGACCGGAAATTGGTTCCTTTGGCTCGAAAACGGAGCCGGGCCGTGGTAACACGAGATGCTTGGACATGGTGGTGTTGGGGGGTAGGTTGGTATCGAAATGTGGAGGTTGAGGCTGAAGTGCGGCTCTTATACATGGTTGCAGACAAAGTCGGAGGAATTGATAGCGATAAGGCGTGCTCACCGGCGTCCACCAACGCTAAACGGGAATAAGGCGTGGTTCAGCTTATATTCACACCTGGTCCAGCTGCATTCAGATTGCAGATAGCCAAGTATAGCACTATGGTCCGAGTCACGATTTATGGTAAACGCCAATGCGTATATTCATTTAGAACTATTCGTTACCGACAAGTAGTTGATACTCATGCCTCCATAATCATGACAAACCGCTCCTTTTCGAACCCGTCAAGAAATCAATGGGAGGCCCGTGCTACAAATCCTCATCATCGGTGTCCTGCTCCTGCACCACAGGCTCCGTGGGCACCCGGGGTAAACCAGTATGAGCTTCCTCGCCGTCTTCAATATTGCTGCCGCGCAAGCTGCTACGCCTCCTCCTGCTAACCACGCCTGGAAAGATCCTAGGTTCGCCGTCGAGGTTCACACTGCTCGAAGTACGCGTCAAGTCGAGGTCTTGCTCAGCTGGCTGTTGGCCTACAGGTGGCTGAGGGGCCGATACGACGCTGGGACTGATGGTCATGCTGGATGTGCGGCGCGGACGCTCGGTGTTGGCAGCGGTGGGCGATCCTGACTGGGTGGACATGCTCGCAATATCGGTAGTAGATGCCGACGGGTTCAGCCGCGCCTGCTGGGCCGGAAAGGAAGACGGAGGCAGCTTAGGAAATGCTTTGTCGTGGTCTTGCGGATTGGTGGCAGACGGCTGTGTGTGCGGCGACTGTACTGGTGATCCTGGGTGTGTGGCGTGGTGCGTCCTTGGTGTCTGAGGTGTTTGTTGCTCTGGTTGGAGATTTGACATCGTGAGAGCTTGGGTCTCAGTGTTGGCAGCGCGTGTGTATCGATCGATCATGGCAAGCTCCTGCATAAGCGTCTCGTGCCTGAAGGCCTCGCGAACGCTGGGTACGTTGGATCTTGCCATATCGTTACCTGCAACGCCAGGAAGATTGTAGTTGCCACCCAACCACTTCTGCTTAACAATGTGCTCGAAACCACTCTGCTCGACAGAGTGCTTGGCAAGCTCACACATATCAACCGCGCTCAGCTTATAGATCTGCGCTGCTACGGAGTACTCCTCAATCAATGGTTCCTTGGTGAACGCGAACTGCAGCGGGTCATCCGTCGATAGCGAGACATTGAGACCACGTCGGAAGTAGCTCAGGAACGGGTTCCGCTCGTATGCCAAGAAGAGGGCATTGTTACTGAGTGGCGACATGGCTACACCAATCTGCTCAAGATAGAAGATGTACTGCAGCAGAGGCACTTTACGAAGGAGCAGACCGTGGCTGATGCTGTGACAGCAGAGGACAGCAGCAGCCAAGTGGTCAGTGTCACCAGCCTCTCCGCAGTGCGGGCGAAGCAAGAAAGTGTTGAAGCCACGCTGCTTCCTCCAGACGTTGAGTGATGCGATGTTGGAAAAGAGGTAGTACATCCAGTAGCTGTAAGGCGGGTTCTGCTTCGTCGTCCATTCCTTGGGAGTTGGGAACTTTCTGTACACACGTCGCTCGACCTTGCTCTCGTCGTCGACACTGTCGAAACCGATGACTCTCTGCAAGAAGATGTGGAGCTTTGGATGGCTGGACGGGTCCTTTGTAACTTCAAACAATGGCTGGAAGACGTTGCGAACCACCTCTTCGAAATCATGCATCAGCCCAGTAGCCTTGTACACGTCGAACAGGCGAGGAACCTGGATGAGCCATCTCACATTGGGTGAGAAAAGCTTGTTGTCAACGACCCATGCGGCAAGCTTATCCCATTCATCTAGGTCGCGACCGTAGATCGAGATACGCCACTCAACGAATTGGTACTTGCTGGATTCCAGATCGGAGATGACCTCCTTGGTGATTTCAGCGAGGTACCTGCCCTTGATGAAGTTGTCCGTCTTCAGGAAGATAGTTCGCAAACGCGATTCTCCAACGGGGTTGTATTTCAAGTTGAACTTGTCGAATCGATGGAAGGAGTCTGTGTGCGCGTGCATATCCAGTGTATCAATACTGAGATCGTATGCTGTCAGGTTGATGGATTCAAAGACTTCCCTGAGCGTAAGGTGCTTTCCATCACGGAAGAGCACCACCTCGTCGGGCGACTTCTTCATCTTCGACTTGATGAAGCGCAGCAAATGCTTCTGGTTCATGCACGCCGAGTGATGAACGTGAGTATCGACCTTTCGTACGTTGTAGAAATCTCTGTGTGGCACCTTCTTACTGTCCGCAATCTCTTGGTATTCGTTCAGAAGATAGTAGAGATTGAATTTGCCTTCCAGGTACTGAAGTCTCCGGAACGCGAAACTCTTACTTGGTCCATCTGAAGAGATTTCCAGGATAGCATCCAGGTCGATGTAGAACTCTCGCAACGTGGGGATGGCCACAATGGGTGTGTCAAGCTCGGCGGATTTGGCATTCTCGTACACCTGGAATACACCACCACTGTCCATGCGGAAGGCCATCTCAGAAGGCCCAGGGAGCGGCAGGAGATCTTCCATGAAGAAATCCTCTCCAATGTTTGTACCCATCTTGCGAGGCGGCTTTGGCGGTGCCTCGGTCGGCTCCAGGACTATGCTGTTTGGCAGGCTGCTCGATGCATTGCGGCGTTCCTTCGAAGAGTCGTTCCACACCGGCTCTGGGTGAGGTGGGTAGATCTTCCACCCAGGATCATCTCTGGGGTTGTCGAAGTCGTGTTGTAGCGACAACCGTATATATTTGTGGCGGAGATCAAGCACTTTCTGTACATTGGTGTAGATAGCACTGAGTTCAGCGGTCACGCTCGAATCTGACATGGCGAAACCTCCTGCGCCTGAGCCAACGCCTATTCCTGCTCCTGCGCCGTGTATGCCTTCGTCTGCGAGTAGAGGCTTGTCTTCGTGGGGTAGGCCGGGGTGCTTCGAGTGAGCTCGCGCTTCTTGGTCGGCTTGGAGATAGACATCGCCCGCTTGACTGCCCTTCTGCGAACGATAGGTCTGTGACTGCTCATAGGGTGAATGACCCAGAGGGTGCAAACTGTGCTGATGGCCCTGGTTTACGAGGCTGACGTTGCTCTGGCGTGAGCGAATGCTCATGCCATCTGCTGCGCCGAGGTTCGCGGGGAATGTCTTCGCACGCAGAGCTGGACTGTAGCCGTCGCCTGCCTGCGATCCTCCATGCTGGGTCTCCCATTGGTGACGCTGGTAGAACTGCTTTGCTTCGATGTGGCTCATTTGCTTTTCGGCTGTGTAGTCATAGAAGGCGTTCTTGCGCTGCTTGTCGCGAGGCAGCATTCCATTGTCGTCTTCCTCGATGCTCGTGCCATCTGCCGTACCACTTGTACCAGTGAACCCGTGCGCAAGGTCACCACTGTCCGCCCCAGGATCTGAGACCTCTGGACTGTACTCTTCGTCTTCGTCCGACGAGAGGATCTGGTCATGGCTGAGAGTGGGGCCCAGAGCTGGAGAGCCGTCCGCGTCTGCAGCAAAGGGTCCTGCGATGTCAGTCAGTTGTGAATTGGGGAGCTCTGGAGCAGCTGTCACGCCCTACCTCGCATCGTACCGCTGCACATTTTGTGTGTAAGTTATGGCTTTTGCGGGGACATCAGCAAAAAAGATGGGAGCAACGCGCTTTCGGAGGCCTCCGCCCGCGCCGCGTAGTCCCGTGCCATGATGAGTGGCCGTTCGAGCTGCTTGGTGTGTCGCACACAATGTAAGCTCCAGTCATAGCAACATGGCAGACACTCCTGCCTTGTGAGGGCAGGAGCTTTGGGACGCTGTTCGATCACGACATGCTAAAGTTAGGCCCCTTCCCTCCGATCCGCTGATGCTCCTCGGCATGAGGCGGCCGCACGGTCGAAGCTATTCCGAGCTGCGGCGCGTTGACTTCAATTGCACATTACACTGTATTGTGAAGGCAGCACGGTGCTGAGTCTTGCAGACGTTGGTCAACCCATGAAAAGCGTCAAGTGCAGTTGACTTAGCACTGACGGCCAATCCTTGAAACGCCGACAGACATCAGGTGCCGCTGCTGAGAATGCATCGAAGAATTCGCCATATTGGAGAAACCCCTGGGTAAGCCTTTGATGCTTGTAACGTGTCGCAGGCACAGTTCAATATGCCAATCGCAGGCATAGTTCAACATGTCAACTGCACGCATAGATGTCCGTTGCCAAAGTCCATGTATCATTGATTGTCGTGCGACACGTGAGCTTGGACGCGCCTCGCGCTAGTAGCTTCTCTACTACTCGAAAATTTGGCCGTCTCATCTCGCCGTCAAGATACCCAAGTGCTTCTCCTACCTTTCCAATTCTTTGATACCGCTGCCATCATGTAAGCAGCCTCATAGCAACAATGCGTCTACAACTTCTAATTACCGCAGGTTTCTTCTTCGCCGCACCGCCGTCCGCGCGATCAGCGCAACACCCTCCAAGGCTTTCCTTGCAACGCCCCGTTCCATCTCCACAATCACACCTGCTTTCCGTACACAACAGAAGTGGACAGTTTCCGCCTTCCAGAGGAGATTCGCTAGCGGCGATGTCGTAAAGAAGGAGGAGGTCGCCGCTGAGGCTCCTGAGGACTTCGCCCAGACCATTGCTGAGCCCATCACCGAGGATGGCCTCACACCGGTTCAGGAGAAGGCACAGGCAGAGCCCACCAATGCTTCCGAGACCGTTGGCGCCGATGCGCTCGAGGCTGTTGCCGAGTCCGCCGACAAGCCTCAGAAGGGGCAGCGCCGCGAGAAGAGCGATGCGCCGCCCAACAACGTCGTCTACGTTGGCAACCTGTACTACGAGGTCACCGCCGACCAGATCAAGCGCGTCTTCTCGCGATTCGGTGAGGTTGAGAACGTCAAGATTGTCTTCGACAACAGGGGGTTGAGCCGAGGGTGAGCCCCATCTCAAGTCTGTGACGTGGGCAAAAGACTGACAACTGACTAGATTTGGCTATGTCGAGTTCAAGAACATCGAAGACGCCAAAACCGCCATCGACAATCTCGACATGCAGGTCTTCGAGGGCCGTAACCTCGTCTGCCAGTTCCACAAGGCTAAGCCTAACTCCAAGACCCGCAGCCCCAGCGGCAACTACGTTGAGAACCCTCCCGCTAAGACGCTCTTTATCGGCAACATGTCTTTCGAGATGTCTGACAAGGACCTGAACGATCTCTTCCGTGATATTCGCAACGTCATGGACGTCCGTGTCGCTATCGACCGCAGGACCGGCCAGCCTCGAGGCTTCGCCCACGCCGACTTTATCGACGTTGCCAGCGCCACCAAGGCGAGGGAGGTCCTGAAGGAGAAGGTCATCTACGGCAGGCAGCTTCGCGTTGACTTCAGCAAATCCAACACCGACCGCTCTGACAGGCCCAGGAGGAACGACTCTGCTCAGGACGGATTGTAGAGCGCAGCGTTTGCATTATGATTTCCAAAGCATGATTGGCAGAGGTGTCGACACCTTTGGATCTTCTACCTTGTCATTCCATATTGTGTTGATAGCTAGGCGTGCATGTACCATAGTAGAGGAGTGTTCGGCGTTCTTGTCACCTATATCCTACTGTACATGACACGAAGAAGGATGAGGTGTTGTATACCAAAATAATGAAGCCTAGAAGCACAAGCCTACTTCCATCGAACGGTGAAGACACACCAGCTGCCTTCTTCTTGACTCGCATGTCCACACAGACCAGTCGGCGGCGTTTCATTGCGACAAGCGGACATGAGCGGAAAGCCGAGGTCGCTCGGCCTCCACACCAGCCCCACTACGCTACCCCATCCATGAGTTGCTGATCAATATGTCGGTCGGAGCATGTTGCCTCTGACCTCTTGCAACCTCCCCCGCTTGTATCATAGACTGTTCTTTTGTCGCGTTTGATACGGCGTCCTAGCATTACACCGTACATTTGGCGCAACTTCTGTTTCCACCATGTCCTTCCTCGGCGGCGCAGAGTGCTCGACGGGCGCCAACCCCCTCAGCCAGTTCACGAAACACGTCCAGGATGACAAGTCCCTGCAGAGAGACCGCCTGGTCGGGCGCGGGCCTGGCGGCATGCAAGAGGGCATGCGCAGCCAGCAGATGGGCCCTCAGGATGGCGTATGTCCAAGAAGCCCCCATTACGAAGCGTATGGAGGAAGAGCAATAGCTAACAATGTCGCAGATGATGAACGAGTTCATGCAGCAGAATGCACAGCTTCCTCAAGGACCCGGCCCCGCGTCACCGTTTGCAATGGAGCAGATGCGGAGAGAGCTGGAGCGCGCACAACACAGCGGATCGCCAGCATGGGCTGCAGAGTTCGACCCAGGCATGCAGGCGCCACAGATGGGGCCCTCGATGCAGGAGCAGCGACCAGCAGGCTTCAATCCCGCCGAATTCGCAAAGTTCCAGCAGATGAACCCGACCGAGCGCACAGCGAGCCCTGCGACCTCTGCCCAGATGGGATATCAGCGGCCAATGCAGAACTATGGTATGGGCATGGGCATGGGCATGGGCATGGGCGGAATGGGCATGATGCCATCGTACGCACCGCAGAACTTCCAGCAGCCAATGCAAACCTCAGCCAAAGGCAAGGAGCGCATGGTGGAGCTCGACGACCAGGGCTGGGAAGCACAGTTCGCACAGCTGGAACAGACAGACCAGCAGGACCTCGACGCGCTGGACGCAGAGGCGAACAAGAACATAGAAGCGGAGCTGAACGAAATGGACAGGTCAGTAGAAGATGTCGACTTTGGCGACTTCGAGTCCGTCTGGAAAGGAATCCAAGCTGAGACACAACACGCTAGACATCTCGCCGATGAAGCCACCTTCAGCGACGGCATGCACATGGGCGATCTAGACCAGTGGGAGGGTTTCGACGGGCTTAACACGCACTCGGTCCGCGATCCAGCAATGGGCGACTATCTCTTCGAGCAAGAGAACCTCTTCAAGAGCGTCAGCAACCCCTTCGAAGAGGGCGTCAAGATCATGGAAGAAGGCGGCAACCTCTCCCTCGCGGCCCTCGCCTTCGAAGCCGCCGTCCAAAAAGAGCCAAACCACATCGCCGCCTGGGTCAAACTGGGCGAATCGCAAGCCCAAAACGAAAAAGAAACACCCGCCATCCGCGCGCTCGAACACGCCCTCAAGCAAGATCCCAACAACCTCGAAGCCCTCATGGGGTTGGCTGTATCCTATACAAACGAGGGTTACGAGAGCACCGCATACCGCACCCTCGAGCGCTGGCTCGCCACAAAATACCCCAGCTTGATCAAAGAACCGCTCTCCTCGGATGCAGAAATGGGCTTCACAGACCGGCACCTCCTCCACGAAAAAGTCACAAACCTGTACATTCAAGCCGCCCAACTCAGTCCTTCTGGAGAGCAAATGGATCCCGACGTGCAAGTCGGGCTGGGCGTGCTATTCTACGGCGTGGAAGAGTACGACAAAGCCGTCGACTGTTTCGGCGCCGCGCTCGCATCCACCGAATCTGGCGTCTCCAACTCCTCATCGCAGGTGCATCTGCTATGGAACAGACTCGGCGCTACGCTCGCCAACTCCGGGCGCAGCGAGGAGGCCATCGACGCGTACAGTCGCGCACTCGCCCTGCGCCCGAATTTCGTCCGCGCGCGCTACAACCTCGGCGTCAGCTGTATCAACATCGGGTGCTTCACGGAAGCCGCGCAGCACCTGCTCGGCGCGCTGGCTATGCATAAAGTCGTCGAGGCGGAGGGCAAGGAGAAGGCGCGCGAGGTCGTTGGCGACGGTGTCAGCGAGTCGCAACTGGATAATATGATTCATCAGAATCAGAGTACGAATCTGTACGATACGCTGAGGAGGGTGTTTGGCCAGATGGGGCGGCGCGATCTCGCAGATGTGGTGGGGCCGGGTATGGATGTTGAGCGTTTTCGGGGCGAATTTGAGTTTTGAGCGAGCGGAGCGAGCAGAAGATGGTGGGGAGATGGTGGGGTGGGGTGAGGCAGAGGCGCAAGTTGATCAGTATGCGAGCGAGCAGAGCGAGCTGAGCGAGGCGCGGCTGAGAGCTGCAGAGGCACTGGGTTACGAGGTCAAGAGGGAAAACGTGAACAGTCATGAGGAAAGAACTTCACGGGCGCAGGAACACGACAGTTGGCTCCTGGAGAAGAAGGTCCGGTTTCGCACCCACTGGGGCGAGGAAGAAGTAGGCGATAGCTGTTGCTTCGGCACGCGCACGGTGGATATGGATATGGATATGGATATGGATTGCGTCTGGAGAATGATTGGCGGCGTCTAGTCAACCGAGCCGTCAGCTCGCAACACCTTATGTAGAGATGTCAGTCCTACATTACGACAACTGTTTCATGTTTCCAAACACAAGCACAGCTTCCGGGATTGTTTTCGTTCATTATACTACCACAGTCTCCCCAATATCACACAGCCCTACTTCCTTGCCCCATGTGTAGCCTTCGGATTCTGCACCCCTCTTCCACCGCTCAGGCGGCTCCAGAACAGGCTCGTATGCTGCCGAGTATGCACCGCGCAAGGTGCCGTAGTGCATGCCTATGCTCTTCTTGCTCCTCACATCTTTGTGTATCGATAACGAGTCTTCTGGACTTGAGTGCTGACCTGATAACACCGATCGCGGTTTGAAGCAGCCAATCGGCAAGAGCGCAAGATCGAAGGGTCCGTACAGCTCACCGACTTCTTTGAAGGCTGGGCATGGTGGGTGCGGCGCATCGTGGTGGGAGAATTGGGCGTCGGATGTGACGTGGCAATACCCCGTGTCGCCGGCGAAGAAGAGTCGCTTGCCGTTCTCTTGCGTCTCTTTGACGATCCACGAGCACCATAGCGTGCCATCGAAGTTCCAGGGTGTGCGGCCTGAGCGGTGTTGCGCGGGTGTGCAGACGAGGTCTACAGAGCCCGCCTTCTCTGTCTGTAATGTGACACCATTCCACCAATCGAGCTCTGTCACTTGATCTGCTTTGATTCCGGCACCAAGGCCAGTCAGCACTGCCTTTACGCCCAAGCCGCAGAAGAAACGCAGTTCGCCGTTTTGTTTGGCGTTGATCTTCTTGAGCGTGTCGGAATCGAGGTGATCGTAGTGATCGTGGCTAATAACGACGGCGTCGACATCCGGGAGGTCGTCGATAGAACATGGCGGAGGCGTGAAGCGTACAGGGCCGACCATACCTGCGCCGAGATCAATGGCTGCCCTATGATTGAGACCTTGTTTCCGGCTTACCATATGGTCCCATCCGGTTGCTCCAGACAGGATCGATCAGTATGCGTGCTCCTCTTCCGGTCCCTTCTTGCCTGCTTGTCTCTACCAAAAAGCTGGCATGACCGATCCAAGTTGCCTTCAACCCATCGCGTTGTACGCCAAAGTCAGGCTTGCGAACTTGAACAAGGCCAACGCGATCGACGGGAACTGGGACAAAGTTTTTAGGTGTGCTAAATCGAGTTCGCATGGCGCCGGTGAAGCCGGAACTGTTGTATGACGGCCATGGATTCTTGAACCCAGTCGGTGGGTTGCCAATGTGGTGTGCCGTGGTGAACTTCTCTGGCTGCAGCGGTTGCAGTGCGCTCACAACGGATTTAGGTGGCATGGTGATTCCACCTTGAGTCCAACGCCTAAAAAATGACGGGCTTCAGCGAACACGGTTCGAGCAGGCATGGTCAGGCTGGCAGTGGTGGTGTTATGGAAGATGAGGTCGGAGATAGCAGGATGAGCGAAGGCGCCGCGGGCGTTGAGATTGACCGGCGGGCCGTTCACGTCAGGTTCTACAAACTCGTGGTCTGCCTGGAGGCCTTCATGGCATTTTCAGGCTTGAGTCTTCTCACTGTTTGCCAACAAGTGTTTGTCCAGAAAAGCTCACTTGGCGTTTGTTATGGCTCGCTCCTTCCGACGTCATCACGAGGCTCCGGCTTCCGCTTCTCACCTATCACTCTTCCCACGTTCGCACCTCCTCCACACCCAATCCTTAAAGCAGACATCAGCCCGTGACCTGGCGTTCATTTTGAGCTGTGGCTGGCAATCACTGTCAAGCCGTCCTCGAAATCATGCGTCCTCGGAGACGGCAACTGATCTGTACAAGCATCAAGGCACCGCTTGTGCAGCCTTATCTCGCCCGCATCCAATCAACATCGCACGTGAGAACAACCATCCACCCTAGCTTTCCTGCAGGTACTCCGGGCGGCGAACAGCGACGATGGCTCCAGAGCTTCAACAAGGATATTTTTGCACTCACCTGCCGTATGTGGAAAAGAGCTTCCGGCTCGATGTAGGCTGTGGGCAAACTTAAGTGCTCCCAGCTCCCAGGTTTGCGGGTAGGTTCTTCAAACAATTGTGTCTACCCTCGGTCAACTTTCAAGATGCGCGGTACCTTCACAGTTGCCGGAGCAGCGGTTCTGCTCGCTAGCACAGCCAATGCTCAGCTTTACCCAGGCTTGAGCAAGTTCAACCACACTTGCCAGCTCCAGAAGCCTCTCCTCTCCTGTCCTGCCCAGAACGCTTCTGATGTCGATTCCTGCTGTACCGAGACCTTCGGTGGTCTCGTTCTCAGCACTCAGTTCTGGGACACCTACACCGGCCTTGAGTCCCAAGGCCAGGTCCTTCCTAAGGATACTTGGTCCCTCCACGGCCTGTGGCCCGACTTTTGCAACGGGTCATACACCCAATACTGCGACCTGACCCGTCAATACGATCCCATCCCCTCCCCCAACACCACCAACGGCCTCAAGAACGGCACTGTTGTCCCTCCCTACAATGGTCCCAACATCGGCACCTTCCTCGAGCCCTTCGGCCGCTACGACCTTCTCGAGTATATGAACACATACTGGATTGCGCAAAACCAGGACAACCCCGGGTTCTGGGGCCACGAATTCAGCAAGCACGCTACCTGCTTCAGCACCTTCAACACCCCTTGCTACGGTCCGCAGTACCGCCAGCACGAGGACGTTGTCGACTTCTTCGAGACAACAATCAAGTACTACCAGCGCTTTCCGACCTTCAAGTGGCTCAAGGCCAAGAAGATCGTGCCCTCCAACAGCACGACGTACTCGTACACCGACTTCAGAAACACGCTGGCCAAGAAGCACGGTGGAATCCCGTTCATTGGTTGCTCGGGCCCGAGATTCAATGCCACTACTGCTGGAAAGAACACCACTGATAACGGATATACTGTGCTTAGTGAGGTCTGGTACTATGAGCATGTCTATGGACGTCCTCAGGAGGGCAAGACGGTGCCTGTTGATGCTAGTGCGACTTACCAAACCAACTGCGCAAAGACCAAGGGTGCTATCCATTACTACCAGCGCACCAATGGCTCTGAGAAGGTACCTGCTGTGCCTTTCGCTGGATAGGTGGAGAAGCAGAATTGTTGCATCACAAGATAGCTTGTAAATTAATAACGAATATATGCACGTTATGGAAAGCACGGTGCATCAGTGTTCTATAATGCATGTGATGTTTCTGAAGCCAACCCTTGCCACAGATACCTCAAAGATGGGGGTCCACTGTGGATACCAACACTCCACAACACCACTTTCGGCGCTGGGACGATGTTGCAAGGCACGTCGCCATATGAGGGAATATGTACAAATACCAAAAAAATATAATCCAGTTGATCATTGATTAGAACTTCCTCAACTAAGTTCAAACTAAATTCCACCCCGATATACCTTCTGTCGAGCCCAACACAAAAGTACGTCCACCCACGAGCCTCCACCTCACAACTGACACCCTCAGTGTCTGTGCCCGACGACAAAGCCCAAATCACAGTGCTCCTCCACCGCTACGGCGCCGTCCTAGCATCCCACTCCATCCCCGAAGTCCTCTCCATCTACACTTCCGACGGCGTAATCATGGCTCCAGGCTACCCACCCGCCGCTGGCCAGGACGCGCTGGAAGCCGCGTACAAACGCATTTTCTCGACCATCAAGCTGGAGATTGAGTTTGAGATAGATGAGATTGTTGTTATGGGGGAGGGGTGGGCGTTTGCGAGGACGACGGCGGAGGGGACGAAATACTGGTTGAAGGGGAAGAATGAGGGGACGCAGGAGGTGCATAGGAATCAGGAGTTGTTTGTATTAAAGAGGGAGGAGAGGGACGAGAGAGCGGAGAGAGAGGGTGGCGAGGGGTGGAGGATTGCTAGGTACGCTTTTTCGAGTATGAAGCCGGTAGTGTGAGTATGTTGTTACGCGGAGTGTTTCTTCAAGCAAGGCTGCATGGTAATGGAATACTTCGTGGTGCAAATTAGCTGTAAGCGTTGACCGTAATCGACACTTCTGAACTATCACTTTCCGAATCAGGCAGTTTGACGGATGTCATGATCAACAGCACGCTACAAAGAACTTTTCGTCACAGCAAAAACATGGGACGAGGTTTTGATATCGGACGGAGAAAGTGAAGGATCTGTATCGATAAGCTAGCGTGGCGCTAGGGCTGTACCTGCTTGAAACATTTCTCGAGATCTCGAAGCTGCTCTTCGAACACACCCCATAACTCTATTTCATGCCCGTCGCATGCCTGCCGACATGACGAAACGAAAGCGCGGAAGTAACGAAGAAGAGCTCGTCGATGTCGGACTCGGCGCGACGCTGGCGCATTTGAGGGGTGAGCATCAGCCCAATGCGACGCCGACTACTGTCGAGGACGACGAAGGCTGGACCGTAGCCGGCGGCTCCAAGAGGAGGAGGAAGGAGCGAGCAGACTCCGATAACTCTCATGGCGGCCGCCGAGGATCAGGCGCTGACGCACAAGATCCTCAACCTGAAGAAGCTCGACCTTCCGCCAACCCATTCGCTCCAGATGGCGAGAAGCTAGGAGATCGAACATCACCCTCAAAAAATCCATTTGCGACAAATAAAGAAGGTGCTGGTGATGCGCCCAAAGAGACATGCATCACCAGGGAGGAGCGGCGCAAGGAACGCAAGCTTGAGAGGAACTACCCGTCCATCGAGCATTCACATCATGCACGGCTGCAATCGCACGTGAAGATCACAGATCTACAATCTCTGGTGCTTTATCTACTTGCAGATGGCAATGCGCCTCAGTGGGTCTCTGTGCGCAATCGCACGAGCATTCGACAAGTCGTCATGCTGATGGTTCCTGGCTTGGAGCTGGGCATGTTCAATGGCAAAGTTCCGTTAGACGCTGCGACAGCTATGGATGTAGACACGCCAGCTCCTGAACAAGTACCCGCTGATCTTGCGTTCGTATCTCAGGAGGTCGCACCTGCAGAAAAGGACAAGCCAAAGTATTTGCGCATCGCAGATAACGAGTACTACCCAGCGAGCTTAAAACCTAGCAGATTGCCTGCCCCTTTGAAGCCACTTTCTGACATCTTCGAGCATGTCTGGCCGATCAAAGCTCAGGGCGAACATCGCGGTAACCAGTTTATCAGGGTGCATTCGCCTATTCACACTATGCTAACCTCGCAAATACCTAAGACGAAAGAGGAGAAGCAGATGAAGAAGAACGGCGGTCACAAAGGTCCAATGCCACAGAACTCAAAGCACTGGGACAATAAGCGTACACCAATAACTGAGTACATTGCGACTCTCGCAGAACAACAAGAGAACGAATACGTCCTTCACCCAGCTTGGTTTCTGACGCCCGCGTCTAAGGCAGCTGCGCACAAGCAGAGGCAAGAAGTCGGCCAGTCTGTTGACGACGGTTGGGTCGACACCAACATCACAAGCCTAGAAGACGGCAACGTGCCTGAGAGCGAGATCGAGCAGGGCAGTGTGACCGCTGGACGCCATATTATCTCTGTCGATTGCGAGATGTGCAAAGCTGAAAACGACCAGCTTGTGCTAACACGGATCAGCCTTCTAAACTGGGATGGCAGTGTGGCTATGGACAAGCTAGTCAAGCCCGATGTTCCTATCAAAGATTACTTGACCCAGTGGTCAGGTATAACACCAGCTATGCTCGAAAACGTCACAACCACACTGTCGGATATACAGAAGGAGCTACTGGAACTTATTACCTCGCGCACGATCCTTGTGGGACATTCACTCAACTCGGATCTCAACGCGATGAAGCTTACCCATCCGTTCATCATCGACACAGGCATCCTCTTCCCTCATCCTCGCGGACCGCCATACAAGCAGTCGCTGAAGTGGCTTGCCCAGAAATACCTACATCGAGAAGTTCAAAAAGGCTCCAGTGGCCATGATAGTGTTGAGGATTCGAAGACATGTCTTGACTTGGTCAAGCAGAAATGTGAAAAAGGCCCCAAGTGGGGATCTGGCGACACCAATGCGGAGTCCATCTTCAAAAGACTGGGACGAACGCCACGGCCGAAGTCGACTAATGAGACGCGCACCGGAGCTGTCATCGACTGGGGCGAGCCACAACGTGGACATGGCGGTCAAGCGCAGCTCTCAAAGGGCTGCAAAACAGATGATCAGGTCGTCGAGGCCATCGACAGCGCTCTGAAAGGAGCGATGGAAGCCAAAGATGGTGCCACTGGTAAAGTCGACTTCATATGGGCTCGACTTCGTGAGTTGGAGCTTGCTCGTGGCTGGTGGGACGACGCAAAGACCGCGGATGTCGAGCTGATTCGACAAAATGCCTTGCAGAGATTGGGGCTTCTGAAAGATGGAGAAGACGACGTTGAAGTCAAGGGTCCTGAGCTCGGCGATGCCGTTTCGAAAACCGTCAATCATATCACTCAGATCTACGACTCGTTGCCACGCTGCACAGCGCTCATTGTGTACAGTGGTACAGGCGACCCACGAGAGATCCGACGTCTGCAAGCGATGCAACAGCAATATCGCCGCGAGTACGCTACGAAGAACTGGGATAATTTGAGCGTGAAATGGACGGATACCGAAGTGCAGGCCCTTTCACAAGCCTGTCAGGACGCTCGCAACGGCGTTGGGTTCATTGTCGTCAAGTGAGATGCAAGTATTTGTGTCTCGCGTGTGCTACACGTGTAGTAGCACATGGGTTTCGAGCTGAGCTTTTGTGATAAAGTAGGCGCTTGCAATACAGCCTCATCGCTTGTGGCCGCATGTGTGGCACGGCGTCCGTTGCCACAAACGGTGTCGCGCCCTAGAGTGTTGTGATGTTTTGTAGAGCAGTATATCGAAGTGTGCGTATCGGACTTGTTGAGGATATATGATTGCGATTGAACGCGTTTAGCGAGAATATCAGGCTCCAGGAAAGCGCTGTACGGACGCACCCTCCAACCAACAAGATCTTTTCTACATCGCGCAATGCGCATTGCGCACTGTGATTGCACCTGCAATTGTTGTCCCTTGCATGTAAGCAGACAACTTCGGTGATGTAATTGCTGAGTGCAACTCTGGGATTTGGATCCGTGTGTCGACCACGAACTCAACGAACACAGCCATGATTCATGAGTGCTTAATGCAGTCTTCGAAGGATATGGTGAGTTGATGAGGGTGCCAAATGCGGTCATCCCTTTGATCATACATACGTTGGTGCGATTACAAGCAGCTTAGTGATGAGTAGGAATGATGATAGGAAGCGTATTTGTGAACAAATGAATATTGGCCAGGTTCTGGAACCGCATAAGCCGGTAAAGCCAGATTAGTGCGCTCTTGTTCGACTATCCAGTTAGCGTGTCTGGTAAGAGACGCTAAATCATTAACTTCTGCTAATCTTAACACCCTTTCCCTCTCTGAGCTTCCATCGGCTGCTTTATGGCGCAAGCCTTTTTCGTCTCTCGGATCCCAACAACCCCTCAACCTCGTATAGCAATTTGCTAATTTACCCTCGCCTTTATATTCTGTTCCGAACTCTGAAACGCTGTGCGCCTCTGCCTGGATGCGTATCAGAGTTGTGTGCTGACAGACATTTTCTACACGTAATACAGCGCTTCTAATGCTCGCTAAATCACCTTCAGACCCCTATCAACACCTATCGTTGTGCTTGTAAGAGCATCAACACGTAAGAAGGCGATCGGTTACTTCGGCCCGCGCCATCTTTCATCAATTTTCAGATCGTCGGCCCGTTTCCATGTGCTCCACGAACCTTCCAACAACACAACTGAAGACTACAAAAGATCCAAGCGCAAAGCACAGCTCATGGCGGGCACGAGACGACAACCTCGGGCTCGTAACACGACCAGTACACATCAGCGTCAGCGCTCCGCGTCTCAGGTAGCATCTATTGTATCAGAGACTGCAAGTGCTATGAAGTCGAAGGTTATTGAGATTGCTGAAAGTGCTGACGAGGGTTCTCCACGTCCTGAAAGTTCTCCACAGCTTGGATTACCAATCAATCGTTCGATTACAGCATTCTGCAAGAAGTGCGATGGTAAGATTGGCGAATTCTACAATTCGTGGCACAAAGTCACCAGCAGCTACTACAGCCCTGCGTTGCTCGGGTCTTACAGAAGTCTGCTACGAACATCGGATCAAAGGAAAGAGGCGTTAGACTCGACAGAATTAGCAGGATGGTAAGTGCATCTGCTCCCTCGGATATTGAACCCTAATACGCATTGTCGCACAACTGCCTTTCCCAGCAAGTACCCGATAATGCCCTAGCATTAATGAGCGTATCCCGGCACCAATCAAAACGGTCTGGTACATTGTATTAAAATTCTTTTGGCGCATCCACGCTAGTCATTTCAGATTATCTCCACCCTACATATTATTAGTATTTCTTAAACCCTGGGGCCCGCACTTTCTTGACGTCGGTTTGGCACCTCGCTGACACACGGTAGCATCATAGACTTGACCTGCTGTCCAAACTGCGACTATTATCTTGGTTTTGTAGTCGTTGACACGCCGGCAGGTGGAAAGAGATTTCGGTGAGTCGCAATGCTTCTTCCCTTCGCTTTGTAATGTCCTGGTTCTCCACTGCCTGATCTGCTCTTACTCTGCATGGTCGTTATATGCGCTACAACGAAATTCGCACATGGCTTGCATTTCACATCGGCGCCCTCAACTTCGGTTGCGTGACGCTTTGATTATTATTAATTGTTACTAACATGAGAATTCAAAGTGGTCGAGAGTTTTTCAAGCTTCAACATATCGAATTGCGATGCGAGACGTCCCAAAGCAAGACGATTACCGTAGAACCACAGGAAAACGTGGCACTAGACCTGGTAGCTCCCGAAGGTTCGACAAGTCCGTCTCCCACACCAGGTAACACCATCATGGAAACTATGGAACTCGACACGCCTCTCTCTTCTTCACACCCATTATGGAGCCAGCCTGCGCAGAGTGAGCTGCTGCAACAGCGCCAGCAATCACAGCCAAGAGAACCTGTACGACCTTTACTACAAACGAACACGTCTCAGCCGCCAGTAGCGATATCGCGTTCCCCTTCCAATCGAAGCGCCCCAACCTTAGCTACCGCGCCCGATACGATCCCGTCCCAAAAATCTCCGCAACTTGCGCAGCCACAGTCTGGACATACTATAAGGAGTTCAGTCCTAGAAGCTCAGCCGAAGCCAGTTGTCAATGGCCATAAAGACGGACATAACTACCCTCGGGAGTCACGCAAGGTGTACTTTGATGCCATCGAGCGTCTACAGACACAAACATCACAGAACACCAGCGCCTTGGCTGCTCAAGCTCGCACCCAGGTGGAATCTGCGGATATGGTGCGGCAAATAGAGGGTAGTCTTCGCCACGACTTCCTAAGTCAAATACAGCGGCAGGATCAAGAGTTACGGAGGATGGGTGAAACTGTGAGTCAACTGCTTCAGCAACTGCAAGACTGCCGTCAAACTATTGTAAACCTTGCTCAAGAGGTACATGTCACTAGAGCAGAAAACGTGCAACGTCCGAGCGAAGTAGTGCAGTCTGGCTATCAAGATGACGCTCTTGAGCTGATGGCTCGACGTATCGGAGAAATTTCACACAGGACGACAGATCTTGAAACTTTGAGAGATCATGTAGCCATATTGGGTGGCAGAGTACAACGGCTTGAGTCCGAAACTCCCGCGCGCCAGCCACATCCGCACTCAGCATATCCCGCACACCAGCCTACACATGCTGCTCATATCGCCCACGCAGCTCCGTCACACTCAAGCCAGGTTTCCTCATTCCAGACACCTGCTCGGCCGACTTCGGTACCACAACCCGTCCCACAAAATGAGACGCCTGCTGCTTTAATGCCACCAGAGAGCGCTCAAAGGCATGAGTCTGCTCCAAGTCAGAACGGATGGGCGACTGTGAATGCTGGTGTAAAGCGAGTGTTTGAGAACGGTATAGATAGCCCGCAAGGCGCAAGCCCAGCACCTGGATCACCTAAGCGCCCGAGACTAGTCACCGGAGGGTCTCAGGATGGTCCCTCGATGCCCCAGAATTCTCCCGGCTCATCACATATTTTACCGTCTCAAACGCAGCCTGTCGTTGCCTCACAGCCCCTGACACAGCCCGGGCCGTACCCAGGATTACCATCATCACAACCCTACCCGCCCCATAGTACACAAGATGGCCCATCAGATCACAGTTGGCGGCCAGAATCTCAGCGTATGGCTGATTCACGTCCGGCTCGAGGCAGAGGCTCACGAGGGGGTCGAGGACCCGGCAGTAGGGGCGGTCGTGTGCGTAAGAGCATGCAGGGACAGCATCATCCTGTTGGAACACCAGAGTGGGAAGGAAACCACTGGACAGCCGTACCTGATTCGCAAGCCAGCCCAAGCGACTTCGGAGATCATCCGGCACATCCAGGTAGAAGCACTGTGCGGCGCGGTGGCGGCGGTAGTGGATCGCGAGCTAGCTCCTTGTTGATGGAACGCTCGAGTGAGTGGACACCAGAGATTGCGCCTCGTGGTGTCTTACCCGATCAGGGTTCGCCCATCGAAGTCAAGAAGACCAGATCAAAGCCAGTCCGCAACGAGGATGGAATACTAGTTCGCAAAGATGGCCGACCCGATAGGCGTTCACAGTCATCTGCTGCAAACCTTCGAAAGGTACACGCCCGCAAGGAAGAGCAACAAAGAGAAGGGGAGGTAGGAACCACGCCTACTGGTCTTCATCCTTCGATGTCTGCAGGACCAGACACACCAAGTCCAACATCGCGTGGCCACCCGGAGCAGAACGTCACAGACAGTATGCGTAAGAAGCACAACAACATCCTCGGTAGGATCTTTCCCGAGGGCATAGATACCTCTCGGAAGCAGCATGACTATGCACATCAAGTCTTCAACGAAAATCACGACCACACTGCACATCCTAGGACGCAATCGTCCAGAACCACCAAAACCCCACTTCAGATTAAAAAGGAGCAGGCGCAGCGCAGCGAGGTTACGGAGACACAGGCCTCGGTGGATGGTGATGTTGAGATGGGTGATGCAGGGACTTCGACGAATAGCCACACGCATGACAATACCCACACACCATCTGGCGAAACAGTCGAGGTCCCAAATCAAGGGGGAATTCAAAGAGCTCAGGATCAGGCAGATCCAGAACAAGAGAGCAGGGTGCAGATCCCAGAGACTCAAGCTACCGATGGCTCGGCCACGCTTATAGCCGAGTCGGTAGAGGCGGCGTAGAACGAGTCCTCTTCACTCTCTTGCATCCCAAGGGCTGTCTCTTGCATCTCCCGTGACAAACTCGAGCTTTGGTTTTAAAATTTGCTTATATACCATCTCCAGTTCTTAATTCTATCCAATTGATTTGTATTGCCGACGTCTATCTCACACCCCTGAAGGTTCATTTTCCACTGACTACTCCCAATTTGCAGACAACGCAAAGTAATTTTTTGTAACTCCTTCGGCCGTCTCTACCCCTTTGGCTGATAGTAGCCTTGCAAAGTACACAATTCAGAGCCGAGAGCACTATGGTGTAGTCACCTCCTGCAGATGTGCTGAATCTCCGATGAACGGATAATTCCCGTACCCATCAAACGCCACGATATCCAATTCCTCCAGCTTTACACCTTTCAGCATGCGGACCTGCAAAGTATCAATCTCGCAACCTGCATTCGGAAAGCCGTGGCTACTGCGAATCAACTCACATTCAAACCCAAAAGATCCGGCATCTCTTCTCCCAACGTCTTCAACCTCGGATCATGCCACACGCTACTCCCACACGCGCCACAGAATCTATGGAGCAATTGCTTTTGCCCGAAGCTGTGCGACTTCAACGCTTCTTCGCCTTGGTGAATGACCACATCTTGGCGACGGGGGTATAAAAGTAGATAGCCGTTCTTAGTGCAGATGGTGCAGTTGCAGCTCCCGACTTTTTGGAGTGGTAGCGGTGGCGAGAGGGTCACGGTGTATTGGATGGCTCCGCAGTGGCAGCTTGCGGCATGGAAGGAGGTGTTAGTGGAGTCGAAGGTGGGGAGGCTGGCAAGGAAGGCGGTTTGGAGGTCGTTGAGCGGGGCCATGACAGGATGCGGTTTTATGAAGCCTGTGAATGAAAGTGAGAGGCTGATTCTTACATACCCAGATCGATCTCATGAGTGCACATGTATGGTGATATTGTGGAGCCGCTCCGGCTGACAGATAGCGCTTCAAGTTGTCTCGAAGAAGTCAGTATTCTGCCCGCGAATGAAAAACGCGAAAATGCGAGCTTAGCCAATATGCGGGTCGAACGTGGAGTCAGCCTGTCGGTGGAACATTTCATTGCCATCTCATCTCATCATAACGTTATGGACGTAAAACTAAAAGTAGAGGGAGTGTATGCCCGAAGGCGAGCACGCAAAGAGCAATGATTCAGCAGACAACGCCCACGAATCCCTCATTCTGGAGACTAACCGCCTCCTCGAGACTGTTCACCTTCTTGTACTTCTTTGGATGCACAGTCTTGCACTGGTGCACCGTAGCACCTACGAACAAGATCGAATCTCCCTTCAGGATATCGTAGTAGATCAGAATACCAGCTGCCTTCCTGGACTCCGCGACAAGCAGCTTACATCCGGCTGGTCGATGACGATTCTGTGTAACGATAAGATAACGTAGGTTGTGCTTACTATCCTCAGGCACCACCTCTGTGTCAAGGGCACGTGAGAGGTAGACGGAAGGGATATCGATGTTTCCCGGGTCGTAGATAGGGAACTCGCCGCGGCGTTGACGGACACGCTCAATGCTAGGCACATCACTATTGTTCATGTCGCGAACGTTCTGCGCAACGTATTCATCTTCAACGCCGGCGGCAAACAGCCATGACCACTTCTTGACGTCTTTATCGCCGAAGGGGTAGGTTGTGAGGTATATGTTGCGGATAGCCGGGGGCGGGAACTCGGTCAGGCCATCTTCTTTGCCAACCTTTGCGAGCAATTCAGTTGATGAGTTGATTGAAAAGCTTTGGGGTGCGAAAGGATTGGTAGGTGGATAGTATCGGTGGGGTGATGGCGTGTAGCGACGGTGAGGAGGAGGGGGCACGCGCCGGGGGCGTCGGTATTCTTCGTCGATGGACTCGATGCTGTCTTTACGCAGGAGCGTTGGTTTCGTGTCGCAAGTGCAGTCATCTTCGTGCTTCTTGTCATTGACAGTGGTCTTGGTGTTAATGGTGTATTCACGAATCGGCGCTTCGGCCGTGTTTGGGACTTCGTGAGTGACGGTCTCCATATTGGTTTGAGGTGAAGCAGTGGGATTGAGAACAGTCCACTCGTCGTCAGTATGAGAGCTCATGTACACGCAAAGGATCGAAAGAGAAAGACAGACTCGAGCTCAACTGGAGATACGATGGAATGAGAGGGATCGAGTTGGATGAGGACAGGCTTTATATGCCGCATTGATCGCATTCACCGGTCAGCAGCAGCCTTGTACCTAGCTGCAAGGGAGCTGTATTCCATCACTTATCGCAATGATTAGCTAGGATTTGGAGCTGGGTGAAGCGAAGGCTGGTAGTTCGCCCACACAGATGCAGGTGTGGCGTTGTCGGCCTCACTGTTGCCTGCACCGACCAGGCTGAGTGCATGCATCAGCCTGCGGCTGCGAAACTACCGGATCATTATAACAAACAACTCAGGTTTTGATACAACTATTGTGGGTTTGAGAAAAGCGGTTGCGATGGGTGTTGACTGGCACATACCAAAATGTAGGTAGCTCTCGTATGAAGGAAGTGACGATAGCTAACGGAGCGACACCCAATCACCATTACGCTAAACATTCTTGTTTGTGTCAGACCATAAGCCCAAGAAGTTGAGAAGCTCGACCCGGTAATCTTCCGCAGTTCAAGTGATCACCAATGGTGTTCACCATCGACTTAAATATGTGATGGTAGTATAGAGAAGTACCTGGTACAGCGAGGAGTAATCGACCCATGACGACGGGCAAGAATCATGGTTTCATCTCGAAACAGAGCTTTGCGATATGATAGAAAGACATATTTCAGAACTGCTATAAACATGGGTTGGTTTTTGAGCGTTTGTGATCTTACTTACATGGAATTCTCCACATCACCCCAACTAAAAGCTACAACAGATGTCCTGACTTTCGAAAGATCGAGACAAGGGTAGAATTCTGCTTGTGGGGTTTCAAGAAAAAAAGACGGATATCGGCAAGGAGACTTTCCAAGATGTCATCCGGGAAAAGATCCCACCAAAGCAACAGCAAGACTCTTCTTTCACGCTCCTAGCGAGGTCAGAAGAGAAAACGTCATGCGTCGAGATTGAGAAAAAAAAGTTAGATAAAGGACAGAAGATGGCTGCAGACCTCTATCGAGCTTTCAGAAGGCTTGCGTTTCTGTATACGTCTTGCTGAAGGTATTCAAGGAGATCTGCTTGTTTGTTTGTTGTACTACGATGGATGATCTGTGGCGCCGTCAATTCTTTGCTGTGTGAGAAGGCGCGATGTGTGTAGCATCGCTAACTCCCTGTATACTTCATCATTGACTTTCATATAATAGCATATAAAGTAGAGATCTGCGACGATGTTGTTCGTGATGACTGAAGAAAGTATCTAAAGAATGTTTTAATGTTGGTGATTGGCCGCGGCTAGCGCACTGCTACTGAAGATTGCCAGGCGCCATCCGGTGCCCAACATGCAAAACAAATACGTTACAAAACCAGCCTCGAAACTTTAGGGGCTGCGAATCGAGCGCCTTGTCCTGTGTAGTCCTGTTCTAGATCGTCACCCGAAGTTCCCGTGGTTTCGAAATATTACTGACAGGCGCTTGTTAGCATAAAGAAAACAATGCCCGCACACTTTTAATTTAAATTGGGTGCGCAAACCCCTGAAAGAGGCTTGCCCACCAGACTGAGCTGCCGTCCCACCCACCTCCGCAACGAACAAGTGCAAAAAGGACAGCCACAACCCTAGTCAGACATGTTCCCAAATCGTCGTCTCAGCAAAAAAAAAGTGGACACTGTGGGAATTGAACCCACGACCTTTCACAGATGCGATCAATTGATGCGAAGCGACTGTTACATTATTAGTACTGAGAACTTTCTGAGGAAACAAGGTGTTGCTTACAAATCATACCCCTAGACCAAGTGCCCTGATGCTGTTGATGAAGAGCTGGGGGTCTGGTAAAAATATATACATATGTTGTAAAAAATGTGATGTTGATGTTAGGACACATCCACCCCGCCAAGCCTCTGCCTCGGCTGACAACTGACAGCTGAGTTTTGCGGCTCGGAAAAGGATCAGCACGCTAAACTACTAGCGTACGTTCACAGGAACATCAAGATCTGGCCTCCATGTAGTCAATATTTAGGAGTAGTCCGTAAGTGTCTACGGTGGACGTGTGTGTTCAGACCAAGGCGCACACACGGACAATTGATTGATTGATTGATTGATTGATTGATTGATTCGTTTAACGTACTATCTGAGTCTAAGACTATGGAAGACGAGAGGAGCTGTAGCTCTTCTGGTAACGCAAAGATTTAGTTACATGAGAGTGAGGTCAATGGAGGTACAAGGGATGGTGAGGGCTCAGGCCTAAAGCAAAATTGCTAGAAACAGAACAAGTGCAGAACAAACAAACAAAGGAAAGAGAAACTGTTATGGGATCACTGTGCCTGGTCTTCAGGAGACTGCCCAAGATGCCACCTCCTTGTGCCAACCTTGGTCCTGCTGATGAAGTCCAAAGTGGCCTTGATGCCCTGCTTGGTGTGGAGGAGAAGACACACGGACAATACCAGACTGCCATTTACACTCAAAATCCATAGTATACGTCCACACTTTGCTCGATCTCACCTGAAGAGTCCCTAAATTCAACACTTCCTGATCCGTTTAAACGTCACGAAACCGCCTTCCGAGGTCTGCTCATAATCTCCACTTTCTTAGCCATCATGGCTCTTCATCTGCTAACAAGTGTCAAGGAAAGTCAGCGCGATCGCATTGAGGTTAATATCACAACAAGCTTCGCCCTTCAGAGCTTCCTAGCGGATTGAACCTGCGCGATGCCAGGTAAGCTGCTTGCATAGTCAGGACCTTGAATCCCACAGTGTCCAAGGCATTCAACATTGCATCGATTTCAATGTCTCGAAAGTCAGTACTATGCGCTCGAAGACCAAGTCGATTGCAACTGCTGCCAATCTTCACCACAAGTAGCTCCGGTCGATGTTCGTCATCTCGTCAATCATAAGAGTAGAGCTTGTTCTCTCTAGTGTAGAGGATGAGATTGACAAGGTTGCCGGAACCGATGATGGTGCACTAGGTACGAATGTGCTGCCCATCTTTTAGTTAGTATGTGCGAGTGAAATTAGTGAAATGAAATCCGCCAAAATCTGGAGTCAGAATAAAAGGTAGAATGGAGCCAACATCGGTGCCAAACGTCTTCACCATCAACAACGATAGCCGCGCCTGCCACACAGGAAACCAATTCTGTGCCCACTGTTTGTACTGTCTTCTCCGTCATCCTCGCTGGTACTTATTTGAAGCGAGTTGACAAGCGTGACAAAACGATGACCTGCGAGTCCGGTCTTTGAATGCCTGACGTGAACGATGAGAGTGTCGTGCTTGCCGAGCAACGAAAAGGCAAGAGCCTAAAGGCGAGTCAACAGGAGAAACCATGTTGCCAGGCTACCAATAGTGAGTCTTGCAGGCTGAACCATGTTGCCAGGCTACCAATAGTGAGTCTTGCAGGCTGAACCATGTTGCCAGGCTACCAATAGTGAGTCTTGCAGGCTGAACGCTGACTTCCGATACTACTACTATTAGGCTTCAAAGCATTAGATCGTGTGGTATGCTTGCATCCACACCATCGATCTCTCAAATACTCGAATGCAATTGAGAACCTCAGCCTTGCCACTTGTACTGGCAGTTTGGTTGCATGTATGACATTCTTTGTAGCACATCAAGCCTGCATGTACGCGAGCTTTCCACTTTTGTAGTGCCAATAGACATGATTCTGAGGCATTCTGAGCATTATCGTTATAAGTCAATTCTCAAGACGGGTATTTACAAAAAAACAGGGGTATACGCGCACTCAAACAACATCATGTAATCATCCAACATCCATCCTCTCTTTCTCTTTCTCGCTTCTGCATTTCCCCCATCTCACATTCTCGCATGATGCCCAACGGACCTCCTTCTATGCTCTCTCAAGAACCTTGCCGCCTTAACTTTACTCAAGCCCGCTACAGGCGTTGCCTCTGCACCAGGAGTAACAGTCACATACACGGTCTGGTACACCGTCTTCTTCTCACCAACAATATTCGTCACTGTAGGCGCCGCAGGAGCCTCGTCTTGAGCATTGGTAGGAACGATTGGCGGAGACTCGTAGTCTTGGCTGCTTGTTGACTGTGCAGCAGCCGCGGTGGTGCTGGACAGGTTCTCGACAGGCAGGCTCATGTTGCCGGACGGTGCTGCGGTGGGCTCAGAGGACGTATCGGCGGTTTGTGTGGCGTTCAATGCTGGTGCATCGCCGGGCTGGGGCCACTGGAAGCCTGGCATACCATCGTCTCCGACGGGATCAGCGGGCTTGGTTGGCGTCGCGGCCTTTGATGTTGTTGCAGCTGCTGATGTTGGTGCGACGGGGTAGCCAGTGCTGGTTTGTGTCTTTGAGGGTTCGAGGGCCTCTGACGTGGGTACGCTGTCGGACGGTGTTGGCTCGGCGACCAGTGTGCTGGTCTCGGCGGGCAGCTCTTCAGAAGCAGAGATCGTTGGTGCGACATAAGAGCCCTCCGAGTATGAAAGAATGGGAGGATTCGTTGGGACCTCGGTGGGGATCGTCGCATAGCCGGAGGAAATCGCAGGCACTGTAGCATTGCCGGTAGGAACTGGGACCGGCTCAGAAATGACAGTGCTCTGGGCAGGTGCACCAGATGCAGACGGAGCCGGTGTGTCGCTCCCGTTATCTTGGTATACCTTCAACGCATTGATGGTCCAGTATGCATCCTTAAAGGCCTCTGGGTTGTTCTGCACGTATTCTTCGCAAGTAGCTGCCTTCTTTGCGCAAGACCCGCTCTCCCAAACCGCACCAGCCCAGTCACCGCAGAACGCAGTGTTAAAGATAATTTGCTGCTCATTGAACATACTCTCGATATCGCATCCGCCGGTGAACTTAGCAGCAGGAAGACCCCAACCGTCAGGGTTAGGGGCGTCGCTGAGAACGTCGTCCGGAATCGAGCCTCGTGGGAAGTAATAGACGCTGATAGCTTCGGCGGTCCATTGAGTTGCGTATACGCCACCACCGATCGCATTCAGTCCGACACCGTAGCTGTCTGTTGAGGGGTGCTCGATGGAGCACCCGACGTTCTTACTCTGGTTCTGAGCGTTGACATCGCAGTTGGGGGTAATAAGTTCACCAGCGAATGTGCTGGTGTCGGGGCCGATCTTGCAGTTGGGACCGGTGTGGAGCGTCATACCGTTGTTCGTTTGCTCGTTGACACCCTCGAGAATATCGATCTCTCCACCAGTCGGCCAGTCGGGTCCTACCATCCAGAAACTGCACATCACGTTAGCCCGAGACGGTATCGAGAAAGGTGTCACTACGTACGCAGGCCATGTACCACAACCAGTAGGCATATGCGCCACATCCATAACCACCAGCCCAGCGTTGTACTTCTTCTTGCTTACGAGCCTAAGGCTAGGCCTCCCCTCTGGGGTCTCGTTGGTGGAGTCAACACCCCACTCTACTGGTACCGTCGTGGATGCATTGATGAGGTTTGTCTGCCTCGCTGTAGCTTCGTCGACATACTTGACGAAGCCTGACCATCATTAGCAGAGCAATTGTCATTCATCCGTAGCACCACTTACCACTTGTCGGATCTTCTGCTGTAAAGAAGTCGAATGCGCCGTAGAAGTCAGTCATGTAGTCATCCTCCAAAGCATAGCCAGCTATGCTAAGGTCAAAAAGCGAGGCCGCGGCCAAAAGGAGTGTGAAGGAACGCATCATCAAGACGCTAGAAGAAGATAATACCGAAGAGAATGACTGCGTACTAGACGCTATAGAAGAGACAGAAGACTAGAGACTCGAGAATACTACCAGCAGCGAGACACCCAGTAGTTAATCTGGGGCGCACACGCCTATATACGCGGCTCTCCTTCCAGCACGCACTAAACCACAGATGTCCCTTAGGCATCTCTCGCTTCGTTAGACGAGCGGTTGTCCACACTGTCTAACCAGCATAGTTCTGTTTCAACGAGCGGACTGGATCCAGAAGTCCTCTCCCAAACAAGGCACACGAGTCGCAATTACTGTTAGTCTGTCGACGAGATGCAGGAATAGCCACTGACGATCACAGGCAAGGCTGGACGGCGTTGGACAAGGCTCGATAACGTCGTTGGCAGCGTTTGACCAAGACCGCATTGTTTCATGGACATTTGAACGGGTTGGTCACCGAGCATCGACTGGTGGCGCGTGAAACAGGTACCAGCCGCGAGGACACCGCATCCTGGACAATACATGGCCGAGGCTTCGCCGTGCGCTTTCGATCAGCCTGCCTAAGGTTGTTGTTTGGTGTGATGGTTGCGGTTCGCTGCCGCGGACTTGACAGATTGAAACGCGAGGCGGTTGAAGTCGCTGCGGAAGAGGGGTTGATTGGACGAGGGGAGCCGCTCGAAAGGCAAGCGAGATGGTCCACCGGCCTGAAACTCGACCTTCAAGCGTACTATTTCTACCCAACGTATATTTATTATCGCTATCGTCCACTCATCTCTGTCGGTCGGGAACAAATGCGCGCATGGAAGATTCTGCTGCATTTCGATGTGTGCGTACACCAGCGTTCCTGCATGCAGACTGAAGGTCGCATTGCGAGGACCATGAGGCTCTCCAAAATCCTACGTCTGACGTACTGTGTGAGTTAGTGACAGATGACTACCAATCCCGCAAGGGGTGTTCACAGAACGATGTCTTATCTCGGGCCACTTGATCGTGCGGGATGAGACCGTTCACCCGCTTCAAGAGCTGTCGTACCTTTGGTGAAACCGGCAATAAGAGCCTCGATACGCCCTCAATTTGATGTCCATCACAAGATGCATGTTCCAATTCGACATGCCACCAGAAGTACGTGTCTTGAAGGTACTATAATTAAGTTTCATCTATCTATCCATCCTATGCGTCAAATCATTTGGGTATTCGTTTTCTCTACTGCAGCGACTCGATAACAATGGCTGAGGCACCGCCTCCACCATTGCAGATACCCGCGCAGCCGACCTTGCCCTTCTTCTCCTTGAGCACACCAAGAAGGGTAGTTGTGATCCTAGCGCCAGAGGCACCCAGGGCGTGACCGAGAGCAACGGCACCTCCGTGAAGGTTGACCTTGTCCTCGTTGATGCCGAGGATCTTCATGTTGGACAGCGCAACGACACTGAAAGCCTCGTTGATCTCGAAAGCGTCGACGGCGGAGATGTCGACCTTGGCGTGCTTCAGAGCCTTGGGCATGGCCAGAGCAGGGGCAGTGGTAAACTTGGAGGGGTTCTGCTCAGCATCACCCCAGCCAAGGATCTTGCCAATGGGCTTCAGGCCGTGCTTCTTGACAGCCTCCTCCGAGGCGAGGACAAGTGCCGCGGCGCCATCGGAGAGCGGCGAGGCGTTGGCGGCAGTAACGGTACCGTCCTTCTTGAAGGAGGAGCGAAGTGTGCGGGTCTTGGCCTCGTTGAACTGCGTTTGGTTAGTGACTGATTACTCAAAGTTCACTAGATTAGTGAACACCTGAGTCGAGGTAAAGACTCACGTTCTTGGGCTCGTCGTCAACAGAGACGGTGACTGGGGGCTTGCCACGTCCCTGAGGAACCTCAATGGGGGCGATCTCAGACGTGAACCAGCCAGCCTCGGTCGCAGCAATGGCCTTCTTGTAGGAGCGGATGCAGTACTCGTCCTGGTCCTCACGAGAGAAGCCGTGGTCATCGGCGCACTCCTCACCCTGCAGGCCCATGTGCTCCTTCTTGTAGGCGTCGGTAAGACCGTCCTTCAGGAGACCATCAACCAGTGGCTGGTCGCCGAACTTTGCGCCAGTCCTCAAGTTGGGGAGGTAGTGGGGAGTGTTCGACATGCTCTCGGTACCGGCAGCAACAACAATGTCGGCATTGCCAGTGATGATGGTCTGCGCACCGACGATGATCGACTTAATAGAGGAGGCGCACACCTTGTTGATGGTGGTGGAAACGGTCGACTCGGGGAGGCCAGCACCAATGGCGCACTGGCGGGCAGGGTTCTGGCCGAGGCTGGGGTATGTCAGTGGAGTTCCAGGAAAAGGGGAGGTATCTCCTCACTTTGCAGAGAGAACGTTGCCAACAAAGACCTCCTCAACATCCTCAGGCTTCAGGCCGGCGCGGTCAACGGCAGCTGTGCATATGTTAGACAATTGGCCGCAGAGGAGACAAACAAGTTTCAACATACCCTTGATAGCATGGGAACCGAGCTGGATGGCGCTCAGACTCGAGAGGGAGCTGTGTTGGTGGTGAGTTGACTGTCCGTTGCCCCTCGTTTCGACAAGAAAACATACCCAAGGAACATACCCGTGGGCGTGCGGGCAGCCGAGACAATGTAAACGGGGGGAAGAGAAGACATTTTGGGTATATTAGACGTGACAGAAAAAGTTGTACGTGGAAAAAAGCAGCTCTTTCTTCAACAGAGGCAGGAAATGATCCTTTTAAAATGTGATGGGATTCTTCTCTGCAGAGCGCGCCGCCATCGGTCGACACTTTCCCTGCAGCCTGCACTAAGCAGGGATAGCTGGTGCCATTGCTCACCGCCTGCCCCACTTCTCTGCATGGAGCTAGGCGAAACTGACGGGCCGGCGCCATCGCCAGAATCTTTGGATAGCTTCGAGGCCGTGACGCGTATCGGTGCATTGTTGACTTTACGCGTATCGCCGCCATGGATGACCTTTATGACGAGTAAGACCTGTCGAAACACTGTCCATATTTACGCGACTGACTTGGCATAGGTTTGGTAACTTTATTGGGGAGGCCGAGTCCGATGAAGAAGTCCAGACGAACGGCGAGGCGGCGGACGCCTATGTCCTCGACGATGACGAGCCCGAGGAGGCCGAGGTGAACGACCAGCAGCTTATGGAGGTTGACGAGGGCCCATCGAACGCCGTAATCCTGCACGAAGACAAACAGTACTACCCCTCCGCGGCCGACGTATATGGCGAAGATGTCGAAGTTTTGGTACAAGAGGAGGACACGCAGTCGCTGGCACAGCCAATCATTGCGCCAGTCGTGCAGAAGAAGTTCACAGTGCAGGAGACAGATCTGCCGCCTGTACACTACTCGAGAGAGCTGTTGACCGATTTGATGAGCTTTCCGGATCAGATACGAAATATTGCAATTACTGGACACTTGCATCATGGAAAGACTGCGTTCATGGATATGTTGGTGATGGAGACACACGACATCCAGGACCGACTGGACTACAAGAAGGGCAAGAAGAGGGAGGAGCAATTGCGATACACGGACGTACACATCCTCGAGCGCGAGCGAGGCCTTTCGATCAAGGCAGCGCCGATGAGCTTGGTTCTGCAGAACACTAAGTCGAAGTCGCATCTCTTCAACATTCTGGATACACCTGGACACGTCAACTTCGCAGATGAGGTTGCATCGTCCTTGCGCCTGGTCGATGGTGTGGTATTGGTTGTGGATGTTGTGGAAGGTGTACAGGTCAACACAGAGCAGGTCATCAAGCATGCGGTGCTGGAAGACCTTCCTCTGACCTTGGTAATCAACAAGATGGACCGTCTCATCTTGGAATTGAAGCTTCCACCCAAGGATGCCTACTTCAAGATCAAGCATGTGATAGAGGAGGTCAACACAGTCATTGAGAACACAATTCCTGGAAGGGGCGAGAGCAGACGAGTCAGCCCTGAGAAAGGCAACGTCGCGTTCGCCTGCACAAGTATGCGATGGTGCTTCACAATCCAGTCATTCGCAAAGATGTACTCGGACTTTTACCCAGGGCCCTCGCGGTTGCCAGGATTCGGAGTGCCTATGAAGGGTCTGGATGTCGAGAAGTTCGCCATGCGACTATGGGGCGACATCTTCTACAACCCGGGTAGCCGCAAGTTTAGCCGTAAAGCACAGGAGGAGGGGTCACAGCGGTCATTCGTGCATTGGATTCTGGAGCCGGTCTACAAACTTTACTCTCACACTCTTAGCGAAAGCTCAGCCGACCTCAAGGACACATTGAATGCACTCGGCATCAATCTGAAGCCTTCGGAGTACAAGACCGATGCCAAGGAGCTCATGCGCCTGGTGTGCCAGCAGTACTTTGGCCCATCGTCAGGTTTTGTCGACATGATCACCCAACACGTTCCATCGCCGGCCGAAGGTGCGAAGAGATTACTTCAGCGACACTACACTGGACCGTTGGATTCAAAAACTGCAGAGGCTATGGAGAAGTGTGACCAGGATGGTCCTCTCGTGGTGCACGTTACAAAGCTGTTCAATGCTACGGACGCGAAGTCGTTCACTGCTCTGGGACGAGTCATGAGCGGTATCGCAAAGTCTCCACAATCGGTGCGCGTTCTTGGCGAGGGTTACACCATCGAAGACGAGGAAGACATGGTCGTTGCCACCATCACAGACACATGGATCGCCGAGTCGAGATACAACGTACCTGTCAGTGGTGTACCAGCAGGCAACTGGGTGCTGCTGGGCGGTGTCGACAACTCGATCGTCAAGACGGCGACAATCGTCGCTTCGAAGCTTCCTGACGACGAAGACGCGTACATCTTCCGACCGATTCGACATTTCTTTGAGTCTGTCTTCAAGGTGGCAGTTGAGCCCATAAACCCCTCCGAACTGCCGAAGATGCTGGACGGTTTGCGTAAGGTCAACAAGTCGTACCCTCTCATTACCACAAAGGTAGAAGAGTCAGGAGAACACGTCGTTCTCGGTACCGGCGAACTGTACATGGACTGCGTTCTGCACGATTTGCGACGACTGTATGCCGACATGGAGATCAAGGTTTCGGATCCAGTCACGAGGTTCTGCGAGACGGTTGTTGAGATGTCTGCCATCAAGTGCTACGCAATGACACCAAACAAGAAGAACAAGCTCACCATGATTGCCGAGCCATTAGACCCAGGGATCGCAGAGGATATCGAAGCTGGCAAGGTTAACATCAAAGACCCTGTCCGTGTGGTTGGCAAGTTCTTCGAAGAGAACTACGGCTACGATCTGCTTGCATCGCGCAATATCTGGGCCTTCGGACCTGATGATATGGGTGCTAACATCCTGCAAAACGACACACTGCCCTCAGAAATCGACTCAAAAACACTTCGCACGGTCCGCGACACATTACGGCAAGGCTTCAGCTGGGCGACACGTGAAGGTCCGCTGTGCGAGGAACCCATTCGCAACACCAAGTTCCGCATCACAGACGTCGAGCTGGCGTCAGAAGCCATCTTCCGTGGAGGTGGTCAGATTATCCCCACAAGTCGACGAGCTTGCTACTCGAGTTTCCTCATGGCGAGCCCCAGGCTGATGGAGCCGGTGTACTCCTGCAGCATGACTGGTCCTGCAGACACTAAGAGTAGTCTGTACACAGTGCTTGCCAGGAGGAGAGGACACGTGCTGCAGGATGGACCGATCGCTGGTACACCGCTGTACAATGTGAGAGGACTTATTCCGGTCATCGATTCTTTCGGTTTCGAGACCGATCTGAGAGTAAGTTTTCTGCGTCCTTGATGATTAAGACTATACTGACTGTTACGTAGATCCACACGCAAGGCCAAGTATCACTCTCCCTCGTCTTCGACCGCTGGTCCATCGTACCCGGCGACCCACTGGATAAGGAGATCAAGCTGCGACCCCTCGAGCCCGCCACCGCACAGGCACTTGCCAGAGACTTCGTGCTCAAGACACGAAGAAGGAAGGGTCTCGCTGAGGATGTGACTATCAGCAAGTTCCTTGAGCCAGAGCTGTTCAGGAGCTTGAAGGAGAGCGGTGTACTTGACGGGTAGACGAGCTGTATGATACAAAAAGGGCGTTGATGGCGCAGCGACTGCTCACACGAATCGCGAGTATGTCAACCGTATGAGCATGATTGAATATACCCTTTGAAGACCACTATGGCATCTGCCACACGCAGGATTTAATCGCTTGTACTTACCAAACATGCACCGATGATTTGGTTCATGGCGTTGGGCTGGGAGCGAGCGAGTACAAATAGCAGGCGGTATGTGTAGTTGATACAGTGAAGCGGAACAACCGGACAAGAAGTGAGAGATGGGAAGGTGCATTGAAGCCGAACCTACTAACCAAGGTAGCGGCAAGAACTCAAGGACTGATTCCTACCCAAGCATCCGGATGTTAGTGCTCATACCTGCATTGCGCGTCAGCACCTCTTATCGAGCCTGCGCTGCCTCTAAGATCAAGGACAGGCTCTCCTCCTATGGTATACAGTCAAATTCGTCTCTTATCTGTCCAGTCTTTAGGCCTTTCCCCCGGTTTTTCTTTGGATCAAACCATCGGAACTCGAACCTGTCTCCAAGTCCGTGAAGCTCAAAGAGCTTTCTAACCTTTGCACTGAAGATTTGATCTTCTGAAAGGACATAGGCGACATCCCACTCCACAACCACCCATTTGAGTCCAGACAAACTTCTCAAAACCTTCACAACTTCGACTAAGCTGCCAGAGAGCTGATATGCGCCGTCGCGGTATGCTGGACCACCGTCACATCCCAGCTCAATGCAGATACACCTCAGCTTCTGAACGTTGCCACCTTTGAGTGGACCAATGAAGCTTGCCAGGCTTGTAGGATGTTCACGGGATTTGTAGAAACGGAGGTGTAGGGACGAAGTCTCGTGGTGAATTGGGCGACACGTGTACGCCAACGGTGTGAGCATGAAGGGAGGCAGGTGCATCCAGTAGCTGGGGCTATAGGGCTCTAGGTAGCATGAGATATATCAGGAGGACCAGTCGAAAAAGCGGACTTCAGTGTCGCTGAGTGTGTGTTCGTAGATGGCGTTGTGAATCTCTGCTGGCAGACGAAGAAGCGGTGATTGTTGTTGATTACGGATCGTGCTAACGAGCCCGTTTAGTGGACAGGACGCAATATCCGCGACATTGATTAGAGACTTACATGGTATCGTTTCGTCCCTTTGTAGTGTGCGGTTTCCTACGGGTGCGACAGCGCTGAAAATATAGGTTGGTCATCGTGGTAGGTTTTAAGGTCGGTGTGGTGAAGCGGATGTTTACAAACGACGGCAAAAGCTTTATGAAAATCTCGTCACGAGTGAAGGAACAGAAGAACGACAATAAGCTGGAGTGACGCCAGTGCAATTGCTGTTCGTTTTGTGCTGGCGATTTTTCTTTCTGATACATTCCTTCACTTACAGCTTTGGCAATCTCCTTCCTCCTGCAGTTGCCTCCAGACCCAATCCTCCCCACTTCCCAGAGAAACCGTGTGCCCGAAAATACATCTGTCAATCATCCCAAAGCCCATCGCGCCATGCAACCCCTTCTCTACTGTCCGGGCTTTGCACAGCCGCACCACTCCAGTCCGCTCGGCACCTAAAACACCTTCACAGCACCAATGTCAGTCAACCCGCCAGCCTTGGACCATCTATGCTGAACTCTCAGCACACTGCTCAAACAAACAAACTCACCACTCCTGCGCCTTCCCAAAGAAGTACGCACCAAAGTCCTCGCTCACGCGCTCGGCAGGCACCACATCCGTGTCTACACCTTCAACCTTGCACTCCGCCCACGCATATGTCCAGAATGCTACTACAGCCTCCTCCACGCCATGACTCTCGGCCCTGCAGTCCCGCTTCACGTCCCTCCCGCGCTTACTCGAGTGAGTAGGCAGCTCTATATCGAGACGCGCGGACTGGTGCTCGCGAACAATGAGATCCTGGACTACTCGCCGCCGCGGAATACATTTCTCAAGCACCTTGACGCTGATCAGGTAGTAATGGTCAGGCGGATGACTGTGGATGTGCTCTTTGCGTTCAAGATGGAGGGCAAGAAGGTTGTGGGGTTGGCGGACGATGTTGTGGAGGTCGTGAGGACGCTGTGTGAGGTGAAGGGCCTAGAGAGGGTGAGCGTGGAGTGGAATGGGGGGCATGATAATTGGGACCCAAGCGCATGAGTACTTCAAGAGGAAGGTGGTATCCGAGGTGAAGGTGCCGATGTTGGGGATGCCAGCGAAGAAGGAGGGAGGGCAATGAGGAAGAAGAAAAGTGTTCTGATGACGAGGAATTTACCTTCGTTTTGCTTGTTCTTCAGTGTGTAGAACAGGAAGAAGATTGTGAATACAGACAAGCAGTAACAACAATGACGCCACCCGTCCTACGCACAAGTGCCTGATTATATACATTTACCATTAGGGGTCATCTAGGAATATGTAGTCTTCCCTCATCATCAACATTCCCGCCCACCGCTCTCTATTGCGCCAACACACTCCGCAACATAGCCAAGAAACTCGGATGAAGTTTCTTGATCTCTTCAATCGCCGGTTTCTTCGGCTCGCCCGCTCTCCTTTTGAGCTTCTCCGCCGCCCTCGCGCGGTTCTTGCGCTCAGCTTCAATCGGATCGTCGTCGTCGTCGAGCTCTTCTTCTTCGTCGGAGTCGGTGGCGTCGTCGTCGAGTTCGAGATCTTGGAGGTCGAGCTTTTGCATGTTAGTACAAGCTGACTGCTAAATAGGGGTGACTGTTTACCTCATTAAGCCCAAAGTCGCTGCTCTTGAAGCCTGCCATACCGCCAAGCACGGGATCGGGCTCGTCGCCAGCACTCGCCATCTTCTGCCTCGTCTTGTCTTGATGCCACTTCTTGCGGGCGGTCTGCCACTTGATTAGGCTGTTGATCTCTCTGATAGCTTTCCGTCTGTCGATGGTGTTCGAATCCATGCCGCCCTGGAACAGAGCGTTCATGTCGAGCTTGCCGCCGCCACCGGGGCCGTGCCGCAGGAACTCGAGAATGCCTTCTAGCCAGCCCATGAGCTGGTCGAAGAGGCCGTTGTCATGAATATGAACCTCGTGCACGAACTTGTAGAAGTTGTCTTCGTGGCGTGCGCAGAGGTCGATGAAAGCTTGGACGGTCTGATTGGGGTCTGCAGAGACTTCTTGGCGTTGGCAGGCCTCGATGGTCTTGATCGTGTCGTCAACGAACATGGCGAAGTCGGTGATGCTGTTGTAGACGTTCGCGGACTTGTACACGCGAACGAGGGGTTCGTAGAAGATGGTGAAGAGGTCGCGGAAGAGTTGGAGGGTGGTGGGCTGGGACCGTTAGTCAATGTGTCTCTCATAGCTGAAATTGCATGCTTACCTCCTCGATGATCTGGAGCATCATAAGCTTGTCTCGCTGTCTCAGACACAGCTTGAGGTACTGCTTGAGATGCGCAAAGAGCTCGGCGCCCTGTCGCAAGTCCTTGTCAATCTGACCAGACGCATTAGTAAGGACGCTATTAACGCTGCGACTGCTGTTGTTTCTGCTGTAACGACTGGTCGGTCTCACATTTTCCACCGCATTGTTCCACGCAACGTAGGCATTGAAGACCTTTTCCACCTGCTGGGAGCTCAATTCTGGCTTGAAGAAGTCGGATCGTAGAATTGTAACGACGATGTCGACCTGCTCGCTCTCCGCCTCTTGCCGAAGTACCTGCTTAACGTCCTCGTTTGACTCAACGTAGGCTTTGATCTTTGCGCATAAGACTTCGTCCTTGATCTTCGTGGAGCCGAGGGTGTCAATCGTTTTCTGTACAGAACTAACACCATCGTTGATGGCCATACCAAAGATGCGCTGAAGCAAGGACCTTGCACCAAAAGGCTGCGCAAGGAACAAATCAAGCACTCCGCTCATTACCGCTGCTGGGTTGGCAATCCTGATGACGTTCTTCAGCACGCCGTATGGCACGAGTGAATGTATCCGTTTCGCCTGCGCGAAGAGCTCCGGTGAGTTGTCTTCGGCCAAGAAGAGGTGGTAAATAGTAGCTGCGACTTCTATCCGCAACCACTCTGCAAACTTCTGATACTCTGGCTTGAGCTGGGATATTGAGTTCTTCACCCTGATTTCCTGGAAGAGGTGCGAGAGGCCGTTTCTCTCAACAATCTCTCGCCTGAACTTCTCCATGTGTATGTCGAGCTCGGCAGCACGTTTCCGTGCCACTTCGTAAAACTGCTTTTGCTCTTGTATGCGCTTCTCATCCATGATCATGCGCTTCTCAATGTCTTCCATCTCTTCCTCGTTGACTTCGATGGGATCGCGCGTGAGGAAGTCAGTCATAGCATTGGATTGTGCGATCCTCTCGTTGTTTAAGAACGATCGAAGGAAAGCTCGTAGCGATACACGCTGCTCTTCGCGGTAGAGAGTACGTGGTAGCTGATAGCCGAAACCCTCTCCTGACGCACGAGGAGACCGTGTCCCTCGACCTCCTCCGAGTGATGTTTGTGAAGCATTTTTCTTGTGACCGCTACCCCAGAGGTAGCTTCGCAGACCTCCACCGCCGCCGTCGCTCTTCTCGTATACGTCAGGTGCCGGTCCTTGTGTTGACACTGAAGAGATGGAGCTAGCATCATCGTCGTCTTTGTTCGAACTTAGAATGGAGTCTTTCTTGTTCTTGCGAGGAAGTGGAGGGAGCACTTTTCCCGGAAGCTCGAGGCGTATCCGCTTGTGGAGGTTGACGAAGTCCTGGTATCGCCGACCGACGTAGATTTCTCGATCGCCGCTCTGTTTGACTCGGATAAGGTATTCCTACAATTCGTGAGCTTGCGTTCGCCAATCGCTGCGACTTTGACCTACCGCGTGTGTGTGGTATCGGACGTGCTTCTTCACTGACGTGGTTCGCACGCCGGCAACGTTGACATCCCAGCCATTAATGAAATGCCCACTCGGTGCGTTCATGTGTAGACCCTCCTCGTTTGCGCCGCGCTCGACGATCTCCATCTCAGAGAAGCGTATCCTCTCCTCGTAGCCAGACGCGGTGGGGATACCAGAGACCATCATAAGCTCGACCAGCTTCTCTGCCTTCAGCGCCAGCTTCCTTCGTTTTGTCTCTTCGAGGCGGTCTTCTGACGACGAGATATCCTTGCTTGCGAACGATTCGAGGAACTACGGAAATTGCCCTGTCAGCCTTCGCTCTCAATCTCCGTATGGTGTCACCAACTCACCACTTGCAGCTTGTTCTGCCAGAACTCTTTCTCCTTGGCCTTGTCCAGGAATGGGAAGTTTCGCACATGGTGGACGAATATGTAGCGCAGCAGTGGGAGCTCCGAGTCTTCTGGAGCGACTTCGCCGGCGTCTGAGCGGAAGGGTGCGCCGAAGCGCTTGAGGGCAGTGGGTGACGACAGTTCGGAGATTTCGTATTGTGTTTGCTGGGAAATGAGTTCGCGTTTAAGGTCTGCATATGTGTGAGTGTCTCTGGTGCGTTGAGTGCTGTTCGGCGGCTTACAGTGCTCCTGCTTGCCGGTCAGGATGGAGCCCTCTGGGGGCACCGACATCATAGACGCCATCGTGTAGGTTGTGTCTGCCCGCTGAGCGCCAGGCCGCTCTGTACCTGCAGCATGAGGCTTGCCAAAATTGGAGATCGAGGGCTGATCGTCCATGGTGGGCACTGTGCATCCGTTGAGCACCAGGCCAGGCGGGGTGCCTTGAGCCATGCTAAACAAGAGGTCAGAGGAAAAGAGGGGCAGGGAGAAGGCGCAGGCGTCGAGGTCGCAAGGGTCCGGAAATAGTTATATAGAAAGCTCGGTCTCTTGGGCACGGCGATGTAATAAAGTAATGTCGACGCGTGTTGTATGACGCCCGGCTGTCCTGCAATAACCAGACACCTAGTGTGGCTGCTGCTGGGGCTTGCACGCTGCTCCACCGGCGAAATCTGCCGGGGTTTGCGTGCACGATACTCGAGTCGGCCTCGTCGAGGATCAGCTCCACCCGCAATTCGCTCAAAGCAGATTGCGTCGATGCTTGTCGGCACTCAAGGCACTGCGAGCGCGTGAAGAACTGTGGCTGGTGGGCAGGGCTGCGTCACTCCATGGCTTAGCCGGTAGGGCCGAGCAATCAGCGGGCGCGCTGCGATCGACTAGGAGTCCTCGGGCGGGCTGCACGGGCGACAAAGGAACGCACGGCATCAGAGGTGCCCTTGGCTGCAGGTTGAAGGCCCTCTTACGAATACGCGCGCAGTCCGTTCTTGCAAACACACTCAGACTGTTCCGCGAAACACTTCGATGTTTGAACCATACTGCCTGAAGCTTGGAGCATGTTCATCACCTGGAGCGCTTTGAGAATGTCAGAAACGCACGTGTTCAGACGGTTGCAGTTCCATGGCACCTCATCCCCAGAGCTTGTCTTACACTTGACCGTACCCTCAACCACGGCCTGGACCACGTGCCAAGCGCGCCACAGGCAACTTGTCCCGGACTGCAACTCGCTGAGACTGGGGAAAGCTTGTTGAAACAAATGTCTGCGCTGCAGCATCACCGCTCGAAACAACAAGCACGCAAACTTTGTCATGAGTTGCCTTGATTATCTATCGTATGGTTTTCATGAATACAAGTTACACGCATGCACTAAAGTGCAGCATATGCTAGACCAGGAACGCCCTGTCCCATGCCTGGTCCTTTCCCAAGTAGAACAAATGACAGACTAGCCTGCAAATTGGAACAGTCGACCCCAACGCCAACCTTATGACCAGATCACACAGCGCACTGCCCAGCTTGGTTTGGTTTGTTTGAGTGGCTCCAGTGGCTCCAGTGGCTCCAGTGCCGATGTGGCTAGTAGTTCAGCTCACCACTGCCGCCTCCACCAACAGCATCAAGGTCTTCGTAGCTCTTGATCTGACGCCCCTGTGTAGACTGCAGGGGTCCTGGCCCACCATCACCGTGCCGTTGCGCGCCAGGTCGTCCACCGCGCGGTGGAGGTGTAAGGCGGCCGTTACCACCATTCGGACCGTTGCGACGGTCGCGGTTCTGCCTATCATATGGCCCAGTACGGCTATTGAATCGCTGGCCGCCGCGGCGCATAGCTCCAGCATCGTGTGTACCGAGGGAGGGATCCCAGTTGCCACCCATGGCTGGATTGAACATGTTTCCAACGTTCATCGCGTTCTGCATTCCGTTGCTGGACATAGCCATGTTCATATTGGCAAGGTTGAATCCGCGTGGTGTGCCCGTTGCTTGAACGTGGTTGCCCATTGGGAAGTGGCCATTGCTATTGGCATCACTGCGCGAGGGAGCGATGTGTGCAGGATCAACGACATAGCTGTTGACGAGTTCGAGCTGTGGGCTTGTTAGCTACGTGCGCAAGATCAGTGACTTGGCCTGTACTTACGTCCTTCTGCAACTTCTCGAGCCACTCCGGATGGCGTTTCTCGACGTGCTTGCGCCAGAAGTTCTGACCCTTAAACAGCTTTGTGCATTCTGGGACCTTGCAACGCCACTTCGACTCATCTTCTTGCTTGCAGGACCTTGCTAATTCATCTTCCATGGCCTCATCAAGTGGCTTGCCACCAAGCTTGCGGACGTCCACGTTCTCTGGCTCCAGAAGCTGCAGCAACTTCTCTTCGTAAGTCTTCACCCAATTGAACGCCCGTTGAAGCTGCTGCTGGTTCTTCCCACTCAGCTTCATCGGCTTGCGCTCGGCGACTGGGCTGCCCTCACCATTCTCGGCGTCGCCAGACTCTTGCTTCTTGTATGGGAATGGCTCGCCGGTAGCGGTGGCCCTTGCAGTGGCCTTCGCTGCTGTTGTCAGGCTGGCACGAGGGCGGCGAAGATGTCCGCCTGCGCACTTGCGGATCAACTCGTGGACCGAGTCACTCTCAAACACGCAGAAGAAGCAGAAGCTGTGTACGCGTCGAAGGTATTCAATCAGAAGATCGAGCTTCTTCTTCTTGACCAGCAACTCTTCGTCATCGACTTCTTCGTCATAAGCCCCTTCTTCATCGTCCATAGTCTCGTCTTCGCCCTCTTCCAGATCTTCAGGATCTCGCTCTTTCTTGGGTGGAGCGGGGGCGTTGGCTGGAGGCTGTAGCCAACCTTTCGAGCGAAGATCCTCGACACGCTGTTCGATCTTGGCAACACCATCAATCTGGCCAAACTCTTCCTCGTGGTTCGCTTTTAGTTTACCGTCAAGCTTCCTGACTAGTCTTTCAGCTAGCTCCAAGTCGCGCTCGATTCGCTCGGGTGCCGAGAAGAGATCCCAGAGCGCCTTCTTTCGAGGAGCTGCAGGGGTCTCGTGCACGCCAACGTGACAGGTAAAGTTCCCGCGCTTTTCGTCCTCGACAGTCTTGCCGTTGATGGCTTCGAGTGCCTTCTGCGCTGTGCTCTGCGGGGCAGGAATAGGCTTCTCATCAAGGGCTCCATCTTCTCCTTCATCGTCGCGTGCATCACCACGGTCATCGATGACCATGGGCTGTTCATCATTCGGGTGCAGTATCACCCATCCTATACGATGGCACTTCTTCAGTGGATTTGGATCGCTCAGGCTGAGCCACTTGAATCCACCGGGACCCTCGCCAAGATGTTCTTTGGCGAACTCCTCAACTTTCTCCCGGTTGACGGTAGGGGCGATGGTCTTGATCAGCAGTGTGGGCTGGAAGGCTGATTCGTCACGAATCTCGCCGCCTTTGCATGGCAGGAGATCCCCTACACCCAACACTTCGTTCGCAGCAGTGGTTTCGCCTTCCTCCTTCTCGACAATACCGCCTGCGCCGTTCGAATCGTTCTTGTAGATTCCCTCAAGTGTAAACTCGTCGAAATAACCCTCATCGATTTGTCCCTCCCACTCGGTGTATATACCGTGACGGTACCCGCGCAGCTTCTCCTTGAAGGCTTGATCGTACTCGGGGTCGTAGCGCTCCTTGAACCATTCCTCGCCCTTGTGCTTGTCCACGAAAGTCTTGGCCATTTGCACCTGGAGCTTCTCCTTGTACTCATCGTACGCGGCCTGGATGAGTTCGCGCTCCTTGCCTCGCTCCTCGCGGGCTTCGCGTTCGCCTTTGAGCACTGGCTTCCTGCCGCCATTTTTTGCACGCTCCTTCTCCTCCTTCATCACCTGTTCTACGCGCCACCACTCAGCGAAGTAGTTGAAGCCAACTTGGTATTCGAGCGACATGGGATTCGGAATCGGGTTGGTCGTGAACGTAGGAGCGAAGCTGTCCTGACCAGGGACGTAGCGGTCGATGCCAGCCTGTACAGGCGGAGGAGAAGAGCGACGGCGACCTCCATCACGGCGCGGGTGGTCGTAGTCTCGAGCGCGGTCGGGCTGATATCTGTCGATGTTCTGAGGCGACCGCGAGCGCCGCCTGGGCCTGCGATCTCCGGCAGCTGCAAGGCACTAGGTTAGCCGGGATCAGTCAGGCGTCCAGCATGCTGCTTACCAGGAGAGCGTCGTCGGTAGGAGTCGGCCGGCGGCCTGGAGTCCTCTCGAGTGCTACTACAAGACTGTCAATAATGTGCGCTTGCGTTCGATAGCTCGATCTGTACTCACTTGTACGAGTCCATTGTTGCAGAGAGGCAGCTACAGCAGCTGAATGAAGGGTATTAGATAGTGTGTGATGAGCCAGTCATCAACACAGTGAGGAGATACTGCTAGGCAGGACACGGATACGCAGTCTCGATAGATGGATCTGACGTCTGACAAGCGCCAGACAGTCGAAAGTAGCTGTTTGCCATGGCGGCCTCGGGTTAGACAGAGGACAAATGAGTGACAAGAGGAATGCGACTAGTCTGGGAGGGGGTGCAGTAATGAAGAGTAAACAAGATGGCGACAGCACTCGATGCGATTGATCACACGCGAGCTGCGCCGTAAGAAGAGAAGGGTGGGGATGGGAGGTAGCTAAGAGGCTGGCGTCCGGCAGACAAAGCTAAGGGGAGCTATGGCGATAGCCCGGCAAGAAGGGGAGATACGAACAAGATGAGGCTGCGACAAGAACAAGAGCGAATGCACTCACGAGGATGTTGGAGTGTGTCCTGCTTGGGAGGGAGAGGCAGACGTGTGGAGGAAGGGTGAGGTGGTCGTGGCGGCTGGAGAAGGAGCGGAGGGCTGAAACAGGGCTAGTGCAAACGCGAGGCAGGCACGGAGCACGGCAAGTGGGCCAGCAACGCCCGCTGAACGACCGAGGCATGGAGGCTCGATTGGAACCTGCGGGATTACGTAGACGCATCGCGAGACTCGGACGCGAGTATAAGATCTTTCGACTGAGTGTTGCATCGGTGTACAAAGTACCTGATAGTCTTCGGGACGATATACCACATCTCACCAACATGACCTCATACATCCCCTCCCTCACGCTTCCGAGCTTTCTGTTCGAGAACCCGGCAGCTGCAATTCTTCTGCCTGTGGCCTGCGGGACCGCGATTGGCTTTTCCATCAGCCGTGGGTGACTTTAGCACTCCTTGGATAACACTTTCACTAACGATTGACAGCTTCTGTTACTCAAGCATCGTACAAAGCACTCAGACAGCCTCCTCTACACCCTCCTGGCTGGGTTTTTGGGCCGGTATGGACCGCCCTGTACGCAACGATGGGCTACACTGCCTACCGAGCATGGACGACTGGCGCGACTTCTATCAACCCTCAAACTGTGGCCCTGGCTAAGCAGGGAGCAACTCTGTACACGATTCAACTGGCCCTCAATCTCATCTGGACACCTCTGTACTTCGGCCTTGGACGACCAGTGGCTGCTACTGTCGATATCCTCGCTCTTGGCGGCGCTGTGGGCTACCTTGCCTACATCTGGGGCCAGGTCGACCCCACGTGTGGTTGGCTGCTTGCACCCTACCTGGGCTGGCTCAGCTTTGCTACCTACCTCTGCGTACGTAGTCCTGTACAAGATTTCATATCCATATGCTGACAATCGATGTAGGTAGGAAGTGGATACTTGAACGACTGGGACTTCTCCAAGGCCTTCAAGAGGGACTAAATGGCTACAGTGACTGCACGTGTCAGACTCGTGAATACCCCCAGGGCCTACAGCCTGTAGTGTATTGACTTTCAGCGACTGCATATGTACCATACCACCGATTTTCGATCTACTCCTATCATGGCTACCTAGCGAGGTCACAATAGACATCTTAACAAAATCTAACTCATCTTGCACTGAAGATAAACTCCGCTAATGCTGTGCCCTGCCGGTGCTCGAACACGCTCTTTCCTGATTCGTGCTAGTGCACGGGTACCTCGACTAACGTTCCAGAGCGCATAGCTGTCCTTTACTCAGCCGAGCGTCGCAACAACCACGCGTCTCGCAGTTCACTTCTTTCTGTACAATGATATTGCTGCCACGGCATTGATCTTGCTAGGCTTTTCACTCCTTTGACATTCCTAGAGAAGCAGCTGCAGGTGCGTCTGCAATTGTAGACTCTCGGTACGCGGACTGACACTTGCCCGCGCCACACCTCCGCGGTCTCACTTCCACGTTCTATAACCCCGAATACTCTTTCGACCTCGACTGCCTACAGTGTAGTTTGCCAAAATGCCTCCCAAATCTGCTTTCACGCGCCTCGACGCCTTCACAAAAACCGTCGAAGATGCACGCATTCGTACAACGTCCGGAGGAATCGTCACCATTGTGAGCTTACTGGTCATTCTCTGGTTGACATTGGGCGAGTGGGCAGATTACAGACGGGTGATAGTCCGTCCTGAGCTGGTTGTCGACAAAGGTAGAGGCGAGCGCATGGAGATCAGCTTGAATGTCACATTCCCGCGGATGCCTTGCGAATTGCTCACCCTCGATATCATGGATGTGTCCGGCGAGCTGCAGATGGGTGTCGCACACGGTATCAACAAAGTGCGCCTGAGTCCTGAGAAGGAGGGCAGCAAGGAGATTGAGAGCAAGGCCCTTGATCTGTGAGTCCGCTTCGGTTCTCGCGACACGAGGACAGATGCGAAAGATAGTGCAGTAGCTGACGCATGACAGACACAAGGACGAAGCTTCCCACCTTGCCCCCGACTATTGCGGCGAATGCTACGGCGCCCCCGCCCCCACCAACGCACAAAAGCCCGGCTGCTGTAACTCTTGTGACGAAGTCCGCGACGCCTACGCTTCCGTATCATGGTCTTTCGGCCGTGGCGAGGGTGTTGAGCAGTGCGAGCGCGAGCACTACGCTGAACACCTTGACGCCCAGCGCCAGGAGGGATGCCGCCTTGAGGGCAGCATCAAGGTCAACAAGGTTATTGGAAACTTCCACATTGCGCCTGGGAAGTCCTTCTCCAATGGCAACCTGCACGTACACGACCTTGAGAACTACTTCAAGGACGAATACGCGCACACGTTCACCCACAAAATCCACCACCTGCGTTTCGGCCCCCAATTGAGCGACGTTGTTGTGCAGAACATGGCGAAGAACCATCTTGCGACTGGTCCGGGTGGCTGGACGAACCACCACATCAATCCCCTAGACGGTACAGATCAGCACACAGACGAGAAGGCTTTCAACTACATGTACTTTGTCAAAGTCGTCTCAACCGCCTACTTGCCGCTTGGCTGGGAGAAGGAGGCAGCTCGTCCTAGTGACCAAGACATTGGTGCGATCATTGAGGGTAACTACAAGGGAAGCATCGAGACACATCAGTACTCTGTTACCAGCCACAAGAGGAGTCTTCAGGGCGGCACTGATGAGCAGGAAGGCCACAAGGAGCGTATTCATGCTCGCGGTGGTATCCCGGGTGTTTTCTTCTCCTACGTAAGTTTTGCACTTTTCAGCGCTGACGAACTGTGACTAATTTGAGCACAGGACATCTCGCCAATGAAGGTTATCAACCGCGAAGTGCGCGACAAGTCTTTCTCTGGTTTCCTTGTTGGCTTGTGCGCTGTGATTGGTGGCACACTCACAGTCGCTGCTGCGGTTGACCGTGCGCTGTACGAAGGCGTCAACAAGATCAAGAAGATCCATTCGAATTAGTCGCATATATGTGGCTCCACGACAGTCCGAAAAGGACAGCAAACATGGCTTTGCGAATTTGTGGGCTGCGACCCAGGAGTTTCGGCGCACTGATTTGGCGATTTGGATTGGGCGACGCATTGGCTTGAAGGGCTTAGATCTATGAATCTTTTGGGGAGTCGAAGAGCATTTGACGCTGAGCTGAAAATGCCAGCTTGTAACATCTAGCCTAGGCGAATATGTAAAGGAATTCATAGATGACTAAATGTGAGCATTGTGCTCGTAAGGCAGCGATATTAAGTGGTGCCTAAAATGCCTATTTGCCTGACCAATCAGGTCTTAGATGAGAGAGGCGCCTGAAAGTTTGAGAGTATTGTGTGGTTCACACTCGCGAGTCAACATTGAAGTTCTCATAAGAAGAGAAAGCCCACGGTACGTGTGGTGAAAGGGTGGGTTTCAGTGGCTTCATGTTTCTACGGCTGTGGCTCACCTTTGTGCACGGACGTTGTCCTGAAGTGCGCTAGCGCTGGCATAAAACGCATCTTCTCTCGCTCTTGCTTTCGAGTTATACATCTCACACTTCAACAGCCTACCCACATATACTCGGAACTTCACTCTAGGACCGTTCGCTTCGCCAGGACCATACCGACATCGAAAACATCTACAAAACATTCGTTCCCTTTCATCATCACCAACAGAGTCATCATGTCTGCACCACGCGGAGGAGGACGTGGACGAGGCCGTGGCCGTGGTCGAGGTCGCGGAGACTACTACACACCAAACGATCATCAAAATCAGAACCAGCCCCAACAACAAGCGGAACCTGATCGCGCAGCATCAACAAACAACACTGTCGATCTCCTCAAAGGCTTCCTAGCACGGCGCTACGATGCTTCCACCAAACTGCTCAATTTCTCGACTATTGCCACTGATGAAGAAGTTGCTAAGAGTGGGATGTTCCGGCACGAATCAACGCAAAAGAAATTCTTCCCAGCGCTCATGGTCATCTGCGATGACATGCTCGAAACCCGAGAAGCCAAGGAGGCAGCCATCGAAAGCGTCACACTATGCGGCAACAACATAACAAACCTCAACGTAGTATTCGATCTCTGCAAGACCCTGAGTCATATCAAAAACCTCGACCTAAGCGGCAACGCCTTCCATTCAGTCAACGCGCTAAAGCCCTGGAAAGGCCGGTTCAGGAAGCTGGAACACCTGATCATCGACCCCTTCAGCAGCATCGGCTGGGAAGAGGAGCTTACAGCCTGGTTCCCCAAACTGAAGATCTTGAACGGAACTCAGGTCCGCGCTGATAAGCCTGCAGCGGGCGACGCGAACATGATCACGGACGCACCAATGGCCGTAACACCACAACCAATGACTAACGCGCCAACACCGACACCAACATTACCAACACTAGCTTTCGACCAACAGAAGGAGGAGATGATCGTGTACGTTCAGCAAGCGACGAATCTCAAGCGGGATTACGCGATTCAGTGTTTGGAGGCTGGAGGATGGGATCTGAATCGTGCAGGGGAGCTGTTCACGCAAAGCCAGCCCTGTCTGCCACCAGATGCATATAACTAGGTGTTCAACGTATTGGAGGCGATGGAAGTTTGTTGAAAAGCATGGAATAGCAAGGTTGTCAATTACCGGAGTTTTCTTTCTTTTGTTCTGCATAAATTGTTGCATAGCGGTTTGGAGTCGACAGGGTGGCTCATCTGGATTCAACGGGCGTGCATGGAAGGGATCGTATGTATCGAACACAAACGGATATTTGTGTTGTCGAGATTGGCATTGTAGCCGACACAATAGACTGATACCAAACATCCTCATTTGCTCTTTACTAGATTCACTTAGATCACTTGCTATTTCTTCTCCAACCACCGAATGACACTATCAACAACGCCATGGACACCCAAAACGAAGACATGTACGTACCACCGTCACCATTGCTATTTCACCCCTCCTAACATCCTCCACAGCACCCTCCGCAACCAACAACTCCCCTTCTTCCGCCTCCCCCCCGAAATCCGCAACACCATCTACTCCCACGCCATCGGCCACTACGAAATCCAACTCATCCACCACTGCGCCTCTCACATCCTGCTCTTCCAAAGCCGCCCGCTTGGCACCACACGCTCCTTCGCCCTCTTCACTTACGCCGAACTCACCGTTCTGGCGCGCGTGTGCCGGCAGATGAAGTTCGAAACGACGGCTCTGCCGTTTCAACAGAATGTTTTCACTGGAGGTCCGGGTGTTATTGGGGGACTGTGTTTTTATCTGCAATATTGTGCTGGGGATAAGGCGAGATATGTTAGGAGTGTGAAGATTGACGTTGGAGATACGGGGTATGTGGAGGTGTCTCGGAGAGGGACTGATGTATATGTGCATTTTGAGCGGCCGCTAATGGCGGCGGTTAGTGCGATGTGCTATTTGAGAGGGTTGGTGAGGCTTGAGGTTGAGTGGAGTGGCAGAGGGAATCGTGGGGTGGTGAATCGGGAGATGAATGCTAAGGTTAGGAATCTGGTTAATGTTGGAGCACGCGAGAGGGATGTTGTGGTTGTGACCGCGTCGACATGAAGGATTAATGGCGTGGAGGGCTGAGTCGTGGAAGTGATAGGAAGGTGAAGGTGACGTCACGTGCCATGCTTCCGCTTGGTCTTCTGCATTAGTCAACCAGTCCATCCTTTTCCCCTCCAAAACACTACATTATCATGAAATTACCAACACAACCAACCCGGTTGCCTCACACAGCTCTCAAGAAGATGGCAGTCTCCTCAGGAGCCCTGTACGTACTACAATCGTCACATCGACGTGCGCTAATTTGATTCGCAGGACCTTCCGCAATCAGACTCAGTCTTTCTTCCTTCATCTGCCACCTGATCTGCGCAACAAGATCTATGCCTACGCTCTCGGCGGCTTCGACATCGCCTTAGCCCACAATAGGCATACCGACAGTTGGTTACTCGTTTATTAGCACCGAGGCATATCCTATTAATCTTACACTACACTCATAGGGAAGGATGTTGTGGCCTTAACTGCGACAGGCCGCCAAATTAACTTCGGGGCCGACTCTTTCCCTTTTGAACTAGGCAAGTTCATGGGAGAAGCGGAAGATCTTCGACACTTCTGCGCGCGTCTCAGCCTTACTGCGAGGGCCCAACCCGTAGCAGTCAAGACTGTGCACATCATGCTAACCCGAAACAAGATCGATCAGAGGATTATGACCACTGGACCAGTTTTACTAATCCATCACAGCGTAGTTCGTGCTATCTGCGCTTTGTCGAGTTTGGGAGGACTGGAACACATCACGGTAAAATGGTCGCAACGTGGGTGCCATGAAGGTAGAGTTGCATGCATGCATCAGGAAGCTCATCGAAACAGCCTTTGGAAATCGTGAAAGCGGAGTCGCTCTCAAAACTCCTAGTTACAACCCGCTTCTGTTTTAGGGCTTCCTAACACGGAGAAGATTGTCAGCGCGGAAAGGCTTTTCGGAGCATCATGTATGACTAGCTTCATCGACTCACCAGGTTGAATTCTTCCATCCTTGTTAGCGATGCCCAACTCCTGATCTGTTTTGTCTTTCACTGCTACTCTCATTGAGGCCGCGTGAGCTTTCCCTATGTGTGCATCTTCGCAAGCTGTATTTGACACATGGTCAATCTCATTGGGACATTACCATGTACGAATCCAGACAATCAACGATTCAACTTCAACACACCAACCCAACAATAATGAACATGGATACTATGTAATCGCGAGCCCTGTTCGTATCCCTTTCGATTCACTAACTTTATTTGCAGCAATCTTCGAAACCAGCGAAAATCGCCCTTCGTCTGCCACAAGAGATTCGTACCCAGATCCATAAAGACACATTGGCTGGCCACAACTTTGTAACTGTCCCCCGTCACTCCGGCATCAAAGTCTTTGAGGTCTACGATGATAGAGAAATCCACGATCGCAACGAGCAACGAAATCCTAAGGCACTTTGTTTTATCTACCGCTTCATTTACCACAAGACCGGCAATATCTACTTCACCATGAATATCTTCAAGTTGATTGAGACCGAGCCCCACACCTTCCGCAAACGTCACCTCGCCCTTCCAATCCTACGTTATGTCAAGATTATGTGGATTTTCCTTTCCATTGACGATATCAAACCCTATGTGAATAAATATCCACCCCATCTCAGCGCTTTGCTCATGCGCAAACTACAGGGTTTGCAGCGCCTAAAGGGATTAGCATGTATGAAAGTCACATTCTCGACGACATATTCGAAATGGGTAGAGTGGACAGCCCGTAAAGATAGTCAGGGTGGCAAACCCAAGCCTGCGCTCGCATTTGGCGGATCGTAAAGATAAAGGTCTTTGAAAACGTGTATATAAGAACAGCACAGGAGTCAGAAGGGGCACTCAAAAAGACTTGGAAGCGGCAAACCGCGCACGTTGTACTGGAGGGAAGGAACGTGCAAAGTTGTGAATCATCACTCGGAGTCTTCACGCCATTGCGTCGATCAGCTTAGTCTCTGTGATATTCCGTATTGGTGAGCACTATTATTCCTTCGATTGCTGGTCTGGTGTTTGCATAACCATTGTTGTTGAGGTGTTCTTGCCTTCACCTTCACGTTAGCGTCAGCGCGGTCACGGCACTGATCATATACATCTCGTCTCGCACAACTCTACCAACCACCAACACCACCACCATAACTCACCCAAGGCATTTCACAGCCCTTCTCCAGTAGCATGGATGCCAAAGATATGTAAGGATTAACATCGCAACTGCCATGTCTTACTGACCGGCCGTCGTAGCACCTTCCACAACCAGGCGGCGTCACCCTTCTTCCGACTTCCACCCGAGATCCGCAACCATATCTATACTCTGGTCTTCCGGAGCGACATAGTCTCAGTGTACCCGCATCCCCACCGTGTTACATTCTGCATTCGAAAACACCCCGACATGGAGGACACCAATGAGCCACACCCTGAGCACAGTGAGAACGAGCTGCAAGAGCCTTATGTCTTCCAATACACTTGCCGCCAGATCTTTCACGAAGCTGGAGACCTGTACTTTGCGCTCAACACATTCGAACTCCGCGAGAAGAGGCCCCACAAGTTCAGTGAAAGCCATCTTGCACTTCCATGCTTGGCTCGTATCCGAAATGCCCGTATCAGCGTCACCACTTGCACTGCATACATGCCTGACGGCAACCTGAGGCTTGGAGGAGTACAGGCCCGTAAGGTGAGACTCCTCGGTATGCTGAAGGGGTTGACCAAGGTCATGGTCACTATCTGGTCTTGCCATCCGAGCGGTTACACCAAGGAAGAAAAATTTGCTGAGGTCAAACGTGTTTTCGAGACCGAGAGGAGAGGACAAGCTGTGAAGTTTGTTCTCGAATAGCAAATGAGCGAAAGGCGCGGTCAGCATTATCCAAAGCATCGTCGGAGCAGCTCCACACAGGCTCCAAGAGATGGGGACAAAGAGTCTGTAGAAAGAAACTACAAGCGATACTACCATAAAGCAGGGGGACGAAGGGTAGAGCCGAATGCAATTGCTTCAGGCGTTCAAGTGCGAAAGACTCACATCCATTCTCCGAAACCTTGCGGCTACTCACACCGAAAACCTTCTGCTTATAAACGACATGCAAAATGTACGGACCACCCCCTTCTTGGTACACTAGCCCTTAAAGCCACACGAAGACCCACTGTCGAAGCTACCTGGATTCGGTGAAGGAGCAGGGGGAGGTGCGGGCGGTCTACCTGTGATATGTGCGGGGCCGGCACTATGACGAGATAGATGACGTTACCATTCATCCGTGGGATTCGTGAGAGGCTGCCCAGGTCTGGTTCAGAGTCTGTAAAGGTATGGCTCAGGGCCCTGAGCACGTCAGAGAGCATGTAAATAGGGGTCGGGTCTCCCCCACATACTACATCGGTACCTCTGGCCACTCAGAGTGCGCCTTTTGCCTGTCAGATGTGAGTGTCAGACCGATAACCTTGCATAAATCAAAGATGACCACTAAGCTTGACAAACATTATAAGCTTCGCCACCTGCAAGGTAAAGCACTATAAGTGTTCAGATATACCCCATGCATCTTCACTCGCATCACAATGCCAGCCAATCGGCTCATATGAGTTTGCATGAAATGCACTTTCGTAGACATCTAGAAAGCCGAAGAGCGATTCTCCGACAACGTAGCGCAATCAGCGCAAGATAGAGCTATGCGATATTGAACAAAGCCAGATAGTCGGAATGGATGATCTTGTATGCAGTGAAATAAGCTTTCGGGAGTTGCACATGCACTTAGCTTACGGGTTCAGCTACCCAAAGATACACACCATGCGGTATCATGATGCAGGCGCGTACGTGTGCTATATAATTAAAGGCAGTGCAGAGTGTTAATGCGAAGGATGCGAGTCTACCTGAAGATGTTCAGTATCATTTCTTATTACTTGGCAACCATATCCAGTTTGCCGCTACCGCTATCGTGAATTCATTATGCGTTACCTAATCCCATACCTAGTTGAACGTAATCTCGCATCGATGCGCCTTGGGTGCAATCAAGAAGAAGTTCTCAAACTCCATGCTCTCAGGTGTCGTGCTCGCCGCAAGCTTGACGCCCTTCATCTCCCTGAACATGAACGCTACTGCATACCTCAACTCCATACGTGCAAGGTGAATACCAATGCATGATCTCGCACCGGCACCGAAGGGGTGAAAGGCTGTTTTTGCGGCAGGCGATAGTGCTTCGGCGGGGTAGCCTTCTTTCGAGGCGATCCAGCGGTAGGGATTGAAGCTGGAGTGTATCAGTGTGATGAAGAGACGAGATAAGTTAGAAGATGAGCTTACGTCAGAGGATCACTCCAGATGTTGGGGTCGCGGTGGAAGGTGTAGGCTTGTGTGTCGACAGTCACGCCTTGTGGGATGTAAAGTCCGGAGAACTTAGTTCCACCCTGAGGGACGACACGGGGCAAACTGCTAGGTGCGGCACCATACAGTCGGAGGGTCTCTTCGATGACAGCGTTAAGCAAAGGAAGGCTGATCAAGCTGTTCTCAGTGAAGTCTTCTGCAAGTGAGGCAACCTCTGCTTCGAGAGCAGCTTGTAGGTCAGGGCGCTGGAGGACAGCCCATGTGAGGTAAGTTAAAGTGACGCCAGTGGTATCAGTGCCGGCAATGATGACATTCATAGCCTCAATCTTGACATCCATGTCGTCGATGTGACCCTCACCCTCCTTCTCGCAGTCCTCGATGACCTTGGCGAAGATGTTGGCCTCACCCTGACGGGATCGCGCCATCTCTGCTGCACGGCCAGCGCCTTGGAGGATGTACTCGTTCGCGTTGAACATCTCCTGCACAGCAGGGATGGGAACGAACCTCAACAAGCGCAAGAAGGGCATCTCGACCATGATACCAGCACCCATAGTGAGCTTCTTGAGCACGCGAAGGAACTGGTTTTGCTGTGCAAACTGTCAGTGTGATACCTGAATTGTGGGGCACAGCACTTACATGTCCTGTCTCCAGCATACCAAATGACTCTCCGAAGGCTAGGTGTGCGCTGACGTCGGAGGCAAGCAGCATCCACCAGTTGTACACATCCGCGGTGCCCTTCACAGCATCTGCCTTGATCTTGTTGACAGCAAGAAGTGCCTTCTCTCTGACAGTCGACTCCCAGTTCTCGACAAGGTAGGTCCTACTGAACGAGCGGGACAAGAGCTTTCTTCTGGGTCCATGCTCGCGAGGGTCAAGCATGGTGAAGACGCCTGCCTTGGGGAAGTTGGCTAATCGCAAGTACCATTCACTCTTCATGTACTTCGTGCCGATCTTGTGGATCTCCTTGAAGGCATCGAGGTCTGCCACACCGACCTCATTAGGTGACAGTCGAACGACCGGGCCATACTCCTTGTGAAGTGAGTCGATGTAGAATATCCTCTGGCCTGTGACAACTGCTCGCTTCAGTCGGAGATGTGTGAAGCGAGTGTACCAAGGTCCCGGAAGATGTCTTGTAGGGCACGTGAGACCTACATAGAGAAACTGGTACAGTCAGCACCGAGTAAAGGCTGAAAGGACTTGGTGGAGCATACCCGGAGGGTGAGGAGGATGAGGCATAACACAGTAAAGTGCACAGGATTAAACCCACCAGGGGCATTTTCCTTGACTGATGGGATCATTTTGGATGTGCTCGCGTGATTTTCGAAGCTAGTAACGCTGAATACGAAGAGCACCAATACAGTAACCAACGTAGCCACTGAGCTTCATATACCTTCTGCATGGCTGTGCGTACTGATAACGGTGAATGTGGGGATCCGAGATGTTCGACTTCCCAACTTCGCAAGTGGGTTTCATGCTGCGTCTTCGTAGTCTGACCGCAGTGTACGATGTTCTCGTGCCGGATAAAGCTGTCTGACTGCAGTGAATGCGATGTTCTCGTGCCGCATACAGCTGTCTGACCTAAGAGTTCGGCTGTAGGTTCGGCAATAACAGCGGGGTTGGCGCTTATTTGCATCATGATTATTGTGGAATGCGGTTGAGGTTGAGGCGTGTGGTCGCAATTGCCTTGCGGTAGCTGTTCAAGGCATGGTAGTACTGCGAATGGCATGCTGATTGGGGGTTCTTCAATCGGCCTGTCAAGAATGCTTGAAAAAGCTTGGTCATCGTGTTATAACGAGTGAGAAACGTTGCATTCTATCAGGTACCCGAATCGGGAAGAGCGCCCGAGGTGATCGACAGCTCGCTGTGACGTTCCAGCATATCCGGAGTGCGGGCTCCCTGCACAAGTCCGCAACCCCTCCCACCAATCGGCGTAAGCAGCTTGTCGTTGTCCCACTCAGGAGGCCCTGAGAGATGGTTGCAGCTCGAGCATGATCAGTTGTCTGAAGTTGCAGGCTGAGTGCAATACGGGTGCTGCTAATTGTGCGACGGGCATGCGAGACGTGAGGTGGCTGTGCCAATCAGCAAGCATTCAAACCTTGGTTCAGCCCTGCAACAAGGGTCTACGCTCAGGCTAGAGATTCGACGCGAAGACAAATATTGACAAGAGAAGGCGTTATTAGAACAGGGAACATGTAAGCGATGGTATGTGCTCCATGCTCTGATGTCTCGTCGATGGAGGACATCCATTCCGCCCCGAGTTTCGGGGCTTGAAGGCCTTCTGGTCAGCAACTTGTTGCTGCTACTCGGTATCTAGCAATGAATTGTAGTCGTGATCAAAGAACGACATGTTAGCATCGAATGTCGAGCCTCGAGATACTGACGACACATCATTGCAGCGAGGCATTGTACAGCAGCTGACGAGGGTGAGACTAACGCCACAGCAAAGTAAGGCTTTCAAAGGACGTCAAGGAAACACGTAACGTAGAGGATTCTCCTCGTCGTCCGTCCGCTGCTGTCGAACACGGAAGGTGCGAAGACATGTAGGAAGAAGGTGGAGCTACAGCTATGAAGTTGTCAGCGGCTCTCGAGAAACCGGGAAAGCTGGACATAAGGTCTGTGCGTGTTGAATGCAACACTCACTTTTTGAATGAGCAGAACAACCACATTAAAGCGAATTTGTATTATAATTATATAGCAAAACGCTAAGTACTTAGCTGCCTTGCCATTGTACTTTTTTTTAGTGCATGGAGGCGTGCTGGGCAGCTGTCTATAGTTCTGTTCACGCGCTTCTTGTCAAGAGGAGCGAATAGGTTCAGAATTTTGTGAGCATACAAAGTCCTCCTCGTATTTCTGGTGTAATGTCTGAGTTTTGAAGCCTTCTGCACCTTTTTGTCCTCTTGATATCATTCACAGTAGGCTTTGGCACCTTGAAACTCCTTGCAATGCCCTCATACTGCACGTGTATTCCATGACTTGACAAAACCACTTAGCACCCATCATCCTTAAGCGCTGAGACGTGAGAACCTGGGGAGTTTTCTCCTCCTCTGGCAGCACCAACTTGCATGGATGGGTTTCAAACGCTGCACAGATTTGCTTTTGTGATCAGCTCCATAATTCTGCAGCTTCGAGAATTAAAAAATGTATTGTATTTGTGGTTGTAGAGAGCCTTGAAGTTGAGTACTCTCTTATTGTTGAGATGGCGCACACGCACAGACCCTTGTCCGGCTTTCCCGCTTTCTCGAGAGAGCGGCTACAGCTGTGACAATTCGGACCAAAGTCGCAAACCCAGAGTACATTGGCAAGGAATTACCTGATTGGTCCGAAAAGCGCACAATTGCTTGTCGTTTGTTGAAGCGAACGACTGGTGGAACTAAAACGACTATCCACACGTCTTCTAAACGCCTACAGTCACAGCATTGTGTATTGACTCACATTGCTCAAATTTTCTTGAGTATATATACAGCTTTTCCAGCCTTATTTACTTGTCCCCAGCGCTGTATACAATGGAAGTCTACGAACATTCTCCCACGTCATCGAACCTTCAGAAAGCTCTTAAATCCGCTCTTCCATGCAGCATCAATCTAGTCTATCGCACACAACACCCCTATCAATCAGAGCACGCACACATACTATCAACAATCCCCCCATCAGCCACAGACGTGCCAAAATGCTGGGCAGCAGCATACATCGACCGCTCCATGCGCCCGGGAACCGAACTCTGGCTCTTCGCCGCTGGAGAAGACCCAAATCACGCAGCTGAACAAGACGGAGCACCAAACAGAGTCCCGGATGGAGCATCAAACCACTCTACCTCAACCAAAAGATTCTGCCCACAATGTAGACTCGCCGTACTATCGCTACTAGACAACATGTACACACTGCCCCTCCCACCCCTCCACCCAGATGAACAACCCTCTCTGGAACTAGCAAAGCAGCACGAAAAAGAACATCCCGAGTCCGGTCCCGACGTAGTCTACGACCTCTCCCCAGGAACATACATGCGGCACCTGCTCTGGCCCGGGGTCGTCACACTAGGCGCGTGCCACCACTCCATCGTCTCTCTATGTCGCGAAGCGGGGATCCTGCGCTCAGAACTCCCAGGCGTGAACGCCGTGCTCAACAAGTTTCTGTTCAGAATCACGGACCTGCCGAGCGTCAAAAGCTTGCCTGAAGGATTGAGGTGGGGCGAGATGAGGGAACGCGATCTACCGACTGTACAGGCGCGGACGAGTATCCCGCGGGCGATGCGCACACTGCTGAGTCTGAAGAGTGTGGGCGTATTTGAAGAAGCTACGGATAGGGCTGTGGCGTGGACGTTCCTGGGGCTGGATGGGAGTCTGACAACGCTGCATACGGAGCCGGAGTGGCGGGGCAAGGGGATTGCGAAGGCAGTTGCGGCGAGGATTATTGGAGAGTGTGCACCGGGGTTGGCGGTGGATGAGAGTGAGATGGCGTGGTCGCATGCAGACGTTTATGTGGGCAATGCGCAGAGTGAGAGTGTGTGTAGGAGTTTGGGGGGAAAGGCGATGTGGGAGCATTATTGGGTGAGGATAGATCTCTCGAAAGCAGGGTCACTGGCGAAACATGCATCACAAGATGTAGACGGTAGAATATAGATCACGCATGCAAAAGTAGAAGATGGTTTGAAGAATCTTGGGTATCTGATTGATAGTCAGCCTTATGCTCTTCGAAATGCAAGGTTCGAACAGGTTAGGTATGAAGTGCTCAGGAAAAAATTAGAGTTGTGTTGCGTTTAGATCCTCATAGAGATCAGGGTTAAAAAATTATCATCATCGCGGGGGTAGTAAGGAAGAGGAGTAAGCTTACCATTGGCTGAATGAGTGCTGCTGCTCGAACGAGCACCACATGCAGTCAGTTGATTTGAGAAGTTCATCTTGTCGTATTGTCGTTGACTCTATATCATCAAGACGTCGCTCAACAGGCCGTGGCCATGCAGGCTGATCTCTGACGAAGTCGTTGCGAACGCACATGCTTAGTCGAAAAGACCAAAGCCCATGTCATCGTCCTCAGACTCCTCCTTCTCCTCCTCCTTAGCAGCCTCAGGGGCAGCCTCGGCAGCACCGCCGGAAGGAGCGGAGCCAGCGGCAGGGCCAGCAGAAGCGTACTTGTCAGGGTTGGCAATACGGTCCTTGAGCTCAGCAATCTCCTCCCACTCGTAGTTGGTCTCAATAGCAACAGAGAGAACCTTCTTGTAAGAGTTGACGATGGAGTGCATGACGGAGGGCAGGGTGGGGAAGTTGGCGGCCAGCGAGATGGAGGCGATGGTAGCGATGGCGCTGGAGAAAGCCTTCAGGAGCTGGGACTCCTCGATGTCAAGGACGGAGGCAGCGAAGGTGTTGCCGTTGTCGTAGATCTGGTAGATACCCATACCGTAGGTGAAGGGAGAGATGTTCAACATGTTGAGCAGGGTAGCCTCGGAAGCACCGACCTTGCTGCCAGCCTCAACGAGCTTGAGATCGGAGGTAATTTCGATGGTACCACGGGCAATCTTGGTGGGGACACCGAGAGCCTGGAAGAAAGAGGTCTTACCAGGCTCCATACCAGTGTTACCAGCGGGGACGAAGACATCGCCAGGGGCGACGGCACCGGCACGAGCGGGGGCGGCGACACGGTTAGACAGGATCTTGTCACGGATCTCCTTGAGGTCACCGTTGGTGAAGACGAAACCGACGTTGCCTGTTCACTTGTCAATGGCACGCGCTGGAGCGGCGCGCGGAGCTAGACGTACCCTTGACGTGGGGGAGGAGACGCTCGTACTCGGGAGAGTCGTTGATGAGACCCTTGAGCGCACGGCGGACCATGGTGTTCTTGCCCATCAGGACAACACCCTCACCGCGGAGGGACTGACGGATCTCGTGCATCTGCTGCGACGAGACATTGTCGACGGTGACAATGAAGATCGAGGAGTACTCCTTGAGGAGAGACTCGAGCTTCTCGAAGTAAGCGGCCTTGGTTTCCTTCTTGCCCCCCATTGTGTTCGGTGTGACGCAAAGGGATGTTTAAGGTCTTTAGTTTTGGTGAGGTGGTGTTGATGGTGTTGTCAGCTGCAAGCTCGGCGAAGGGAAAATTGACTGTGGTGTGGCTCGTGCGCACGACATCACGCTAGCCGGACGAGGCGAGGCGGCTCCATGGAAAAAGCAGTGACTTCGCGGTGCATGTTGGTAATGAACGTAAACTAAAAAGATGACTTCCCCTTACCAGTGCCTTGTCGCGCGCGAGTCAACAGAGACTGGACCGGGCGGATGGACGCTTTTTGGCGCCTGCGGTTCCACGCTCGTTGCACAGTCTAGCAGTGGAGGCACCTCTGCTTGGACGAAGCCAGATGACCCTGTGACAGTGAGTGGTGCATTTCCATGTGGTCGCGATTGCAGCGTGTTGTGGAAGTTGCAAAAGGCGTGAAGATGAGCTAATGTAAGCAGGAAACCCAACCTCAAGATGAAGAAACAGAAGGACCACCAGAGAAGAAAGTAAAGTTGTCGCAACCACCAAAACAGCAAAAGGCAAATTTCTCCAACTTGATCGTCTCAAGCGATGGGCGATACTTGGTCGGTGTCACCGGCGAGGACAAGTGCATCCGTGTCTTCGAGACCGACATTACAAACCAGTTACGGCAACTCAGCGAGAGGTAGGAAAACTTGAAACTTTTCAGTGCCAAAGCTCACGTTTATAGATGCATGACAAGAAGGCCTTGCTCGATCGCCTTAACATCAGACGACTCGACAATATTGTGTGCAGACAAGTTTGGAGATGTCTACTCCCTGCCTCTGCTTCCCTCACCAGACTACCAAGCACCTGAAGCCCCAGCACCAGAGCCAACCAAGGAAGCCGAATGGGTGCCCTCCGCAACTGTTCTCACCGTCCACTCTGGCAGGAATCGTAAAACTCTGGAAGACCAGCTGAAGCAGAAGAAGAAGGGACCTGCGCCCCCGAAGGACGACATGAAATTCGAACACCAACTCCTTCTCGGCCACGTCTCCATGCTTACAGATATCGTCAACGCTGAGGTGGACACCCGCAGATACATCATTACAGCAGACCGAGATGAGCACATTCGCGTTTCTCGGGGGATACCGCAAGCCCACATCATCGAAGGATTTTGCTTTGGTCACGAGGCCTTCATCAGTAGACTGTGTCTCACCCAGTCCGGTCGGCTTGTGTCTGGTGGTGGGGATGCAGATCTGTATGTTTGGGACTGGCAAAACTTCAAGCTTCTTGAGAAGCTGCCACTTCTTGACGCCGTTGCGGACCATCTCAAGTCTCGCTCTGAACTCGCAGTGGGGGAGATCTCGAAGGTAGCAGTGTCCGGTATCTGGAGTGTGGCATATCAGGACGAGATACTTGTGGCGTGTGAGGGTGTCCCAGCTCTGTTCTCGTTCAAGGTGGGCGCAACGACAAATTCTGGCAGCGCATCCACAGAGTTCAGCAGCGCAATAGCGCTCAAAGGCAATGCGCTCGATGTTGCCTTCCTGCCGATATCTCCAACATCGTCAGTGGTGGTTGTCTCTATCGATCATGTGCACAAGCCAGGTTCCACCAAGGAAGCCCGCGAAGACAAGGTAGGACATGTTGCAACTATAGCGGCTTCCACGCCACTGACAATTGCACAGGACGTATCTCGTCTACAGTGCTTCTCTGCCGAAGAGAACGGCAAATGGCAGGAGGACTCTCACACATCGGAGGCGTTAAAGTCGTTTCACGACCAAGTATTCGACGTCGAGGCTGGCGCAATCGGCGGCGATGATTCGGCGACCGGCAACGGAAAGGGTCTGGGGTCGGCAGATGATAAAGCACTGCGAGACATGCTCTACAATGTGGAGAACCTCAGGAAGCGTCCAGGCGCTGAGGATTAGGTAGTCGACTAGTGCGACAACGCTACAAGTGACAAAGCTGCCCCTCCGGCTACATGTGTGGTGCATGTGCGTGATGGAAGATGACGCGTGACGTGTGAGGTTCTGGGCCTGTCTGGCATGTGCATCGCAGCAATCAGATCCGAACAGCAGCCGGCATGGCAGGGACCTTTACATCCCACACATCTGCAGATGTTGGGGGACACGAAGGCCACGTAGGTTCGGGACAGTCGTACTAGATTAAGCTTCATCATCACTGTCACATTTGAAGTACATGTTGGGCATTGATCACGATGCCGTCTTTGAGGCTCTGGCCAGGCCAACATGTGCACCATAGTTATCAGATCAAACGAGCAATGCCGTAGGACGCCGATATGCAACTGCAAGGACAGGCAGCGGTGGCCGAGGCTAACGAGTCGATCGATACGGACGCCTCGCTGCAATTGTGTCAGTTTTGCAGCAAAAAGCCTGCGAGCTATGGTGGAGTGGGTATGATGGGAGTCTAGTACTCTGCGATTTCTAAGAGACCGGGATTATCAAGCTAGCCCGACCGGCGCCGATGGCGTATCGTGAGCACCAGCATTTTTTCCCAGGCCCTCTCTCAAAACTCGCAACAACACCACTACTCTGACACTACAGCAGTACAGTCAAGGTGAGTGTCTTTCTTGCGGCTCGGGGACACCCATAGTCAGAATAACGCACTGCTAACACCGCGGGTATTGCAGTACTGACCGCTCTCACGAACAACCCCTCCGTCACTCGGCTCGTCGTCACCTCACCTACGTCACACGGAACCTCGAAGCTCCAGCATCGCCGTAAACGTGCAGTTAGCATTCACCAGGAACCAACTTTCAAAACCTCTCTGCGCAACCGTCCCTTGTGAGCCACCTTCTGCGCCACCGCCCCTCGTGAGCCACCTTCTGCGCAAACGTCCCACATCCCCCTTTCGCGATCCACTTCTACGATTGACACGCGACAGTCGCACGCCGCCAAACTGTTTGCCTCAATCTTTCGCCGGGCGACTCCACGAACAGTATCTTTATTCTCGCTCCCTGTAGCTGCCACTGCTTCGCATAACACACGCACCACTCCTGTTGTGGGGCTCTCCAAGGTAGATTCGCGAAAGATGCACTCAAAACTTGTCATCATTGGGTATGTTCGAGCCCATGAACTCTAGCAATGCAATGTGTTGCCGGACGCTTTCCTGTACAGAATGGAAACTGACTTCTACAGCTCTGGGCCAGCAGGCCACACCGCCGCCATCTATGCCGCCCGCGCTGACCTGAAGCCCGTCATGTACGAGGGTTTCCTCGCGCTTGGCATCGCCGCAGGAGGCCAATTGACCACCACCGATGAAGTCGAGAACTTCCCCGGATTCATGAAAATCCAAGGCTCCACGCTCATGGTCAGTACCCACCACACTCACAGATCTGACCGGCGTCGAACTGACTATTCACCAGGACCAAATGCGCGCCCAGTCCGAAGCCTGTGGCACCGAAATTGTCTCGCAAACCGTCGCAAAAGTCGACCTCAAATCCCGCCCGTTCAAGTACTGGTTGCACCCGATGGGCGACGACGAGGAAATCGAGGAGGAAGAACACACCGCCGACTCCATCATCATCGCTACGGGTGCCAAAGCGCGCCGTCTCGATCTACCGGGTGAGGAGAAGTACTGGGGCTATGGCGTGTCCGCATGTGCCGTGTGCGACGGCAGCCTGCCCATGTTCCGCGACCAGCCACTCGTGGTCATTGGCGGCGGCGACTCCGCGGTCGAAGAGGCGCTGTACCTGACCAAGAAGGCGAAGAAGGTCACCGTGTTGGTTCGCAGGGATAAGCTGAGGGCGTCGCGCACCAACGCCAGGAGGCTGACTACCCACCCCAAGATCGAGGTCATGTTCAACACGGGCGCGAGTGAGATCAAGGGCGAGGAGAAGAAGAACGGGCTCATGACACACCTCGTTGTGAAGAACAACGTTACCAAGGAGGAGCAGACTATCGAGGCCAAGGGACTTTTCTACGCCGTTGGTCACGACCCCGCGACGCAGCTTTTCAAGGGCCAGCTTGATATGGATGAGGATGGTTACCTGATTACAAAGCCGGGTGAGGGACACACAAGTGTGGAAGGTGTGTTTGCGGCTGGTGATGTGCAGGATAAGAAGTACCGCCAGGCGATCACCAGTGCCGGTAAGTCCATCAACCTCCCTCCCCTCTGGAATACGAACGGAGGCTAACGGGAATACAGGATCTGGCTGTGTCGCCGCACTCGAAGCCGAGAAGTATCTCGCCGAGCAAGATGACAACGTTGGCAACGAGCTCGAGATGGAGAACCAGGCCGAGAAGAGCCAGACCAACGGTGTCGTGCCCGAGTACCGCTCCAATCCCCTCTTGTAAGCCACAAGATCTTGTAGACGGCAAGTTACGTTTCTTTCGATATAGACTTGGGATCTTGGGAGGCATTTAAATGGGTGTATTGCATCGGGTAGCGCAGGTTGGCTGGAGCTTTTGCTTGGTGGCTCGCGATATGGCATAGACTTGGTTAGAAATGGGCGTGCGCAATGGAAACATGGAATTATCGATTTATTACGTTTCAGTTGGGTATCTAGTGACTTGTGTGACAGTAACTTGACACTTCAGAACATATGCATAGCGCGTAGATCGAGCGTTGCGAAGTGGCGACTACGCATAGATGTGATACATGGATATCGATGCGATCATAAGAACGTGCAGGACAGCGCCCTCGATGGGGCGCAAGGATGCTGTGTATTGGATGATATGTCCGCATACTTGGCTGGATATGTAGCTGGGACACGGGGTGGGTGATGACTGAGATATGCGGCTCCTGACGAGCATCAACCACGGAACATGCCATTGGCTTTGAGGAGGTTGAGCGCACTCTCGAAGGCTCTCACCACGTTGATGTCTGTGGTCGTCAATGTCTGGATAGAGCAAGAGCGACAATGTTCTTACAATGGTTCCTCTTGTTCTCCAGTTCGTCCTCCTCGTTCTGGACATAGATCGTTCTCGTTTGTAGCCTGGCCTTCGTTAGTGCATGTACGGGCAAAGCATGATGCCTTCAACTTGCCTTTGGAACGTTCGGTCTGTCTCGTGCTCATGTCCAGAGTTTGCCCAGATACGGAAGTACTGTGTTTGGTCAGTCACGCATCAAATGACATGTGAGATGGCGGAGCAGCACCTCCATCAGACTGTTCCATTCTCCCATCGAGCCAGCTTCTTCTTGGCTGCATTGATTGATAGCCTCGTGATACCTCTGATGCAAGTCGCCCCAGTCAAAGTTGGCAATCTGCACTGCAGGGTCGGCGTCTTCCTCATCAGAAGCCTCTTGTTCTGCCTCGACGTCTGGATGTTCTTCAGAGTCGTCACTGCCACGCTGTGCTGAGGCTGGTCGTTCCGTATCGTCAGAGTTTACGCGTTTGTGCCTGGGGCGTTTGGGTGTTTGCTGTCCGTCTGGGGGAGCTGCAGGCTCAGATTTGGAAGCAACATCATCCATCGGAGGCGTTGAGTATTGAGTTAGTCTTGGTGGCGAGGAGTAGAATGGGCACGCGTCTTCCTCTGTGAGGGACGACTCACTCTCGTTGCTCATCCGCGATGCTGTTTGATGTGGTCAGTGCTGTGAGTGAGTGAACGATCAAGAGTCGCGCAGCCTCTCCCACATCAAGGAGATGAGATACTGCGTGACGTCGAGCCTGACCGACGTTCAGACAGTTGCTGAGTTCTTGTGAGCTGTGAGTTATGGAGGCCGTAGTCTTCCACAAACAACGCCATCCGCTTTCGGCCAGCGCAGCATGACGTGCGGCTGGTGCGTCTGACTCGTGCGCGCGCTTCGCGCCTGCTGCCTCCGTTACACTACGATCTTCTGACCGCCAGGTACTGTACTCTTCTCTTCTTTGCTCTTCTTCTCTTTCGACTCTACATACTGCTATGACAACGTAGCTTACCCCACGAAACCATTTATTGGCTGTCCCAGTCCATGGATCTGTAATCACGCACGTTTCCCAGGGCAAACCTCCATTCATCATGGTCCCGCGGTACCCTTCTCGGCCACCACTCCACGGACCTCAGGGAGGCGAGATCACCCAACACCACCGACATGGAGTGCGACATCTGTGGGAAGGCCGGCAGCCAAGGCCATGCGCTGCACTGCATCACCTGCGCCCGCTCGTACCTCGAACAGCCCCGCATCGAGCTCGCGAAGATGCTCATCGACAAGGACGGCGTCGAGAGACACGTCAAGGCCGTCATACAAGGATCAGAAGACAGTTCGAGCGTGTCGCTGTCCGACTCAAAAGGGGGGTTCCTTGTCGACCGCCAGCTATGCACCGACAACTTGAACTGGCAGCGCACGAGGATGGAGACGGTCGAGATTGAAGAGAGGATGACAGTCATCACGGAGCAGGCAGCCCGTCTCCGGGAGCAGATGGAGACTGTGCGGAAAGAGCTCGAAGCCAAGCGAGCGGCGAACGCGCAACGCAAGTCAGACTTGTCCTCTGCTACGTATGGTATCGACTCGCGGCGTGCCAACGAGCTGGACAAGGTGCAGCAGATGGTCAAGAGGATGGACTACAAATCCGGCAAAGTGCACTACGAAACGATCGAGCAGCGGAGACAACTATGCACAACATCTGCGAACCTCGCCGGGCTGAAGATGAGTAAGAGGAGGACCAAGGATGGAGGTATCAAGGAGGTCGTCAATATTGGACCGGGCACGAAGCTGCGCATATGGGACCTTCGAGATATGGACGACGCTCCGCCAGACTATCTTTCTGCTTCTCTCGCTGCTGTCGCCCAGCTGCTTGTACGCGTTGCTGCCTACCTGGGCATACGCCTACCCGCCGAGATTACATTGCCTCATAACAACTATCCTCAACCTACGATTTTCAGCATCGCCTCCTCATACCAGGGCAAGAAAGTACCGTTTCCAGGCACTACACTCTCCGACTCTTCGAGCAGTAGCCCTGAGGCCTCTCGCACCCTCGACCCGCGCATGCCTCTTCCAAAACCTCGCGCCTTGTTCATCGATCGACCCCTGGCTCACTTGTCTGCCGAAGATCCTCCAGCCTATTCGTCATTCATCGAGGGTGCCTCGTTGCTTGCTTACAATATTGCCTGGCTCTGTCGGACGCAGGGCATGAAGGACAATTTCAAAGACTGGGAGGACGTTGGACCTATGGGGCGCAACCTATATCGACTCCTGATCTTGCAGGAGACGTACATTCCACGACGTCCAGAGAACCCGCTCGACAAGGATATGAGCACTGTCAAGTCTGCAGCGTCATCCCTGCGAAGGGGGCCAGTAGGCTTTGGCCAGCTGTCACATGCTACGTCGCACTCGTACATGAGCATGGCAGAAAACGCACAGTACCTCAGCGGGTGGAGCCTGACGCCCACCAAGATTCTTGACGAGCTGAAGGCGTTCTTGCTAGTGGAGCAACAGGCGCAGGAGTGGGATGTGCTTAACCAGAAGGAGTGGGAAGATATGGAGAATCTGATCGCAGAAGACCCCATCATGGTGGGCGACAAGCGATGTAACGCAGGCTTAGATGATGGTCGCAGCTACATCGCCACGACCACCGCAAATGGGACGCAAAAGGACGACATGTCTGAGGGTGGACTTTCTGAGCGTAAGAAGGGGACGAGTGGGTGGACGAAGGTCAAAAGCAGGAGTGAGGATGTGGTGCAGAGATGATACCCTAGTAACGTAGTATAGACACATGGTCGCCGACTTGGATTCCTACTGAAGTTTGTGCTCTCGGAGTGTTCGGCGTGTTGCAACCATGCCGTAATGCTGCTGCATGCTCACGTACCTTTGTACCTTCCACACTCGTCCACCCTGTCCGTACCTGCCGATCTGGTATGTATCTGGTATGTAAGCATGCCAGGGCCGATGTAAAGCGATCGGAGAATACAATCACGCCTTACAAGCTAACCCCAGGGTCGCGAAACCAACGCGCAGCAAGACGGCCGAGGTGGCCGTCCGTGTTTGTAATGTCTCAGCGGGCGAAGGCCATGATTAATCGACTACTGAGAAATGCTCGCATGGTACGGCACTCGCATTCCCGTATATAAGGGCAGCCAGACGCAACGATGGCGAGAGTACCAGTCTCTCTCAGGATCTCAGGGTCCTACCACACCCTCTTGTGCCATCGGCAAACCAAGGCATAACGATCGAAGTTTTACGTTGAAGAAGACCACACGCCCCCGCAACATACGGCGCGCTAAGAATTTCCTGAGAAAAGTTACATTTGCTTGACACATTGAAATCGAGCTGTCGACTCGCCTCCTGCATATCTTGACGGCTTTCCTGCGCAATTGTCTTCTGAAAGCTGCAAGACACACGAGAAGTTGGATTTATCACCATGACGCTCCCCGAACACCCCATCGACACCCCGCCGCGCGCACCGAGTCCAGTGCACAGGTTCGGCACCCTGGCTGTTCACGCCGGAAGCCCGCACGATCCCGTTACTGGGGCTGTAATTGAGGCTGTGAGTGCAACATCTGTCTGTGTTGAAGGACACAGAGGCTGACGGTGCAAGATCTCCCTTTCTACGACCTACGCGCAGACTGCGGTGGGAAAGCCGGTGGGCGAGTACGAGTACTCGCGCTCATCAAACCCCAATCGGTACGCTCCCGCGGTGCTCCACCAAGACGCCGCAAGCTAACACGTCTCTCCAGCGACAACTTCGAACGCGCCGTGGCCGCGCTCGAGCACGCCCGCTATGCGCTCGCCTTCAGCTCCGGCTCGGCGACGACCGCCAACATCCTGCAGTCGCTCGCCGCAGGGTCGCACGTCGTATCCGTATCCGACGTCTACGGCGGCACGCATCGCTACTTCACCAAAGTCGCGCTGACCCACGATGTCAAAGTCACCTTCAGCCCGTCCATTGAGGTCGATATCGAAGAGCTGATCCGCCCAAACACAAAACTCATCTGGATCGAGTCGCCCTCCAACCCGACCCTGACCCTCGTCGACATCCGCAAGATCGCCTCCATTGCGCACCAGCACGGCATCATGGTCGTCGTGGACAACACCTTCATGTCGCCGTACGTGCAGAACCCGCTGGACCACGGCGCCGACATCGTCGTGCACAGCGTCACAAAGTACATCAACGGACACTCGGACGTCGTCATGGGCGCCGCCGCCTTCAACTCGCCCGAGCTCTTCGAAAGGCTCTCGTTCTTGCAGAACGCCATCGGCGCCGTCCCCAGCGCATTCGACTGCTGGCTCGCGCACCGCGGCCTCAAGACGCTGCACCTGCGCGCTCGCGAAGCGACCAAGAACGCCACCGGCGTCGCGACCGCGCTCGAGGCCAGCAGCCACGTTGTCTCAGTCAACTACCCCGGTCTGGACTCGCACGCGCAGCGCGCGATCGCGCTGAAGCAGCACCGCGACGGCATGGGCGGCGGGATGCTGTCCTTCCGTATCCAGGGCGGACACGAGGCCGCGGAGCGCTTCTGCCAGGCGACCAAGATCTTTACGCTGGCTGAGAGCTTGGGCGGCGTGGAGAGTCTGGTTGAGGTGCCGAGCGCGATGACGCATGGGGGTATTCCGAAGGAGCAGCGCGAGGCAGCGGGTGTGTTTGATGATCTTGTGCGGATTAGTTGTGGTGTTGAGGATGAGGCGGATCTGGTGGCTGATGTGCTGCAGGCGCTGGAGAAGGCTGTTGTGGGGCCCAAGATTAAGAACGGTCTTCCCTAAGCACCAGCTTCTTCAAGCGTCAGGCATGGAGTAGGTCATCTGCTCGCAAGAGGAGGAGATATGGTGATTCTGGCAAAAAAGGGCGGTCTAATAAGCACATGAACATGACTCGGCGTTACTGATGAATTCTAGACGACAAACTCCTTTATATCCCAATCCCCAACGTGGGAAGCGTAGCTCTAAGGCGAGCTTTATACTTTATAGATACCAACAATTGCATTGCTCTTACTCCACGAACGTTCAAAGCTTACTGAGCGACCGACTGACAAGATCATCCTGGCAGAGTCTTCTGTCGTTGGGCTTATCTATAGTGGGGCGTGCAATGTGCATGTCGTTCCTGTTCATCGGCAATACATCGCTGGGCGTGTCTCGCAAGCCGAGCGTACGAATTCAGCATCAGTGATTGGCAGTGATTGGCAGTGATTGGCATGGCCGAATTGAGCTGGCCAGGAAGCAAGAGTAGCGATACCACCGCAGAATCCGCGGAACCCGGTCAGGCTTTTCTTCCGGACCATATCACTGCATTCGAGAGAGGACCACCAGCCTGGTTAGCTCGCGCCAAGCTTGAAGGGGTAGCAGTGTGCAAGACCGACATAGTAGTCTGTGTGGGAAGGGCTTGGAAGTATGTACGTGATGTTGTGACTGGTTCGTGCCTTCCGTGAGGATATGTTGAGCTTGAAGTCAGAGTTCACGACGTGCAGGTAGAAGTGTACTTTGAAGTGCTCCGGCGTACACATTACCAGCCTATTAAAGTCTCTCCCTGTAGGCACTGTGCGGAGGCAGTCGAATCAGGGTCATGAGGTAGGGTGATCTGCAAATCCTGAGAATCATGATACATGGATATATCAGTGTCACGTCCACTAATTTATTGTCGAAGCACATCTGCATGTCCACCGCTCAGCACAAGTGTAGGGTGTCTAGTGAGACGATGGCAGATGCCCCGGACAAGGAATGGAAGGATCGCTCAAATTGATGGTAGCTTGCTCTGACATACAAACGCTCATGTTCGTGAACCTCCCTTTTTCATGATTCAAGGAAAGAGATTGATCGTTATTGATGCAACTCCAAATAACTCGCCCAACATGCTCTCAGAGCCGAATTGTCGTTGGAGACGCTATAACGTACAGTCACTAAGAGGTAGCCTGGTGAGTGCGCCTCCAAAACGTGCATTGGGTCATCTGCCGATGCCATCCCGGTTAACGCTGTGATAGCGCTCAACGTGGCTGCAGTCAGGCGGAGGGAATATGGCCGGATAGGAAGAAGATCCGTACAAAAGATCCTTTGTGGAGGCTCAGGTCACGTTGAAAAAAAAAACGGGCAGAAGACAGACAGTCAAACCCGATTGATGTCATGAGAAAGCGCCAGATTCATCAGAGGTGGAAGTGAAGGGAGCGACAAGGCGCCGATAGTCCGTCGTACACGCGCAGAACGCGACGAAAGAGAAAGCATGGCTCAGGGACGCATTGGTGACTTTGACGTAGTTGCTGGACGCATGAAAGTGTTGTTTGGCGCGAAAATGGACGTGGGACTTGACGGGCGTGTTGTTGTCGATGAGGTGAGAGTAAAGGTAGGTACGAAGGCGGTTGGCGCTAACGTGCAGTGGGATAGGGAGCAAGTCAAGTACGGGAAGGAGCGTTGATCACAAGCATCGACGGAGCAATTCAATTCGAAGTCTGAAATTACCACATGCATTTTCAATTACTCCCGCGATCCATACTCAGATCGCAAATATGCTCTGCGCAAAGGACGACCGTCTAAGAACGCCTTTGCCCAGTCATAGCAATGCTGTAAACAAGGAAAGCCACCGCTGCCCGGTCTATCGAAGAGAAAATCTCCTTTACGCTTTCATACATCGAAGCGTATTCTGCTCAGATATGCTTGGCTGTGATATGCGTAGCCAGTATGCCTGAACACCATCGTCATGCAAAACATCACCCCCAGAAGCCACGACGCCGTCCCCACTCCATTCTCCTCATGCTTCGTATCGTGCTTCGTTCGTCGTAAATCGTTCGCTATCAACTTTTCTCGCTCACATCTTACTGCGATGCGCACTGGACGCGCTCGGCACCAGGGTGCATGTCATCGTCATCATCGTCTGGGCTGGCCATGCCTCGTGCGCGTGTCTGCTCGCGTGTGGGGTCAACAGCTTCGAGAGTGAAGTCCTCAGTCATGGCGTTAGGAGGAGGTGTGGCATCGGGGGCCTTTCGTGGCGGCAGAACGGACTCGAGGGCGCGGATGTGCTCAGGTGTCATAGGTGTGCCGTCCTCGCCGCCAAGGCGCTCGGGGAACTTGACGTCAAACTGGATGTACAGGTTGCCGTGGTCGTGGTGCCTGTAGGATGGCATACCCTGGCCGCGGATAACCTTGACTTCGCCAGGGCTAATGCACTCGCCGGGGATGATGTCGACGGTCAACCACCGCTCGTCAAGGTGCTCGATGTGGATCTGGCCACCAGCAAGGGCGGTCAGGAGATCGATTTCGCAGTGGAAGAAGAGGTCGTCGCCCTTGCGCTGGAAACGGGCGTGCGGCTTCTGCTCGATCTCGAAGATGACATCGCCAGGCTCGACACCTGGAAGCTGGTCGCCTTCACCGCGGAACTCGATCTTGTGGCCGCTCTGGACACCGCGGTCGACATGGACGTGCAGAACCTTGCGCTCGATAATGGTCTTCTTGCCGTTGCACTGCTTGCACCTATCTTTGTCGCGGATGATCTCGCCCTCTCCCTGGCAGTCAGGGCAGACGGTCTGGAAGCGCTGGATCATGGGACCCATCTGCCTCATCATGTGCTTCATACCACGGCCATCGCAGCCAGCGCACTTCTTAACAGCACCCTCCTTACCACCGACACCGTGGCACTTGGGGCAAATGACAGACTTCTGTAGGGCGAGCTTGGAAATCTTACCGCGGTAGATGTCCTCGAGAGAGACCTTGTGGGTGTGGGAGATAGTACGCGCCTTCTTGGGGCCCTGCTCGCGCATACCACCGCCGAACATGCCTCCAAATGGGCCACCACCGCCGCCGCCGAAGAACTGCGCAAACAGATCCTCGGCAGCCATGCCGCCGCCGCCCATACCTCCCTGCTCGAGACCCTCCTCGCCATACTGGTCGTAGAGTTGTCGTTTTTGCGAGTCCTGGAGAACTTCGTATGCGTGTGAGAGGTCCTTGAACTTGTCGGCGGCGTCAGGGTTGTGTGCGTTTTTATCCGGGTGCCATTTCAGGGCGCCCTTTTTGTATGCGGACTTGAGCTGTGCTTCTGTGGCATCTGGAGACACCTGCGCCTGTTAATGCTGCTCTATTTTCCTCTTTCCACAAGGCTGTACATACCCCAAGGATGTCGTAAAACTTTGTGTCTTTCACCATGTTGGCGGTTGCGCTGCGTATAGTTGCGAAGACGAGGGGCTAGCGGGGTCGTAAAAGTGTGCGAGGGGTCGTAGGGAGTATATCGTGGGCGAGACAGGTGCGCGACGTCGCTGTGTCTAGAGATTGCAATGTCAGCGGCCGAGTTGTGGACCAGGGTTTGCTTTAACAAGCAGCTCAGCCTTGCGGAAGGCGCCCGTATCTTCTTTGCCGTGGAAGACTCGAACAGAAGGCGCTTACCAAGACTCGCCGGAAACGGGGCGCCGCTAGGGATGAGGAGAGAGATGGCACTTACGAGGGCGTCAATATCAGTGGTCGGCGATATTTGTTTTGTGAAGTCGCTGCAAGAGGCGAAAGCGTGGAGATTTAAAAGTAGTCAACCGGGATGTCAACTGCGCCGAGCTGCAGAAGATTCCAACTGATTCTATGGCCTTCCACCGCGACCCAACAGCCCAGAGCAGCCTGAAATCGATTCTCTGCCTGCACAAGCATTTCAGCTGCCCCCACTGATGGAACTGGTTTAACAAAATCCGGGAAGAAAACCTCAAGAGAGTTATTCAAGGCATTTCGTCACAAAGTGCAGTTCGTCGAGGCTTCCAATTTTGGAGCACTGAGTCCGTGCGTCCCCACCAATCGGCAAGGGTCGAGATCACCAGAAGCTTATCGCTGCGAAGCACCAGCGATTAGCGACGTTGGACCCTGATTGCTGTTCGTGATGCCACTTCTCTGCTGTGTGTGAGCTGCTCTCATCGAAATCTTTTACCATGTCTGCGCAAGATACTGGCTTCCAGGCTGCCTTACACGAGGCTCGTCGAGGCAGCAGCGAAGGCGGAGTGTCTATCGGCGCAGCCTTAGTCTCAGCTGAAGGCAAGATACTGGGCTAGGGATATAACATGCGTATTCAGAATGGCAGTGCTACTCTGCATGTCAGTGTCGCCCCATGGTGCCTGCCTCGACCCTTACGCTGACCATATCAGGCAGAAATATCCGCTCGAGAAAATGCAGGGCACCTTCCAGCTTCGGCTTACCAAGGTGCAACCACGTACACCAGCCTCTCGCCGTGTGACATGTGTACCGGTGCATGCGTTATGTACAATATCAAGAGAGTCGTCATCGGTCAGAACATATCGTTTGTTGGAGGTGAGGAGTATCTGAAGAGTAAGGGTATCGAGGTCGTGGTGCTGCAGAATGAGAGGTGCGAAGCACTGATGCAAAGTTCATCAAGGAGAAACCTGGAGATTGGTACGAGGATATTGGAGAGGATCAGTAGGTCATGCACGCCGTCTGGTTGCAAGCCTATCATTCGTGGCATTATGTCGTCAGCCTATGGATCTCTTCGAAGTAGAATTTTAGGTCGTCTGGTTTGACGAACGGTGTTATGCCTAGAGCTTGTTAGCACTTTGTATGCCTGTATATTATGTATGGGAGCTTACCATGACCAAGATTGGCAATCCAGCCCTGTTTCCCTCCACCAAATCCAGCAACCATGTTCTCGACCACCCTTGTGATCGACTCGTGGCTGCCGTACAGAATGCCTGGGTCTGCATTGCCTTGCAGGACTTTGCCCTTCGACTGTGCAAGTTGATAGGCCTCCGCTGGATCATGCAGCCAGTCCAAACCAATGGTGTTGTAGTTCGATTCGCAGAGTGCTGGCAATGCGTACCATGCGCCCTTAGCGAAGACGGTCATGGGAACGGGCTCCAGACCCTTCGATTTGATGCGCGCAGGCAGGTTGTCGGCGATGTAGTTCAGGTATGGCAAGGAGAACTCCTTGAAGGACTGGGGAGAGAGCTCGCCCGCCCACGAATCGAAGACTTGGATCATCTACAACAGTTAGTGTTCACCGTTCGCAATGGTTCAGAAGAGCCTACCTGAGCACCAGCCTCCACCTGCAAAGCCAAATACTCTACACAAAGCTCGGCAATCTTCTGCAGCAGCGCCTTACTGGCTTCTGGGTACTTGTACACCCATGTCTTGACCTGGATGAACATCTTGCTGCCACCACCCTCGACCATGTAGCTCAGAAGCGTCCAAGGCGCACCGCAGAAACCGATCAAAGGCACTCGACCAGCGAGCTTTTGCCTTGTCAAGGTGATGGCCTTGTAGACATAGTCTAACGATTCCTTCACATCGACCTTGCGCTCCATGACCTCCTTGTACTGCTCATCGTCTGGTGTCTGTAGCGGCTCGGGGAAGTGGGGGCCCTTCTTGTCCACCATGATGACCTCCATGCCCATTGCTTGAGGTATAACGAGGATGTCGGAGAAGATAATGGCAGCATCGACGAGTCCGGCATATCGGTCAATTGGCTGGAGAGTAAGGTTTGAGGCAATTTCGGGGTTGCGGCAGCATTCGAAGAAGTCGTTCTTGCCTTTTTCTTCGTGGTATTCAGGCAGGTAGCGTCCAGCTGTTTAATTGTTAGTTCTGCGAATGCACCGAGGTACAAATGTATAGCTTCATACCTTGACGCATCACCCACATGGGTGCACGCTCAACTTTCTCGCCTGGGAGACGTCAATATTATTGGTCAGTCAGTCATTGCCTTTCTGCTACTTACCCTTTGCAGTGCGTAGAATCAGAGTATTCTTCATAGGCCATTCTTCAAAAGACGGTGCCATTGTTGCTGTGAGGTGGAGTGTAAGAACGAGCAGCCTCGGAATTCTATGATGATGGAAGGAAGGAGCCACCTCCGACAAACCCCGCGCCTGCCCTCCTTTAGTCCCGCTAGACCGCATGCAGACGCGACATCTCGGACGCGCCTTCCTTTCGCTGAAGTGACATCGTCAACCAGAGATCATGCTTTTTAAGCATGCTCATTGTACGACGCATTTCAGACCGCTGACATTGTCGCGGAACCTCTTCCTCACTCCACGGCCGCACGCCAAAGCCCTGAGGAGCTCCTTTTCAAGCTTGACGCGACCTTGCGCGAAACCACGTGCAACGCAGCTTGTAGGTGCAACATGGAACCAAGAGTTGCAACGTCGAGGTGCGAAGCGGAAAGCCTCGCTCAACCTCGAAGATGTACCACAAGGTGCCATTGGGTCTGATACGTTACCACCTCAAGACGATGCTGAGCCAGACTATCCTCCACTGCTGCAGCAGGTCCGCAACAATATGCTCAAGTTCAACCATTGCGTATTGGTGACTAGAGTTGGTGGTTTCTACGAGGTATGTGTAAAATCATATGAATCAGCAGCATCCACTAACAGGACTAGCTCTATTTCGAACATGCTGACGAGTATGCTCCGCTATTGAACTTGAAGAAAGCCAAGCGGAAACCATCGAAGGGCAGTAAGAAACCTGCTGTGTCAATGGTGAGTAGATCATAGACCATTTTTGTGCAAAAGTTAAGATGAATAGGCCGGCTTTCCTGCCTATCAGCTGGACCGCTACCTCAAGATCCTTGTCCAGGACTTGAACAAGCATGTTGCCATCAGTGACGAGTTCATCAACGAAGTACTCAACAGGGCCAAAGGCGAGCTACAGTACACTCGACGAGTGTCTCGCATCATCACGCCCGGTACATTGATTGATGAACACTTTATGGACCCTTGGGAGAACAACTACCTCCTCAGCATCCACGTCGATCCCAAGACGCTCGAGAAGGACAAGGCTGTCACGAAATGTCCAGGAAGCTCCAACGTACCTTCAGTACTCAATCTACCTCGCACAGAGGTTGGCCTTGCCTGGATTGATCTGTCCAGTGGCGACTTCCTTACGCAAAGCACTGACATTGCATCGCTGCCCACTGCTGTCGCTCGCATCAAGCCCAGAGAAATCGTGCTCGATAGCATTTTTGAGGAGGCCGAGCACTCACGCATCGTATCCATACTGCAAGAAGACGGACACATCATAACTTTCCAAGAACCCTCACAAGAACCACTTGCTGTCAAGAACTGGATATCCATGCTGGAGGATGCTGTAGACGACTTCGATCCTGCAAACTTCACGTCTGGCGAAGTGGCTGCCGGTGGCTCACTTTTGCACTACGTCAAGAACCAACTGCTTGGTTCGCGGACACGACTACAAGCTCCAGTCAGGCACCAAGCTGAAGATCACATGAGCATCGATAAGAACAGCTTGAGGGCGTTAGAAATTAGAAGCACGATCCGCGATGGCACATACGAAGGTAGCTTATTGCACTCCTTGAAGAACACAGTCACCAGAAGTGGCACACGCCTACTCTCACAACGCTTGTGTAGGTGTAATCTATGTGTATTACCATAATATGCTAACAGATCGCAGCCGCACCGTCCATGTCTCTCTCTACGATCAATGATCGGCTCGACTTGGTCGAAGAGATGATAGAATATCCCCAGCTCAGGCAAGACGTCATAGCACTGCTCGGACAGACCTTCGACTCGCTTCGTCTGGTGACTAAGTTCACCTACGGTCGTGGCGATGCCGACGACCTTATGGAGCTTTCCAAAACCGTAGCTACTACTTCCGACCTATTTTATGTCGTGCGTGAACACACGACTTCCAGGAATGCGATTCCGGTCGACCCGAATAGTGAGGCCTCAGAGACCAGGCGACGGCACTGCATGTCTACGTTCGAGCGGCGATTCGATCTTGAAGGTGTATGTGAGCTTGCAAAGCGCATACGGTATGCGATTGACGAGGACGCGCTCTCTGAGTATCACCGTGTTGAAGATGAGCAGGCAGAAGAAATGTCGGAGTTGGCACAAGATGTCCTGGGCCGTGAAGCAGGCGAGGAGGACCTGAAAAACATGCCGAAGCGCATTCAGCCGAAGCCACACGCGATCACAGGCAGCTATAAAAGTGCCACAGACGGACGAGATGATATCTGGATCATGAAGCGCAAGGCAAGCCCAGCTTTACACCGACTGCACAAGTCCTTAGACTCCATGGTCGAAACCAAAGCAGAGCTCGAGGCTAGATTACGGCAACAGATGGATGTCTCCAGCTTGACGCTCAAGTGGACACCGAACCTCGCACATATTGCCCATGTCAAGGGTAAGGATGTGTCACGCGTCACACCGTACTTTCCCAAAAGCCTGAGCAGCAGCAAGTCCACACGTTCATTCCAGGTTCCCGAATGGACGCAACTGGGTGCACAGATGGACGAGACTCGCTTCCGAATCCGCAACGAAGAGCAGCGAGTGTTGGGAGAACTACGTGAAAGAGTTGTCCGTAACCTTGTAAGACTTCGCCGCAACGCAGCCGTGCTTGATGAACTCGATGTTGCGTGCGCCTTTGCTCTTCTTGCAGTGGAAAAGAACTTCACACGGCCTATCATAACACCTGGAACATCGCACAATATTGTAGGTGGCCGACATCCCGTCGTCGAAAGTAGCAGTAGCGATCAAGGTCGCAAGTTCACACCCAACGACTGCATACTCGACGACAAAGAACGCATCTGGCTTATCACTGGCCCCAACATGGCGGGCAAGAGTACGTATCTCCGACAGAACGCTCTGATTTCGATTCTCGCCCAGACTGGATCATTCGTGCCAGCCGAGTATGCGGAAATCGGTCTTGTTGACAAAGTCTTCAGTCGGGTTGGCTCAGCAGACAATCTCTTCCTCGATCAGTCTACCTTTATGGTAGAGATGCTGGAGACTGCTCAGATCCTTAAAGAGGCTACGCCGCGTTCGTTCGTCATCATGGATGAGGTTGGTCGAGGAACTGCCCCTGAGGACGGCATTGCGGTAGGCTACGCTTGCTTGCATCATCTGTACCATGTCAACCAATGTCGGACACTGTTTGCGACCCACTTCCACGCTCTTACTGATATGACGAGGGACTTCGATAAGCTAGCTTTCTACTGTAACGATGTCCGCGAGGAGGCGGACGGCAAGTTCTCCTACGTGCACCGGCTGAAGAAAGGTGTCAACCGTGAGAGCCATGCCTTGAAGGTTGCCCGAGTTGCAGGTAAGTCTGAAACCCCATGAGCAGACGCCACTTACTGACTGACATCAGGCCTTCCTGAGGATGCCATTGCAGTTGCTGCTAGGATTCGCAAACAGCTAAAGCTCGATTCATCTAACCCAATATCGGCTGCACACTCTGCCAAAACCAAGGCAACCCGCAAAGGTAAAGCTGCTGCCGCGGAGTGAGTCTCCACGCAGTTCACTGCTCGTGCTGTACGATACGCATTGTATCATATCATGTATAACCCGGAATAGCCTCTTTTGTTATCCCTCCAGCTCCAGCATTAGATACCCACCATCATGTACAATATACCGCTACGCGTGCAGCGCTCGTGTCCTGAACACAGATACCTCAATTAGGTACACCGCTCGTCACAGAGGCTTCACAAACAACCAAATTTATCATGCTCTGCATGCATCTGGTGGTACGAGCACTTGCCGAGCACAGCGCGTGTGGAGCACGATGCCCTAGGTTATCAAGCTCGTGCATGTACGCTCTTGAAATGGGATGGTGTGCTGAAGATAGAGCGCTCGTGCAACCAATCTCATCGCTGCTGAGCAACGTCGTTGACGCCGTGCGTGGCGAGCGCGAACTAACTTAGTTTACCCCACACTTTTGTACCCGCTAGACTACCTGACGTCCCGCCCGTATCTCGGTGACTTGACCTTCAAGCTTCCTCTTGTTCACTCGCTTTCGACAAAAATTTTCTTCAATTTACTTGTGTTGTAAGATCTCTCAAGATGGGCGAAGCAAAGCCCTCGTCTCCACCAGTAGCTCCCACCTCCTACCCCTCACCCCAGCAGATCTCGCCCCACCTAGCTCTTCAACCTCCACTATCCCGCCGCGGCAAAGGTCCAGGTCTTATTTTGGTTCTTGACCACTATGCGCTGATTGAGGCGAGTGAGCAGCATTTGGACCCCCCACCGCTGCAGAAATGGGCCGAGGAGGGTTTCGCAGTCGCACAGGTTCTTGTGCCGGGGAAGGTAGAGGATGGTGGCGAATTCCCATTGGATAGGGCGTTGGAAGTGCTTAAAGGGTGTGAGGAATGCGTGTTTGGGAAGGGTGTTGGCGTTGTTTGTGAGTTTCTTATTTTCATTGATTCAGGGTTAGAGATGGATCGGTTTGATGGAAGAGTTGGGAGCACAGCGATCAATGCAACTAGACATTGCATCCAGACAAAAAAGTTGAAAACTGATCCATAATCTAGCATACCTCTCCAGACTCCCTTTCTACGTCGAAGAGGGCGTAATCCAGCACCCCGAAATCCTTGCCGTAGTATCCTACGGCGGCCGCCAACTCTCCACCCTCCACGAAGCAGACACCGCCCTTCCTCCCCAACTCGTCCACGTCTCCGGTCCCAAAGTTGCCCGTCGAGAGTCCCTCCCCTTGAATCCCGATCCAGAGCCCTCGTACTCATCGCCAACGCCAACGCGCCCTGCCGGCATCGTGAAGACGTTCCGCTACGAAGATGCAACCAAAGACTCGAATTGGGTGCTCCCTGCTGATCCCACTTACTCGAAGCGCAATGCGGGGATTGCGCACGCAAGGAGTGTGGCGTTCCTCAAGCCGTTTCTGAATGGACCGTATTTTGATCTGGAGGCCGTGTGGGATGAGCATTGTTTGTATGAGTTTGGGGAGAGGGCGGTGGAGAAGACAATGGCGACTATGGTGGCGCAGCCTTATGTTAACCATATCCCGACCATGACGTGAGTCCCTGTCCTTGTTTGGTATTGATGGAGGATTGGCTCCCTGGGAACGACTACGTATTGGCTTGTACTAAGGAGCAGGAGCGTGCTGACATTCAGCAGGGGCGGAATCGGCAAAGAAAGACTAACAGCTTTCTACACGCACCACTTTATCTTCAGCAATCCGGACGACACCGCACTCTCGCTCGTAAGCAGAACAGTAGGCACCGACCGCGTCATTGACGAATTCGTCTTCTCCCTCACCCACGACAAAGAAGTGCCCTGGCTGCTCCCCGGCATCCCACCCACGGGGAAGAAACTCGAGATCCCATTCACGTCCATAGTAGCCATGCGCGGCGACAGACTGTGCCATGAGCATATCAGCTGGGACCAGGCGACCGCGCTGAAGCAATTGGATCTGTTGCCGGAGTATGTGCCGTTTCGACACCCGATTGATGGGAGGGGGGCTTCAGAGGGGAAGAGGTTTGAGGTTAAGTTACCGGTGGTGGGAAAGGAGACGGGGAGGAAGTTGGTAAATGAGGGGAGTGAGGAGAGTAATGCGTTAATGGGGAGGAGTTGGAGGGAGGTCGATGACGTGTGAAGGATATTTTGATAATTTTGCACATGTGTAGGTAGAAATTTGTAACAGTATTGCAATTGATTGAATCATGCGTCCATGGTAAAGGGATGTACGGGTCACTGACTGTTCGAATGCCGTGCACAGATGACTGCACTGCAACAGCTGGCAATCTAAACCACGGTTTCGAGCCGCTTGATTGCCAATCGCCCGATGGAAGCGCCCCAGTAAGGCCTCTTTCAGGATACAGTGCTCATACGCGTTTGGAACGTGACGGTGACATCGGGTTTCTAAGTACGGAGAAGCTGTTCCACGCGCGAACAGGCGGCGTCCAGCTCCTGCTGTGGAGGAACGTGGACGTCCTCGAATATCATTCCCATGACTTCCACATGTCTGTTGTTCGGCAGCTCAGTCAAGAACTCAAGACTCTTACTGTCGCCAAATTCGCCAAAGGAATCTGTCTGGTGGGTATACCAAATGCTTTTCCTTCCTTGGTATCCATACGTAGCAAGCTGCATGGGAGGAGCCAGGTCTCGGAACGGATTCGCCGACAGACGTGAAGAAGATTCATTCCCGAACAATTTTTCACGTCGTCACGGGGAAAGCTGCGGGGTGAAATGCAGAGATCTCCGGTGAAAACGTATGCGTAGATCTTGTTTCGAATTTCACCGGGGAGACGGAGTAGTGGAGCTGTCTCTACGTTACGCTCAGGTTCTGAAGTTTGTTAGTAAGCTTTGCTTTCTGAGACTTCGAAAGTAGGACTTGCTTTTCGAGACACTTCCTTTTGGTTTCGAACACGCGGCTTTTACTGAAACTTTGCGCCGCTTCTTGTCTTGCCTTCTGGTCACCTTTCTTCGAACTCCGCACGACAGTCCACAGGGTTGTTGAATCATCTTCGGTCGCCATCGTGACGGAATTGGTATATAGTTGCGGTGACAGTGGGTGTGAGGTGATATACGACGACTGACGAATGTGTTGTGCTATCGCCTATGGCTTGGCACTGATGCGTAGGCGAAGGTGAAGGTGTAGCATGCAGTAGTCTTTGAACACATCCGCTCCTATTTGCGCAAGCTACCTTCACCTAGCGGCCAAGCTTACTAGTCGCTCCTAACGCTTATAAAGCCTGCTCTTGACCACAATCTCTCTTGGTACCTTGAACTCAGTTGCATCGACCTCGCGCGAGCAGTACACACATCGAGTGTCAAAGTCACGACTACCTCCGGGCTGTAGGTACGTAACTGCAAGCCTGAACTTCGCTCTTACACATGGCCAATAATGACTTCGCAGGAACACAATGGCACCAGCTTCGAATGGCACCAACTTTCTGAGCCTTCCTGTAGAGGTTCGCAACAAGATCTATGCGCTCGCCTTGGGCGGTGACATACTCACGGCAGGTGAGGTACAACAGGTAGGAGTCATCCTCGTGACAGAAGATGGTTCAGGTCAAGTGGCCGGAAGCCAAGATCACGTTTCAGCGCGTGCAGAGCGTTGGTCAGGCTCACTAGTCAGGAAGATTTTGAGATAGGCTCAAGTTGCAGGTTACCGTGATTGAGGAGCTACAACAAACAGAGGTGGCAATTGGAACGTTGCGGGCAAAGGAAATATCGACATGGCAACATGATGTTGTACAGAGGTTGTATGTAAGCGGCAAATTTTCCCGACTGGACCGTTGAGCTGCTGCCTTGCATCTTGAACAAACCAGACGATCTTGAAGATGTCAGTGTATCGATGTTGGCTGCTGGTCCCGTGATTGGCACTGGAAGACAAGCGTTTGGAGATGTTTGCCAGTTCTTCTAGGTGGATCCTGCCCGGAAGTTGCTCCGCTCGTTCTTTCTTGCAGGAAGCTGGTCATATGGAGAAGGAAAGAGCGCACAGCCGCAAGGAGCTGCCTTCTCGAAAGCCGTTTAGTTGCTTCTGACGAACTCGAGCTCCTGACTTTCTCGGATCGCTGAACACGCGTCTTCATTCCAGAGTATTGATTTCTGCCGTTCGTGTTGCAAGAAAGATGACGTGCCATGCCGAACAACCGTTGAGCAGGGATTCCAGCCCAGGGTCTGTAGCTCCAGCCCCGCCGACCGTTCCGCCTGTCACCTCTCCCCGCGCCCAGACATCGAATGCCTCTCACGCTTCATTGTCACCTCTTGAATGATGGCGGAGGCCGGAGCCGGTCCTGCGGCGACCGCGGAGACGGTCGCTCTGAGTTTGTCTGATCATGGCATCGATCACGAGCAGCAACACGCAGCCCAGATGATCCAGCGCAACTACCGCGGATACAGAGAACGCCGCCAACTTCAGGGCATCGGGCTGGATGCTAGTGCACGCTGGGCAGAAGTACGCCGTCCAAATCTTTCGTGAACCCGGATCTCGAAGTTGACAGTTCAATAGGCTGTTCGAGACGGTTAGCCCGCCTCTTCTCCGCGCTCAGCGCATCCTAACTGTCCCCCCAGCGAAATGGCGCAATGCCACACGCCTCCAGTCACGTGCAGACAGCGCCCCAAATCGAGACGGCCTGATGACCCCCGAACAACACGCCCGCGCAAACTCTGAGGCAGCGCGAAACAACTGGAAACGTGTCGGCGAAATCGCGCGTCGTGCGGGCGCAGACGATGCGCCTGATGTCTCCCACTCGGATAGCGACGACTCGCGCTCGCCCGAAGAGCGCACCAACCAGAGGAGAAAGAGGGGGGAGCAGAAGTCTGAGCGCGACAAAACGGCCAAGATGATGGACCTGCAATATTTTCTCGAGATGGTAGACCAGAAACATCGATATGGCTCGAATCTGCGCGCATACCACGAGGAATGGAAAAAGGCCGCGACCAACGAGAACTTCTTCTACTGGCTCGACAAAGGCGATGGCCGCACCTTTGAGCATCCTACTGTCTCGAGGGAGCGGTTGGAGAAAGAACAAGTCCGGTATTTGTCGCGCGAGGAGCGGCTGAATTATATGGTCAAGATTGATACCGAAGGTCGGCTGTGCTGGGCGAAGAACGGCGAGCGGATCAATACGACGACCGAGTACAAGGACAGCGTGAATGGAATCGTTCCTGTGGATGATGATACTCCGGCGTATGGGCCGAATGGGCAGCTACTGCATGACGGGCAGAGCAAGAACTTCAGACACTCGAGAAGCTCGTCCATATCATCGAGCAGTTCGACTTCCTCGGCAGAGCATAGTGACGTCGAGGGCGAACACTATGTAAATGAGGACCTGGACCGGGCGAAGGGGATCAAGAAGATCAAGCATGTGTCGGCGGCGACAATACTGAACCACCTGTTGCGCAGCTCGGTCAAACCGAACTCCTGGATATTTGTAAGTCTCTCCTTTCCTTGCTCATGTCTTCTTTAATACCCTTCGGAGCCAACGGGGCGACGTAATGCCAGCGAAAGTAGCCTCTCCATTCCGAACCCATCGAAGTCCTCTCTTGAAGATTCCCTGTGGTGTCAATGGTAGCGAGATCGGAGACTTTGATCTCGCGAATCAATCGATTGAGCGTCGAAAATTTCTTCCCTGTCAAAAACCCGACTCGGCTTCCTGGACCTCTTTGTGGTTTCGCTCCTTCGGCTCGCAATACCTGAAGTCGTAGCCACTTGAGTCAGACATGTAGAAAACCAACTATTGACAGTGTGCATGCTTACCTCACTCAGGTCGCAGACACATCCTTCCGTCTCTACATCGGCATTAAGCAGTCCGGGGCTTTCCAACATTCCTCCTTCCTCCACGGTGCGCGCATATCCGCCGCAGGTCTCGTCCGCATTAAAGACGGCCAGTTGCGTCGCCTCTCACCCTTATCAGGACACTATCGTCCACCCACAAAGAATTTCCGCGCTTTCGTGCATAACATGCAAGACAACGGCGTCGACATGAGCCGCGTCAGCATATCGCGTTCGTATGCGGTACTAGTTGGTTTGGAAGCGTACGTCAAAACCAGACGAAAAGTCAAGAAGGGCGTTGGTGCAGTCAAAGATGCTGAGACTAAGGTCGTGCATCCCGAAGTCTATGAGAAGAAAGTCGAGGAACAGAAGGATAACAGTGAGAGTGCGCAGCGCGAGAGACAACTCCTTGCTGACCAGGCGGAGAAGGAGGAAGCCGAGCGGAAGGAGAGGAGCTGGAAGCGCCGGATATGGAAGAAGATCAGTCGAGGTGGTGAGAAAGAGGATGCTGCGATTCGCGAGAAGGAACAGGCGAAGGAACAAAGAAGGAAGAAGGTATTGAGTAGGTCTGGTCAGGATGTTGAGAGTGGGATTCCGCCGGATGGGAAGAGGGAGAGTTTCTCGAGGAGTGCGCCCGAGCCGAAGGCGACAAGTGGCGTGCGTGCTTAATGTTGTTAGACCTTAATTTATGATACCTTTCTCTCGTGAAACTTCTCTCCAGTATGGAGTCTGATGTTGCTGGCCTTATAGTGTTGATGGTCGTGCCGGTAATGCCTTTCCCATCGAGGCCGGCGCCGTCACTGAGATATGTCGCCTCTTTTGAAGTCGAGAAAGTCGGACACAAGCAACCAACCAACCACAACCTCGAAGTAATTTCTGAGCATTGAAGTAAGAGTCGCTAACGACAATCCCCAACTCTGGGCCCCTGAAGGCAACCCTTGTTGCTCTGGAGGTATCGTTGCGGCGCTCTGCACGACTCACTACTTCAGGGCCTCTCGGTTGCGCGAGAGGTCGCCAACGCTGCAAACACCGTTGGGCACGGGTTTACTGACTTACACAGTACTATCAGAGTATCCTTGAACCATTTGATGTGTTTTCGCGTATCGCAAGGCGTTGTAGTGGTGGTGGAGACGATTTCTTGATCATGTTAGCGATCGGTTGCAAATGCAAAACATGTGCCCCAACCAACCTCCAATGTGCCACATTCTGGACCACAAACTTCATCAACCATCAAGCACCTCATACATTACAACTCACCCGAAGATCGGAATCGTTTGGGTTTGAATTCGTTATCTTTGCGGAGTTGGAAAAGCTTGAGGGCCTCCAAATTGTGAACGTTGCAGTACGGCCGCTCTCATGTTGCAGAAAAGACCGGACGCAGTCGTCTCAAGCCTCAGAATTGTTGGGCAGCAGTCAAGGAGGCGTTACACGTCTTCGAGTAGTTAACGAGGATACACAAGACTAATGGAAATTTGGCCTTCAAGCGACTGCTCTCTCCTTAGTATTAAGCACCTCCAGGCCTCACCATCAGACTGAGAGTTCGTGGCTGCTGCCTCCCAGCTGTTCTGCAACATGTGGGGGCCCACTGAGTATCGGTCGCTGAATGCTTCGAACGGTCCGCCAGCATGTCCTCGTGTTCGCGAGGTGGATTGCTGGATTGTTGCCGCAAGGAGGAACCTCTTAAAGAGTTGCAGAGCCATTTGATTCCGACGCATCTTTGTTGTCAAGCATCGCGGATTGTCGATGTGCATCATATCACGTCGAAAGGGCCACGGCAGGGTTGACCACGTCTTTCACAAATACTGCTGAAAGTATTCCTGCATAAGCTCTGCCAGCCCTCTCTCTGACGATATTCTTGGTCGACGACGGTCATCGTTGCAGCAACGGCATCTGGTCGGGTATCCGATCACCATAGCATACTGTAGGCTGTTCGGGACCTGGATCGTCTGCAAACATCCAACCAAGACCTCAGCCATGCTCGTTGCAATCGCAACATTCGCACGGTCGCTCGTCGCAAATTCCACGGTTGTTGCAAATCATACCACTCCGCTCTATGATCTTCAGCTCCACGGACCCTTGCAGCTCGCCTTTCTAATCTCGATGCGTGCACCGCAAAGTTTCGGAAGTCTGCGTCCTTTGCTGCCAGCGCTGGACGATGCGAGGAAGCTGATCCTGGAACAGGAACAGGAACCGGAAATCAGGTCCATCCGAATCCGCGCGCCTAAGCTTAGTGAAAACTGACATCATGTCCGGTCATGGATACCGCGACTTTCAGATGCGAAAATATACCTCTCCTTTTCTCATGTTCTGGCGCTTTGCCCTGTCGCTTCTTCATCTTGAGATGTTGGCACAATGGTTCACTGTGTGTAAGTGTTTCATCAGGAGCAGGTTTCTTGCTGTGCAATTGTATGGTACACTGGTGGTTGATGGTACGCTAGGCGCTGTCATGTCCGCACGCGTTCGATGGTCGAGCGTCAGGTTCAACTCAGGGCTCAAGAGGCTGGGACCGTCGCCTGCTGATTGTGATTGGTCAATCGCACTGCATACCAGAGGATGCAGTGCGTCACGCCTGTGCTGTAATTGTAGACTTGTACTGCTGTGAGACACACTATTGCCTGTCAATAATGTCAACATCGCATCTTGTACCAGTCAGACGTGCAGCAATTGCTTGCCTCAGGTACCGATACCACACCGCTTTGTGATTTGAGCGCATCTTCGAGTACCAGTTCATCGAACGCGCAATAACGTTGTACCACGACTGCTGCTGTACGAAGAACACAGGCCACTGCTCGTATCTGTATCGACGCCCCGTGCGTGCCCGCTGCATACCGCACCGGCCGCACGTTTCCCAAGTGATCCAGCAAGATGGTCAGTGTGATGAAACTTTCGGCGCTGCAGTTAGCGCACCCATAGTTGCGATCTCAACGGCCTCGGGCCAAACGTCGCGTCTCGCGTGTTCTGAACGGTTCCGCGGTACGATCCAACGTCGGATGGCTGCTTGCGCAGGAAGTTTTATCTATCCTCAAGCCAGGACGTCGACGAAGTCCGGGGTGCATTCCGCCTCAACTCGTTCCTGATCACCAGCAGTGCGCAGGGACGTCAGGGCTTCCCGCTCATTTCCCATCCCGCAGTCTGAACTCAATCAAAAGTGCGCTGCATCCAAGGAACATGGAAGGTGCAGATTCGCAGCGGGGGCCGCGTTGTAAGCGAGTGAGAAACAAGGGTTTGTGCAGGGGTATTCCCCAACGCACTACGTCATGGCGACTTACATCACTTGGTGGATGCTACAACCTGCTTGGTCAACCGCACGGTAAGACCTGCTCTCTCTATCTTGACAGCCTCCGCGCGTTGCAGGCCTCTGATAGGAGCGGAATGCGGCAGCGTCAGGGATACATGTTTTCGATCGTTGGAGTTTTGAGGAGAGTGCTGTTGCGATGCCGTCGATCGGGCCTGGATCGTCCAGTGTGGAACGGGAAGACAGCAGGTTTCGTGTCGAGGTGTGGCTGACAGGGGAGCGGCTTATTGTTTGAGAGGGTGCGGCTCGAGATGAAAGAGGCCAGTTGATGTCTGCGGCGACTGCAGATGGTGATGTTGACGAATCGTTGCTGAGCACTCCAGGTCTAGATGCCATCAAAAGATACCTGTCAACTTTCCGTATCAACACGTTTCAGCCCACTTACCACCAGGGCCGTCTCCAAACTTGGCAGCCACTCGCTACAGCCATCGACGATGAGTCTCTATTCCAGTTCCCGCCACAGTTCCCCAAACCCTGTTGTAGCTCTTACCCGCGCGTGTCACCTCACTGAGTGGAGCTCTCTCATCATTGCTCCGCGAGACTGGAGTGTCGCCCCGCTCAAGGCTGGAGCAAGTGACGCAACTAACGTCTGGTTCGTCGCAGCCTGTCGTACACACTCCAGTCGTGGGCTCCAAAACAGGTTCTGCTGGCCCAGCTCTCCTTACTGTGGCGCGAGCTCCCCCTGTTACATGCCTCATGGAGCTCTAGAAGTCGACGTCATACTGAGGAATCGCCCATCTGTCCCATTTTGACCTCATAAATGCAAGCCTGCCTTGAAATCCTTGCTCTTTCTTTCCAGCTACAAAGACGTTCCATCCGTCAATTGATACATGACAGAAAACTCCTCCAACTCTTACACCTATTATTCGTTCCCCCCGACGCCTAATAGGAATTCCCCCCGTTCCCTCCGCTCACGATCTATCAGCAGTAACGTTTCTGCTACGAGTCAACGAACCCATACACAACCTACTTACGAATTACCCATTAACGAAATCAACATGCCTTCTCCCGCCGCAGGAAAGAGTGACACCCCCCGCACTCCTACCAAGCTTGGCAGGAAGCCCCAGCAGTCAGCTCCCAAGCTGAACAAGCCGCAATCGCAGGCACCAGACACACCTGACGTTTCCGAGAAGGCCCAGTCGGCTGTCGATGACACAAAGAACCAGGCACAAGACACTGCCGAGGATACCAAGGAGGAAGCGCAGGATACTGCCGAAGACACCAAGGATACAGCAGAGGAGACCGCGAAAGATACCCAGAAGAAGGCGGAAGATACTGCTGAAGACACCAAGAAGCAGAAGCAGGTAGAAGATACCGCCGATGATGCCGAGGACACTGCCGAAGACACAACCGGCAAGGTCTCCCAAAAGGGCGATGATCTCTCAGAGGCCGAGCCCAAGCCCATCGACGACGACGAAGATGAGGAGGCCGAGGAGACTGAAGACGACGCCACACAGAAGGCTGGTGACGATGCCGAAGACACAGTCGACAACACTGAAGATGATGCCACAGACACTGCCAGCAAGGCTGGTGAGGGCGCATTGAGCGGTGCTCGTGGTCTCGCTGGCCGCGCTTCAAACCTTGCGGGCAAGGCCTCCAAGGACCCCAAGGGTGCTGTTGAGGATGTTACTGAGCAGTCTCAAGACAAATCTGCTCTGGACGCCGCTGACGATGCAACCGACGCTGCGAAGAACACTGTTCAGGAGGGTCAGGATGCAGCTGAAGATGCTACCGACGATGTCAAGGACAAGGCCGGTGACGCAGCTGACGACGTCGATGACAAGACAGACGATGTTGCTGGCGACGTCGACGACAAGACAGACAATGTTGCTGGTGACGTCAAGGACAAGGCCGACGACGTCAAAGATACCGCGGAAGACGCAAAGGAGGGTGCTCAGGATTCCGCCGACGATGTCAAGGACTCCGTTGAGGACCAGGCCGATGGTCTCGATCTGAGCATTCTCAAGGGTCTTGAGGTTGATGAGGAGGGCCTCATCAGCAAAGACGGCAAGCCCGTCGGCCGCCTTGTTGAGGGCGACGCCGAGGATCTTGCTGGCTACCCCATTGGCGATAATGGCGAGATTCTCGATGACGATGGTGATCTCGTTGGTCGTTGCGAGCTCCTCCCTGAGGACCAGCTTCCTGATGAGCTCAAGAAGGGTGCCGACGCTGGCCCCAAGATGCCTCCTCTCAGCATCCTCAAGGACTTGACCGCCGACAAGACTGGTCAGATCCTGAACGAGGATGGCGACTTCGTTGGTCACCTCGTCGAGGGCGACCCAGCTGACATCCAAGGCAAGCAGTTCAATGAGGACGGCGAGATCCTGGATGACGATGGTAACGTCATCGCCCGTGCCGAGCTCCACCCTGATGCCGCCGACCTCGTTGACGATGACGGGGAGGAGGATGAGGGCGAGGAGGGCAAGACCAAGAAGGATGCCGATGGTGCTGTCGAGGGCGTCAAAGATACTGCTGAAGGTGCCAAGGACGACGTCAAGGACGCTGCTGAAGACGCCAAGGGCGCTGCTGAAGATGCCAAGGGCGATGTCGAAGACAAGGCCACCGATGTTGAGGATGAACTTCCCGGTGTTGAGGCGCTCGAGGGTCTTGAGGTCAACTCCGAGGGTGAGGTCCTGAACGATGATGGCGAAGTTGTTGGCCAAGTCGGTGAGGACTTCGAGGGCGATATCAAGGAGCTTAAGGGTCTCACCGTCAACGAGAAGGGTGAGGTCGTCGACTCTGAGGGCAATGTTCTCGGCAATGTCGAGCTCGCTGAGGGCGCCGCCGACAAGCTCAAGGAGTCCGCCAAGGACGCTCTCGACATCCGCATCTTGGACGGCCTAAAGGTCAACAAGAAGGGCAAGGTCCTTGATGCCGAGGGTGAGGAGATTGGTGAGCTTGTTGAGGGCGAGGTCAAGGACTGTGCTGGCAAGACCATCAACGACAAGGGCGAGGTCCTCGACAAGGAGGATAAGCCTATTGGCAAGGTTCAGGTCATTGCTGGTGAGGCTGCTTTCGAGGCTCAGAAGGAGCTCAAGGAGCGCCTTGGCGAGATCGAGCCTGAGGTCAAGGAAGTTGAAGTCACCCCTGATATCGATGTCCTCGAAGGTCTCAAGGTCAATAAGAAGGGTCAGGTCCTCGATGAGGAGGGTGAGCCCATCGGTGAGCTTGCCGAGGGTGACATCAAGGAGTGCGCCGGCAAGAAGATCAACGAGAAGGGCGAGGTTCTCGACAAGGACGGTAACGTCATCGGAAAAGTCAAGCCCCTACCCAAGATTATCGAGCAGCAGGTCGACCGGGCTGAAGATGCAGCCGAGGGCGTTGAAGACGCTGAAGAGGGTGCCGAGGACGCTAAGGCTGAGGCCGAAGATGCTCAGGATGCCGCCGAAGACGCTCAGGATGCTGCTGAGGATGCTGCTGAAGATGCTGCTGAGGATGCTGAAGATGACGCTGAGGGGGCTGCCGACGACAACCGACCACCTCTGTCCATCCTTGACGGACTTACTGTCAACAAGTCCGGCAAGCTCATCGACAACAACGGCAACATTGTTGGTGAGCTCATCGAGGGTGACGCTAAGAAGCTCTCCAAGTCTGGCATCACTGCCGATGCCGAGGGTCAGTTTTGGGACAATAAGGGCAAAGTCATCGGCCGTGCTCAGACTGTTCCCCAGGAGGATGCTGAGGAGGAAGCTCCTTTTGCTGGTCTTGAGGGACTCATCGTTGTCAAGGACGGCTACGTTGAGGACGAGAACGGCAACCGTGTCGGCCAAGTCGTCGAGGGCGACGCCAAGAAGCTCATTGGCCGTGCCGTTGACGAGGATGGTGATATCCTCGATAAGAAGGGCTCAGTCGTTGGCCACGCTGAACGCTACGAGGAAGAGGAGGCGCCTGAGGAAGACGAACCTGAGGCTGAAGATCTTTCGATCTTGAAGGGCAAGACTGTCAACAAGCAGGGTAACGTCATCGGCGACGAAGGTATACCCATTGGTCGCCTCGTTGAGGGTAACGCTAAGGAGCTCAACGGACGTCAGATCGATGGGAATGGTCAGATCTGGAACGATGCTGGCAAGGTCATCGGTCGCGTCGAACTCATTCCCGAGAATGAGCGTGAGTCCAAGCCTGAGGGCATCTTTGGCGGCCTTGAGGGCCTGCGTGTCGTCGCTGACGGCAAGGTTGCTGATGAGGATGAGAACATTGTCGGCGAGGTTGTTGAAGGCAATGCTAAGCGCCTCATTGGTCTCCGCGTTGACGAGGATGGCGATATTCTTGACAAGTTCGGTAATGTCAAGGGCCACGCCGAGCCTATTGAAGAGGAGGAGCCCGAGGAGGAGGCTCCCGAGGACCTCTCTGCCCTTGAGGGTCTTACTTTGAACAAGCAGGGCAAGCTTGTCAACCAAGAGGGTATCCCTATCGGCCGCCTGGTCGAGGGCAACCTGAAGGAACTTGCAGGCCGCAAGTCCGACGGCGAAGGCCTCATTCACAACGACACCGGAAAGGTTGTTGGCCGTTGCGAGCTGATCCCTGAGAACGAGCGCGAGTCCAAGCCCGAAGGTATCTTCGGTGGCCTCGAGGGTCTTCGCGTCGTTGCCGATGGCAAGGTTGCTGATGCGGACGACAACATCGTTGGTGAAGTTGTTGAGGGCAACGCTAAACGTCTTGTCGGCTTGCATGTCGATGAGGATGGAGACATTCTTGATAAGTTCGGCAATGTCAAGGGTCACGCTGAGCCAATTCAGGAGGAAGAGGAGGCTGCTCCTGCTGACTTGTCCAGCCTCGATGGCCTCACCCTTAACAAGCAAGGCTACCTTGTCAACAACGAGGGTATCCCTGTCGGTAAGCTTGTTGAGGGCAACCTGAAGGAGCTTGCTGGACGCAAGTCTGACGGTGAGGGTCTCATCCATGGAGACACTGGCAAGATTGTCGGACGTTGCGAGCTCATTCCTGACAACGAACGCGTCACTCGCCAGGAGGGACCTTTTGCCGGCTTCGAAGGCCTCCGTGTCGTCAAAGATGGATTCGTCGAGGACAATGACGGCAACCGTGTTGGTCAGATCACCGAAGGTGATGCGAAGAAGCTCGTCGGTCACTCTGTTGACGAAGACGGTGACATCATTGACAAGTACGGGAATGTCAAGGGCCATGCTGAGCCTTTCGAGGAAGATGAGGCTGAGGAGGTCGACCTGTCGGCTCTTGCTGGCTGCACCGTCAACAAGGCCGGCAACATCGTCGACTCTTCCGGCACCATCCTTGGCCGCGTCTCCGAAGGTGACCCAGCTACTCTCGTCGGTAAGAAGGTCGATGGCAAGGGCCAGATCTGGGACAATGCTGGAAACATCGTCGGTAAGGCTGAGCTCGTCCACGGCGCCTCATCCGGACCAGAGGGACCATTTGCTGGCTTCGACAACAACACTGTCGCCAAGGATGGTACCGTCCAGACTGCCGATGGCTCCATCATTGGTCGTGTCATCGAGGGTGACATCAAGAAACTCACTGGCCACCACGTCGATGAGGACGGCGACATCAACGACAAGAACGGCAACGTCATCGGTAAGGCCGAGCGATGGGAGCCTGAGGAGAAGGAGCGCCGCATCAACCCCATGTCTGGCATGCGTGTAAACAAGGAGGGCGAGGTCCGTGACGAGAACGGCGATATCATCGGTCGTCTCACTGCTGGTGATCTTGGTCACTGCGCTGGTCTTGAGATCGATGACAATGGCTACGTCATTGACAACGACGGCAACAAGGTCGGAGAAGTCACTCTTCTGGAAAACATCCAGGAAGAAGAGGTTCCCGAGGACGAGACCGACGAGGAGAGGCAACGTCGTGAGGACTCCGAGCTCGCTGACAAGATGGCCGCCATCTGCCAGCAGACTCTGGAGCGTGTCCAGCCTGTAATGAAGCAGATCACCGAGGTAAGTGCCATCCTGTGTCTTTCCTTCATACTAAATACTAACGTATTGCCAGCACATCGAGAAGGCCGACCGGACACCTCGCGACGAGCTCGACGAGGAGGAGCTGGTCAACAATGTCAAGCCTCTCATCGAAGAGGGTGGCCGCATCCTGAACGAGTGCAACGGCTCGCTCCGTGGTCTCGACCCCGATGGCCGCATCGCTGCTCAGGCTAAGGGTCGTCAGCAAACGGGCGAAGCTTCGCCCGAGGAGTACAAGCTGGCCGACTGCTTGAAGGAGCTTACGTCTTCTGTTGTCACTACTATCGACAACGCAAAGAAGAAGATCTCCGACATGCCCCACGCAAAGAAGAAGCTCAACCCTCTCTGGGCTCTGCTCACCGAGCCTCTCTTCCAGATCATCGCCGCTGTTGGTCTGCTGTTGACTGGTGTTCTCAATCTTGTCGGCAAGCTCCTCAACGGCCTTGGTCTTGGTGGACTGGTCAACGGTCTTCTGGGTGGTCTTGGAATCAACAAGCTGCTCAGCGGCCTTGGCCTTGGTGGTCTCTTCGGTGGTGACAAGGACAAGAAGAAAAAGAGCGGCGGCGGCGCGAGCAACATCCCTCTCGTAGGCGGCCTGCTCGGTGGCAAGTAAACGTTGCGTCGGACAGACGTGAGCGGTACGATGTTGATGATTTCTGTTGGCTTAAAATGATACCACACACCATCGATACGAGGGAATGAAACCTTTAGTTCTGGCTGGAAGATCGGGGGGTTTGAAGGTCGGCTCTGGAGGTGCTCAGACTTGAGATCGATGGCTCGGATGTATAATGTTTTCAAGCGTCCTTGTTGAAATGTCCTGGGCTTAGTCCCAGTTCGATGTCAGCTCTTCAGCAAACTTTTCCTTTGTAACACACCATCTGCTTAGCGAGCGTTGCTTTTGCATGAACAGCTGTTGTATGATTAGTTCGAAGTAATGAGATCTCTACGCTTCAACATTTGCGTTTTACCCCGTATTCTAGTGATTGCAAGCTCTTCTGCCTCGCAACTCTCTGGCATCTTGCCCACAGACGTTGCTGTGGTGCACACAAGTTCCAACTGCTGCAAAGGCGCGTTGAAGTACCAGGTGCCTGGTCTGGCGCTGCTTGAGGGCGTTGTCAGGGAGCCCGAATTGCATGTTGAGGTGTGGAGGTGAAGGGTTGTGGTGTTGCAGGTGCAGATGCAGCATACGTGACGGTGGGTGAAGAAGGAAAGAGCGAAATCGCGCGACGCGACTTCTGTCACCTCACCAAATCGCACCTTCTACACCTCAATAACCCACTTCGCGCAACAATGACACATTCGCAGCCCGTCAAATCACAGCAACACGATGCCCCCTGTAGAGCGACACCCGGTCACCCGACCCTTTCTTGAGGGTTTGACTGCGTGACTGGCAGAGACCAGTGCAAGTATGTGGCAAAAGATGGACGGTCTAACTGCATCTCGGAGATAAGCCATGTAACCACTGAAGAAGCCCTAGACGTATTCGGAGAAATACCAGACTGACACCGCATAGTGTCGAGCGTAACCACCACAGCTCACCATTCCTTCGACCACCAGCTGAGATCCGTAATATCATCTATCATTACGTCCTATGTGGCGAGACGTATGAAATTACTAAGGAGAAGGTCACTATGCTCTCCGTTACACCACATACATCGAGTCAACGTCAATGTCAATATGCGCTTCTTCAAGTCTGCTGCGAGAGACGAGAAAACTTTCTGTCTGTCCCTTGCGCGCAACAAGTTCTTCTTCTGTCACGGTTTGGGGTGCTCCTGCCTGCCGTACCTCACCTCCATGAGAGTGACTGCCACGTCACACTAGCGTTGTTTACAGCTACTCACCTATATATACTGTTCGTAGCTTCACTCAATACAACCTCAGTACAATCTTCGACTTTTTCCTTTGCGTACAGTTTTTCACTGAACTCTGACATCTTCACACAAAACCCCTCGGCAACAGATTCTAGAGACATCTCTCAATTAGACAAAAAGAACGCATCAAGAACATTAAGCTTGCGCTGAGGCTATCTAGTGAGCCGGGCCGTAGGTTTCTGGGCTTGGATGCGCAACTGCATGTTGAGAAGAGGGACGATGTCACTAAATTCAGCTTTTTGAGGGCGCTGCCTGAGTCGGAACATATTCGGGTCGTCCTCGTGGGGAAAGAACGTGGTATTGAACGAACTGACAGCCAAGCGGGAGAGGCAGTGGAAGAGCATATCTGTAAGCTCTGATCCGCTGTTGAAGATGTCGTGATCAACATTGAATAGAACAGTTGGGCACTAAATTCATCTCGCCTGGGTGGACGGCTACTATCAAGAACAGCTAACACTCGTCAATCTTAGCATAAGTTGAAATTCTGGTCCTTTTTGACTTCGTTTGACCTAAATATTCTGCAGAGTGCGCCTTCACCTACCATCGCGCTAAGTACCTACCCTGACATCGTTGCCTCAACCGCACTAACTGTCGCAGATTCTTGCCTTGTGTTGTCAACGCGACACTTGCAGCTCAACCTCAACGACAGCACAAACAACACTAAAGGACAAAGCATGGCGTCACCACTCCAACAGCCTCCCGCAACCGACTGTAAGAGCAAAGATGCCATGTAAGTGTTCCTCAGTCTAGTCAGTACAGAGAGTTTATGCTGACCCACGAATCTAGCACCAAGCGTAACCCACGCGAGTCGCCTCTCCTTTGCCTTCCTGCCGAGCTCGGATACCGAATCTATGAGAACATGCTCTGCGAAGAAACCGTTCGAACTCTTCAAGTTCACCGGCGCAACCTGTACGAAAACGAGGCCGAGGCGCCATGCAAGCCAGACCTTGCTCTGCTACAAGTCAGCCGCCAGACTTAATTCGAGACCTCAACACTACCGGTAGCCCACAACACTTTATTCATCGTTCGGCACCCGGACGAGACTCGCTTCTTCACGGCTCTTGCAGATACGCAAAAGTCTGCGATCACGTCTCTCAAGCTTGAGTTTGTCTGGTACGGCCCTGCCCAAGCTGGCCTCGCTTTCTAGTTCGGGGATATTGATGTATGTTGCAGTTTTAATAGTCCTCATTTCAGGATCTTGGAGTCACTGACTGGCCTGAGGACTATCCACCTGAAAATCGTGTCTGTCTGGGACAATCCTGTATTCGCGGAAGATTACTGTTGCGGTACTAGTCGGTCCATACGAGACCCTATTACCCTTACTTAGACTGTTCTGGATTAGCACGTTCCAGAGTCAGTATATAGTCGTCTTCTCCTCACTAGATAGCAACTCAGCGCAGTATTCCATCGACCCGATAGTCCTACGTTGTCGTTTACCGTAGCTATCAGTATTCTACAGCGGCCCACGCCGCTACAATTACGAACATGCTGGGGAAATCATTGCGGACCTTGTGAGCTGCTTGCAAGATCGAGTTGGTGATGATGTGGGTGTCAGGGTTTACTATCTCCAGAGTGCTAAGCGTGACGGAAGTCGGGCGCAAGGCGAATACGTCCCGAGTGCTAAAGAGGACCATGAATTGGTGGATGGAGATCTCTCAAGTGGCCACCCCGCCAATCTGGATAGCAACTGCGTTATAAGTTAAGAGGTGAACATGAGGGGAAGCTGATCAAGGGGAGAGCATTCATGTGCGGCACTTCGGTATGTATAGCCCTTCAACAGTGTCCTGATTGAGGAAGGCACTGAAAATCCCACGACGCATCTAACCAAGTCATTGGTTAGATTCAAGCGACACCTAATATAGTGTCATCATTATCATGAGGAGCCCTCAAGATCTCCAGCGTGTTTGTGTATCTGCAGGTGAAAACATCATTCGCTTGCTGGTGGAGGTATGGGACTGGTCAGATACATAGTGACAGTGCTTCCCTTTCGTAAATTATGGACGTATGAGCGTGGTGGTGAGCCCTGGATAACATGACGTCATCTTGCCGAATTGGTTCATCGTGGCCACGGAACTTCTTCATCGACTTCGCACAACTAGATCATCAAGTTAAGAAGCTCCACCAAGACACCACATCCATTCCTTTTTTTTGACCGTCGACAATCGCTGCTAAAGTCCTTTCCCGCCGCGCAGCCCAACTGCCGCTACGATTATGAGAACTGCACTTGTTTTTCTCCTCATCTCGAGTATCTTACTTGGCAACTTCATCTTGTTCTACTTCCTTGGCATCCCTAAGCTCTTTCAGAAGCTACTCAAGAATAATAGAAAGAATCAAAGATCCAATACGAAACAAGAGTGGATCGAGATGCAGAGCGACGTACAGCAACGCGCTAAGGAGCGCAGGCGAAAGGAAGAGAAGTTGAGATGGGAACGCAACGCAGCGAGAAAGAGGAGTGGCTTTTATGCAGAGCTCGAACAGGCGTACAACAAGGCTTAAAGTGTGCAAAGTAGCAATGCAGATAGCTTGCCGGGTACCGCCAGGGTTTGCGTGCGACATGATCGATGCGCTCTTGGCACCTACCTTCACCTTCGATGGCGAGCAGGAGCTTACGGCGGGTGGGGGAAGACCCAAACAGCATCAGTAACAAAACGGCTCCTCGACCATAACCGGCCCAAGTGATATCAACATCAACAACATCAGCATCGACACAATCATTCATTGCGCATTTATACAACGGTCACTCAAATCAGCTGCCATGGCTCCCAACGACTTCCCCACCGACTCAGAGCTCCTCGTAATACTCACTACAGTTGGAGGGATCATCTCACTTCAAGTCCTGGTCGTCATAACCTGTCTCATTTACCGCAACTACAAAGACAAAGCCAAGTGGCGTCGCTTGAGGCAACAAGGCATTGTCGTCGTCAACGGCCCCGCACTGTATTGGACGGACGACCAACCGTTACCGCCAGTTCCCATCGATACCAATATGGTACAGGCGCAGCAAGCATCTCGAGAATCACGCCACGTTCACAACACCTGACCGCGGAAGCTTTCACGAGCACAACAGCGAACAAATACGATCTGATGATGAGCTCGAACGACGGAAGATCACGCCTGAAGATATGCAAAGGATGTTCATAGCTGATAGGATACTGCAAAAGGATGGAATTCAGTCACCATGAAGATAACATCATAACAAATCTAGGATCGCGTCCACGCTATCTCTAATGACGAATCGCATACAATCACCTCCAAGCCATGGCAAGGTTGGCACCTTGACAGAAGACTCCTACATGCCGCTAGTTGTCAGGCTTTTGGGCCCATACGGTGTGACTGACTCAGGGGTCAGCGTAAGCCTGAGAAATAATACCACCTCAGTAGTACTTACAATTCTTCCATTAGATGCACCGATCTATCCCTCAACGCCTCTCTGATTTGCGCAATGAAAACGTGGACCTCCTCCGGTTTCCAGTTCTCAACCCGAACAAGCAATCCCAGCAGTGCGGCCTCTAGGAGCTCCTCTAAGTTCATACGGAATATACCGCCAACTTGTTTCTGGGAGCTTGTCAGCGCCAGATTTTTGCAGGCCAAAACTGCACTGACCAACTTCTTGTCTCTTGCCCAAGTACCGATTGGGACTTTGCGTACGTCGTGCCGTACGTTGGTGAAGCCAGCTTCTTCGACCCACCCTTTGAGATGTTGGCCCGGTGACCCGTGGCGCCCAATCTTGTCGCAGGCTGCATTGAACACACGGCAAAACTCAATCACCTTGTTGTCATCCTTTGCGCTCCCATCTTCACTGTATGCCAACGTGTTGAAGTCTTGCAGTTCTATCCAGCCACCCGGAGCAAGGTTCCTGGCCAATCAGCTTCAAAGACTGTGCAAGCAAGTTCGAGGGTTCCAACTCACTCGTAGGACTGGCGCAAGAGTTTCGGCCAGTCTTGTATGCTTCCTAGCATATAGCGGCCGTGAATAAAGTCGAACGGCTCCCGAGGTGGCCATGGGCTCTCAACATCATCGATCTCAAACTGCACATTTGGCGGTACCCTTCTGACTTATCAGCTGCAGAGAATGCTCACATCGCAGACACTTTACCATTTTGGCTGTATTGGACTCAACTCATTCCCAATCACTGTCGCGTTCGGGAATCTGTCGCCCATGTCCATCGCCCATATACCAGTCCCGGTCCCAATGTCAAGTATTCGGATTGCTCTATCATTTGAAAGCTCGGTGAGGTGCAACTTGTCGTCTAAAAGCAGTAGACACATGTGATGGCTCATGTCCAGCCTATCCTGCTCTTTCTCGTCGTTGGGGAAGTTGTACGCTACGACCATCAGCCAAGAATTCGATTGTGGCGGGGCTCTGGCGTGCAACCTCCTTCACGATAACTGTGATAACGCCGCCCATTCTCCCACTTGTACTTCTCAACGCTGGATGATAATGATGTCGCATAACTCTGTCTGCGCAACAATCAGACTGTGTTCCTATATCGTAGCCAGAGAACATACGCGTCGGTCTCATCATAAGTCGAATCTAGATCTGTCTGCAAATGTTCAGCACGCTCAACTGTTGGAAATAGGCATCATGTGCGCTTACGTCGACAGGGACAGTGACGGTGGGCTGATCGTCACTCATTGCGAGAAGTCGATAAAAGGAGGGTCAAATGGGCCGCAACAGAAAGCGGGCGGTGGAATTTAAGTACTGGAGCAACGGGGATTTCATGCAACAGTGCGGCGTAGTAATCGACATACTTGTGCTGGTGGTTCTTCACAACCTATGGTGTTGACAGGTGTAGGGACCAACGCGGAACCTCCGCCCCGCACGGCCTAAGTTAGGGACGGGAAGGCTCGACACGGGAACTTCATCCAAGACGGCTGTGCCGAAAGTATGACCCCACTCCACACGAGGCCGTGATTGCATAACAGCCCTTAAAAAGAGGAAAGCTCTCATGATGTGGGATTCACAGACGATTACCTTTTCCTCGCATTCCTTTGGCTCGTTATGTCTCTTCTTGCGCAGTTGTACGCACTATGGTGGCTGCTACTAACTGCCATCTTTGTTCTCTATTTGACGGGCAAGTATCGCAAATACAACCGCCTTCGGCATTTTAACGGTCCTTTTGGTACCGGCTGGTCCGAACTCTGGCACTCGTGTGTGATTCTCAGTTTTCACTCACATCTCGCATACAAAGAAGTCAACGACAAATACGGTGAGTGGCTCGATTAGCGCTGTGGTAGTACAGCAACGTGGCGTGCTCATATTTGCATAGGTCCTATCGCACGAGTCGGACCCAATGAACTGGTCACTTCGTCGCCGGAGCTGCTCGCGCATATGAACGCGGTTCGTTCGCAGTACACTAGGTCCTATTGGTTCAATACTGCCACTCGAGTTGAGCCTGGCAAGGACCATGTGTTTAGCCAAATTGATGAAGAGAAGCACACCAAGCGTAGACAGCAGATGGCTGCTGGCTATTCCGGAAAGGAGAACTTGTCTTTGGAACCGGACATTGATGGTCGACTAAACGAGTTGCTCAACTTAATCCGCAGCAAGTACATCTCCACTACCGCAGGGTCGAAGCCAATGGATCTTGCGCGCAAGGTTCAGTACTTCACCCTTGATGTCATCAGCACTATTGGCTTTGGTGAAGCATTCGGCGACCTCCAAGCTGACACTGATTTGAACGACTATATCAAGTCAGGCGAACAGGGCCTTTCGGTTGTTGCGATATCCGCTGCGCTCGGTTTGACGAAGTATTTGCAATGGCCACCCATCGCACGCCTACTCGGACCGTCAGAGAAAGACCAGAGCGGCTTCGGCAAGATGATGGGCGTAGCCCGCAAGCTCATCGACTCACGGCTTGAAAAGTCAACTGAAGGTCGCTCTGATATGCTGGCTTCCTTCATACACCATGGTCTCTCCAAAGAAGAGCTCTTCTCTGAAGCTGTACTACAAGTCCTTGCTGGGTCTGACACTACTGCTACAGCTATCAGATCAGCTATGCTCTACCTCATTGCTCATCCGCGCGTCTATTACCGTTTACAGGCTGAGGTGGATGCTGCTGTACACTCAGGGGCGGCTCCCATCGCAACGAGCATTGTTCAAGATACCACTCTCCGAAATCTTCCATACTTACAGGCCGTCGTTCGAGAAGGCCTGCGCATCTTTCCTCCCGTGACCGATGTTGTCCCCAAGAAAGTACCAAAGGGCGGCGATCGTGTCACTGTCGAGGGCAAGCAGTACTATCTCCCCGGTAGCACAGACATCAGCTACAATGCTTGGGGTGTGCATCACGACAAGGCCATGTTCGGCGAAGATGCCGATTACTTCAGACCTGAGCGATGGTTGCCTGAAGAGAACAAGACTAACGAGGATAAGCTCACTGCGATGCGGCGTACTACTGAGATGATCTTTGGGTACGGGAAGTATCAGTGTCTCGGGAAGTCTATCGCTTGGCTAGAAATTACGAAGGTTGTCTTTGAGGTGAGTCGATCATTTAGTATATTCGTCAACTATGCTAACCGCTTCAAAGTTCATGCGTCATTTCGATTGGGCTCTTGCTCAGCCGGACAACCCTTGGAAATCTACAAACTATATGGGAATCTTTGTACAGGAGCAAATGTGGGTGCTTGTCTCCGAGCGTGACTAGATCGAGATGGAAAGATCCATTGCCCGCCTAGAACATGGCGTTTGAGATCGTGTCGCTTGAAGTATGTTTCGCCCATCTCGTTGTGTATTACAATGCTAGTCTACCAGCACGAAGGTATTCCTTAACGCCACTAGTACGTGAGGCTGTTAGAGTTTTGATCTAGTTCCATGGACCAGCGCGTCCAACAGTCAGTATGCCTGTAGTAGTACGGTACAGCTACGGATCATGTGGGGCGTAGGAAGCAGTGAATGTGGTCTCCGTAGTCATAGAAGTAACGTAGTGAGCAACTCCTCCGTAGTACTTTGACGACATACCTGAGGATCTATCGAAGGATAATGTTGCGGTATCAGACTGCTGCAATATACGTTGCACATGAGCCTCAATACACACGGTTGTAACGGGTCATGTTTAGCACGTTTCAAGCCATGTATATATCGCCACCTCCTAGCTAGATATCAACAGAACGCAGTATTCCATCGACCCGATAGTCCTACGTTATCGTTTACCGTAGCTATCAGTATTCTACAGTGGCCGTTGCCGCTACAGATAAGACTTACTAGGAGTTGATGGATGCCCCGTGGCAGTGGTGGCTCAAAGTAGGCCGCGCAAAGTACCTCATCGTCTTCAAAATGGCTTGAAGATTCCTTTCCATCCCATCTACCAGCTGCGAGTAAGAGCACTGCTTCAGCTCCGCCAAACAAATGATTCACGTGTGACTGCAATTCACTCTCAGGGTCAACTGTTGAAGCTCTTCTACTTCAGAAAAACTGGCTCAAGCACCTTGACAAAGGCAGACCAGGTGGCAGCTTGTGAAAGGTGGGATAGGCAAGACAATGGGTTAGGAGACAAGCCAAGCAATTCACTCTTATGTGTGCACTATACTCAAATGGGAAATCTAGCCGTACTACGACTTACTGAGCGTAAAACGTCTACTTTTGATCAACTGGGCAGCAACAGCACCAAAAATCCACCTGTAACGTACTTATATGAGCTTCATCGTACCGTCTTACTGACTCTTGAACGCGCTGGCATGGGCAGATCAATTCGAGTTTGAGTCATTAAAATCGAGCCGATGTTGTATCACGCCTCTAAGAATAAGTGCGCGGGTACTTGATGGAGCGTGGAAAAATTATGGACAACGAAGGTGTTTTACTCCGCTAGAACTTAACATGAGACCTGCATCATTCTAATCAACCTCGAGACAGTCAAGACCCTCTCTACAAACACACCTGAAAACCGACCAAAGGCAATCTTTATGGCGCCGGAGCGAGCCTAACGTAGCACTGGATCGGGTTGTGGGTGAGCTGCTCGATAGGCTCGTAACTATCGAGGTTGTCGGGAACCTTCTGCAGCTCAAAGTGCCATAAGATCAGAACTATCGCTAACCTCAGCTCAAGGTATGCTAGCTTGCGTCCAAAGCAACCGCGTGGACCCGCACCAAACCCCAGATGTGGACCAAGCGTTGCATCAAAGACTTTACTACCATCAGCCTCAGTTTTGAGCCAGCGGTCGGGTTTGAAAGCTGCCATCTCCTCGGCTGATGTCTCGTCCCAGGCGCCGATCTTGCCACCTCCAGCACTGTGGTAGGTAGGGGAGCGAAGCGAATCTGGAATATTGTGTGACGGTTTCAGTATGCCTGCAGATTGACCTAGCATTATGACTCTGGTTCCTTTCGGGATGACGTGACCCAGGACGACGGCGTTCGTTGTGCTTGTCCGAGATGTGATGGCAGCGGTCTGACTGCAACGCACTAATTCTTCAATTGAGGCATCAAGATAGTGGACAGGAGTTGTGGTGATCTCGTGAGAAGTAGGGACGCGCCCTTCAGCGAAGGCTGCAGAGTAGGCGTCGCGGAGTTCGGTACGGAGCTTGGACTGGACTGTGGGATGGCCAGCGAGCCACTTTAGAGACCACATCAATGTGGTAGAGGTCGTATCGTGTCCAGCGACCAGAAGACCGAATATCTGCGTGGAGTTAGCAAATGTAAAACCCTGTTTGATCTGGCGTAATAAAAACACATACCTCTGCAATCATGGGCTTGGAGTAGTATTGAGGCTTCTTGCCTTCCTTTGCAGCCTGCTGTGACTCCCTGTGTAGCATGTGGTCCACAGCGTTGAATACCTTGCCCTGTTCGCCATTGATGTCGTGCATCCTTCGCTCGGCCTTTCTGATCTCATCTATGATCAAGTTGTTCTTCAGCTTTACCAGGTTGGCAAATCGGTATGGCAAAAACCCTAGAGGTAAGTTGTTAGTCTTCGACCTCCGGCGCTGAAATAGGGCCGCAACTCACATCCATAGATTCGAGGGAATGGTGACTTCAGTACCCCTTCGAACGTGTCGGTGAGCCGCAATATGGCATCAAAGGTTGGCGCCCGATCTGCTTCGGGTATGTCCAGAGCACCATCGGGGTGAACTTGGATAGATTCTGGTTTGAGCGAAGACAGCAGATCGATCTGTCTCATCGTGATGGTCGCCGTCTCGCCAGTACCGAACATAGCTGCCCAGATTGCTTCGAGCGCAGAGTGAGTGATGTCAGGCTTTACCAGAAAGGGATGGTGTTCCGGCCCAGATAGCCTCATCTTCTCCTGCCATAGTTGGATCAACTCCATGAAAGTCTTGTGAAGATGAGGACCAGTGACACCATGGAGGAACGATTGCGACATGAGGTCCTGCAGCCATTTGCGCTGCGACTTGAACCGATCATCGTTTGACTTCAACGTTGAATGATGCTCACGAGCGAGACCGTAGAGAAGATCGCTGATCATATCTGGCTTGTCGAACTCCTTGCCTCGACGCATCAGGATATCTTGTGCCTCTTTGAAATCGTTGATGATGACTACTGGCTTTTGAAACAAGTAGAAGAAGACTTGGACGATCGGGGAGTTGTGCCTATGGTTCTGTCGAGTGTCAGTATGTCCCAAATCAGAAGCGAACCTAATGCTCACATGTCCCTCCATCCAATCGGTCACTGCCTTGCTGTGCTTGAGATGCTCCAGCATGTCTGGAAGGTCACCAAATATCGATTTCGTGGCCTTGGTGTTGTATGGTATGCCCGTGATCGGCTTGGGCAGAAGCCACCTGTAGAAGACGTAGGCTCCAAAGAAGAGAATACCGCTGGCAATGGCCAGTGACGACGGTTGAGATGGTACCATATTACTCATGTTGGCTGTAGGTGAAAGTTCCAAGCTCTGTTTGTATGGCGTGGGAATGATAGAATCAAAGTATTTCTGCTAAGTCAGAGGGCTCTCGTCTCTTACGGATGCAACGCTAGGCGTATGCATGAGTTGCTTTGACGGAACGTCTTGTCGCATGTAAACACCTGGATATGCCTTGATCATTTGAAGGGCGAAAGTTCTGCTCCTATCGATTTAGGAACCAAAGTGATTGGCGCCAAATTAGGCCCATACCTGAAGCTGCTAATGCTCCCGGACTTGCTACTGCTGACACCATCAGATTCTATGACACAAGTCAACCACAAATTTACACACATTCTCGACGTTGTGAATGGACGAGAAATGACATGCCAGATCCTGCCCAGCCCTTGACATCCTTAACCTTGCAGAGAAGCATCCGCTATCAAGCCAGCAGTTCGTGCGGGTCAGCAAGGAATCTCAATTTGCTCAAGAAGGAAGTCTTGCACGAAGTATCTTCAAGCTGACAAGGTAGTCAAGATATCTAGGCACCAAAATTGACGCCTCGACATTGCAAGGATGAGAATATCGAAGCTTCCATTCCAACGTACCAGTAGCAAACGCCATTTCCGGGCGTACATTACGCTGGTCGAACAGGTAGTAGGAAGGAGAATTGATTTGCGATGCAACTCTGCTGTTAATGCGAGGATGAAATGGTATGTTACATGTGGTCATGACTCTATTTTCGAATCTGTGTATGTCTTGCTGACCAATACTTGGACGCTGATTCCTCGCTTGCACTCCGCTTCAGCCACGCTTAGCTATCACAAAATCAGCAAGAAGTCTCGGCAGTTTCGCATCCGCAACCTAGACGTCTGGGTTACATCGAAATGGGAACCATCGGGAGCGCTTGCCGCTGACAGTCTTAAGAGATGACTAGAAGCTGATATCGCAGCTGATAATGTCTGTTGGCAACACGAGGAGCGGTACGGTTTGCTATGAACGAAGAGTTCAACAGGGAGGTTACTTCGGAGGACGTATCTTGTTGCTGCAAAAGTTTGTACTCGAACGACGACGTCGCAACGAATCTTGTTGATGACTGGGTACTTTACTTAGCAGCTGGAGTCAGGTTGGATCTACCACTAGGCCGAATCCGTCATAATACAGGACTGTTTCCCTTACAAAACTGTAACTCAGATAGGCACCAAGGAAACACACAACACTTGTACCCATTGACAAATCCCGCTAAATGATGACCCCCGCTAAATGATCACCCCGCTAAATGATCACCCCGCTAAATGATCACCCCGCTAAATGATCACCCCGCTAAAATGCCCCATCCGTCAGCATCTACGGGCAACTGACATGCTATGCTTGTTATCCTCCGAGTCTTGGAGCCAGGGCCTTCCCGTTGCATCGACTCGACTTCGCACCGATGCGCTCCGGTTCAACGTGTTGTAACCCAATTCCCAAACCTCGACTGGTGAAGGATTGACCGAAATATTACGCAAGCTCTTGGACGATTGGCAAACTGTCATTCCCGTTGCTGCTTTCAGAGTAATACATCGTCGTGACACATACAATGTAAGGAGAGGGTCTTTGTCGATGACGATAGACACTGCCTTACTCAGACAGACTGTCTCCAACGGCCGACGCTACGAGCTGTATCGCTGAGTTCTTGAGTACTCAGACAGACGAACCATCCAGTTGTTTGCGTTTCTCCCGGACGGAGTCTTTTGGCTTCTCCCAGACCTCAATCACTTCCCCCAATCTCCCATGAAGGCCGTACAAATCTTTAGTTCCCGCGTTAGGCTGGCTCTGAAAGTACTCCAAAAGCGGGAACCCCATTCTTTGCTCACTTCAACGGAGTCTGACGGCGGCTCAAAATTCTCGAACGACACTCTTGCTTCTTGCAGAAGGTTCTTCCTCACACCCCAAACCACAGCTTGCACACCGCGCAGAAACTGCTACATGCCTGGCAGATCGACAACCGTGCGATGCAGCAGCATGGCCGCGCGGGTAAACAGTCCAGCAGTAACCAGCGAAGGTAGTGACGGAATTAGCGTGAGGCAAACATGGAACAGCCCAGCCAGGAAGAACGTCGAATAGTCGCCAGCCAGGTGATCGCGGAAGTGGTTCTCCACAAGCGAAATAATGCGTTGACAGTGCACGATACGAGGCTTTGGTTGGTCGCTTCACCTGTCAGGTAAGCTTGAGGGTCCAAAGGCCGCAAAATGAAAAGCACGATCACGTCGCGGTGTATACTGTAAGCTTGAGTAAGCAAATGTTGAAAGGTATGGAAAGGCATCAGAATTGCCCCAGAAAAGCCGTTCCCGGTGTGATATTTCCCTCATTTCGCAAATGTAGCGATAAAGCATCTTGCCAGTCTTGTAGACTCTGGTATTGTTGAACACGGATGCGCAGGTTGTCCTTATACCCTGTTCTTTTACGTCAAAATTGTGGTTTATGACGGCTTGCTGTAAGATGGTCAAGTCACAAGCGGTGTTCAGAATACCAGGCGTGAAAAGTGGACGGTATGAGGAACTTGTGAACGGTTGACCAAATATGTTGACATTCTCCACGAAATCACCCAGTGGTGCGTTGCCCCTGTAGAACACGCGAGATGTCTTTGAAGGACGACGCTCAAGCCGTTTGTTATGCAGATTTGCGATTATACTGAGCTTGTCAGAGTTGCGCTCGTGGAATTGATGGAGATACTCACTTCCCGTAGCAGTAAACAACCCACATACCTGTAAAATATGCCTGGATCTCTTGTTTGTCTGTTGGAGTTCAGTGTACTGTACGCAAAATGAAGAAGTTGAGGGTTGTACTGCAGTTGTATTGTATAAAGCTACGAACAGTATATGTAGGTGAGTGGCTGTAAACAACGCTAGTGGGAAAAGGCAGCAACCTCCCACCATGAGGTGAGGTGCGACAGGGCGTTAGTGCAGGAGAGACCCCAAACCGTGACATTATCCGTAGTGAATGACAATTTCTCCTCAATTCGAAGGCGATCAATCATGTCGTAACCTAGGTTCCGATAGATTGGTGCCGCCTCGTCTCGACTAAGGAGGGCGCTCGCCATGAACAAGTGTCATGGTTTAGGGTGCTACTGTCTGTCGTACCTCACCTGCCATATGAATAACTGTCGCAGTACAGTTAGGTCAGCACAGTAAGGTTGGGTATAAACGGACCGATATGATACTCCGTCAAACAATTGTAGTAACACAACAGTCTCATGGTCAAACCTCCCTGTCCTCAGACTATTTAAACACACAGCTTAGTTCAATACAACCTTAGTTCAATCCTTCAATATTTCCGCACACGTGTACTGATCACTCACGATTTATCGCGACAACAAGACAAGTAAGCCTTGTGCGGTCGGAAGCGATGCTCGATTATTTTCGAGACGGTAGCGTCGTCGCGCTTCGACGAAGAACAACTCCTGTAAAGTTCAAATCGGAACTGCAGCTGAGACAGCTTCAGAGCTTGTCAAAACAGGCCAACGACGATCTTAAGAAAAATCTTCATAGGTAGTAAACAAGTCATCCCAGCAACTATGATCCGTATTATAATGTTGTAGACTGATTGGCAGTAAAGTCATTCTACAGCCCAAGTCCAAATGGCAACCCTCTAACATATTTGTCCGTATATGGCACGCCTCTTCGCTCAGCAAACACTTGATCGATGTCTTTGTACATATCGTACCCGTTCATCTCTTCGATGGTCAACTTGTTCGCTTCGTCCTCTACTTTGTAGTTGGAGAACGTTGTGTTGCTGGAAAAGCCTGGTGATACTTGTCAGCAAATGCCATATTATACTTGATCATAGCAAATACACTTACCAATGCGTTCATTGATATTGTATGCAGCCTTGGCAGCGGAAGACTGAACTCTTGTGGCGCGAGGGAGGCGGACTGTTTCGTAAACAGCAAGGGACTCTTTCACGTCTCCAGTAAAGTAGTCCTTGCTGAAGAGTATGCCCAGTGCCGCTGCATCTTCAATGGCCATACAAGCTCCTTGACTTTGATGGGGCATCATCTACGAATCTCGGTCAGCTTGTGATTGACTCGGACCAGAATGGAAACAGAGAAATCACTCACCGGATGACCAGCATCTCCAAGTAATGCAACAGTGCCCTTGACAAGGTACGGGTAAGGCTGGTGTACCCACAAACGCCAAGGCTGAATTTCTATGCCTATAGCAAGGTGAGCCTTCACCTGAGCATCGAGCTCAGGATACGGTGCAAGAAGCTCCTCAACCGATAGATCGGCACCTCCCCAAGAGTGATTTGCATAATCACCTGCTGAGCGAGGGAAGAAGCAATAGTAGGAGAGGAGCTCGCCGCCGTTGCACGGCGAAAGCACAATCTTGTCCCACTTGCCCTCTTGACCACCCCAGTATTCAAGTGCGCTGTTGAGCGAGTAGTCCACAAGGCCAAGTTTTCTGGCGTCTTTTGTCAAGACATTGGCGTGTAAGCAGCTAGACTCAGCAGGTCGTTTCTCAGGGTTCAGGCCAATGATTTTTCGTGTTACGGATCCAATGCCGTCTGCTCCAACAATCAAGTCATGTTGACTCTGGGTGCCGTCCGTGAACCTGATAGTGCCGGATTCTAGGTCTATAGTTTCACACTATAGAATTTGTCAGCATTACTTCAAAGATGAAGTTAGACGTGTCTGGCGTGGATTGGGTGCATACCGCGTGATTAACTTTCAACTTTGCTGGAGCTCCAGCACCTTCTTCCTGTAACGCACAATCCATAAGCATTTTGTGCATATATTGCCGATGGAACATGTTGTAGACGTATCCCCATCGCTCTTCGTAATCGTCAAGATCATAGACACTGACGGGCTCGCCAGTTTTCCAATCCCTGTTGATGAGCTTCTTCAACACCACGGGATCGCCCTTCTCCACGTCAACACCCCATTCGTGCAACCAGCGGGTACCATTGGCAGCGCAAGATACCGAGGCTCCAGCCTCTCCAGCGAAATCGTGACGCTCATAAATGATAACATCGTGACCGGCTCGACGTAGCGCGATAGCAGTGGCCAAACCACCGATACCGCCTCCAACCACCCCCACGCTCAGTCGCCTCCAGCCAGTCTCGCTCAGGGATACCATTATTGTTTTTCTTCTGTATCACAAAGCCAGGAAAAAAATTGGATGGATGCTCGATCTATGAGGTCGCTTGTCGTGAAGCGAGAGAACCAGGCGTTAATGTTTTCGAGACGATGTCTTTTCAGTGAAATCTTGTGACCGACTTGACTTCACAATTTCAAGACTTGCTAAACTTGAAATATAGATTTGAGGTATGCGATCACGAGTACACCGCATTCTGTCGAAGGCTGGCTGCCTGCGGAAATTCCTGTACGCGCGATTCGATAAGCTGAACTCCAAAGATGCGGCTAGCGGCACGAGCACTTTTCGTGAGCTCTGTAGCGGATGCGGACTGTATGTTGTGAACCGCATCGTATGCCACTGATTGGTTGATGTGGCGGTTAATGTACAATAACCGCTACACCCACAGCTCGATCGGCTAATGCACCTCTGCATCCACATTACCATAACGGGCAACGAGTGGCTCCGAGCTCACGGTGTTCATACGAAATACCGCTGCAATTAATGCGGGGGTTTCCGCGATGCGTAAGAAGAGGGGAATAAGCCCGGTAAACGTACCTGTTCGGCACAGTATCCTCGTAGTTGAATGATGATACTTGCCGCCTTGACCACCATAGTTAACCTGATGCATAAGCAATAGCTCTGTGAATACGATTATATATCTTGGTACTCCCGGCCTTTGAAATCCCTATAAAACATTCCTAAAAACTCTTCATTCTTGTCAGCTTACCAAGACCGAACTCTACACTCACAATGCTCGGGAAGATCATTCTGGAAGAGGCTTTTGCCTTACCCCGCCTCGAAGAAAAGACAAAGTGGTGGGCCGGCATGTTTAGTACAGACGCCGAGAAGCACACAAAGGAGATACAAGATTTAACCGATATTCGCCTCAAGTTTGCGGATCAATACGGAGTCGGATACACCATCCTTTCCTACACTGCTCCAGGTGTTCAGGATATCTCTGATCCCAAGGAAGCTCAGGCTTTGGCTGTTGAGATTAATGACTACGTTGCTGAGCAAATTAAGCCGTTCCCGGACAGATTGGGAGCATTTGCGTAAGTTGGTCGTGTTTGATGACAAGGAACCTCGTCAGAAGCTGACAATTGAATCGTAGCACACTTTCGATGCACAACCCAAAAGAAGCTGCAGAGGAATTACGGCGAACTGTAACAAAGTACGGCTTCAAAGGCGCGTTAGTAAATGACACCCAGAGGGCCGGCGCGGATGGCGAAGATTACATCTTCTACGATCAACCAGAGTGGGACGTTTTCTGGGAAACACTCACGGATCTTGACGTGCCACTGTACTTGCACCCACGTAACCCCACTGGTATTGTCTTCGAGAAGCTCTGGAAAGACCGCCAATGGCTCATTGGCCCTCCTTTGTCGTTCGCTGTCGGCGTCAGCCTGCATGCTCTGGGCATGGTAACAAACGGCGTTTTTGATCGTCATCCAAAGGCCCAAGTAATTCTCGGGCATTTGGGCGAGCACATCCCGTTCGATATGTGGCGCATCAACCACTGGTTTGAGGACCGCAAGAAGCTGCTCAAGCCTGGACTGGACTGCAAGAAAACGATTCGCGAGTACTTCAACGAGAACTTCTGGATCACGACATCGGGTCATTTCTCCACGACAACCTTGAACTTTGTCAAGGATGAGGTCAGTGCTGATCGCATCCTGTTTTCTGTGGACTATCCGTTCGAGACCTTCGAAGATGGCTGTACTTGGTTCGATAATGCTGAGATGAACACCGGAGACCGCCTCAAGATCGGCAGAGAAAATGCGAAGGGCTTGTTCAAGCTTAGCGAATACAAAGACTCCAGCGCGAAAGTAATCTAAATAGATCAACAAACTAGAACAATCTCAGAATATTGTTTTTCTGAGTATTGCTCACATTCACGGACTGGTGGGCGGGACGCGGAGAGACGTGACTGCTCGGAGACCCCAAGCCGTCTTTATGACTAGTTCACTCGATTTCTCTGTATTAGTTAGCAATCATTTCTCGGTGTGGCCTGCGAGGCATGAATGATAAGAAGTGGACGGGTGATTGTTTGGGTACCTCACAAATGTATGAACTCCTGGGAGCTTACGTACAAGCATACGTCCTTATCGATTAGTTAGGCTTGGCATACGCATGGGTAATTTCTCTGATGCTGTCCCTTGTGAGTAGACCACTCACGGATACCAGCCGGAGTTAACCCTACGCGTACATTGTGTACTGTCTTCGTAAATGTGCTAAGACGCTATATTTTAGCTGCCTCATCAAGGGGAGATCCACTACACCCTCTGCTGCCAGCCTCTACAACACTATAAAGATATATTTTCTTTTGCAGTATAATCTGCGTGTAAGGCTGCATAGATCTGCCAGGTTGGAGACTGAAGATTCATGTTGTTGTTAAGTTGTGTCTCTGCCCAGGTCACGGGGTTCGGCAGATATTTCGCAAACACCTATGTCTTCGGATCATGCACCCCGAGTCACGACCGCTCAGCCATGCTGCTACCCCGCGTTGCGCTACGCTTATCATTCGCTTGACAGTGCGCGGAACGGTTCGTTCGAGACTGCCCACCATTTTAGATCTTCGAATTGCTATCGTTGGCCGCAGCAGGCGAAAGGTATGCTGATAATATAACGTTATCTACATCAGCAGCGGCTACTCCTTAACCGTCTTCCGCAAACTCGTTTCTTCCCTACACTGAGCGGCTTTTGCACTGTTTATCGAATCCAGCACTAAGTTGACCACATGACGGATTGAAGGTAACTACCGCCTCGCAATGCCTCGCCGGCCGGTGAAGCCACAAGATCGTCAGCGAGTTGTTAGGGCATGCGATCAGTGCAAAGCGTCCAAGAAGCGTTGTGATGGCAATCAGCCCTGCAATCCGTGCGAGAAGAAAAGGTACGATGGTATATGCCACTACACCGCTGGTCGGCGGCATCATCCGTTGCCGCAGCCCCCATCAGCACCCTCACAGTTGGCTTCAGCGCAGCATGCCCCTTTGACATTTGAAGGAAGCGGGGCCAATGAGGTTATGATATCCCCGAATTCCTGGAATTTCCACGCCCCCACTACTATGTTAGCGGGTAACCCAGGACCCGGTCTTGCTGCAGATGTGCAAGAGCACACTTCTGAAAAAAGTACCAGCAGCAACGACACGCGAGGTTCTTCAATAGAGGTTATGGCTCAGCCATCCGTTATGTTGTCAAGTGTTAGCGGGGAGAAAGGTAAGCAACCTCGAAACTCTTTTTATCAAGAGGCTCAGACATGAAACAAATCATTGACCACCATGTTCAACAGTGTTCATTGGCAACACAGCGGCTATTTCGTTTCTACAGTTCCTCCAAAAGACATTAGAACGTCATGTTGGCCCTTCTGGTTTTACCGATGCTCAAGAAAGTCGAAAGCTGTTTGAAGCAGATGCCCTCGACAAGGGATCGAGCCGCTTTTACGATGGGCTCTGTGTTGAAGACAAAAAGGCTTACATCCAGTACTTCTTCGATGCTGTAGGTTCTTCCATTCCCTATCGCTGCTCGTTTCTCGAGCACTACTGAGATCTTTGCAGTCTAACGGTCTTCTTGACTTGTACACTTGGGAAGAGGTATGCCATCTGTTGCAGACAGAGACTCGAACGAACTTGCCTGGAGAATCGCCCGCTTCGCAAAACTTGAAGAGCATTCAATCGGCCTCGTTGTACCTAATGGTCGCAATTGGTGCCCAATGCTACGGCCCAACAAAAGATGCTGTAGTCTGGACAGCTGAGTTGTTTTCCTATGCTCGCAAGCTAGCTTTCGCACAGATGCTTGAAAATCCAAGCTTGGACCTTGTCAGGGTGTTTCTTCTCATGGCATTCTACATGTTTGGAGCTTGTCGACGTAACTCTGCCTTTATGTACCTTGGTTGCGCCTCCAAAGCCGCCGACATACTGGGCCTGCACGTGTCTGCCCAATACAAGCGCACTGCTCCCTCTACCCGGAATGCAAGGTACGTGTTCAATCATTGTCTGATACATGAGAGAACGTAGTGTCTGACAGTAGTTCCTTCGTTACAGACTTCGCGTAGCCAAAAGCATACGCGTCTTCGACGTTGTCTGCAGCTCTATCCTTGGACGATCGAGCAGCACCCCGTCACCTCGATCGGGTCATGCCAGCTACGTTAGCGACAGGACCGATAATAACGCTGATGTCATATACCGATCGCTGGCGCTCGGTGCCATCTACGAGATCACGGCAATCCTTGATACCGCTGTCCAGAAATCTGGTGAAGGTGAGCTCGACGCGGACACGGCTGAAAGCCTTGTCTTAGCTTTGCAGCAACGCAGTCGAAACTTCCCTTCCATATTGCGGAAATCAAACGATGAAGACTCGACTAATAGCAGACATGTCATCATCGGAAACGTGCACGTTTCTGGAGCCTACTATTTCAGTGTAATCTTAGTCACGCGACATTTTCTCATACAGCACGTTGTACCTCAGCTTTCAGACGGACCAAAGTCACTCCAGCATCACGATATCGCAGGAAGGACCAAGATCGATCAGCTAGCCGACGCATGTATCGAGGCGGCTACGTTCATGGCACACATGTGCCACCAAGTCATGAGATCGGGCCACCTACTCGGAAATATGTGCATTCTCAAGTAAGTAAAAACGACCTGTTTTGAACAAAAGAGAGATCTCTGATGGGCTCTACAGAGCATGGGTCTTCGCTACAGGCCTTGTGCTGGGCTTTTCGCTGCTTGTTGAGGATACAGCAAACACAGAGCGACAAACTGCATTTCTCAAATCGCTTCACGTGTTGGGCGAGCTGAGACACCTTAGCCCTCAAGCCGAGCAGTACTATGGCATTTTATCAAGCTTCCATCAAGCTATCAAGGCTTACAAGGAACAATTACATCGCAGAATGCGCGCGTCTCGAGGGACCTTGGTAGACCGCATATTCTTGCCGGAGGTGGCAAATGACACCAATGAGCCCGAGGCCATCGCAACACAACTCCCAACCCCGGAGATGACCATACAAGATACTCCATCGGCGGAGTGGCTGGACAATCTCCCGATGGATACGCTGAACGATATGGAACCAGTGGATCCTATGCTGATGGGGGACAATGATGTTATCATGAGCATGCTTTGGGAATCGGAGAGGTACGCGATGGACTATCCAGCCGGTATGTTGCCGAGCATAGACGCTCCTGTTCAGAACCTAGGTACTTTGCTAGGCTAGCAGGCACAACCTCGCTCCTTGAAGTCAATAGAGACATCGAAGTGCTTGATGGATAGCAAATGATTGGAGCCCATATTACAGTCACTCGCCAAAAGTTTGGTCGCAGCGCACGCTGCCACCACCTCGCAAACATTGTCAGTGAATATTCACAATCGAATATCTCCACAACCACAAGTCAAAAAGTAGTTCTGATTTCAGCTTATAACAGCGTGTAGTCTTAATATTTAGTCTGGTACCTCCTAGCTCTCTGTACAGCAGAGATACGGCGTGGCATTGAGTGGATGAGCTTCTTTATCAATGAATTGGATATGGCTAACCATGCCTCTTTCAACCCTTCACAAAACCTCTCCCACTCTTCAGCAGAGTCTCCTAAGTTATCAAACTCTGGGTGAAGCTCATGAAGCTTCTGTTTTAGTGCCCATCACATGTGCTCAATAGGGTTAAGGTCTAGTGAGTAGGGAGGGAAGTCAATAGCCCAGATGCCATGACGTGAGAGAAAGTGTTGAAGTCATGTCTTAAGCAAAGCTCATAGACACTATTCGTTTGGTTCTCGGGGATGAGCAGAGGTACAGAAAGCCGTCGGGGGTTGGTTATCACTGAGCGAGCTTGGAGCGGTAGAAGTTTGACCGTGATAAACCGCCGTGATAATCAGGGGGTAGTCGTCTAGTCAAAGACCATGGCGACTGGTTGCAATGAGTAGTACAGAGTATACTGTCTAGCTCTAGAGCAGGTGAGATTCCAATAACAAAGTTGATTGACGAGGTTGAACACGATGTCATAAGGGCAGCGTGTCTACTTGCTTATATACTTGACAGGAGGATTGATTGTACCGCTCATATCAAGTATCGTCAGTGACTTGATACTTGGTCCAATTGAGCGTTGTTGACGTGACCTCGATACTTGGTCCTCGGTGTCCTATTGATCGTTGTCGACGTGGGTCCTCTGCAAGTGGGTTGGTATATGGGTCGGTGACGATTGTTTGTGTACAACATCCACGTTGTATCCACTGCAGTCCTTTTCATACAATCCCAGTTCGTATAACAGATATTGCGAGTGTTGATTATACTGGGTATCACTGACGCGGTTTCACAGCTCGGTCAATCAATACTGCAGTTCCTTGGCTGCTCTCGTCTTGTTGCGTAGTCCTGTTTGTTCAGTGTTGTTTTGCGAATTGTTCATGGATCGCAACACCATGCTCTCTCAGCCCGTGTTGACCTTCTGATACATGAGAATCAGTGGCTCCAACAGGCCTTACTGAGCAAGAAGAGGCACAGTAAACACAGTAAGCCCCTGGATCTCCAGCAACGTCGAGAGTACCATGGGGAGCTGTTTTTTAGTCACCAAGGAAGGTTAGGGAGGCACAGGTCCGCCGAACAGTCACTGAGTGCGAGAAAAAAGAGCAACAACTCCAAAAAGCTGAGAGAGCTGAGCTGAGGCATGCCAATAAGCTATACAACAAGAGAATAGCTCAGGAGAAGCCTGTGGAGTGTGAGGTAGCTGCTGAGGCCTGGAGGAAGGAGAGAGCTGTGAAGGCCCAAAAAACAGCTGAACAGAAGGCTGAGCGTGAGCATCAACAACAAGAGCACAACGCTGCAAAAGCTCTACAATTGTCCCAAAAGGGCAAGAGAAAAGCTTCACAAGCAGTCTAGCCAAAAGAGCGTCAAAAACGCGTTGATACTCGTGATGTTAGAGGTGCCGTTCCTGCAGAGGCACCTCCAGCCCCCCCACCCATCACCACCTGCCGCGGCCGCAACATCACACTTCCAAGTAAATATAGATAGCACAAATTGATTGCAAGGCATCAGTTACTACAACACCAAATTATTTTGTGATATTAGCTATTGTGGGTGGCTCAATAGCCTTGTTTTTGGAAAACGCGTTGGAGGGCATTTGGTGCATCACGCAATGGTGCGCATCACGCGTACGGACACGGTAGCTGTAAACAACGCTAGTGTGACGTGGCAGTCACTCTCATGGCAGGCGAGGTTCGACAGGCAGGAGCGCCCTGAACCGTGACACTAAGACACCACAGCCAGCGAGCAACATCACCATTACCACAGAAACTGTGCCGGTTTGTAGATGGTGCTCATGTGGGAAGAATAAAAGAATTGAACTGGAGTTGTATTGTATGAAGCTACGAAGAGGATGTATAGGTGGGCAACCGTAAACAACGCTAGGGCGAAGGGGCAGTCACCCTCACGGCAGGTGAGGTTTGATAGGCAGGAGACCTCAAACCGTGACAGAAACAGACTATGGTTTCTACAGCTACTTCACAGACTCCTTGTCTTCGTCTATCACCACCAAGGCTATGGCCAAATTGCCGCTAGCGACAGCGTTACCTGTTTGACATGGGAGCCAACAGCCACGTCTTCAATGACCATACAAAGTTCATCTCATGCACTCCTGTCAATGGGGGTGACATCTCAGGTGCAATAGGGACAGCCACAGTTGCTGGCCAAGGTAGTGTTGCTTTGAAAGTTGTCCGCCGGGACCTTTCAAGCGCAAGGGTGCCTACTACCAGTCCGGCAAGGACAGACTGTACACCGCAGATGGTGAAGAACTTGCCTATTTGTCTGAGATTGACGGTATGCCCAACTTTCTTATCATCAACAGCGACAAGAAGGCGCCATCAGCACTGGTTTACGCGTCCCTCGTTGCCTATCATAGCTCTCACAGCAAACCTACAACGTCCCACACCGCCACTGAACGGCACCACATCTTTGGTCATGCCTCCCAAAATACCATCCCTCGCACTGCCAAGGTGGTTAAGGGCATAGTCATTACAGGTCCCCCAGAGATCAATTGTCGCACGTGTAGACGATCAAAGTCAACCCAAACCATCTTGCGCCGTCCACAGGACCGGCCGTAGCACTTGCTGGACATGGTGCACATTGATTTGGTTGGCCTCATCTCTATACCAGGTCGGACCGGAGAGAAGTACTTCATGAGCATCGCTGGTGGTCACTCTTGCCAGCGCTGGGATTCACATCAGACAGCAAGGCAGTCCTTGGTACTAAGCTTATCGAATGGGCAAATCAAATGAAGGCCAAGCACAACTTCCAGCTTGTCACTATCCGCAGCGACAAGGCTGCCAAGCTTCTCAATGCTTGCAATAAGGCTTACTTCAACAACTTAGGTGTCACAATCAAGCCATCCCCGCCATTTGAAGTACCCACAATGGTGCCGCAGAGCGCGCCAATGCCATCACTATTGCTCAAGTCCGTGCCGCACTCATTGCAGCTGATCTCCCAGAGGAGCTCTGGCCGTATGCTGTGAAGTACATGATTTGTGTGCTTACCTGTTCAGTCACTAATAACACAAGACCTGGCACAGCAAGCTCCAGTACACCAACCCAGTGCCTAACATTGCTCTCATGCACGTCGTCGGACAATCTGGCTACGTCCACATCCCCGCTCCCATGCGCATCAAGGGCAACAAATTTGCCACCTGCTGCACGAGGTCACCTTGTTGGTATGATTAGCGAGTCTGTCTCTGAGACGTGGCTCCCGGATAACAACAGGATCGTCACTACTTCTTCAGTCAACTTCGACAAGTATGGAGCCGCTGCTCCTGCCCATCTGATGCGGATGACTCTCCGCCGGCGTCTCCAATGATGTCACGTTTTGGCGAACTTCCAGACATCTCCAGCGGCAGTAAGGAGGTTGGTGTTCTCAGGTACCAGCATACTTTGCGCAAACCCTTACACTTTGGAAAACGAAGCTAGTTACAACACCCAGAAATCCTTTGTAGAGCCGCTGTTGCTGCTATCTCAAAAACCTCACCTCTACATATCTCCTAGCCGCCTAGGTATGCTTGCTAATAGCTTTGAGTGCTACGAAGAGCAATGCGCTAGAACCTCACGTTTGATGCAAAGCTTTGCACCTCGCGACAGGAATGCTCGGAATCGACTTTGTCGATTGTTGGAGAAGAACGGGCTGAAGATCGGGCCTGTCGAAACGTGATCACACGGCGAGGGGACCGCGATGATTCAGCAAAACCCATACAATAGGATCCCAGCCTGGATAGAAAATGGTTCCCCCGTTGCGTGGTGGGCGCTGTGATGTGCACGGTTGGGTCGATGGCGTCTTTTGCTGTTGCGTACGCCGACTCCTTTCATGAAAGAGGCACCACCAGGGACGCCGAGTGTTGGTTCCTCGTTCAAAGCACCACGATGCAACTTCTTGGGCTCACTGTCACGGCACTTCTTTGGGGGACGGTAGACTCCCGAAACTGCGTTGGGCATTTCCAGCTGCGCCTACGGGCATCTCGGCTGTTCTAGCTATGCCTCTTTATCTGGTATTGCTGACGGAATGGAGGCGTTTGTGTTGTGCTGTAGCGGGAGGCACCCAATCATTCAAGGTATTGCGGCATTCCGTGTGGTAGAGAATGGCGAGGAAGTCAGGGGGGTTTGAGGCGGGGTTGGGATCGCTCGGAACAATGAATCGAGAAGGCAGGGAGAGAGGACTAGCGGGGCCATGGATCGAAGCTTGCCTTGGCTCACCATGGCTCACCATGCGCTTACAAGCTACGTGCCTCGCGATGAATCCGCGCATGCTCAAACTGGATGAAACGGCGTTGGCGCTAGACTGGCTCGCCATGGATGCTGGGCCAAGATGAAAGCAACGAGGGGGGGAAGTGCGGCCGCTTCAAGAATGATCAGAGAAAGCTGCCACCTGAGAAGCGATCACCAAAGCCCTTGCTCTTGCTCAGCATCTCCCTCTTCTGCTTGTGATTCAAGTTCCCCTGCACCGCCATATCCTTTTCATAGTCAAACACCCTCTTACTCGGATCGTCCTCCTCGATCTTCTGCTTACTCTGATGCTGCTCCACCAAACTCTTTCCCCTGCTTGCATCGATCGCCTCGCGCATCTTGCGCGCCCGCCGCTCCTCTTCCTTGCTCCTACCGCCCCCCGGTGCTGGTGCTGTAGCTGTGTTTGACGATGCGGTTGTAATGCCCATGGCTTCGTTTTGCAGGCGCTTGAGTTTCTGCTCTGGCGTCTCGGTCCATGCGCTGCTGATTCCTCCTCCACCACCAGCGCTCTTCCCAGTGTTGAATTTCCGCGCCCGCTGTTTCGTGGGATCCAGGCGCGCAGCGAGATCGTCCTGGGTCGGCGGCATGGTCATCCAGTCGTCCCTCTGCGCCTTCCTGGGCGCATCCGTGAACTGCGGGTCGGTGTCGAATGCGCTCTTGGCAGACGGGTTGTGGTCATGTGTGTCGGCGCTGTATGTGGCGCCTGCTGGGGGCGGCGCAGGGCCGAAGCCGTCGTCGCTGCTGTCTGAGGCGTCGTCTGAGCGCGGGGTTGGCGGCCGTTCGTCGAGGGCAGCTGGCGGTGCGGCGGGGCCCATGACGCGAGTCGGTTGTACAGCTGGCGGGGGGGCGGGGCCAACATCGCTTTCTGGGGAGCTTGACCGTGAGCCGGCGACTGGCGGGAGGGTTGGGCCAGCGGTGCGCGGAGGAGAGGCGGCGGATGCGAGCGCTGGGCCTGCCACTCTGCGGCGCTTGTCGCTGGCGTGTGGGCTTGACGCGCGGTCGTCCTCAGCGCCGCGAGTGCGCTTCGAGGGTTGCGGGGGCATTGCTGGCCCGATCGAAGGCATTGTGGGCGTTTGCGCGGTCGAGGTGTGCGGGAGGTTGCGGGCGGTCGCGGGCGGTCGCGGGAGGTTGGGAGGGAGCGGGAGGTGTGCGCGAGGTGTGCGAGCGGCGTGCGAGGCGCCGTTGAAGCTGTGACGAAAGCTCGTGCACAAGCTTGTGCGGCCCGCGGTTGCCCATCTGCGGCCTGCGTCTGGATGGACGACACTCCCGCATCGCCGCCGTAGCTCGTCGGGGGTCGCGACAACGCAGTGAACAGGCTCGCCGGGGGATTGCACGCCTCTCCATCCGCCCACCGTGATAGTAATTCAAGTCCATCGTTGGCCGCATCGCGCCCGTTCTGCCCACAGCCAGCAGCGCCCCGTAGCGCAAACAGGCACGAGCCAACACCGCGGGGACGGCCACCTCCCCTCCCCTCCCCCCTCCCCTCCCCCCTCCCCCCCCCCTTCCCCCAGTACACACCGCGTACGGCCAGGAGCTGCATTGGATAGGACGAGTGCCCACGCGAAGCGATGCCCTGCTGTAGACGAGCCTCATGAGCTCAGATCCGGGGCCGGGCCACACCGGCGCTCGCAACGACCCCGACAACACGATAGACACGGGCGATCGCATCCAGCACGAGCCGGTAGTCGAGCGCGGAGAGGGGGAAGAGGCGGTCAATGGCATAGTCAATGGCATAGTCAATGGCATACCGGGGCTGGTGGACGAGGCCGACGGGCTCGCGTCGGTCGACAGCGGCTCCAATGGCTCGACCCTGGCCCGCACGAGACGCAGGCAGGAGCAGGAGCAGGAGCAGGAGCAGCAGATGCAGCAGCCCATCGAGGCTGGCACGACTGAGCTGCCCCCGCGGCCCAGCGCAGGCACACCGGCGAGCTTCGCATCGACTTCCACGCCCGATGACCCCCCGTCGATCCAGGGCTCCGCCGTCTCCTCGCCCAGGAGCAGCGTCGCCTACGCGTACCACTCGCCCCGCCCAAACAGAGCTGCGCTCCAGCCCTTTGAGCGCCGCTTCTCCTCCCGATTGTCGCCCGCACCGCCTGCAACCCCGCGTGGGGCGTCTCCGGCCTTCCTGTCCGCCCACTCGCGCCAGTCCTCACTGTCCAGCAACGTGCTCTTCCAGCAGCTGCCTGACGAGGCAGACACACCGCAGCCGCCATGGGACGTCGTGCGCTGGACCAAGCTGAACAAGATCACCGGCCAGGTCTTCTCAGAAGTGGGCAAGCGCAACTTTGGCAGGCCTACGTGTCTCAACGTGGCTGCGTCGCTGGTCGTCGGAACCTCAAAGGGGTTCATCCTCGTCTTCGACTACCAGCAGGTCTTGAAGTCCATCATCGGGCCGGGCACCAAGGGTAAGCACCACAGACCATGCTGCTGCTGCCGCTGCTGCTGCTGCTGCTGCTGCTGCTTCCTTCTACTGACTGTGCTGCAGCCGTCGAGTGCGGTGCCACCACTGCCCTCGCCATTTCTGCTGACCACTCGACCATCGCCGGTGGCCATGCCACAGGCCACATCTTCACCTGGGAGCTCTCGAAGCCAGCAAAGCCCTTCCTGCACATCCCCCCACTCGACCGCGCCGGCCTGGACGACCTCAGGTCTGATGGCCACGTCTCGGGCGTAGCGATTCTGCACCTCGGCTTCCTCGGTACGCGACACACGGCACTCGTCTCTGCTGACGATGGCGGCATGGCCTTCTCGCATCTCGCTACTCGTGGCCTCGGCGCCATCGCAAGGAGCGTCAAGACCACTCGAATCCTGGGCAGGTATCCCCTCTCGGCGAAGTCGCTAGAGAAGCCGCGAAAACCAAGCTCGGTTCTCGCGTTTGCGCCCCTGCCACTAGGCAACGTTGAGCAACCGACGGATGTAATGGGTTTGACTGCGCTGCTCACACCCTATCTGCTCGTCATCGTGTCGACTACCCCTGTTGCCCAGACGCAGCACAAGGCGCCGCGGCCAAACGAGGTTGCGCTCCAGAGTGCCATGAGCGGCTGTTTGGCATGGTTCCCTGCCGTGAAGCTGAAGCACGCAGCCGGCGATGCTGCAAAAGCCGTATCCAAGACAAAACTGGTCTACTGCTGGTCCAACATCCTGACCGTTCTGGATGTGGCTAGCTTCGTCGCACCTCCTACCGAGAAGGAGAAGCCTACGGAATTACAGTTCTCAGCGCGAAGTCGCTGGAGAGCCGAAGAGACCATAGTGGCAGTGCAGTGGCTCAGCAGATCAGTGCTCGGCGTACTGACCATCAGCCAGCGACTTCTCATCCTCGAGGACACCACCCTGCGGACGACAGACTCATTCGACCTGCTGCAGAAGCACATATACCACTCCGACCTGTTCTCGCGGCAGCTGCGTCCTGCCGTGGAACAGCACGACGAGGAAGACGCATCACTGCATGGCGTGGTCGCTGATGCGTTCTACATGAGCTTCAGGGCTTACAAGGGACGGCTTTTCTTGCTCGGCTTCAATGACGTCTCTATCGGAACGCTCTCGAACTGGGCGGACCGCTTAATGGCTCTCATGAAAGATGGCGACTTCATTGCAGCCATCGGACTCGCCACGTCTTACTACGTTGGCGACGCTGACAAGCTCACCGTTGGACTGCCCGAGGATGATCAAGCACGGCACGCGCTTGTGCGGGAGAAGCTCCTCGAGATGATCACCGCATCGCTCAAGTATGCCTTCTCACAGAACGACGAGAGCGACGATGTAAGGGAGGCACGGCTCAAAGAGCTGGCGGAGGTCTGCTTCACAGCTTTGTTCAGCATGAAGGAACTTGACTTCTTGTTCGAAGACGTTTACGAAGCTTTCGAGGAGGCCTTTGCTGGGAAGCCGTTCTTCGAGACGCTAGAGCCTTACATCCTGGACGGCGAGATCGAAGAGGTGCCACCGGATGTCCTCAAGGACCTCATCACATTCTACGCCTCAGTGGGCCGCGGCCCGCAGGTCGAAGAAATGATCTGTCGTCTTAGCACTGACACTCTGGACATCAACGATGTGACAACCATCTGTCAGCAGTATATGCTGTACGACGCACTGATTCACGTCTGGACGCAGACCATTGGCGACTTCATCACCCCGCTCACCAACATCCTGGATCTTATCAAGCTCATCGATTTCAATCTTGATGACTCTGACAATGTTCTTGTCGTCTCAGCCAGGAAACTCTTCCCGTATCTTTCGTACACATTCACTGGACGCTTCTACCCCGGTGGCGCATCTATGGATGATGAACAAGCATACAGCGCCAAAAAGGACATGTACAGATTTCTGTTCTCAGGCAAGAACCTTCAATGGCCTCCTGGCTCAGGTCCGGTGCTCCTAACGCGGAACGACAATAGCTCAGAGCCATCCTTCCCGTACCTGCATCTCATACTCGAGTTCGACGCATCGAGCTTCATGAGCATGCTGAACGAAGCGTTTGAGGATAGTTTCTTGAATGGCGAAGCCGAAACAGCAAATGGCACGCAGACGAAGGGGAAGACGCTCACACCAACCCGCCAGTACATTGTCAACATACTGCTCGGTATAATGACGCCCGAGGACTTCAGTGCTGAAGACATCATCTACTTCTACATGTTTGTTGCCCGAAATCTGCCAAAGTACCCACAGTATATCATGCTTCCTGGAAGCTCCCTTCACCGGATCCTTGTCGGTCTGTGCAACTACCCTACAGATGTTGTGAAGGACGACTGTCAATTGTCTGTCGAGTATCTGCTCACGATATACCATCCGCCAAATCTGCAAACCCTTGTCCCCATGTTCGAGACGGCCGGCTTCCATCGCGTCCTGAAGTCTGTGTACCGTAGCGCCCAGCAGTATGCCAAGCTGCTCGAAACCTATCTGGTGGACAGCGAGGACGGGGAGGCAGTGTTCGGTTGCATCAGCGACATCCTCAGGCCAAGCAAAGGGCTAGCCAAGAAGCAGATCAGTGAGGTCAAGCAGGTCATTGTGGGCCGCGCGGAGGACCTCGTCGCTGTAGGTGCTGAGCAGACAGCGGTCACACTAAGACTGTATGCACCTGACCTTCTGGGACCTGTTCTAGACGCTATTGAGGAGGATCGGGATGCCCAGTATCATTATCTTAGGGCTCTAATTGAACCTGAGCAGACACAGTCAGGCGAAGCTGCTGCCATCGACGAGAGTCTTCCGTCCGGGTTTGTCGAGCGTTACGTCCAGCTCATGTGTACGTACAACAGCAGTCACGTCGCAGACTTTGTCGGTCTCCTCAGGTCTGGAGACCTGAAGCTTGACCCCATCTTGCCCGCTTTGGAGAAGAGCGGGGTAATCGATGCGGCAGTCGTACTTCTGGCACGCGATGGCTTGGTGAAGGAGGCTATGGATCGCCTTGTCAAGCATCTCGGCACACTCGAAACCGCACTCACTGGTCTCATTGCCGCCTCGGCAGACAGTCCTGATGCCGCAAATGCCGAAGAAACTGCACGTGGCCTGCTCGAAGATATTCAGAAATATGTCAAAGCCGGGATCTGGCTCAGTCAAGGCCAAACGAAATCGACTGCACACACCGCACCTGTCGTTGACAGACGAACGTGGGCATACGGGGACATCGAAGAAGAAGACCTGGCCCTCGACGAACTTCTTTGGCTCGATCTCATCTCCACAGTAGTCAAGCTAATCAAGGAGACATCAGCTGCCATAACCGACGCAGCCCTTCCCACGGCCTCCACCGAAAGTCTTGACACCACAAACATCACCAAACAGCTTCGCGACTCGGTACAACAGACCTTCTCCGCTCTGCTTGCTTCTACAACGATCCCTCCTACAAAATCCGCCACTCGGCCCCCAACGACCAGTCGCCCAGTCTTGAGTCGCGCAACGAGCCAACCCCAGACCCACCCTTCTTTCCTCCGCATCCTCCGCGCTTTCCTCCACCGCGCATCAACTACCTACTCCCCATCACTCACTCACCTGCGCTCCGTCTTATCCGAGATCTTTACCGCCTACACATTCGAACAGCGCATTCTGCAGCTTGCAAACAGCTTCCTCGACAAGGAAGGCTTCGCACACGTCGAGGAAATCGCCGCGCGACGCAATCGCGGATGGCGCCCAAGAGGGCAGGTCTGTGAAGGGTGCAGGGGACGGACCTGGGGTCCTGGCGCGGGCAGTAGCGTCTGGGATGCCTGGGAACGATCGGAAGAAGCTAGGGTCAAGAAGAGGGCGGAGGAGGAAGATGCGAGGTGGCATGCAGAGAGGAGGGGCAGTCAGAAGGGGAAGCAGAAGAGTGCTAGTCAGAGCGAGGACGAGGCGGAGGACGGAGAAGGCGAGGGGAAGGGGAAGGGGCCGCTGGTTGTTTTTGCTTGTCGACATTTGTGGCATAAGAGCTGTGTTGAGGCGGAGGTTGTTGGGGAGAGGTTGAGGTGTCCGTCTTGTGTGGAGGGACCCTGATGGGTGGATGTTTAGGTTTTGATAGGGCGAATATACCAACGTTTTCATGTCAGTCGGCCGGGTACGACAGTACTGGGTGATGTTGAGGTAGTCCGCCGCAACTGTGTCGCTGAAGGTGTCGCCTGCCCAAGCGAGACTAGCGTCTATGCAGCGATATCAGCTTTCTCAATTGCTTCGCGGCTTCGCTCCTTCACTACATACGCTCTCCTCACGCGTACCGACCAAATCACCAACTCATATGCATTGGAAATCAGCCCCGTGGTCCGAGCACGCTTAGGGTGACATGTACCCATTAGCTGCCACCCCAAAAACAATCCATTGAGGATCCGACCCCTACTAGGGGAAAGAATTACTTTCCAAAAGACAAGCATAGCAAACGTTGCCTTATGTGTCGACTTATCCAGAGCCTTGTAACATCCGACCGTGCCCTCTTCTTCGCCATACTCACTGTTAACGGGCTTTACGTAGTAAATGCAGAGAGCTACAAGGAGAGTCGCAGCCTGTACGAGGTTCTGAAGATCGAACTTAGATCAACAAAGGAGGGGATGAACATGGAAGTAATGTCGGAAGGCTCCCGTATTGACATGGTGCAGTGATACAATTGGGTGACAGAAGTCTGTTCGCCCAAGCGCACGAGCCACCAAACCAACTTCACCACCTCCACTTTTGTAATGACCGCAACCGAATGACCACCGGTACGGTTCCGAGTCGTTCCTTATCTGCATACATGTCGGCAGGCATCGCGCTGCTGTACTATCTGAGCCCCTGTTGGCACCTGCATGCACGATAAGCTAGTCTACCGCTCCGGGTCCGATTGTCCTTCTAACGGTACACTTAAGCAGTTCAACACAGTTGTTAGATAGAGTAGTTTTTCTGTATCCTTTTGTACAAGACCTATAGGTGTAGGGAATTCAATCCTAGTGTTCTCAACGTCCCAGCACTCCCATATGCCTCGTAGCGGACTCACACTTATTCCGGATATCTTCCCTGCTGGCCTGCGTCGTTACAACTTTGATGTAGAATAACTCCACACAATGTGGCTCAATTTTGAGAGTTAGGGTGGCAAATTGATTGCATTACACTCAATATTTAGTCTGGTAACCTCTTGCTTCTCTCACAGCATCTAGTCGTCGTGGCATAGACCTGATGAGTGCTGCAATCAGTGAATCTGGTATAGCAGCCCATGCCTCATGCAACCCCAATTCAAATGCCTCCCACTCAGCTAGCAAGTCTCCCATATAGTCAAACTCAGGATGGAGCTCATGGAGCTTCTTTTTGAGTGCCCACCAGAGGTGCTCAATAGGGTTAAGGTCTGGAGAATACGGTGACCAGTCAACCGTAGCAACACCGTGGACCTCTAACCACTCCCTTGACGTGCATGCGGTATGGATAGGTGCGTTGTCCTGCATAAACCACTCGCCTGGCCTGTAGCTGTCCATAAGGCCTTCTTCCAATGCCTGAATATAGCTTTGAGCTGTATATCCACACCGTGCAGCTGCCTCATCGCGGGTCATCACCACCAGCTGGCTACGCCAAACTCGGCCTCCTGGAGTCATTGATATTGATGCCCATACCATACAAGCTGGCTGGCGTGCAGTGGTGACCTCCTCTACCATCTCATGAGACCATTTCTCCACTGGTAATCGCCATACCCAGGCAGTGTTGTGGCCAGATCCACGAGCAATGCTACACTCGTCACTGAACTTGAATCTGCTGCGTCCAAAGTTGAAGCCCTGCCAGTCAGCAGCAAGCTTGAGACAGAGCCCTGCTGTACAAGCATTGATCTTTGGTCTGCACTTGGCTCTGAACTTGCAGTAACCCTGATTGGCCATCGCACGTTGTACAGTATGATGTGATACTTGTGGGTGGGTGGTGGTGGAGTCCCACATCCCTGCCTCCTGTAGCAGCCTCTGGTACTCAATACGGGGATTTTTTCAAGCAATTCTAAGCAGCTGGCGGTGATCTCTGCTAGTCAATATAGGCGGACGGCCTGTTCTAGGCTGTGAGGTGTTGCTGGAGGTGGCTTTCCATTGGGTGACTGTTTTTTGGATGCACAGTTGAGAGCACTTGAGAGAGTCTGCAATTTTACTGATTTGAACACCAGCCTCAACCTGGGCTAAACAATATATGCGCTGCGCTTCTGATAATTCACCTCCAGGCATCCGATTGCCTGAAATTTCAGTACTAAATGAGCTCATATTGATGGAGTAATACGCTGTCAAAGAAGGTGTTGCTCTTGAGAATTGAGGGGTGGTGGTGGCTCGTGTGCCGAGGCGAACGAACTTTTGGCTTAGTACAGTAAGGGCGACGCAGGCACGCACACCCACGGCGGACGGCTTGACCCGCAGGCGCAGAGGCACCACAGTAGAAGCAGAGCAGCAGCCAGTAGCGGCACGGTGGTGGGGTCCTCGACGCTAAGCACTACACACTGCCAAGCTAGGTACGCCTTGGGCTGCGATAGCTATAACCACCTAACACTACTCTATCCCTGGACCGAGGTCCGTTGAAAAGCAAAATGGCGTGGACTTCAGTCATATTTAAGGCGTGCCTACCTATTTCAAGGGCATGCAGACTTGTGCCCATCCATCTCTCATCGTAATCACTATTTTACAAATTTTGCCCTCGATCGGCCCGCACCCCCCGTGTCACGAACCCCGAACCCCTTCAACAACATGCTACAACTCAATGAGGTTAGCTACTCAGAGAGTGCCTCGGTCACCGCTATTAGTGACTTCTTCAAATTTCTCACGAGGATGTATCTCGACGAAGAGACCGTGGAGTGGCCACCCGAAGGAGGGTGGCCTACAACAACTAGGAATGCTTTCGGAAGCATGGATAAATCAGACCGAGTTATCTCTCTATTGCGCCAACTTCCTTACATGCGGGACTTGCGCCAACTTCCTTACATGCGGGACGACTCAGATGGGGTGCAGCGTCCGCAGGGTCTTCCCGAGGCAACATTCTGGAACTGGAAGGACAATGTGAAGGACGACGAACCTCTGGATCCTAAGCAAGTAAAGGAGGTAAAAATTCTTACAGAGGATTTTCTGTGCGAGACTACTACACCGGACATCATCGGGCTGCTAGAGGGTGGCCGAGACGATAATACCGTCATCCTACTTGACACCCGATATGGGATCGCCTACTGGCCAGAGTGTCCCAGCGAGATCAGAGATGAGACGGGCCAGGAACAGATTCAAGACGATTCTGACGCTTGGGCTTCTCAGGAGGAGGCTGATTGGCGTTGCGATGCGCCGGCTTGGACTATTCCAGACTTTTTTGCAATGCTCCAGGAACAATTCGAGCAGCTTCGTTTCATACCAGTCAATTCCAGGCAGGTGGTTAACTCGTGGAGTGGATACTCCGACGATGGCGAGATGGAGACCATGTTGCAGGGGATATACCGGAAGCATGGATGGCCCGATCTTGAGAATTACAGGAAAGAAGAATGCATCCAGGCCGTGAAGCAGGCCTTGGCAGAGCAATACCCTGACTTTGACCTGTATTAAGAACCAGACTAGAACCAATTCAGACCCTGACTTAGTTCTCCCGAGCTAGATGATCATCTCATTGATCCATGCGGGATTATCTTATATGGGAAAAACATTGGAGCAAACGTTACCCTCTATGTTTTAGTGTCGCTGGGTATTGTGATCTAGAATAGCCGCAAAGCATGCAACAAGTCGCCCTGTCGCGATGATTCAAGTGTTGAAATGTGGGTTAAGGTTAGGATTTTTTTCTCAGGTTTCTGCTTCAAGAGATGCTAAATAAATATAGTTGCTCCTGATTCTAAAGAATATTAATTTGTTATAATTGCCAAGATCACAACTGCGCAACAACTACACGTAATGTCTCAACAACATAAAGCCCCTGCGCACCTATACTGAGGGTGACATATATCTTGCTGTTACCAACTATCAATCTAAGCAAGTAAAATCTCTCCAACGTGCACAAGAGATCTACAAAGTCCCTCCAACAACGATCCGATGGCGACACGACGGAAAGTGCCCTTGACGCAACTGCGAGCCGAATTCAAAGTGTTTGACAAAGCTAGAAGAGGGGGCAATTGTGGAGCATATACTTGAGCAATCCTTACAAGGACTACCGCCGTTAAAGCCAAATGTGCAAGATATGGCTGGTAGATTGCTAAGAGAGCGCGGAGAGAAGCCTGTTGGCAAGAACTGGGTTGACAACTTTGTTAAGCATATGGCTGCGCTCAAACTCAATGGAGCCATCCATATGATCACCAGCAAGCTGCCTGCAAGGCCCCAGCAACTATCAAGTTGTGGTTCAACCTTATTCAGTCTGTAAAGGAGAAGTATGGCATCCAGGATGAAGATACATACAACTTTGATGAGACTGGGTTTACAACGGGCAAGATGTTGTCACGACTTGTTATCACAAGCTCAGAGGGATCTGGTAAACAGAAGAGGATACAACCTGGCAATTGTGAGTGGGTTACTGTGGTCCAAGGCATTGGTGCAATGGGGCGCGTTATCCCACCCTTTGTTATCTTTGCTGGAGAGTTCTCATCTCATCCTGGTTTGATAACCTGCCTCACGAGTGGATCCTTGAGGTTAGTGTTACGATCAGTGGTACACTAGGTAGCACTGACAAGGATTGCTCTCACGCTAACGTAGGCAACAACAGAGCAGCGGCAAGTCTCAGTTAAACTGAGACTGGAACAAGGCTGGCTGTCAGACTGCATATATGCTCTCACTGATCTCACAATCTGACATACAGCAACAGAGCACGCAGAGCACCCTGCATGAACGCTCCCACTGCTCTCACTGCGCTGTCAGATCACACAGAGCAGACAGATCACCACGTAGACACATTTAGTATATAGCATGTAGAAACACAACCCTTATGGTTTGTGTTCAACCTTGTCAATTAAGTTTATCATTGGATCTCAACCAACCTTCGAGCTAGACAGGTTGCCCGTACTACTCATCATTACCCCAAGCCGTCGTTAGGTGTTTCACCCAGGCAACTTACCCCTACTGTTCCAGAACCAGAGCTCATCCTTGAGAACCAATCAAATAGTACTTACAAGCTTTGCTTAAAGTACGACTTCAACAGTTAGCCCTAATGGCTGGATCAACAATCAGCTTGCGCTTGCCTGGCTAGACCACTTTGACATGCATTTGAAGCAATACACTGTAGGATTGTATCAACTGCTCATTATTGATGGCCATGAGAGCCACTGCTCACTTGATTTCCAAGATTGCTGTAAGGAGAGGAACATTATCACACTCTGTATGCTGTCACACTCATTGCACCTGCTCCAGCCCCTTGATGTTGCCTGCTTCTTGTAATGGGCTAGGCCCATTGTTAGCGCCTTGGCAACAGCAAAGGCCTCGGTACCTCCAAAGCAGACGTACAACCTCCAGTTACCTCTGGAGCAGGCCTGCAAACCCCAAAGTGGGGGTATTAGAATTCTGCAAGTCCCGCTCTGGGACTTGCCCCTTATCAAATCCATCAAGTTCTACATTGCATATTGCCCTCAGCGGCTCGCCCCTTACACTTCTTGCCGTTGAAGCGCGCATATAGTGACGCTATTTCAGGCTTGGCACAAGGTTGTTGTAAGGAGGTGCCTTGCACTATGCCTATATATTAGATGCAGAGCCCAATATCAGCAGTTGTGCTGATATTGATGTACTTTTGGGCCATTTGGCACAATGGGGCTCTGCATTGTTACAGTTGTATTAACCATATTGTTATGAACACGTACAGAAGAGAAGGAGTTATTGGGCCTGGGGACAGCAGTTATTGAATGTAGGGAGAACAGCTGTCGGAGAAGCCGCACCCGTTGTACAAGCTACCCCACAGCCACGTGAGTACACTAGGACAATACAAGTAGTCTAGCGTCCTATGGGACAAAAGCAAACAAGCCATGGGATTCCCACGCAGTCCCACGTATCCTATGGGACTTTGGGACAATGTCTCATAAGACAGTAAGATACTGTAGGACTCTGTACAATCATTCAAGTATATAGCATGTAGGAATACAACCCTTATGGTTTGTGTTCAACCTTGTCAATCAACTTTGTTATTGGAATCTCACCTGTACTTGAGCCAGATAGTCTACTCTATACTACTAATTGCACCCAGATGCCACAGTCTTTGACTAGACATCTAACCCCAATCACTCTGAGCTTTGCTTAAGTGATCAACCCCTTGTTCCTTCACGCTACACTTATCCCTGAGAACTAACCTGACTAGTGCCTACAAGCTTTGCTTAAGGCACAACCTCAACAGTCTCCAGCAAGTTCAATTGATAAGCAGGTCAGGAAGCTTACTAAAGGCGCTCAGCAGATGGCACATGAGATGGTGTTAATGCGCAAAGAAACAGCGTGCCTGCAAGACACATAAAAGGCGTTATATACGTACTGAGGATACCTTAACAGTTGGTGAGGTAACTGAGATAATTGCTGCAAAAGAAGGTGGTAGTCGTGATGACGGTAAGAAGCCTGCAAAGAGGGTGCGTGCAGAGCGACACTGCGGCTGTTGCAGCAAGATTGGGCACAACTCCTGCAACTGCAAGGTAGAGATAGAGGATGCAGATGATAGCGACAGTTAAGAATAATATTATACTGTTGCACACAGCATAATTATGTGTTGTAGTGTTGCGTTGTAGCGCTGCGCAGTTAGGACAGTTGCAATGTTGCGCCGCTCGCTTAGGTGCGCCGCTTGCTTGTGAACCACGTTATACAAATATCTGTACCTGGGAACACCCCGCAAGTCATGGGGTAGGTCTGGTCTTTCGACGACACCTATAGTGGAAAATCTACACAGCCGATTTCCACCCACCCTCTACTTCAAAGACATCGCCGACCTTCTTGCTGACTGCAAGCAAATGCCTGTCATGGTAACGCGGGGCGACGAGTGATACACCAATTGGCATGCCATGCTCACCTTTAAAGCCCGGCACATTCACCACAGGTGTATGTAATGCCTGTGTATTAGTCAGCTTGTCAGTTGAATCTCTGGTATCTGGACCCGACTCACAGTCCAAATCAAGCAGAATGCCGCGCTGCCAGTCCTCTCGATCCCCAAAGGCGCCTCATCCGGCACACTCGGCGTTAATACTGCAGCATATCTACTCAGGATCCCATCCACGACAGGCCTGGCTGCAGCAATGTTGTCAAAAGCTTCCAGCTGCGCCTTACGTGTGATCTTGTCGCTGTTTTCGACATGCCCCACAAGCTGTTCCGAGATCTTATCCTTTGCAACGGTGTACTCGGGCAAGAACGCAGTTCGCCCCTCCGAAGCGAGAACTGTAGCATGCCATGCGGGGAGGTTGTTGAGCTGTTCTGGAAAAGTGATCTCTTCAACCTCCGCACCATGCGCACGGAGTAGAGACACAGCTTTGTCGAGTGTGGCATTGGTACCGGAGCCGACGCTCGGCCAGACCATAGTTTTCAAGAAAGCGAACTTTGCGCCCTTGACAGTGAAGTCTTTCGGGGCTGGGACATCATCCAGAATAGCGAACGTATCGGCGAGAAGTTCGAGGTCGGCGACGCTGCGAGCATAGAACCCGAGCGTATCTAGGATGAGAGAGTAGATCTTTTGGCCTTCTCGAGTGATGGTATTCCAGGTAGGCTTGAAAGCGTAGATGCCATTGTAAGAGCCTGGTCGAATGGTGCTTCCGCCTGTTTGAGTGCCAAGGCCAATTGGTGCTTGGAAGTCACCGACGGCAGCGCCAGAACCAGACGAGGATCCCCCAGGGGTGCGCTTTGAATCATGAGGATTCCGTGTCTTGGGGCCTACAGTCGTTGCAGCGAATTCAGTGGTGGTGGTCTTGCCCAAGATCAGCGCACCAGCTTGGCGAAGCACCATGATGGAGCCAGCATCGATTTTTGGGGCATGGTCATTATATACAGGCGAATTGAACTGTGTCGGCATGTCTGGGAAGTCCATCAGTGAAGAATTGGTATGATATACACCCTGACTAACTGACCCTTTGTGTAGATGACATCTTTCACAGCGATAGCCACTCCATGAAGAGGTTCTCGTTCAGCTAACGGGACAGCATCCAGTGCCTTGGCCTGCTCCATCACATATGCTGGATCAAGGAATGCCCAAGCCTGGACAGCCTCATCTCGAGCTGCGATACGTTCCAGTAGTGATGTTGCGTAGTCCTTAACCGAAATCTCGCCTGCTTTGATCTTGGTCAAGATCTGGGTGGCTGTACATCTGTACAGTTCGGAAGTCATCCTGTGGTCTTACGACTGCACGTTGAATGTTGGTGATGAAACGCTACAAGCTCATTTGATGCTTGTGCAAGTGGAATGATGAACTTGTGGAAAGATGAATGAAAGTCGATTGAAAGGGATTAGAAATGGAGGAGAAAACCCATTGTCCTTGCAGCGCAGCATCGCCCAAGTGCAACGCGTTGTTGTAGTAGGCATCCACCTGCATGGGTCGTTACTGCCGTCAGGGAAAGGGACATGTCATCCGACTTCGGCGGGGTAGCGTTCTAGCGCATGCACATTGCCGAATATCCCTGTCCGTCCCCGCAGATACGCTTGTTACTCCTTCCTATCCGATTTACAGCGGCTGCTTCCAACCCGACGTCTGATGGCCTTTGATGTTACCTGGTTCAGGCCTGTCATTGTGTTCGCTTGCAGGGTCCCTGGAGGTTGACTGAGATAGCACCCCACAACGTTGTTATGACAACGCTACGGCATGCTATCAAGTTTGACAGCTGCGAGTAGCAATGTGATGTTCTCAGGCATGGCTTGATAGGCAAAGCGCCGTCGGCATTCAGTTGTAACGGGTCATGCTGGCCGACACATGGCTGACTGGGACGATGGCAAGAATGGGGGATCACCACCGAAGTATACAAGGTAAGCTGTGAGACTCTCTAGGTCGACTCAATCGTTTTCCATTGTCATTCATCGTATATATTTGGCACACCTGAGAGACTCTCCGTTCGCTGCCGTCATGCCCGAAGTATATGCAGCGCCCTCTGACTCTGCCTTCCCGCGTAACTTTCAAGGGTTACGGTGAGAAAGGTCTCGAAGGATTGAAGTGGCCTAACAACGCTAAGATAGCCGTGTCTTTCGTAATCAACTATGAAGAAGTGAGTTCACAAATCTCCAACGAAATCCCTCTACGAGGGCTCCAGGGCTAACTATTCGATTCTCAGGGTGGTGAACGATCTGTCATGAGTGGCGATGGAGTTTCCGAGATCAGCCTTCGCGAGTATCCCGCCCAGCACAAGATCAATGAGCGAGACTACAGCAACGAGTCGGAATTTGAATATGGGTCACCCCGCGGCTGGTGGCGAATTTTTAAGCTTTTCAACGACTACAAGATGAAGTTCACTCTTTACGCGGTAGGATCGGCCGTTGAGATGCAACCAGAGGTGACAGTACGCTGTGTCGAGGAGGGTCATGATATTGCTTCTCATGCATACCGCTGGATCGACCACGGAGATCTATCAGTTGAAGCCGAGAAGCAACATATCCGCTATGGCATCACAGCGCTGAAGAACCTCACCGGTTACGCACCTAAAGGGTGGTACTATGGACGACCCTCCCCCCAGAGCAGAGCTCTGATTCCCCTTGTTCACGAAGAGATGGGCGAGGAGCTTCTCTGGGCCAGCGACACCTATGCCGACGACATTCCCTACTGGACCGACCTACCTCAAGAGCGTAGCAGCGAGAACCCCAAGGGATGTCTCATGGTCCCCTATAGCTACGACTGCAACGACTTCAAGTTCCATACCCAAGGCACTGGTTTTCGTAGCCCTGGTGGCTTCTACGAGCACATCAAGAACTGTGGAAGGGTTGAGATGTTGATTGATCTGTTGAGCTATGAGAAGGATTGATTGGGACTATATAGTACAAGGGAATAGCAGTGGGGAATCAAGCTGCACTTAACCGAACAAGCTGGACAATCAGTGCAGCGGACCGCTGGCAAACATATGGCGATCGGTGGATACATCCACTCTCTCCGACAAGAACGCTTTTGATGTACTGTATGAGGAGGGTGAGAACGGAGCCCCTAAGATGATGACCCTTGGGCTGCATTGTCGTATCATCGGTCGGCCCGGGCGTTTCAAGGCTTTAGAGGACTTTGTCAAGTACATATCTGCCAAAGAGGGCGTTTGGGTTGCCACAAGGACGGAGATTGCGGAGGCTTTTAGGGAACAGTTTCCATACAAGAAGGGTCAGCTTGCATGGACGATGGATCGTAACTCGGAGATTATGCATTCTTGGTAAAGCAACGGTATGAAGCGACAATTACTTCAACAACCCCTTGTTCCTTCACGCTACACTTATCCCTGAGAACCAACCTGACTAGTGCCTACGAGCTTTGCTTAAGACACAACCTCAACATTGGCATGCGAATCCGGTCAGCACGCGCACAGACACGGTATCACAAGTCTGATACAGAATGTTGTATGGAAAAGCGTCGGAGTTCAGTGGACTGTACAAAGGGAAGAAGTTGAAGACTGTACTGCCGTTGTATTGTATGAAGCTAGGAGCAGTATATGTAGGTGAGTGGCTGTAAACAACGCTAGTGAGAAAAGGCAGCAACCCCTCACCATAAGGTGAGGTACAACAGGGCGTTAGTGCAGGAGAGACCCCAAACCGTGACAAAAAGAGAAGATGTAAACAGTGCTGGGACGAAAATCTCAAGGGCAGTCCTTGCACTGATGCTGTGTCTCAGTCAACAAAAAAAATGGTCTTGCTTGACAGCCTGTTGAGGTCTTAGGTGTGAGAGAGGGCCAGCTGGGGATACCAACTGCTCTCTGAGATGGAAGGATTGGTGGAAGGATGGTTCAGGCTTGTTGGAGATAAGGGTGTGGAAGAGACCAAGTGTAGGGATACCACAAGTGGTAAAAAGGATAAGTGATAAAGAAGGGATCAAGTATAGGGATAGCACAAAGGATCAGTGAGGAGTGAGTTGAGGAATGAATTGAAAGGTGAATTGAATTGAGTTGCAAGCATGAGTGAGAACTTGTTGAAGTCGTGTCTTAAGCAAAGCTCGTAGACACTATTTGATTGGTTCTCGGGGATGAGCAGAGGTACAGAAAGCCGTTGGGGGTTGGTTATCACTGAGCGAGCTCGGAGCGGCAGAGGTTTGACCGTGATAAATCGCCGTGATAATCAGGGGTAGTCGTCTAGTCAAAGACCATGGCGACTGGTTGCAATGAGTAGTACAGAGTATACTGTCTGGCTCGAGAGCAGGTGAGATTCCAATAACAAAGTTGATTGACGAGGTTGAACACGGTGCCATAAGGGCAGCGTGTCTACTTGCTTATATACTTGACAGGAGGATTGATTGTACTGCTCATATCGAGTATCGTCAGTAACTTGATACTCGGTCCAATCAAACGTTGTCGACGTGACCTCAATACTCGGTCCTCGGTGTCCTATTGATCATTGTCGACGTGGGTCCTCTGCAAGTGGGTTGGTATATGGGTCTGTGACAATTGTTTGTGTACGAGATCCACGTTGTATCCACTGCAGTCCTTTTCGTACAATCTCGGTTCGTATAACAGATATTGCGAGTTGTTCATGGATTGTAACAGAACTATCTAGAGATGGGAAGAAAGGGGTTCATATACCTGGATGGGTGGCAAGCTGACAAATGGGAGCTGACAAATGTGTGCTGACAAATGGGTGCTGACACAAGTATAAAGACTGGTAGGGTTGTTGTTGGCTGCAAGCCATGTCAGGATGACATTAGGGTTGCAGTTACACCTTTGTTCAATATTGTAGATTGCAGCAGCGCATGGACTGCTCAGTTTCATATATTGCTCTGTATTGGTAGAATGACTTAGGTAATCCTCCTCTCTCAGTGGAGTGATTACATGTTGTGACGTTGACATTGCTTGATGGGGCACACGTTGCGCTTGACCTCAGTTTTACTTTAGCCTCTCAAGACTTTTGGTACTGAGCTTCAATCAAAGAATGTCTGCGAACCAATCTGTCAATATCAATTTGCAACCCGATTTAACTATCAACAGTTCTAACAATTAATACTGAGATAAGTAATCGCGAGCCTGTATTTCACACTCGCAAGGACGGATTCTTTAATAACCTCAAATCGCTTAGTGTAATAGATTCAGTCAGCACTGATCATTTCGCTTGGCCGAGGTTGTAACTCCATTCAAAAGCTGAAGGGTTCACAAAGGAATGGGGAATATTACTGGTCAATGAGTCATCAAAACAACACCGACCGCTGCAGAGACCGAGCGATAGGACGATCTGTATGCCGGTAAGGCAGGTTCAGTCTCCAACGGTGGCTTACCTGCACGCTATATAAAGATCTGCTCTCAGAGGTTGTGTGTAATGTTTAGTCCACACATTTCTTGGGTTTGGATGTAAACCTTGCCGAACATCGAATCAATACCAGCAAGCCACCTGTAGGTGTTGTGTCCGCCCTTAGTCCTCACTCAATGAACTTCACAGCAATGCTTTGGACCAGTCATTGCCTCTGCCTCCAAGAACAAGTCTGATGGGTGATCTTATGATGATGAAATAGCTAGTGCGCTTTACCAATCCCATGTACGGATTTGAGGGCCTCAGTAACTGCGACCGGGATACCATGATCGATTCAATACTGATGACGCTTAATTGGAACAACACAAGCGGCCCAATTTTCAACACCTTTGAAGAGTATTTAGTTGGTGCATGATTGGCGCGGACTTATTTCTGACTCTCCGGTGGTGTCTGAATACGGACGTGGCTGTGTTGGTCGCATCACGTTACCTCTGTTCACGTCAAAGTGTATCCCGGACCGGACGTCCGGCGTCTACCATCGTAGATTCCGGCGCGGCGCAGGACCTTATAATCAGGCTGTGGTAACGGACTCCACCCACATAGAGCAGTTGCACCGCTTGTTTCCCACCCGTCATTTGATCGCGGCGCATTAGCTGCTTGCCTTCCTGCAGCGGTATTGGAAATTGTGCATTGCGTTGATTTGAGGAAGACGCTGCAGCGGACTGATCCCATCCCGAGTGGAAGGATTTCGAAAGTATGCAGTAATAGCACGGTGCCTCGCGACAGTGTAGAACGTTCAACACTGCTAAGAGACTCCCAACGCTTTAGCGGTTCTGCCTCGCTGTGTTTTCACCTAGCCTTCTGACGGTGGATTAATGTTGCGTTGAATATAGGGATGACGGGGTCGACTGTGCATCGGTGGTCTGCGTCACAACCACGAAGGTGGTTGTTATGGCCAATGCCTTTATGTTATGAATACCGAAATGAGTCCGAGAGACCAGCCTTAGCGGCTTACGCACTCCCAACTGCAGCTTACTCACTTTCCCGAGACAGTTCTACCCCGCTATCACAGAGTAAACTGATAGATGCTTTGTCGCAACTGGTTCCTCATCCCCTTGCCTGGCCGTAATAACATATATAAAGAGTGTGACCATACCGACACATATTGACTCACCAAAACATCGCAACAAATCTGCTCAGAACCGGAACTCTATCTGCCGCCACTGCTGCAAGGACCAATTTTCAAGCTCTTCCCAGACTTCTTGTTAGCAGCTTCACCACCATACCTATCAAGATGTTTGACCTTCCCAAGCAGCAAAGAGCAGTCATTCTCAATACTAGAACCAACCGTCTTTTTTTCACCAATAACGCTCCGGTTCTCACCTCTGCAGAGGAGCTCTTGATCAAAGTCCACAGCGCCGCAATCACAAACGGCGAGCTAACATGGGGGCCGTTTCTCAACTGGCCTGAGGAGCAAATCCCTTGCTACGACGTCAGCGGGACCGTGGTTTCTCTTCCGGCTGCACCTGCCTCATCTCACCGCTTGAAAGAAGGCGACAAAATCTTTGGAAGAATCATGGCAAGTCGCCAAGGCGCAGCTCAGGAATATGCCAATATCCTACCCTCTGAAGCCGTGCTAGTGCCGAATGGTCTCGATATGGACAGCGCTGCATGTATTCCAATGAGTGCACATACAGCTTGGCAAGCGATCTTTGAGAAAGGCCTCCTGACCGGCTCCTTCTTACCGACTTCAGTACCACACGTCAACTCTGCCGGCAAAGCCGTCCTCAATCAAGCAAAGGGAAAGCGTGTTCTGATCCTTGGTGCAGCTGGCGGGGTAGGCATATTGGCCGTCCAGTTTGCCAAGTTGGCGGGCTCATTTGTCGCTGGCACCGCGAGTGGGAAGAACGAGCAGTTTCTGAAGAGCTTGGATATTGATGAAGTAGTTGACTATACACAGCTCTCCGTCGCCCAATACGTTTCCTCTAATGACAAATTTGATATTGTCTTCGACTGCGTAGGTGGCAAGTCGATGCTTGATGGCTGGACTGGTATCAAAGATGGCGGAGTGTATGTTTCTGTTGTTCCGGGGTTTACAGAGCCTGAAGGTGGCAAGCCGGTTGATGTGAGGGCCGAATGGTTTGTTATGGAGCCGAGGAGCGAGGAGTTGGCGGAGATCAGCAAGTTCTTTGAGAAAGGGATGCTGAGGACAAATGTGGATAGTGTGTGGAAGCTTGAGGACTTTGATGAGGCGTTCAAAAAGACGGCAACTGGACATGCAAGGGGAAAGGTCGTGCTCAAGGTTAGTGATGTGGAGTAGTCCTGTTTCAAAAATCTGTTGTTGAGCTGGTGAAATTGGTTCTGCTATTTTGTTGCGGTATCGGTTGGTCCGTACAGTGTCTATGTGACGGTTTATGGAGTATGGAGATCATGTGTGCCAGGTGCGTTGGTGCAGTGCTCCTGCTCTTGACTGCACGAGATATACGTCATGTAAACAAACCCTGACGACTGCCGGGTGAGAGTCAATCACAGAAAACAGAACGCAATATATACCGATTTCAAGGGCTAAGTGACATTTAGGTTCAAGAAAAAAGTTGAGGTTCTTTTGCTATGGCTTGATAGAGATGACTTTCCCAAGTACAACGGTGCCCTCCACTAAGCTGTAGGTGCTATAGTTGTGGCATTATTTGCTATTGAAGATATGGGGGTTGGTAGTGTATTTCCCATTCCGGTAAGGTTGCTCCAAGACTGCGCTAACCCCAAAACAAACAAAATGCTGACACCTAACATAACAACCGCACACCAACAACCACTTCATAAAATTGCTGTATTTTGCACAGGGCAGGTACCTTTAGGCCTACAGTGTAGCGACACAGGTAAGAGAGGAATCTGTTACGATCCATGAACAACTCGCAATATCTGTTATATGAACCAAGATTGTACGAAAAGGACTGCAGTGGATACAACGTGGATCTCGTACACAAACGATTGTCACAGACCCATATACCGACCCACTTGCAGAGGACCCACGTCGACAATGATCAATAGGACACCAAGGACCGAGTATTGAGGTCACGTCGACAACGTTTGATTGGACCGAGTATCAAGTTACTGACGATACTCGATATGAGCAGTACAATCAATCCTCCT